CTAAGATGCGCCTGCGGCTGCGAGTAAGGAGGAAGGAAGCCCTAGTAACGTTAATAATTTAGCCTGCCCGGCGGGGGAAATTATTACGGGCGCTATAGTAGCCCTAGCTCCTTAACCGTGTCGGTCCCGGCGCCAGGAGGAAATAAGCGAGGCTGTAAAAGAGTTTAGGTTTATGTATAGGGAAGGGGCCGAGATTAATAAGGAAGAGGTTAACCTAGTTAAGAAAGAACTGGAGGAATAGGAAAAGCAGGAGGTTAATAAGGAGGGCAGAGACGAGCAGAAGTGTAGCTGCGGGAAGGACGTAACTACTAGCTAGAAAACTGCGATAGAAGGAAAGAAAGTTCTACTGATTATAGCGATAATAAAACTCCTAGGTAGGATACTGGGATTTCGGCGAGTTTACTATAGTTACTTGCGATTAATAGCAGGGCGCATAGGTCTCTGTATAAAGCGGCTCCCGGAAGGTTTAGCTATCAAGAGACTATATATTATATACAATAGGAGGTTAGAAATCGGAAAGCTGAAGACGGACCTGGAGACTTATATTTAGTTTCGTATAGCTAATCGCCCTCCCTGCTTATCAGATAAGCTCAGACCTTATAAATTTCATAAGAAAGAGGGGCTTAAATTATTCGATTACGATTAGAAGCTGATTCTAGATAGCTAGGATCTGACGATCTTACCGTAGTAAGAAGAGAACGGATAAGTTATTCGCTTCCTCTTTAAATAGTGATTTAGTTCCCTTCTCGGAAAGCAAATCTATGACGAATTAGATATATACTGGCACTACTTGCGAGAGATTAATAAGCGTAAGAATATTAGATAGCTACGGAATATGTTTTTTTTAGTAACCTAGCAGTTTATACGCCAAGACCCTGCCTACTACATGTTATATGCGGCTCTTCGTCCTGATAAGAAGTGGAGACTAGTTAGTTACCCTTACTACGCTAAATATACTATGCCGGGAGATAGAACCTTTTTCTGTTATATCGATTTGAATATTAACGATGTACTTGCTACTAATCGAGGGGCTACTATAATTTAAGGTAGTATCTCGCTAGATTAGGAGGATAAGGATAATTGTACTTTCTACTGTCCGGGGATGTAATATAAGCTAGGTAAGTAGTGAGCGCGTGTTCGCGAGCGAGGATAGGATACTAACTGCTACGTTCACCGAATTATAGACTAAATATTTACTTGAGAGGATACGGAGGTCCTGGGAGTAGATTAGGTTAGGACTCCTTACGGCCCTGGAGATATGCGGATTACGCTACTGAAGATCTTATACGAGTTAACTGGGCCCGCGATAAAAGTTCGTCGGACTATCTTGCCATAGTTTATTATAATTTAGGACGATAAGGAAACCTTGGAGGTTATAGAAGGGGGAACTTAGAGAGATCTGGCTAACTCCTATCGAGATTTCACTGCACCTCTAGCTACTTTGTTAGGCCTTGTAAATCGGTACGGAGCTATTCCCTTTCGGTTCGCTACTATAGTTAAGCTTTCCGGGTTAGGTGCTCTATCTGATACTCTAGTTGCGTGATAATAATAGAGTTCGCTAGTAGTGATAGCTTAGAGAAACGTTCTATTAGGAGGGGATCGAGCGGCAGCTTATAGCTTTATTAACAGGTGGAGAGCTAAGGCACTAGTTGCAGCTATAGAGGCTTTTAAGATAGTGAGGAGGGTAGAGAAGGAGGCGTTTAGAGAGAAGTTCTTTTATTACCTGAAGGAGGTATTAGAGGCTATAGGCGTTCTAATAGGAGAGGTGGAGGCCGACGCTGACTAGCTAAGTGAGAAAGTAATAGAGATCATGTTAAAGGAGGGCCTATTGTTTACAGAGGAGGCCGAGGAGTACTTAGCGGCGGGTGCAGGCGATATAATAGAGGTAGATAGTTAGGAGGAGTGTCCGTATGTTTCTTTTGTTTGTACGATATATCAGGGGATATAGTCAGGGGGCGACTACTTAGTTAGGGGGGGACGCATATAGTGGGGTAGTGTAGTTCTAGGTCGGAAGATAGTTGGCCCGTTCCGTAAGGTTATATAAATAGGCGCGATAACGCGTAACGAATACATCATCTTCTCTCTCCTACTCTTACTACCTGTTTAGTTGGTAGTCCTCTACGTCCCTGCTTACTATGCACTTTGACGGCACTACCCCACCTCTTTATAGTATACACTCTACCTACCCTGCGACTCACACTACACCTACCCCTTGGTACACACTTTACCTACCCTTTGGCACACACTCTACCTACCCTTTGGTACACACTACGCCTACCCTCTGATACACACTTTACTTACCCTTTGGTACACACTCCACTTACCCTGTATTATCTCCTTCTGTCTTAGTACTCTACCTTCTGTACCCCTGACACCTTCAGGCTCTTACCCTCTGTATTATTAGTATAGTCCTTCTGTATTTCAAGACTATTAGAGAGAGATAAAAACACTCGTCGCAAGCTAGCGTAGTTAGAAACAAATATAACCCAAACCTCAAACCCTAACACTAACACTAACACTAACCCTAGCCCTAAGGTCTATAAGTTTATTAGAAATAACGTTAGCTTATAATACTAATAGTATCTTCTTCTATTTTAGAGGAAGAAGTAAAGGATAGAGATAAGGATTTAGGGGATTATAAGTTATTACTTAGCTTAGTTTTCTAAGGACTTAAATAAACTTAACTAAAGTAATATTAGACTTTATTATAAAAAAGGAAGATAAAAGCGATAAGGAGAATATAGAGAATAAGACTTATAATAAGAGGGAGATAGTAGTTTTACTATAAGGATATAAGTAATATATAATACTCTACTACTAGAAAAGGAAAAAGGCTAAGTATAAGATAAACTTATATTAGGTATTAATTAAGATTCTTATATTAAATAGTAATAGTAGTAAACTACTCTAAGAAGTTAATTAAGCTCGAGACTCTTTAGTACGCTTATTATAATAAAAAGACTTATTATTAGATAGCTTAATAGTAAGATAGAACTAGTAGCTCGGAGTCTTATATTAATATAAAGGCTAGTTAGGGTCTAGGATAAGAAGGAAGTGGAATATAGATATAAAGATAGGAAAGCTTAACTAGGTATAGTTAATTATTAATTAAGAGGCTTAGATAATAAGAGGGACTATAGAAGGGACTAGTAATAAGCTAGAAGAATAAAATAATAAAAGTAATAAAGTTAAGAAAGGAGGTAGTAAGGAGTTAAAAGAGAAGCGCTAGGAAAGGGAAATAGCTTTAGTTTTTAATAATCTTAATTATAATATAAATATAGATAATAGTATACTACTATTATAAGTGCGATTAAAAAGAGAGGTAAATTAGTAGAAGAGATTCTATAAATAGGAAATATATAGAGATTTAATATATAACTTTCGTTATACTAATAAGAGGAAATACTAAGGTAAATATCTTACTTAATAAACTAATAGAAAATTTATTACTCTTAAATCTAGATATATATTATCTCTTAGATATATTTTAATTATAAAGAGCTTCTTAGGTAATCTATCTAGATAATAAGGAACTTAAAGACTTAAATAATAAAGGATTTCTAAAGGAAGCAGATATAAAAGTATTATCTACTTAAAAAGATAGTTATCTAGCTAGAACTAAGTTTTAGTAGAAGGAAAACACTAAAGTAATAAAAGTAAGTTAAGGTATAGTTAGGTATTTAAGACTTAATACCTATTAAGAATATATATAGTATAGCGTAAATCAAGTTAATTATCTAGTAGAAGAGCTAGCTTAGCGTTTATTAAGTTAATTCTCAAGGGAGAAGCTAGCTTTAGAATTAACTTAATTTTTATTAGTAAGTCTACTTTAGTAAGAATTAACTTAATTTCAGCTGGTAGGTCCTCTTTAGTAAGAATCAAGTTAATTTCAGCTAATAGATCTATTTTAGTAAGAATTAAGTTAATTCTATGAAAATAAGTCCGTCTTAGCGTAGATTAAGTTAATTCTTAAGTAGGAAAGCTAGCTTTAATATAGATTAACTCGTATTTTTAAAAGGAGGCTAGCTTTAGAATTAAGTTAATTTCAGCTAGTAGGTCCTTGTTACGGACCCTTAGCGCTACGGTTCAGTTAGTACCCATATGATAATAAAACCATCAGTGGTACTATAGGGGTATTAGTACTAATAAGGGAGTAGTACTATCGATAGGGTAGTACTAGCCAGGGAATGATATAGGACAGCGAGTGGTACTGCTGTATACTTACGCTTCGGTAGTAATAGTTACCTAGATCACGGTGGATAATAGGTCACGTGATAGATCCCTGGATCCCTGGATCCCCTTATAGGAAAACGGATCTAAGGATCTAAGGATCTAGTATCCTAAGGGATCTAAGGCGAACGAAGGTTCTATATAAGACTAGTACGTCTACTATTAGATAGGAGCTTCGTACTTAACTTCAAATAGTATTCTGATACTTAGTAACTGTTTTCCTGTTTACGTGATACACCTACCTCTCGATTATCAGAGATTAACTACAGCCTTCTGTATTTATAGCGAGTAAATATCGGACTGTTACAGTCCTCCTTAGTAAGAATCAACTTAATTCTATAAAAGTAGGTCTATCTTAGTAAAAATTAACTTAATTCTATGAAAGTAGGTCTATCTTAGCGTGAATTAACTTGTATTTTTAAGGGGAGGCTAGCTTTAGAATTAACTTAATTTTAGCTAGTAAGTCCTTCTTAGCGAGAATTAACTTAATTCTATAAAAGTAAGTCTATCTTAATAAGAATTAACTTAATTTTATAAGAGTAAGTCTATCTTAGCGTAGATTAACTCGTATTTTTAAGACACTAGGTCTTCTCCTTCTAGGTAAGTGTACTAGCGTTAGCTAGAATCAACTTAATTTCAGTATAGCCGCTAGTAGCTAGGTAGGATTTAGGTGTAGAATCAACTTGATTCTGCTAGTTTATAGGGACAGGCTCGACATGAACAAAAGGCTCACATATAAAAGACAGATATATACTAGAACTGAACCCAACGTCTACACGTTTATCCTCGAACTTACATTCCAGGAGAACCGAGTTTTGTTCCTCCATGTATTACTCGCTCATACATTTCAATCGTCCAATCTCGTAGATAATCGTCGTTCTTTCTTGAAATCAAGTTTGGTGAGCGCACACGACAGGACATAACCCGCTCCTTTAAGGTATCAAATTCGTTCCTTCTTTATCTATCAAACTCCATTGATCAAGTCTACATTGATGCAGCGAAGTACATGCTTCTATCTGATCGTAGGATAGATGTGATCATAGCCATACCGCAGGATGAAAAGAGGACCAAGTGCACATTGCCGTCGTGGGTACCAGCTTGGAGAGCCCCCGAATTGCTAATGTGTCCATCCCCAATTTCGATAACTAAAACACGGAGAGCCGATGGTCAGGTCAACATCTGCGCAGGTGGATCACAGTCACCTCAACCCTCTATCAAAGAATGCGATCGTATCTTGTTCGCGAAGGGGTTCAAACTCGATTCAATACGGTCTCTGGGTGTAAAGTATACGATCGATTTTCCCAGCCATGATTCCATGCAGACAATGCAATGATAGAAGCCTTGCACCGCCACGGAATCACTATTCATTTCGACTGGGGGAGAGCCTGTCTTCAAAATATAAAAGAGGACGACTTAGGTAATTAGTTGCCATTTTGCAAAAGTATCTTCCATGGTCTTAAGTTCACACCACCCGTGCTAGATGGAAGAGGGAGCCATCAAGAAACTTCGGAAAGGATCATGAGAGATATCCTTGAAACGGAAGAACTATTCTTCAAGGACAAGGTACTCTATCCACAATTCGGTGCTATGATGCAAACAGAAAGAGACAATGGCGCAGGATGGTGGACTAGCTTCTTCAAATATTTGGTATATCGGATAGTATTCAGAAATGCTTCAAGCAAGATAAGAAAGAGGATAGCATCTGGAGCAGAAATCCATCCTATCGCCCTTGCCGTATTTGCAAATTTGGTAGGTCGGCGATTCTCAATCACAGGATCAAGGTCGATCGGCACTGTTCCTCATACAACCCAAGACGGAGATCTCATATGCATTCTACTCGGATGCTCATGGCCAGTTGTGCTTCGCTAGGAAAATTATCACTGCATCGTGATCGGAGCGGCGTACGTTGATGGATATATATTCGGGAAAGCTATAGAAGAGCTAGAGGAAGGGAAGTTCGACCTCCAGAATTTTGAGATCCATTGATGGGGATGGCGAAAGATGAGATTTCTAGCCGATGTACCATGTTCTGCTGGCTTTCGACGCTTGTTCGGCGAGCAAGCCCGTGGAAAATTATTCTGTGGGGGGGGATTGCTAGCTGGGTCGGGAGACATTCAGTCGCGGACGGAAGAAGGACATTTCGTTGAATTGCAAAGAGGAAGGAAGCTGGGAAAATGGGAAAATGGGAAAATGTATTGCGTGGAGCAAGTTCTGAGGGAGCAACGAGGTACCGTAAAGTGTGATAAGTGATTTATTTTTTTTCCCTTTTGGAGTACGGGAAAGGGAAAATCTAAATGAGAAAATTGTACGGAGTATTCGTTCCGAACAGCGGGTAGAGCTCTATTTTGTGTGTGCATGTTCCACTGCTTTAACCGGTGTAGTCTTGTCTTTCTCTACCAATTGCGGGGTTACTGGACTTGATTCGTTTTGAAACGATGTCCAAGTAGCGAGCCAATGAGGTGCCTGTGTCCTTCTCACTGTCATTCGGCCGTTATTTCTGAGTTGAGGAGCTTCAATTTCGAATTGAATTTCAGTTGCGGTCTCCACGTAAGATTACAGTATCGCCGGAAAGATATAATGACCTCTTGACGTACGATCCAGAATTGGGTTCAGCAGCCAACCCGCTCCGCTGCCAAGGGGTGGCCACTTCAATCATGATCGGCGCCTCGAATGCTATGCCCTACCCCATATTTTAATTCCGCAGACAATTGTCGCGCGTTTGGCGTTTGGCACTTATTAAATTGACGATGTTTGAAACCAAGCGGAAGCGCTGGCTTGCCGAAATAAGGTTTAGATTTAGGTTTAGCTGTGTTTTTTGATTTGTCGTGATTTTGTTGCACACCGCACCTTAAGCATAAGCAAATCAAGCTTTGCCGTCAGGCGGTCGGTCCTTTTCTCTCTCCAGGCAATCGCAGCCGCGGCTAGCCGCCAGATCTGTGGCTAAACTGGTCCCTCAAGTCGCGTTCCATACGTGCCTGACCGCCTTCGATGTTTGTGATGCCCCTCCGAAAGTAAACAACCATCACTGCACCCCGCTTGTGATGGATGCTCCTGAAATTGAGCAGGATGTTCAACTGGAGAAATCCGCCCCGAACCTTCTGGCAGATCTTGGACAGTCTTTACAGCTATTCTTGAGGAGGAATGGGCAGGTCCGTCGCAATGTTCGAAGCTCAGATACGGACAGGTTGGTCAATCTGGTAGGCTTCACGCACTGTGCTGAATGCTCATCGCTGACAGGTACATAGCTTGAGCCCTTCCAAGAGCTGCCACAGCTTCTTGATCCCTATCTCAATAAACTCGTACCGATCCTTGCAGACGCCTTCCTCCAATACCTCCGAGCCCCTCCTTCAAAACAGCCAACCACCCACCTCCTGATGCCATTATCCAAGGCAATATGTAAGCTGCTGTATACATTCTGTAAGATCCGGGGCGAGAAGGTCATTGTGCAGTTCCTGGGTACTGAGACAAGGGATCTCGAGTTGCTCCTGTGTGCGATTGAGATGGGCGTATCATGGGGTTGGGAGGAGAGATACATCACCCTGCTCTGGTTGTCCCAGTTGCTTCTCGCCCCGTTTGATCTTGCCAGCATATCTTCGCAAGGAACTGAAGATATTGTTGAGTTGAACATTCCGGGTTTCTCATGTCCAGCAAATATTCCTGCGGTAACATTACGAGTCATTTCCCTTGCTGTTCGCTATCTCTCCTCATCTGGGAAAGAGAGAGATGCTGCCAAAGTCCTCCTGGTCCGTGTAGCCATGCGGCCGGATATGCAACAAGTGGGTGTCCTCCAGGCTTTGGTCAGATGGTCAATATCCTGTCTGCATCCCTCTGCTGGTTTGCATAGCTCGCCTTACTTCTACATTGGCATTCTCTCGTTTCTTGCTGGCATGCTTGTGTCGTCTGCTGGAACTCCCGACATGGTCGAGTACTTGCAGGAGATTTCTGATGTGACTCGGGATCAAGACGGCATGCCAACAGCCATCCTGGACACCATTCGAAAGTCTGCTGTGTCGCGAAAGATCGTCATCAAGCTATTTCGAGCCATTGCTTTACTTGATCTTGCCAATTTGGCGGATTTAGACAGAGTTCAGACAATCATCGGCGATCTTCTAGACTTCCTAGAAGACGAGGCGACTCCTGTCAGACTTGCTGCAAGCAAAGCTCTGAGCATCATCACTTTGAAGCTTAATCCTGATATGGCATCACAAGTTGTTGATGTCGTTCTTGATACATTCACAAGCTCGTACAGGATGGTGGGAAGACCCGGAAAGCAGAGCCCAGATCTCTCTAATGTGAAACCCTTCCAATGGCACGGTCTAGTATTGACCTTTTCGCACCTGTTGTATCGCCGTTCAATACCGCCTGCGAGTTTGACTCCTGTTTTGCGCGCCCTTCGTCTCGCCCTGGCTTTTGAAAAACGTTCTGCAACTTCCGCAGCTTCAACCGGGACGAATGTTCGAGATGCTGCCAATTTTGGTATCTGGGCGCTGGCCCGAAGGTATACTTCGGCGGAATTGCAAGCGATTGAACTGGACGGTGTGCCTGCGTTGCAGACTCTGGCTTCTGACCTAGTAGTCGCAGCTTCGTTGGATCCTGCAGGAAATGTTCGACGAGGGTCATCTGCAGCGCTGCAAGAGCTGATAGGACGCAATCCAGATACAGTTGCCGAAGGTATTCAGCTTGTGCAAATCGTTGACTATCATGCCATTGCCCTTCGATCAAGAGCAGTTGAAGAGGTTGCCATTGGAGCAGCAGCACTGTCTGAAGAATACCACTACGCCCTACTTAATGCTCTGTTGGGTTGGCGTGGAGTGAAGGACTCTGATGCGACTGCGAGACGAACTGCAGCTTCCGCTGTTGGGATACTTGTCCGGGAAAAGAGGCTGAGGAGCGGCGAACCATGGACTGAGTTTCGAAATACCCTGGGACGTGTTGCTGAACGCATAAAGGCACTTGTGCTCCGTGAAGGCGATGAACGGCATGGCTTGGTGCTGTGTCTTGCGTCCATTATCGAATCATTCTCCCAGGAATGCCTGAATATCTCGAGTTTGTCAGATGAGCTGGAAGCGACCATTTCAGCAGTACTTTCCCACGTCTACGAGGTTCTGAAATACGTGATTGGGAGCTGGGAGACCTTCCGAAACCAATCTTTGATAGCTGAAGCGATGTGCAAACTATGGATGGCATCAAGTACATTGCTTTCGCTTAGTCAAAGCCGGCGCCAGGAATTGATATCGCTGCAAATGGCCATTCAGGAGAATCTCATGAGTATCGAGGATCCCGCATCAATTGGTGCCATCTCCGATGCGGCTGTTGACTTGGCCACCATATTGCCAAAGGAGCACAAACTTATGCTCGTCGAGAGTTACATTCAAAAATCGAAGACGTTCTCCAAATCACGACACGCATTGAGCAATGGCGCTTATCTGCAAACGTTGTTCAAAGTCTTCTCGGTCGTTCCATCACAGCACGCTGCAATAATTGATACCATACAGCACATCTGGAGCCAAGATCAAGACCCTGACTCTCGGGCTATGATGCTTCGTTGTTTGGGAAAAAGTATTCTTATGCAAACAAATTTTGACGATGTGGTAGGTTTGGTGGAACAGGGCTTGGACGATTTCACCACGACTGCTCAAGGAGATGTAGGGTCCAAAGTCCGGATTGAGGCTGCAAAAGTGGTTGCTGAGATTTGGAGTAACAGCCAAGCAAAGAAAGAGGATAGCAGAAAACGATTATATGGCAGAGTGATGAGGCTGGCGTCAGAGAAGCTTGATAAAGTACGGCGTGAAGGTCAGAGATGTCTCCTTCTCGAGTTAGGACATGTTTCATCGCTGGAAACCTCATCGGAGTCATACTTTCTCGCGCTTCTCAACATCCAACTTCTGCCATGGTGGACCACATCTCCATACGCGTCAACATGGTCCGACACATTCATGTCAGGCTACATTACCTCGGCCGATACTGGTGCTTCAGCTCTTGTACAATCAAGTCGTGTTGCGCTTATCGAATTCTGCGAAGCCTCCTCAACTAATGTAGATCTCATCTCGAACACTCTACTCGCTCTGCTTACACCTACGAGTCCTCCAAACGATCGGATCCTCGTCTCAGCCCTCGAAACTGTATCCTTCCTACTTGACATGGATATCTTACAGCGGTCATCTATCAATTGGAAGACGCTTTACTACCGTGTCCAGAAAGCACATTATCAGAGTGCTAACCTGCGGAAGATAGAGGCGTGTGTCAAGATTTATGGGGGTATATTGGATCGAGTGAGTGAGGCAAAGGGGAAGTTGATTGGGATGTTGGCGCATAAGTATCCGGGGGTGAGAAATGCTGTTGTAGATGAGCTCTGGGTTAGCACAGGTGGGGAGGTGCTGAAGGGTACAGATTGGACGAAGGCGAAGAAGGAGGACGTAGTCAGAGTGAGGGGGGTAATGGAGAGTGTTTGAATGAGAATTTCTTAGGTTGATACACATAATTTGTGAGACCTTATCTCGGCTTTGTGCTCGTTTTAGCTCACCTAAATGAAGCGATAGGTACTAGATGTAACTACATAAATAAGCCTTCGATAGCCTCAGTGAATGGCACCCTTTTTGGCGGGTGTCTTTCTAATAACACGGGCAGCCAGACGATCAAATTTTGACTTCATCGCACCATCGATATTTACAACCCATGCGGGACAGCCAGCCAGCCATATGAAAATCAGGGGGACAATACTCTGTGACTCGGTCAGATGAGATGAACATTTCACTACAATACGTACCTGTTGTACAACCAACCAGCAATCGACCCATTCTGCAGTCTAAGGATACGAAACGACAGCAGTGGACAACAAGAACAAATATCAACAGCCCAATATGCCTGCGACATGACAAGGTTCATGTCCTGACTAAAACAAGGCTGCATCGTCCAGCAGACAAAGTAAATCGCCACAAGACGTCATCGAAACTCAAAATTATCCCAGTGGGAAAAAGCAAAAGCAACAGTGGATAGCGAGAATACAAACACATCTATATCCTCACTTTATTAGTTATAAGGGCCAAAACGTCACCATCAAAGCAAGGTAAACAGATTTCTAGAAATTAGGATGCAGTTGAACAAAAGTGGCATTTCTATAAGCGGAAGGTCCAGAGCCTCCAGTGGGCCTCTAAGTGTTGACATGTAGTATTCCTAAACCAAAAGTACGTCTGAACTTATCTGGACCAAAGTAAACTAAACGCTATGCTCACCCCGTGAGGTCTTGGAGTGCCAGGTACTATCCTATCCTACGTCTTTGAAAACGAGGAGAGTCGCAATGCATACTCCCAATGCAAAGTGTAAACGTACATAAGATAGACTAGATACTCTCTCATATCCTCCGCTGCATGGAATAGCTTGGTCGGTTGGGAAGGGATTTGGTAACAACGTTTTCGTTCCTGTCCAGGCTTCTAATCTTTATGTGCGAGAGAGGAGGAACAGGACGTAGTGTAGTAGAGGAGCCAAGATTATGTATCGCATCAATTCGATTTGATTATGACTGGTGCCCCATCTTCGCATCCAGCCCATTCAGGACGCCCTGTGTCTCTCTAACCAGAGCTCGTCTCTTTTCCCTAGCCTCATCGTTTCCTTCCGTCTCAACAGCATCCAGCTTCAACAGTACCTCATTCATGATAGTTTCGCTCAACTTCTTATGCTCGAAATCCTTCTTCTTCGGCTCTTCGGGCGGGTGGAGCGTGAACTGTACGCACAGCGGTAGGATCTTGGTATGGAAATGACTGGAGATGGCCTCCAGCTTCTCGATCGCCGTCTTTGGGAGAGCGGGGGACGCAGTTCGTGAGGTCGCTGTGCTGGGATCGCCAGAGTTGGGGGAGAGATTGGCATCGCTCTTCTTCTTTCCGCCCTTCTTCTTCGACTTATTGCGGTTGCGCTTCTTCTTAGAGAAGAGGCCGCCTCCCTCCTGAGCGCTGGCGCTGTCCTCGTCGCCGGAATTGTCGCTCCCTTCTGGTGCTTCGCCAATCACGCATAATACCTCGCTGTTGTTCTTGAGGCTGTAGTCTCTGCACGGCTTGTAGTCGTCTTTGAGTTGTTGGCCTTTATATAGCAGTTTGATGTTCCTGCCATTTGGGAGGTCCATTACTGCTGCTGCGCGCTCCTTGACATCCCGCACCTGTAGCTTGCCATCGCCGATGCTGTAGGCGGGAAACTTGACTGGGTATGTGACACCTTTGTTCTTGATTAGGAGGACGTCGTCTTCGGCTTGCATAGATGGTGGCGCGCGGCCTTGGGGATCGTATGCCCTGCCTGGCTGGGCCAGGTCCTGGGATGTGATGTAGGAGAAGTCTTCGTCGGTGACATTGGGAGGGTAGGCTCTGCTTCCAAAGGGCGAGAACCGGGCATTCGAACCACCGAAGAAGGAACGACCCCAGCCGCTCATTGAGACGGCGAAGAGGGTGGAAGTGGTGAGGAGGAGGAGGACGCTGGCAAGTTGGGCGGACGGAGGGACGGTGTCGAGATGTGTGTACTTGGCAACTGTTGATATGGTCTTCTGGGTGCTTGGAGGCAGGGAATCGTAAGCTGATTGCAGATGTGTGAGAGAGGTGCTTAGGTAACTCTGAAGAGAGTCGGGGAGGTGGTCGATGATGGAATTTAGGGTGAGAGTGGCACCGGATGCCACTGCTTGGTGAGCCACCTTGTTGATACGATGCCTTGCTGGAAGGACTTAGTTGACGTCTTAAGGCTGTTGCAAGGCGGTGCGGTGATGCTGCAGGTAAGGTAGGGTAGGGTACGGTAAGTTGCTTGTTTTGAGTCAGGTGAGAAACTCTGTAGATCGACGGGACAATTGGATCGACGGGTGGTGGTGGTGGTGGATGTGAAGCTCGACCTTGACCTTGACTCGAGGACAGGGAAGGGGAGGTGAGAAATGGAGTGCTGTTAGTGTAGGTCTGCGTCTGCAGTGGAGTGGAGTATCTGCTATTGCAGGCAAGCGAAAAAATTCGGGAGGTTGTTTTTTACCGGAGATCGGATCGGGGTCCAGGTAAGGCTATAGATAGCAGTAGAAAGATCACAGAGGAGCTTAATGATAATTACTATTAAATAGACAGAATAGGAGTTAGAACAGATATAATATCGAAATAATAAATAATTATATTATTATATTATTTCTTTATATATTAACTAATAAGGCTAAGGGTTTATTTTCCAAGTTTCTAAAAATATGGTTAGATGGGGACTGAAAGGAGAGGGAGGATATTGCTTGGCGGGGTACATCTCCACGTGATATTGGAAGTTACCTATCTGCTGGGGCAGCAATCTATCAACATCAACTTGACATCTAGTATGACGCGATGTCCACAATCGCTTCCGATGATAAGTGTCCCGTCATCAAAACACGAAAGCGAAGTCATTTGTAGGAGCAACTCACCGTGGGGGTCATAAAAAGCCACACACGTGCCTCCATCCATACCCCTCATCTCCAGCCTCCCATCTGCCCGTCCACGACCTTCGACACGGATTCCAGAACGATTTAACCTTCCACACCTTCCACACCTTCCAAACAGCTTCCTAATCCGATATTTTCAAAAACGCCATTTCAAGCCTCCATTAATGCTGTCCAGGATTTCTTGCAGTAGCGTTCATTCCATTACGAGGGGTTTTTTTGCATGGCTTCAACATCTTCCCGCTTTGCAGGAGCTGCTTCAAAGGTAGAAGGAATGTTGGAATTTTGAAATCTGGAAGTGAAGTTGAGATCGCATCAGCTCCTATCTTAATCAGTGTTGCAGTTTCCATTGAATGTTGAATCAAGACTTTTCACGGCTTCGCCACTGCGGTACGGTAAGCAACAGGTCATTTTCAGTGTCAAAGGCGAGAAGAGCCAAAATACGACTGTCGTCAGATGTTGCTCCTTCTCCTTCGAATAATGCTTGGCCTGCCACTGCCAGCAATCCTTCAGCGCCGTGACCTCATCTGCCGTGTCCATCTGAATAGACGGGAAACGCCTCTTTCATGCTGGAATGGGGCGGGACAGAAGATGTTGTCAGGTAGGTTGAGGAGGCGGCGGCAGTGTCGCGGCCGGGGAGGATGAGGTGATGCTCATCTCGGTGAGCACCTATCCTCCATTCTTGTTTGCTTTATCAGTCATTCTGTTGTTTAGTTCCAATCAATACTCCTAGGTTTGCTTTTCTCTTTGAAGGTCATGGCAATTTGCCCTTATCTGTCGAGTTAGACGTTCTGTGCTGGGGTGCAAGTGCGGAAGAGATGGTTAGCCAAGTCATGGAACGGAAGACACCCTGTCCTGCCTTCAGTCATCTGAATCCTCGAGTAGAAGAGAAGCTGTACGTAAGTTTACATAAATTACGAACTGGCATATCATAGTTGGCTGACAAGCTGTCAGGTGATCAATCGCAGGTATAATCTGCAGCAGTCCACATCTACGTGCTCTCCGCTGCATTTGATGAAGTCAGTCCGAATCCACAATATATCCTCAACTTGTCACAGTTCTCAATTACTGTACCGGATCCTCCGCGGGTCGTCATAGTCGCATTGAGGGGGTCTCGAAGCCTCAAGACTATACTTTTGATCATATATCTCGAATGATGGAAGTAAAGCAGTGGCAATGACGTCCAACATTTCCGCATATCATGTCGGAATAATGACAATCTCATACCCATGATCCTAACAATCACCAAGTAAGTGCCCTTCGCCGCCCGACCTTGCAAGTCTCTTCTACTCCCCAACAACAACATCAAGTCTGGAGCAGCCTAAGCAAAAACATTAACGCCCAAATGGTATCCATCGCGGGATCGAGGGTTTTCCCATATTTGAAATTTGGGTATTTATATGCCATGTTCCTTGCAAAGTCTGTGCAAAGGAACAGAAATGGCAGGGTGATAAGATAAAGAGTGTACTCATGTAGCACAGCCCTTGAAGTGAGATTCATGTATGGCACGAATTGTAAGTCCCAAAGGAGTGGACTTTAGGAGTGCCTGGGAAGGCTGTGGGCGTTTGGAATACACATATCTGGATGTGCTCGATGAAAACTCGGCAACTAACAAAAGACAAGCAGTTCATGTGAGGTATTAAGGCTGAAGTGAATGATAGGTGACGAGGGTAGGACTTGGATGTTTTGTGCTACTTCAGACGCAGAAAGTACCTGCCCCCCTTGCTTCGACTCAATCTGCCTGCCGACTTGTCTTAAATTCAGATATCTCTCCTGGAAATTTGTCGAATAGATTCTCAGAAAAGCTATGAGGTCCAAGGAATTTTATGCGGTATCGCCCCTTGTTATCTGAGTTCCAGTCTCCCTTGTTCACTTGCTGCTACGTGGTGCGGCCGAGGCTCGGCTACGCTACGCCTACAGTCCCACTCCAGAGGCAACAGGCGAGATCAACACCGCTATCGAGACAATTGGTGTGCCATGGAGCCGGGACCCAATGAGAACAGCGGTCAAGCTTTCCAACTCATCAAAATAAATATAACGTTGATCTGTTGTTGGATATGTGGATGAGCTCAAATTACCACAATCAATACACCCGCAAGCATGCCTGGATTTGTTGGTTCTAAACCTTAGAAGTGTGCTGTGCCGCTGGAGCGATATGGGCCGTTGGTGTTGTCCTGGGCAAACAGCGCGAATGCCCACAATTGATAGCTGGTGGCCTATCCTGCATCGTGGTGGCGCTGGACCGTTATCTTTCTGGTGGGCGAAGACTCGGAAGACTCTGGGCTCACACTACTACTCACACTCACACTCACACTCACACTCACTACTCAGACTGAGCCCCTGCCCCTGTTCCTGCCCCTGCCCCTCTTTTCCCTGCCACCAGCCCACCACCCACGCACCGCCCGCCTCCTGTCGAGTCCCGGACTTCGGTTCCTTCGATTGAGTTTATGACTATTTTGCATCCAGAGAACAAAAGTCCCCACAACTAAGTACAGTATTTATGAGGAACGTGGGCGTTGCGTGTAACCAAGTCCAAGTGTACGAGCACTACCAGTACAGTACACTAGCAGCTTGAGACAATCCCCGCCGTATCGTTCCGTACCGTATCTCGTCAGGTGCTGAGCATCGCATCCCGAGGTCCAAGAAGGAATAGTCTGTACGATACTATGAACCGGCTCTTTCTAGCCATTCCAGGCTCTTCCAAGCCTCTTTCCAAGCCTCCGCCCACGATATCAGGCATCGTCAAGCTGTCACCATCACCCCTCCCCGGCTCACAACAGGATCTTACCCTACCCTACAGTAGTAACCCATCGATCAGTAGTAGTAGTAGTAGTAGTAGTAGTAGTAGTGATTTGTCGGGAGCTGCACTCAGTCTCACAGGCTTCTTCTGCTGCCCAGGGCTCTATCTAAAGTTCTCATCCCAGCCAAGCCCGCCCCCAGCCAAAGCCAGAACAGCACCCCCATTATTTCCCCTCCTATCGAGCCTATCACCTCCTAGTATCCTATCCTCTGCCATCCACTTCCACCTCAAGTACCTACATGGACCTAGTCCTAGTCCTCCACTGTCGTGCCACTCCACTTACTCCAATCTATCTATCCTTAGCTTTTGACAAGAGAGCCTTGTGCTCCCACGCATATCGACCACTCTTCGTTCTCCTCCTCCTCCTCCTCCTCCTCCTCCTCCTCCTCGCCTCTTCCACTTCCACTTGTACAACCCAGAATCAGCTCTTACTCACCGTCTGACACCTCGCACTCGCTCTCGAAATCGCAATACATAACTCCTACCTCTCGACAATTTGTATAAATCAGCAGCCGTCCAAGTATTCCCGTCAGTGCACTCCCGCCGTCAACCCAATCTTACGTACTAGACCACCGTGCTGGGACGCCTCTCGGGTACAATCAGCTCGCAGAACGTCATTCTGACCCAGTTCGTACATCGACCACGCGACACCATACAGGATAAAGACAATCACATTGTTCACTTCCGAAGGACATCTCGAGTCCCGAGTCTCACGTCCTGATGCCACGGCCCATGCGCCGCATTCTTCGCCGCCATCTCCTCGCGGAATCCAAAAGCCCAGACAGGAATGCGCAATTGACCAGCGCCGAGCAATAATACGATTTGGGATCGAAAAAGGCACGCCTTTGCGAATCCCCTCAACTCCTCGCTCGTCCCCTCTGCGGAGGTAGACGGGCGTGGCAGCCACACCTTCCTCCTCCTCCGCCATGTCGATATACAGCTCGCCGCCGCCCGCGCGGGCGTTCCGCGACGACAAGGCCACGCTGCTGGTGTGCTGGTGGTGTACGATTTTCGCGGCGGTGATAATACTTTTCCGGGTCTGCGGGCGCTACATACGGACGGAGAAGCTGTTCAAAGAAGACTGGCTGGCTTTTGCGTGTATAATTCCGCTGTTTGGGCGCATGGCGCTGGTGCATGTCATCTTGCTGTACGGGACCAACAATGCGATCACGACGGAGTTGTCGGACGAACAGTTGCATCATAGATCGATCGGGAGCCGGCTGGTTCTGGTATCTAGGATCCTATATGCGGCGACGTAGGTTTTTTTTCCCCTTTCGCATGAAAATCAAAAATCAAAAAAAGGTTTGTTCAGGGTTCGGATGGCATGGCTGACTCGAGTTGTAGACTATGGATGCTTAAACTTACAATAACCGAGTTCTTCAAGCGACTCACGATTAATATTTGGACACGATCGCACGAGAGGATGTTACAGATCATCAGGTGGTTCCTTCTGCTCACCTTTTTTGCGACGGTCATTGCGGATCTGGCAGAGTGTCAACCTTTTACGCATTATTGGCAGGTTTCTCCTGATCCTGGTGGGAGATGTCGACAGGGATACGCCCAGCTTCTGACGATGGGGACGTGCGATATTATCACAGATATCCTTCTGGTCGTATTCCCCATCCCTATCATCATTCGATCGAAGATGGGACTCAAGAGGAAGATCCAGCTTGTGTTATTATTTTCGGCGTCTCTCCTCCCGGCCGGGACGACCATGTACAGGCTCCCAAATATTCTCGATCGACACGGCAGCCAGCAGTACCGGTCACTGTTAGCATCGGTTGAGATTTTATTTGCTACAGCGGTAGCCAACGCTCTGATCCTCGGATCGTTTGTCCGAGATAGAGGCGTGAAGAAACAGCGGTGGAAGTTCGGGTCCATGAGCGATAGCATCGAGCGGACCACGAGCAGGAGAGGAACCGTTATCCGGCATTGGGGAAGTGATGAAGATCTAGTCAGAGATCTAGGCATGGGAGTAGATCCGGAACTACGAGGCGCAACACCAACACCTCGACCGGCTCCCATGGCCATTGCTGGAAATGTGCCTGTCAAAGCACATAAACTTGTAGGGAGGGATTGGCAGTTCCCTGGAGAGAGGAGCGACACGAGCGATGAGATTGACTTCATGAAGACTGGGGAACCGCACAGCCCAGGAGACGTATCATCGATTATCACACCTCGGAAAGTCTCGTTTTTCGATGTAGGCGGACTGCTGGAAGACGATTTACCGAGACGAGGGAGCTCGACGAGAACGACGGACACGGATGGAGAGAGTTCCATGTTCGGACCTCTTTCCACAACATGGTCTCACGATCAAGGCCTGTCCCCTGCACCACAGCGGAGAGGCTCCTCGGCTCTCCTTCAGGATATAGGAGGATTACTGGGGCCACGAAGGGAACGGGATAGGAATTCAGCAGCGAGGGGTTATGAGCTGCAGACAATCCTACAAGAACAATCGCCGCACCTCCAGCCCGTCAATCTGACACGGCAGCAAACGAATCATTCGCTGCAAGATGTCGGTGGTCTTCTGAAGTAGAAGCAATGCGGAATGAGACGAGGGCAGAATTGAGTAGTGGCGGAGCGGGAAAAGCGAAATGATATCACGAAGATACATGTGTACTAATTATTACCTCTTGTTTTTCGAATTTATTAGCGGGTCGGTCTGGTCTGGGCTGGGCTGGCAAAGGATATGTATGGGAGCGCATGAAACCCCAATGACTGCACGACCTGACTGACATCTACATTACTGGGCGAGGAGTTCAAGGCGTCAGGGTCGGCAAGGACACATTTTTGTGATGGATATATCACGATGTGTTGGTTATTATTGGGGTACGAATATGGGTTGGATTTCTTGTTCTTTGGGGGTAGATATGATGATTGGATGGGGGATGAGAGAAGACGTGATGGGACGATATGAGATGAGATGAGTTGAAGTGAAGTGAAGTGTTATATACCACGGCGATTATTGCATCGCTACCTGTTTATCGTTCTAGGTCGTAGGATGTGTGAGAGAGGAGAAAGGAAGATAGATTCCCGAATGACAAGAATATCTCTAGCTCAACGTGATTTAATGGATTCAGGTGATGCGCCCAGATATTTGCTTGACGATAGACTATCCCATGAGGCACACTGGTTCTCAAGACCTGTGCTTTGGGGAAGAAGGCATGTCCACTCCTCCACTGTGTGGTAGTAACTTTACAGCTGTCAAATAATTCTAATCGCTGTCAACTGACTGCTCGCTGGCTGTCTATGAACCACTCAGCACTTGAGTTACAACTTTAGCGATTGCTCCAAGGTACGGTTTACACCCTTGGATCAGATGGCTCATACTCCCCAACATGCCGTATCCAGTTGAGTCACTAATCACCGCATTTTGTCTTCCCCATGCTGTTTCAACCACTCTTCATTGGTGAGACTCCCTTGACTCGTTTGCGCCAACCCCGCCATACGCTTGGAGAACCCCGCCAAAGGAGATGGCAAACCAATTGCGAATGACAGCACGTCGGCGATTGGAACCCTAGTATATAAAACCAGTGTCGCAAAGGACAGTAAAGAAGGTTTACCTTAGCCATAGATGAACAAGAAAATACCTCAACTTCCACAGCGGCCAGCCCCTTTCAGCACGCAACGTACACTCAATCTGCCGCTAATCGCAAAGCTTGGCTGAGCCTAAATCTTTCTTTAGAGTCACTAGCAGCAGCCTTGACCCTCTACGGCACAGCATCCGCATCTTCTCCACCACAGCCTCTTTCACTGCCTTGATCCAGAATCCAACAAAAACACGATCCAGCTGTCCTCGTTCGCTGCCACATGCGATGTCTGTTCTATTCGATCCAAGAGATCGAATTGTCGCGTTTCGCAACATTACTCATTCTTTTCAACAACATTAAACATCCTCATCCCACACCTTCGTTAATACGACATTGATTGCCTTCAGCCTGTCTGTCCTTCACCGAGTATAAAGCAGCCAATCTACCGCGCCACACCATACAGTCACTCCAGAGACCACCTACTTCTAAAGGCCGAGCCTGGCAACAATTGATCCATTAGATTATACACAATGGCAGACGCAGAACCACAATTCACGTCTCTGCAGGCGCGCATCGCAGCCTTGAACCAGCAGAGCAATGGGAGACCTATCAACCCAGCACCAACAGGGAAGAGGCCTCCTCCACCACCACCACCCGACAGACCAAACCTTCCTACAAGACACACAGTCAACAATCCTCCCATCTCAACCTACGGATCCTCAGTTACGAAACAAGCCAACAATCAACCTATTGGTGCTCGTGGCCAAGCTCTGCTCCCACCTCCTCCAGTCGATCGAGATCAAGCACAAACTCCCACGCCTTCAATGACGAAATCACCTCCATTACCTTCTCGGAATGGCCCACCTTCTCTTCCCACACGCAAGGCATCGCAGCCCTCTCCAGCTCTGCCACCAAGAAAATCGTCCACCCAGTTAGTGCCAAGTACGCAGATGGTCAGGCGAGGTTCGAATTCGTCCACAATATCACACAGTTCCACTATCTCGGGCATATCTCTAGGATATGGAAGTTCCTTGACGAGCGTTTCGTCTGGGGAAGCAGGCAGGAAATTGCCTCCGGCACTGGGCGAAGCAAAATTACCGCCTCTGCCGCCGACGAGGAGGGAGGTGGAGGAGAATAATAGAATTGCAAAAGAGAGGGAAGCCGAGGAGAAGGCAAGGATCGCAGAAGAGAAGGCGAGGCAGAAGGAGGCGGATGCGAAAAAGCTTGAGAAAGTTCCTAGTGTGACTGCGAGGGCTACGCCTGCAGTCCCCATTCGCCCATATCAGATCACTGCGAAGTCGATCCCCACACTACCAACACGGGATACTCAACTCACGGAGAGAGATCCAGCTCCAAAGATGCCGCCTAGGCCTAGTGTCCCATCGAGAGTACCTTCCAGGCCAAAAAGTAGCAACTGTCAGGTTGAAGAAGCTCCACCTCAGCCAGTTAGAAGACTACCTCCCCCCTCTCAGGCAACGAAATCGATTCTACATATGGGATTTGGGAACAAGCAAAAAGAGACGCCAAACCCGGCACCGACTCCAGCACCCACTTTACCCACTTCTCGTCCAGGCCCTGCGGTCCAAGAACTGGACGAAAGTAATTTCGACCAAGCTATCAGGGGGAAATGGGCCCTGGTCGAATTCTACTCCCCATATTGCCAAAACTGCACAGAACTCGAGCCGATATACAAGGAACTCGGGCAAGCCTTTGCCTTTGCCTCGGACCGTTTGCTGATTGCCAAAGCGGACGCCAAAAAGTACCCGCGCCTCATATACAACTATCGTTTTGAAATGTTCCCGGGAGTATTCTTGATCGACCAGCGTGGAAAGTCCGAGAAATACCCCGGCGAGCGTGATTTGGACGAGTTGACGCAGTTCGTCGAGGAGAAAACTGGCATCAAAATTTCAGATGGGACGAAGATGCCAAGTACTGTCCCTCCACCTATCAAAATGAGTTCCAAGCCGTCTGCGAAGGATGTTCAAGCTGTGCAGGCTAGGGTGGCTGCTCTTCCATCTGGATGTCTGCAATGTAGAGACTTTTCCGAACCTGACAATGTGGCGGCGCAATACCCACGACATTCACTGCCTCACACTCATGATCTCACGGGATATCTGGCTGATGTCCTCTGCACGCCATTCTCCTCGGCGACGGACAAGGCTCGGGCTATCTTTACTTGGTTGCATCACAATATTGCATACGATGTAGACGCCTTCTTCGGGAATCGCGTCAAGCACGTTGAACCAAAAGATACTATCACAACTGGTTTGGCTGTGTGTGGAGGCTATGCTGGCCTATTCTCTGCCATTGCACTCAAGGCAGGACTTGAGGCTGTCATGGTAACAGGTCACGGAAAAGGATTCGGATACAAGCCTACACCACCTGGTGAGGCGCCTCCTCCACGGGACCCATCGGGCCACGCCTGGAACGCAGTACGAATCGACGGCGGCGAATGGAAACTCCTAGATCCATGCTGGGGAGCAGGAAACGTCAGCGGCTCATCCTACAACAAACACTTCACGCCAAGCCAATTCACAATGCCCAACGAAGCATTCGGGCTAAAGCACTTCCCCCAAGACGACGCCTACTTCTTCCGCGCCGACCGCAGCATCCCCACCTGGGAAGAATACATGCTCGGGCCCTGCGGCGAGGAGCCCGTCCAAATCTTTGGCGACGCAGAGACCAAGAACGCCGTCGACATTACGTCCTTCTCGCCGCCTCAGCGCCGCATCAAAGTCAACAGCAACGAAACCATCCGCTTCCAGTTCTCCAAGACCTGCGAGCACTGGGACGACAACAATAACCCGCTTGGCAAGCCGTATGTCATGATTATCAACATCAAGGGGCAGGATGGTCGCAAGGAGGATTATGTCCCGTTTGAGAAGAACGAGTTTTGGTATTGGGCGGATGTCAAGGCGAGGGATTTGGGGGCACCCGGGCAAACGATTGGGGTGTTCTCGGTTAATTTTGTGGAGGGGAGGGATGCGAGGGGGTTGAGTACGAAGGAGTATTTGAGGAAGAAGGGGAAGGTTGCTATGGGTCCTTTTGGAGGGATTTGTAGTTGGGATTTGGTGTGAGGGGTTCGTGTGTGAAAAAAGCTGTGACGTGCTTCAAATTTTATCAATGATATACGACCTGGTCGTAGCTTGTGGGCGGATGGCTTAAGGAACGGCAGATGATGATGATGAACGTCTTTTGCTTTCGATTGGGATGGAGGATGGAGGATGGCGTTCAAAAATTGGAGGAATGGTTGGGAACTACAGTGGAAGGATACCCCTTGTTTGAATGACTGAATAGGCACTGTCTATAGGCAACAGAGTAATGACAGACAGATAATTAGTAATTGACAGATGTTTCCGCTGCTTTTTGCATTGTTCTTTCAAGAGCGGTATTCAAATGCAATACGATTGCACTAATCACAGTTCTGGCCTCGGACGCCGAGCCTCGCTTATGGATAACAACAATCCTAAGTCACGCTCTGTGAAATATGCTCGATCCTCGATCGCGGGACCTTGTAATTGCCTGCATTTGGGGTCAGAAATCTCAATCCGCTCGAAAGTATTGGGATGCTTTTCCATTGATATATCTCTATTTCTCTTGAGCAGGCAGGAACAACAGCTTGGAAACCATATCCCAGGTCTACACTGTCGCCTGATATTCTATCCCCAAAACCAATCAATCAAATCGTATTGTCGAGCATGCACGCATACCTCGGAATTTCCATTTCAAACAAGATGCATCCCCTCCCTACCCAGCCCACGTTCTTCAGGGCTTTAATATTCATACCATAAGCATCCCAAAGACAAGTATCCACTTCCTGATCACTACCCCCGCCCCCCGCCTCGACCCCCCCGCTTGACTCTTCTTCCCCATCCCAGACGCAGGCACAGACGGAGTACCCAAAACCGTCGCATCTCCAGCAGCAGTAGTAGTAGCAGTCGTCACCGTCCTGACCGTCTCCGCAAAAGTAGTTCCCGCAACAGTACTCCCCTGAACCACCACCAGCACAGTCCTAGTCTCTATCTCCGTCACCGCAATAGTCGACCCCTCCACCACCGTCGGCAACAGGATCGTCTCCCGCACAAGCGAAAATGTGCTCCATGGCAAGACCGTGCTTCCATCTCTGGTGGCCCCAGGAATAGTCGTCACATACATTATTGTTATCTCTCTTCCCAGCGAACTAGCAGGAATAGCGGAGCCGACGCCCGTACCTGTGAATGGGGTTGGGAGCGGTGGTAAGGTCGCGAGATTGGGTTTGCTGCTACCGTCTTCGTCTTCCTCTTCGCTGGAGTAGGGGTAGGAGTAGGAGTATATATTCCCAGTCTGGCCGTTAGAGAGTGTGTATTCTCCCGTTTGGAGGTTTGCGGTACTGTTGTTGTTGGGGGATGTATATGTGCCTGTTGCGACGGTGCCGTAGCTGCCGTCGGGGAGGAAGTAGTTTGTTGTGAATCTGTCGTAGCAGAAGGGGATGTGGGTGGTGCTCATTAGGAGGCAGGAGAGGAGGACGTTGCAGCAGAGTGAGGGGGAAGATGATGAGGGTTGTGATGAAGAGGAGATGTCGTGATTGGTGCGTTTGTTGTTGTTTGAGGGGAGGGAGGATTGTATGATGTTGATGAAGAGGGTTTGGAATTCGGGAGTGAGGATTTGCGGGGTGGTTGTGGATGTTGCGCCGGGGGGAGAGCAGAGTGAGTAACCTTCTGCGCAGTCGCGTGATGCTTTTGTTGATGAGAGGAAGAGGAGGCTGAGGAGGGGAAAGTATCGGAGAAGCATATTTGCTTATTTTGAAGAGAACAGAGTCCTTTTGGCTGAGGATATACCGGATACTTCGTGTTTGCGATTAGCGTGTAAAGGAAATAATCAGTTCAGAGCTCTTGCGATTTCGCCAGCGAGGGTGAGTGATGTGAGAACAAGATGTCACCACTTGTCAGAACAATATGCGAAGATTATAATGGTGTAATGATTCAGATATTACTCAAAACAAGAAGTACTGTTGAGACCAGCCTTGAAAGTGGAATATCCAACGTGTGTGACGAGGGACTGGTGTGTGGAACGGGAGGCCGCATATTTGGTGTACAACACTAACGGGCTCATACGACAGATCCCGAAACAACAAGTGAGAAAGTGACTGGTTGAATGAGCAAGCATGAGCATATCAGTAGGTGACCACTAGTGCTGGCAAGCAAAAGGAAGAAAATCATCACGATCAACGCAAAGCGGGGCAAGGACTTGGAAATCATGTACTTAAAGTTGTATTGCAAGGTAAAGAGAGAGGAAGAGGCAAAAAGTGGCCCCAGAGTCATCTCGAGGAAAGATATATGTTTTGCTCGACAGATAAAGAGTTTAGAACGTGGCAATAAAATTTGAGGAGGATAAAAGCTCAGGTGTTAAAGCAGACGTTATTTGAAATAACCGGCATCAAGCATTAAAATTTGAAATGAGAAAAAGAACAAGCAGAGAATAGAGCGGTACGAATGTAGATCAGTGCACTACAAAGGTCTAGACTACACTTAACGAGGAAGGGGAAATACATAAGCATGGACTGGAAGTCAGAACAATATGCGACTCAGCAGCCGAAGGGCGAAGGGCTTCTCCTTTGGGCCTACATGTACGAACCTGTATGGCCTCTCAGGTTTTCGTTCCAGCATCCTAAGTCGGTAATTTCTGACCACATATTACATATAATATGGGAAATCATGCTAAGAAGTTAATGTTATTATTGCTAGACGATTTGCGCATGCGATCTAGTGATCAAGGCTGGTTTGTCTCGAGAAGCGGATGTGATGTGGAATATGCCAAATGTTGTTGATGGCCTGGGACGACATACGGCTCGGCTTGCCTCTTCGATACTTCACACATCTCAAGGCTGGAAACTCTTTCACTCTTTCTTTCTGTCGTGCCTTGCCCCGAAGCTGCTCGTCGCGGCACGAAAGGGGGCGACTCGTGATGTAAGCAAGGGTTTCAAGCTGTCCAATTCGACTCGAATGGGGTATGCGAACGACCGGTTTTTCCTGGACGTTATATGGCAATTACGTCATTACAACAAGTGTGTTTTTAATTATCGATACCTTTGTCTGGATGCTCCAGGAACACGAAATAATCAGGCCGGCCACCGACTACTTCCCTCTTGTTTTACCTTATGTTGGATATCCGGAAATAGAGTCTCGCTTGGGTAAACAAGCATTGTTGAGCCTGGCCGCTAAACTCCATTCTGATCTCACCACGCCGCCTGCGCCTCCATGCCTGGCGCGGTGACGCTGACGCCCCCTCAAGAGGCTACGTCTGCCTGCCCGCCTCGTATCATTCTCACTCTCTCTTTGTCTCCGTCAAAACAACACTTCTCCCACAATCAACAACTTGGGAGACATCGCATCTATCGACTATCTTAACCTTCCCGTCACTCCTTCAACAAAGCAACAAAATGAACGTCGCCGGATCCCTCGTCCGTCGAGGACTCGATGCTCACGCCGAGCATGGCAACAAGATCAACATCCCAACATGGGGAGCTGTCATGCTCGCCTCGACTCTTGTTGTATTCGCAGTAGCCATGTTCTCGGTAAGTCCACCGCTTCGACTGTTCGGAATTAAGCTAATATTCGCAGATTGAATACACTTTCGGTCGTCTGATCCCCACGCTCGTTATGATCGAATCCCCACAAGACTCCATCTCTTTCGAGCCTCTCCCAACCGAAGATATCGACTCTACCATCAACAAAGACCCAGAGCAGCCTCCAAAGCCACAGCTCATCACCTCGAGCTTCCGCCGAACCCTCAGACATCTCGGTGGATTCAGCGCTCGATTCCGCGGCTTGGGCATCTTCATTGTAAACACTCTTGCCGTACAATGGATTGCCGGAATACTCGCCGTTCTGCCCATCATCAACCTCCTCCCAAGAGGATTCGCAAACGTTGTAGCACTCGTCCTCTGTGCGCAACTCTCTCTTACCTGGACACACATTGTTATTTCTCAACCAAGCCCAAAGACATGGTTCCGTCGTCTGGCACCAGCGAAGATGTGGAAGAAGGTTGCGATCCCAACTGCGATCTTCGCTCTCGCTGAGCAGGTTGCTGTCTACATCCCAATTTACATGAGCATTCTTGCAGGTCTTGTCGACAAGGATGCTAAGGAGATCGTCGATATGAAACCAAGCCAGAAGACTGCCATGACCTTCAAGGCATTCGGTATTCTCTGCTTCGGCCTCGTCCTCACCTTCTTGGTCGTCATCCCAGCCAACGTCATGTTGACCCGAGTCCAAGCTTCGCTTCTCGTCGATACCGAGGAGACGATCGTTCCATTCGACCGTAGTTTTGGTGGAAAGGTCATTCCGGAGATTGTTGGCGGAAGTGGTAGGATTGGCATGCTTGATGCATGGAAGACTTTCGATGGAGCTGCCCGCATTAGACTCATCAAGGCGTACCTCAAAGTCGTTGGCATGCAGTTGGCGGTCTCTTTCTTGTTCACCATGTGTCTTGTCAGCCAGGTTTTCATTATTGCAGGAAATGACTGGTCGAAGTTGATCCCTGAGGATGGAAACAAGAACTAAGCTGTTTGTGAAGGCGAGACTTGGTATGTGCTCGCAGTCTTTGTCGACGAAGGCTGTGGAATGGAATTGTAAAATTGGTTTATGGTCACAGGAAGGGATGGGATTTCATTTGTTACAGGTATCTGGGGCTCGGTGATTTGGATTGGGCGGGCGTCTATTTAAATACACTCAGGTTTCTACAGCACAATGTAGCATTGCAGCTCAAACACATTTTGGCTCATATTGTCCTACGATTTTCATCTTCATATATGGCTTCTAATTTCCATTTTGGAAATCTCGGCAGTGACTTCGCCCAAATATGAACCATCGTCCATGAGTTGGTGGACACTTGTGGCTCAAATGACATCTTCCGAATTGTCAAAGTCACGGTATTGTCTTCTTTTTTTTCAATATCTAGCATGTTCTTGAGGAAAGAAAGGTCGTGCGTTCACAGCTAGGGATACGCTCTTGGCATTGGGTCGGAGGTGGAAAGACGCTGGGTACCAATTAGCAGCCCCAATCTTCTGATGCACATATTGTTGGGAGGTTCATCAGACATTGCAGCGAAAGGCAGTAAAGCATCCGAGGAGGATTGGCGCCTCAGTAGCAAAGAATCCAAAAATAATGAACTCTGGAGTATTTGAAGGCGGACCGATATGTGCAAGAAGAAAGAAGCTTAGGTCGGAGAGCCTCATTAATGGTCTTCAGCGGAAACCTGGCAAGACAGGAGTTCGGTCCCGAGCCTTCGGACGGAACTCTCATTGGTTTCAGAGCATACATTTTGACACTTTCCTAGGACACCGGACTTAATGTCGGACAACAGAGTTCGACAGAGACAAGGAATTTCCCGTCACAGCTAACCGAGGTCAGGAACGACATACGCATTCGACTCCACCGTGCAAACACCAGTTCATCAGAAGGGAGGCTGTGCTGGCTTGGCTGCGTGAAATCCGGCGACTGGGTGATGCTTCCCGTCGATTAGATCCCGCTCGTTAAGTGGAATACTTTATCAGATATGTCAGTCACCCCTGTTGCCAGGTATACAACGCCAACCTTCAACACCCTGTAGTCAAGAACTACATATTTTCTGGGTACCCACTTCTCGACTATTTCTGTGCCGCGTATTCACGTCGCGTCTCCTCAAATTTGACAAAGGCATTGATCTGTTGACTCCATCCCAAGAAGGAATATGGGACTATGCTCGTTGCTAAGTTGTATTGGTTCAGCCAAAGCGTCCCCATGATGGGATATCCTGTGGGTTGTTTCCCCCCTTCCCATCTCCCTTTCGCCCACGGTCGAACAGCCTGGATAGGAGATGATCTTCCTGGTAGTCTTGGCCATGTACCAAGGACCAGAAGACGGTTGAGGGACAGGCAAAGCTTGATATCTATCCGTTGTACTTGTAGATGGGAATCCCCCTCATTCTACTTTTTTCTTGCTTTCCTTTTTTCCTACGCACACATTCATTCATTTTGAGTTTTCAATTGCTGCTATCACAAGCATTTTTCACAATGGCGTTTTCTGCTAAATATACTCCTCGGCCTATCACCGACATCTTCACCAGCGATACAGACATCAATCGACGAGAATGCCGTCGAACAGTCCCCATGAAGGTTCTCATTCTCGGTCTGGGACGCACAGGAACAGCTTGTTAGTCTCCCTCTCAACAGTCCTCGCTTAGCCCTCATCCCATCTAACATCGATCTCACAGCAATGCGGACCGCCATGAAGGAACTCGGATATGTCGACACCTACCACATGATGAACTGTTCGATCGAAAATCCCCCCGACGCTCTAATGTGGATGGACGCTCTTGCCGCCAAATACGACGGAGTCGGAGCGCCCTTCACTCGCGCCGACTGGGACCAGCTGCTAGGAAACTGCCAAGCAGTATGCGATTGGCCGGCCGTTGCATTCGCAAGGGAGCTCATCGAGGCGTATCCAGATGCCAAAGTCATCCTCACGAATCGCGACGTCGATTCCTGGCACGCGTCTACCATGCGGACGGTCTTCTGGCGAGTTACAGACCCCGAGTTGAGGTGCCTGCAGTACTTTAGCTGGGCGGCGGGCATGTACTACCCTATGCTTAAGAAGTTCTTTGATACGTTTTTCAGAGGGGATTTTGAGAATTGCGGCAAGGAGGTTTTCATCAATCATTATAATGAGGTTAGGAGTTTGGTGCCAAAGGAGAATCTGCTGGAGTTTAGAGTCCAGGATGGGTGGGAACCGCTGTGTAAGTTCTTGGAGCAGCCGATCCCGATGGGATGCAAGTTTCCCAATACCAACGACAACCGAGACTTCGTGGCTAGATCGAGAAGGAGGAATAGGATGCAGATGCTCAACGTGGGAGTCAGGTTCTTGGAGATCGCCATGTTGGTTGCCATTTGTGCATTCCTTGTTTCCGTGTTGTGGCGACTATGAGAGTTTTTGATTCGTACTCAGCATGCATCTTGGAGGCTTGGCTGTAGAGAGTGTTCTTGTTCATCGATATATTTATTACCTTAGACGGCTCGAATACGGCCATATCATTTCATATCATTATGTACTTTGGGGGTCAGGATATCGTGGAGAGAGGAGTTCTGGGATATCAAAATGTCAAGACCGTACTTCACTAATTCCAATTGGCTCGGATAAAACATGCCTTGGTATTGAATCGGTATGCTTCTCATGTTGCGGCATAGTCTTGGCGTCGGGGTCGGACACAGAATGTTATGTTTGCCAATGCTTGTCATTGAAGTACGCGTCATAATGATATGCACTCACACCCCACCTTTCAAACTCTCCTCGTTCGTTTGGCCAACCATGCATGCGTTTGGGTGTGTTTGTATATCGGTATTCGGCTCGCGTCCCGAATTGTTTGCAAGAGGATGATGTTAGCATCGGGTAAGAACTTCTTGCTGACCGAGGTACAGGAGGTGGCTTGAAACCCCACTAACCAATGCAGAGTTTCCTAGATCAGTCAAGATCAGATGAGCTGAAGTCAAATATATTGCTAGTAGAGATGCCTACGCTTGGCCTTTTGTTGTGCGAATTGGGTTTCCTCCATAATCGCCAAGATGCCAAAGCCTCCCTGAATCCCGCGCCGAGTCCTGTCAAACCACAAAGTCCAATCAGCATTGTGAGCCAGCCAGTCTTGCTCTCCTGTATTTGAAAAGGTGCCAAAATTCAAGCCTGCAAGATATTAGCATAAATAGAAGCTGGCCATGAGGGGAAACTTCAGATTCTTTATCATTGACATTTGGGCTTTCTGAGACTTGCAACTTCAACAACGCAACCTCAACCGCATTATCGTATCCGAAGTAAATATGCGTTGTTTAAAAGCCACCACGTAACTGAACAACCAATATCTGGACCGGATGTCGGCTAGCCTTGCCAACACGTTTATAGTGTCGGTAGAGTAGAATATGCTTGCATTGAAAGCGCTCACCAGCCCGTGGTGAGTTATAAAGAGCTTTCGGTTGTGCAAGTATTCGGCGAAAGGCGCCATAGTGCCGAAGCCCAGGAAGGCGTTGCTGTTTGGTAGAGTCTAGAAGGATCTTGAAGATATGTCTTTGATATTGTGAGTGTTGACATACTTTGTAACGAGTTCTGCCGTCATGCATTGTTTCACTGCTTTGTATGCCGTGTTTTGGACTGTTTACTCGTACATTGTTTCTTTCAACTTGATGACCAGTTGAAGAGTCCCAGATGAAGGCTTTGGTCTTTCAGACCTGATAGCCACGGCATAAAGATGCTGAAGGAAAGGCGAGTGAAGTTCGGCGTTAGCCCCCACAGGAAAACACTCATCTGCGATCCCATTCGGGGACGTTTTGACCCTGAAAGATACCCGGAATTGTTCGCCCATGATGTACCAAGACTTCCATGGAGGAGCTCGCTGTTAATGAGTATAGATACAAATCAAAGAAGGAGGCGCCAAGAGGACTTCATATCGGCTGCATCTGGATTCGCAATCCCATCTTCACCCTCACTTCAACACTTTTCTTCGCTTGCCACCCATGGCATGGAAATGCTAGATATTTACATCTTACTTGAAGCTTACATCCTGTGGTGCTTCGCTGATCTCTGGACAATCTCCTTCTCAACACGAAAGATTCCTATCTTCCTAGGCGCAGGCAAACCCCTTCCCGTTTCCTTCACTGATAGTCCGCGTATACCAGCCACCACAGTCAAAGATAAGAGAGGAAGCTCTTGGAGTCTCATGCGCTGTAAGATTCTCAACTTATAAAATCATAGTGTTCGAGGTAACCCTGGCTTGCCAGCAAATGTGGGGCCTGCACGGATTTGTTTGCTGTGCCTGCCTGAAAACAAGCTATCAATCCCTCGTGCAGACTTTGAGAATATCGAAGACAGGCTTCGACATGGAAAGATGCATCAAGAGCAATCAGGCGACGAGTTTGCAGTGTGCATTAGGTGTGTTGCAAGAGATCAAGTTCTGTGGAAGAAATTGGCGAGTAAGAGCAGGCACTTCTCCAACCTTATATTCACTCCTTGGTCTACCGCTGCGGAGATCGTCCTTTCCTTTTGAACACAAATAAAAGAGAAAAGTTGATGCCTAATCTTCTGACGCTAACGGTGCTCGCGTAGGCGATAGCAGAGAGATATAAAGTCTCGCCCTCACCTGGCGTTGACTGATTCTTCTTCAACCTCACAACACCTCAGCACAACACAAAGTGCAGTCGATCTGTACTCACAACACCCGCATCGTGTAAGATACTTTCTCTTCTGTCCTTTTCCATTCATCACGTCGCGTTTGAATTTGTTCACGTAGGTTGCGGGGGCAGCATTTTCACTAACAGTTCACCTTCGCTCCTCGCGTTGCATTATGCGTATATGCCAGAACCTCATCCTTGCTGACATCCAACTTAGATCAGGGGCAACCTCAGTACCAAAATACCAAACCACAATTCAAGATGCCAGCCGTCAAGGGTCAGTGGACCAGTGAGGAGAACGTGAGTCTTTCAGTCCCAAGCACTAGAATTTTACTGATCGCCAAAATCAACAGTACTCCTTGCTCTTCCAGATGGTCCAGCAACTCATGGGAGAAGGCAAGAACCCGGTGAAGTTCGACAAGATAAACATCCCCGGTCGCACTCCGAGAGCTTCAAAGGAGCACTACGCTCAGTTGAAGAACGAAGTCCAGAACCTTAACATCCAACAACAAGGTGCCGCCAGCACTCCTCAAGCTCGCACTCCACGTGGATCTGCTGTCAAGAAGGTCAAAGCTGAGGAAAAGTCAACTACCAAGATGGCTACTCCTTCGAAGAGAAAGACCGGTGATGATAGTGGCATGAGTGAGTTATTCATTCCAGTTCAACAGATAGCAGCTGACAAATTTCGGGAGTGGATACGACCCCCAGCAATCCCAAGCGCAGAAAATCCCCGGTCAAGAAGGAAGTCGTCAAGGAGGAAGATGTAGAGGCTGAGGACTCGGAGGACATGCCCGTTCTTCACGACAGCAGTGGTGGTGATGCTGAATCTGATTCAGCTGAATCCTATCATAGTTACGATTACTATACCTAAGTATGTCATCTGATGGAACTTGTGAGTCTCGATGATCGTGCTGTTCGCTTTTATGAGCTGACATCCGGGTTTAGCTCATTTCTCGGTCTGCCAGCTTGTCTCGTGGTCAGATTACTGGATGCTCGAGCTTTTGCACCAAATATCAGACTCAGGATGACAGAGGAAGTCAAGCAAAGAGATTTTATCTGTGGTTTTTCGTTTTCGTTGGTTCGTTGTCAGCAGAATTTTTTTTCGGTCTTTTGACCTTCAAGCATAGTTGGAGACCTGGAAGGGAGGCGGAGTTTCTGTTGCTGTTTGCGCAGTACATCTGGTGAGGCGATGAGCCCTAGATCTCTAATACCTGGTCATTTCAATGGGAATATGACACTCGTAGAAAACCACTCGTTGGTATCATAAGAGTGATGTGATGTGATGATTCCTTATCGTACATGATATTGATGCTGTTGATGTTTCTCGCTTGGCTGACTCAAGTGCCTAGTTCACTTCGGCCCGTCTTCAGCTCCGGATTTGAAACCCCTGCACCTGAACCTGTGCATGCTCTGCAACTGTCTTTGCGCCGCATCAACTGCAGTGTTATTTCACTGCATTCATTCATTGACATCCTACCTTAAACCTATTTCTCCTCCAGTGTAACCGTGCCAATCTACGGTTGCATCTATCCAAGTGTCCCGACCTACGAGACTTGATCCAGTCCTCCTCCAGTCAACTTCCCGTCAGCGTCCTACCTTGATAGCCTCGTTTTCTCTGCCTCCCCTCCTCTGTCCTACGACCACCTACGCTCCTTTCCGCTTTATTAACCAATCCCCTACGGCTCTGCTGGATGCAGAGAGTCGCCTGCCTGGGATCGAGACACCACTCATTGACGTGCATCTCCCGAACCGCAACCAAAGCACCAGCAAGCCTTGCTGCGAACATTCTTCTACATCCTAGGCATTCCTCTGCAAGCACAAAGAGCCGACCATCGTTGAACTTCTCTTCCATCATCAAAACCACCCACTCGTCTAGAATGTCTACTGGAATTGGTACCAATGGCTCTTTGCGCGCAAAACGAAAGCAGCACCCTGGTACTATCGCCGAGAGACCGCAGAAACAGCATCGGGCAATAAATGGCAAGGAGTCAGCGGGGGAGAATACACCAGAGGTCTACGAAGACGAGACCATGGAGATAGAGGAGACAAGAATCCTTCCTGGCTTGGCCGACACAGCAGAATGGCAAGCCTGTGTGGAGAAGGTTGTGAGGAACGTAGTGTCGATACGTTTCTGTCAAACATGTTCCTTTGACACGGACCCAGCCCTCACCAGTGAAGCTACGGGATTCGTTGTCGATGCAGAGAGAGGGTAATACACATAATTCGTTGGAGAGCATCTGCTGACATTTATAGCTATATTATGACAAATCGGCATGTCGTTGGAGCTGGACCTTTCTGGGGATATTGTATCTTCGACAACCATGAAGAAGTTGACGCCTACCCTGTGTACCGCGACCCCGTTCACGACTTCGGTATTCTACGATTCGATCCGAAAGCCATTAAATATATGCCTGTTGCCGCCTTGACCTTGCGACCAGACCTTGCGAAAGTTGGATCCGAGATCCGAGTCGTGGGTAATGATGCCGGAGAGAAATTGAGTATCCTGTCAGGAGTCATCAGTCGGTTGGACCGAAATGCGCCCGAGTACGGCGACGGATACTGCGACTTCAACACAAATTATATCCAGGCTGCCGCTGCTGCAAGCGGGGGAAGTTCTGGAAGTCCCGTTGTCAACATTGATGGGTATGCTGTGGCCTTACAAGCTGGTGGAAGAAGTGATGGTGCAGCTACTGATTATTTTCTGCCCTTGGATCGACCATTAAGAGCGTTGAAATGTATCCAGGAAGGAAAGCCGATTTCCAGAGGAACAATACAGTGTCAGTGGATGATCAAGCCATTTGATGAATGCCGAAGACTAGGGTTATCGCCTGAGTGGGAGAGCGCAATTCGAAAGGGCTTCCCCAAAGAGACCGGATTGCTGGTGGCTGAGATCGTCCTACCAGAAGGACCCTCTGACCACAAGATTGAGGAGGGCGACGTTCTGATCAAGGTCAATGGCGAATTGCTCACCCAATTCATTAGACTGGACGATATCTTGGACTCGAGTGTCGATCAAAAGGTCAAATTGCTTCTACAAAGGGGCGGTGAAGACGTCGAGGTAGAGGTCACAGTTGGCGATTTACATGCTATCACCCCTGATCGATTTGTCTCTGTCGCAGGAGCCAGCTTCCACAATCTGTCCTACCAACAGGCACGACTCTATGCCGTTGCTTGTAAAGGCGTATTTGTTTGTGAAGCAACTGGATCATTTAGGTTCGAGAGCACCGACAACGGATGGATCATACAAACTGTCGACCACAAGAAGACCCCTGATCTGGATTCATTTATCGAGGTCATGAAGGGCATTCCGGATCGGTCACGAGTAGTTGTCACCTACAAGCACCTTCGAGATCTCCACACACTGAACACCAGCATCCTTCACATCGATCGACATTGGTCTAGCAAAATGAGAATGGCCGTCAGGAATGATGAGACCGGACTCTGGGACTTCACCGATCTCGCCGATGCCCTCCCTCGAATCCCTCCCGTCCCTCGATCTGCTAGTTTCATTCAGCTGGAAAATCCACAACATCCTGCAGCTGCAGAAATTGTTCGCAGCTTTGTCCGAGTCCTGTGTACTATGCCTGTGAAGTTGGATGGCTTCCCACGGAATAGGAAATGGGGCATGGGTGTCGTGATTGATGCAGAGAAGGGTTTGGTTGTCATATCTAGAGCCATTGTACCTTATGATCTCTGTGATATCTCCATTACCATTGCAGATTCAATCATTGTCGAAGGCAAGGTTGTGTTCATGCACCCTCTCCAGAATTACGCAATCATCAAGTATGACCCTTCACTCGTGGATGCCCCTGTTCAAAGTGCAAAGTTGAGCACCAAACAAGTCACTCAAGGTGCATCGACTTATTTCGTCGGCTTCAACCAGAATATGCGCATCGTCATTGCCCAAACTACCATCACCGATATCACCGCCGTTGCGATCCCTGCGAACGCCTCAGCACCCAGATACCGAGCCGTCAACGTTGATGCTATCACTGTTGATACAAGCTTGAGTGGCCAATGCGGAAGTGGTGTACTTGTTGGCGAGGATGGAACAGTTCAAGCTCTCTGGCTCACTTACCTCGGCGAGAGATCACCGGTTACCTCCAAGGACACTGACTATCATCTCGGCTTGGCCACACCCACTCTCCTCCCTGTTATCAAGCAGATTCAGCGTGGCGAGCACCCAAAACTGCGCATGCTTAGCGTCGAGTTCAATGCTATCCAGATGAGTCAGGCTCGCATCATGGGTGTCTCGGAGGAATGGATCAAGAAGGTGTCCGATGACAACTCGTCCCGTCATCAACTCTTCATGATTCGGAAACGAACTTTCGAGAGAGGAGACGAAACTGCAGCCCTGCTTGAAGGAGACGTCGTCTTGACCCTCAATGGAAAAATCATTACCCGAGTTTCGGAGTTAGATGTTATGTACGACCACGAGTATCTGGATGCAGTGATTGTCCGTGACTGCGTTGAGATGAAGATCAAGGTACATACCGTGTCTGCTGATGATCTTGAGACCGACCGGGCCGTCAGCTTCTGCGGAGCCATTCTACACAAGCCTCATCATGCCGTTCGTCAACAGATCAGTAAGCTGCACAGCGAGGTGTACGTATCAGCACGTACAAGAGGAAGTCCCTCGTGGCAATACGGCCTTGCACCAACGAATTTTGTCACCCATGTCAACGGCAAAGAAACTGGAGACCTGCAGTCTTTCTTGGAGGCTGTCATTGACATTCCAGATAACACATGTGAGTCCACCCAACCTACCTACTCCTCTATATATACTGACCATCACAGACTTTCGCCTCAAGCTAATGACATTCGACAACGTGCCGTGGGTCATCACAATGAAGAAGAACGACCACTACTTCCCGACCACGGAATGGGTCAAGGATGCGAACGAGCCTAGTGGCTGGAAGAGAGTAACGTACGAGCAAGGGAAGATTATCCAGGGAGAAGGTCAGGATGGCATTAATGTTGTGGCCGGGGATAACTTTGAGATGGAGGCTGATGGTGGAGGAGAATTAGGAGGGCTTTGAACGTCTACTGTCTGTCTGGCAATTGGGGACATTAGAGGTGGCGTTGACTACGTAAATGGATACCCTGTTTGACCGAGATCTGTTCTCATGTGAGTGAGTTCGAGACGTAACGGAGTGTTGGAAGAGAGGTAATCGTTAATTGGATGTAGCCGCATGGTCGAGTTTGCAGCGTTGTGCGTTTCATGCAACCCCTTCTGACAATCACGAAAACCTTGCACATTGCTTCACATAAAGACAAATGTGTCTTTTACTAATCTGTTCTTCGCGTTTGCGTTTGAGATCTTCCTCTCGTCCTTCTCGTCCCTTTCTTCCCCTCGCTAAACCTCCCCGCGAACTGAATTACTCACAGTCTATCCTGAGCGGCTACTATGCCCACAAGTCCTTTGTTCACGCCATTTCACATTGACGAAGACTAAGCTATCATCAAGCTGAGTAAGAGTTATGCTGATCTGTTCTCGAAATCAATAGAAGATCATGGACCTGAAGCAAGGCCCAGAAGCAAACGGCAAGATAGACAATTGCTAGTTCACAGTCTCGTCAACGAGGAAACATAAGACCTAGCTTGAGAAGAAACTCAGATGGGATGATTATTTGCTCTCCAGCGGATATATACAATATATATTGATGCATACTAGCAGGATGTCCGATGACCTCTCCTGAAGTATTTGAAGTATATACAAAAGTATCTCTACACCACAGCCCCCCCATCCCCCTTCAAGCTCTAGGAAAAACTTCTTGGAACCACCATGACGAGCTCACACCCGCACCATCTAAGCAAGAGTATTTCCAGCGTTGGCCGTAATAGTTGAAATCGAGTTCGCCGAAACCGCAGCCGGGATATTCTTGCCCTTCAAAAACGCCAAGGCCGAAGTATTAGCATCTGTGAACGCTCCGGATCCAGAGAAGTTATTCGCGACACATGGTCTTCCCAAAGATGCAGTGCACTGTCCAGCGTTGGCGGCAGTGGCAGCGAACAAGGCGCCCTTGTAGTCGGGTACGCGGACCTGTTTGATGTTGACGAAGCTGCAGCCTTCAAAGACACCGCCTTTGGTGGTGCTGCCTTCGATGGCGTGGCCGGTGTTGGAGGCCCAGACGCTGTTGATGGCGTGGAAGAAGGTTCCGCCGGAGAGGGCTGGGGAGCGGCCCGAGCCGTAGTAGACGTAGTTTCCTGGGGGAGAAGGTGTTAGTCATTGCGAGGGATACATAGCAACTCTCCAAGGCTCGGAAATCACGGAGAACCCTTCCTCTGCCGTTTGAAACACTGAACAGTAATGGTACACAGGAAGTGTGCGCCCTGGGGCCAAGATGGAATGGAAGTTGAAAGTGAATGCGACTTACTGTAGAAGGTAACAGCATCATTGGTACCAACCAGCTCCATACCCCAGTATGTATGGCCATCACAAGACGCCGATTGAGAGGTTCTGCCATCCAAGAAACTGTTGGAGATGGTAACTGCCAAATTAGGAGCCTGTCCCAGACTGTAGTGCTGTCTGCCCGTGTTCGAGGTAGTGACATGGTCAATCCAGATGTTGTTTGTGTTGGAAAGACTGATAGCGTCGCCTCCCCAGACATACTTCGTATTCAAGTTGGTGATCTTGATATTCTGGATAATGACGTTGGAGACGCCGGACATTCGCAGACCCTTTCCGTTGAGAACGGCGTTTTTGCCGACACCGACGAGAGTCTTGTCAGAAGCGACGTTGATGCCTTGGTAACCGGCGGCGTCGAGGGTTACGCTGAAGGTTGGTCTTGAGCCGCAGCCGCCGAGGGTGTTGAGTAGACTTTGACCGCCGTTTTCTGGGGTGCAAGCTGAGAGATTGCTCGTTAGCTATTGTTCATCCAGCCGTGCTCTGTGGGCAGCAGGGAAATTGGTTCGGATGAATCAGGGTTGCTCGCTGTCAACACTTACGGTATGCGTTACAAGCAGAAAACGACTTGGTTCCTTCAGAACCGACGAAGTTGAAGGTGTCTGAGATGACAATAACTTGTGGAGTTTTGGCAGTGAGGTACTTCTTCAAGTCCGCAATGTTCTTTGGGTAACTGGTGCAGCGGTCAGTGACAATTTGGGAAGGCTAGTCCGAACAGAAAGTCTACGTACACAGGAGCTACATTCCCACCACCTGTGACTCCTGATGCAAAACCGAGGGGTTTTCCAGTGACAACTGAAGAGATTTGCCTGGCAGAAATGTCGCTGGGAAGAGCAGAGGCAAAGCTTCCGAGAGCTGCCAAGGCAGCGAGGTGGAAAGACTTCATGATGAAAAGTAGTCAACGCAGTGGTGCAAGGTAAAAGCAAGAAATGAATAAACAATTCGAAGCGACGAGTATGAAATGAACGAATGTGGTTGCAATTTAAGCAAAGTAAAAGAATGTAAGTAAGCTGTAGCAGCTTTGGAGAGGTAAAGAGCATCAACTGGAGGGAAAGCAGCCTCATTATATTACCCACCAATACTGACTCGAGTACGAGAATACGAAGCCCAGATCGGACGAACACATCTTGGCGATGAGGAATAATGGACCTGTTTCACCTCACACGACCTGGTTGTCGGGAGTGATGGACGAAAGCGTACTTGCTGTGGGGTGGGAAGGTGGCGCTGCCATGTTTCAGACCGAGATGTCTGCGATTAGCGGGAGATCATCCAATCTATCTGCGAGATTGCCGGGAATTGGCAGGACGCGATGACCGAGCGCATCTTGTTCTGGGAAATTTCGGTGATGAAGAGGGTAAAGTGAAGCGATGACTGCTGGAGAATTCGATCTTTTGGAACGGATTGCGGTGTTTTTGACTATCCGAGACTAATCGAATTCATTGACAGCTGAAGCTTGTAAGCGAGGTTTGACAGCTTGAGACGGACCCCGACTTGAACCGCACTCTTCCCGATACAAGTGTAACACCAAGACTTGAATAAATTGATTTAAATCGCAGCTCTCTCTCCAAATATACATATTAGCAGACAATAGGTATGTACACCTTGATACAAGGTTAAAGTTCGATATTAGAAGACAATAGGGCTGTACACGGTAACACAAGCTTAAACGTTCCATAGTTTTGCAGCTGCAAGGCGGACGCGAGCATGGATAGAGTTCGCCACAACCTGCTTTTGCGGAGTAATTAGAGATTTCAACTGAATCTTCTCTGACTGCCGGTTCCCAATTACTACACACAACCTTCCAAATGCAAAAGATCATTGTTAGAAGGCGATGGATGAAATTTGCTGTCCTGATAACCCCAAATATATGCACTGCGGTCTTGTCAGCTGGGGGCTCACCTAATTACTCCGTACGGAGTCAAGAGCCCGTGTCGTTGAAAGGTGTCAAGTGGCTTGCATATGCATATATTCATCCTTAATTCATCCGAACGCACCGCACTTGGACCTCTTTTGGACTTTCTCCACGAACGAGACATTGGAGATCGCGGGGAACAGACGCATGCTTCTACTGTAGGTCGAGATTGAACAATGTACCTACCTAACAGAAAATATGATTCAGTGGCCATTTGGATCATGGGGTCTTTTCCCTTTCTCCTCGAGACTTTGATGTCGGGGAGTGTTGTGTCACTAGCATCAAAGTCAGTGATCGCGGACAGCGCGGCAAGACATTAAAAATCCGTACAGTGTGATCATTAGAACATCGTCATACCAAAATCTACCCCTGGAAATTCAATCTAACCTCGAGCCGATCCTAGATCGCAATACCCCTGACATCGAGTGCCTGAAGTCCGTGGGTGGCTGCTCCTCCCTGCATTTCGCACCTCAATCACATTCTTCCTTCCTTTCTTTTCAGTTCGGCGGTTTGTTGCCCGCTTTACTTCACTGTTTAATACACGCGTGCATCAATATTAATACTAACTAACTCGCTGCAAGGATGGCCAAATCTTACTCTCACCGTCCTAGTTCTATTTCAAGGGTAAGGGCGAAAGTCGTTTCTACATCTGTTTGTTCTTAATGTTCGAGAACAGAAGTGGGAGAATGTGTAAGTAAGTATACGTGGACAGTAACTAGATAGCTAGCTAGCTAGCGAGCTGCGAAGACAATATTGAGTTTTCTATTTCTGTTCCAATATCCTGAGTCTTTGGATTTGTGAATTTTGAAAGCGGGCGTAATATTTGCTTCGCGTTGGTGTCGCCATCACCTCACCTCACCTACCCAACTTCGTCTGACTGGTCTGATCTGATCTGATCTTGATCTGATACGATATAGGTATGGTTTGACTTTGAGTCCAATAATCTACTCTTGGGCTTCTGTTGCTCTTCTATTCTACGGCGTGAAAAGGGTCTGTATGATCCAAGGAAAATATCGATACATACCAGTGTCTTTCCAGCCCTCATTCAAGCCATCACACCCAGCACTGACGGTGTAGCCTATCCTATTCGTCATTACCCTTCTCTTCCCTTTACGAGCGAAGAGCTAAAGAGAAGAAAAGAAAAGAAAAGGAAAGATAATTAATACAACCGAGACCCAGGATACAAGTTTAAGCTAGGTATTTTAATATTTTAGCTAAACTTAACCTTAAACCGCACCCACGAGACGAGACTCGACTCACAATCGCTCCTTTTAGCCTTTCTCGTTTCCACAGGTGACAGATTCGAAGTTACCTACCTACGGCAGTTTGTTTGTTTCTTGGCTGATTGATAAGATAAGGTAGATATAATCTGATGAAGAGATCTACCAAGCGCTTTCACTTCCTTCCCTTGCAATCGTGGCATGCATGACATAACATGATGTGGTCTAGCAAGCAGTTCTTCCTTCTCACCTCTCATCCTTCTTATCTCAGGATATATGAAGAAGTACTAGGCATCAAAATTGAGTGACATGATATGACATGACATGACATGACATTTTGCTTGTTTTTCTCCCGTCTCCACCCTCAGTTCTCGCTACTGTCATGGGGAGGGATTCGCAGCAGGCGCGGCATTTACTTTTCTGAGAGAGAAAAAAAGATAAAGAAAACAAACAAACAACACAGACACCATTGCACATTCCATTGACAACCCAGCTCAGCTTCACAAATATGTGCATGATCCGAATTCCTCTCGCTTCATCCATCTACTTGGCTTTCCAATCCCTTTGATATATATATTCCTAACTAGTAATTAAGTCAGTTGAGATTAAGTTAAAAGGTAAAAGTAAAGGAAAATAAGTGAAAAGTAAAAAAATGAAAAGTATGGTAAAATACAGTGCGGAGTAAGGTTAACTCTAAGTGTAAAAAAAGTACGCTAATCCCGCAGATACGGTGAGTGGTGTGAAGAAAGTATGATAAGGTATTATACTTTAAGGGAAGGGGAGGGGAGGGGATGGGAGGGGAGGGGAGGGGATGGGAGGGGAGGGGAGGGGAGTTGAGTTGGATTGATTGATTATTTCAGAAGAGGGGGGTGGGGGCCGCGGGGAGGTAGGTAGGTTAGATACAGTATGCGTGACTGTACCCTACCTACATTAATGGTCATGTGGGAATTGGGAATTGGGAACAGGAACAGGTACAGGAACAGGAACAGGAACAAGGATAAGAGAGGAGAGGGTATTTAGGAGGGAGGCAGGTGGTTAAGTTAAGTTGAGTTAAGTTGAGTTAAGTTGAGTTAAGTTGAGTTGAGTTGAGTTAAGTTGAGTTGAGTTGAGTTGAGTTGAGTTGATTGTTGCACGGGGTGGGAGCCTAGGAGGGGTACTTTGTATGGTTTGCGATGCGATGAAGTGGAGTGGAGTGGAGTGGAGTTGTGGAAGTGCGATGAAGTGAAGTGAAGTGAAGTGATAAAGTAGGAATTAAATATTTGGAAACGAACTTCGAAATATCTATTACTGTAAGGGGGTTGTTTTTTTGTGTCTATGTCTGTGTTTGGGTTCTTCGCTTAAGGGCTCGGGCTGGGGCTGGGGCTGGGCTGGGCTGGGGCTGGGCTGGGCTGGGTTCCTTGAGGTCAAAGGAAAGGGGAGAGATACCAAGCGAGCGAGCGCAGTCGAGAATGATAGATAAGGTACCTAGGTAGGGTCTTCAGTTGCAATGGAACTTGTAAGAGCCCCGGTGAATTTTGCCGATTAAACAACTTAAGGCAGGTGTGGCGTAGGTAGATGAGGAAGGAGGGTCCGAGGGTTTAGGAAGTGCGCGCGCGCGCAGGCGGAAAAGATTATATATTTCAGGGAGAGGGGGGTTGGAAATTGGAAAAGAGGCATTTCTCATTATTGCTCATCTATATTCATTTATATTTCATATCTTAATGCAGGTAAGCAAGTACTTCTACAACAGCATCAGTGCACAGCACTTTTCTCCATGCCCCTTCTCCCCAACCCCTTCCCCTCTCCTCTTCATCATCATCAAAACTCAAACCTTCTCAACCTGATGCACCGTCTCCCTCGCATTATCCTTCTCCATCGCAAACTTATCCGCCTCCGCCTGCTGCACATTCGCGTCCTCCTCTCCGAACCGCCCAATCTGATACCACTTGAGCGTGAACAGTCTATCCATACCCTCCAGACTCCTGCCCGCCGTCTCGGGGATGAAGAACCACGCCCAGATCCCACCGAGGATGGTGATGACAGTGAACAGCCAGAAGGTTCCCGCGGGGGTGAGGCCGCCCTCGCCGGTGGGGAGGAGCATGTTTGGCACGGCGCGGGAGTTTCCGTACTGGTTGACGAAGTGGAAACACATGACCATGGAGGAGGACACGGCTCGGATGCGCAAGGGGTAGATCTCAGCGTTGAGGAGATACTGCATGCTGTTCCAGCCCATGGCCCATCCGAAGCCGGAGATGTAGATCATGACGATGGCGGCGGTGGAGGCCTGCTTCTGGGACTTGGTGAACTTTTGGCCTTCTTCGAGTTCGGGGACGGCGGTCAGGTACGCGGCGATAAAGCACATGGATATGGCTTGTAGGGTGATGCCGATGCCGAGGGAGCGCTTGCGGCCGATGACGTCGACGAGGAAGAGGGCGCAGATGATGGCTGCGACGAATTTCACGACGCCGAAGATGGCGGTTGCGAAGAGCTTCTCGTTTTGGCCTTTTGTGCCGAGGAGGGCGAAGAACTCGGGTGCGTAGATGGTGATGCTCTGGGCGCCGGACCATTGGGAGAGGAGTTGGGAGAAGAGGCCAAGATAGATACGGTAGAGGTTGTTGGGCATGAGGAACATCTCCTTGAGGACGCCGATCCAGCCTTGGCCGAGGGTGGCTTCTTGCTCCTCGTGGAGCTGCTGTTGGATCTCGGCGATTTCTTTGATCACGTGGTCGTGGTCGACGGGGAGGTTGCGGACGCGGGCGAGGTTGGTGGTGGCCTCGTCGTCTTTGCCGATTTTGACGAGGTATCGGGGGGATTCGTAGTTGAAGAATGAGAGGATGATGATGATGCCGGCGAACATGACGTGGATTGTGGTTGGGACGACCTGGAGGATGTTAGATTTGATTCGGAGAGGAAGAAACGAAGGACTCACCCATTGGTTGCTAGTTCCCTCCTTGATGTGTAATTGGGAGCCCCATGATGCGAAGTATGCAAGCATGATACCGATGTAAACAGAGCCAGAGAAGGCGCAAGTGCAAAGACCACGAACGGACTTTGGTGCGATTTCAGAAAGGTAGACTGGGGCAACGACTGTTGTTTGACCGATACCCAGACCAGCGATGAAACGACCAGCATATACTTGTCCAAGACGTCCACCGTTGGTGAGGAAGATGACGATACCGAGAATCCAGAGAAGGCAGAGTTGACGAGTAGCCCAGAGACGTCCAATACGATCGCAGAGAACGAATGCCCTGATACTGTTAGATTTGAAAGTTATGTAGGAAGTGAGGAACTTACAAAGCGGCACCACCAACACTACCGATTTGAACCATAGCAGAGATGTTTCCCTTGACGTTTGCGAGTTGTACCTTGTCCATTGTATCGAGTCCGAGAAGTTTTTGGAAGTTTGATTTGGCGAGAGTACCAGAGATAAGACCTTCGTCAATACCTGGGAAGAGTTAGTTTGTTTACATCGCAGAGTGTTCAATTTACTATTGACATACCTCTGGCAGCTCCCATGATACCAAAAGAGACAACAGCGAACCATAGTCGCCAGTTCAGAACTTCCTTTGGATCATCTCCACGGTTAAGCTTGAAGATATTCTGTGGTTTTCCACCACCACCGGCCATGATAGCGGTTTGATGTGATTGAAGATATCGAAGAGAAGGGAAGGAGGAGTGTGCTTCGAAGAGCAAAGAAAGAGAGTGATGCTCGAGTAACTTTTGACTTGTCTTGTCCAACCTCAACCAGGGGGGGGGGGAACAGCTTCTACTTATATACCCCAACCGTGGAATTCGTCCCCATGGAGAAAGCCATGTGAACTAAAATACCAGCTCTGGAGCCCCCAGACCCAACCCATGCCCCTCGTCGAATAGATAGTTGGTAGTCTCACCCAAACGCACCGTATTGTAACGTTAACCAGGATGGGCATGGCCCTGGGCCCCTGGGAACGCATGTCCATCCATGTCTCAATTTTTCTTCGTGTGCTCCATCACACACAATCCTAGAGTCTAGCTTCTGGGCGCCAAGATAAATGACCAGTTTTGAGATTCCTGTGAGGTGTAAAAGCGCGTGGGATGGGATGGGATGGGATGGGATGGGATGGGAGGATGCTGCAAGTGCGGGGTGGGTGTGGGTGGCCACGAGAAAGATCCGCTTCCTCTGGCTTCCTCTGGGGCGTCAGGGCGTGTTTTGGTGTTCTCGGACCGACATGCAACTGCTGCAAGCCTGCAAGCCACCGCCCCGGCGCCGAGACTCTTGGTGAGCTTGCCCGGGGTTGGCCCGTGTCTGGGCGATGCTTTGTTGCGCCATGCCACCACGGTGGGAGGGGGGAGGGGGGAGGGGGGAGGGGGGAGGGGGAGAGTGGGAGATGGGAGTTTGTACTGTACGGAGTATGGATGCGCTGCTGAGGTGAGGTGAAGTGAGGTGAGGTTCGCCATGAGTCGGTACTTACATTAGGGGTGCACGCTACATACAGTATTAAATGAGGACCCAGGAGGGGAGGGGAGGGGAGGGGAGGGAAGTGGGATTTGCAGTGCAGTGCAGGTTGTGCATGGCCATGGCCAAGATACATTAGTGGTGATGATTGCAGTATCTGGGAGACCCAGACCCAGCATAGAGACAGACATCTCGTGTGTTACCAGTTGCCATACAGTAGAATGTGCTCTCTCGAAAGTGATGCGATACGACACGATGCGATGCATGGTTTTCCATCTGCGCTGTGAGGTCAGCGGTCATCCCTCCCTTCCCTTCCCTTCCCTTCCCTTCCCTTCCCCAACTTCCCCTTCCTGTCAACATGCGTTCGGCCACTCCGCCCCGCGAAATAATCCCTTCCTTCCCCAGAATCAGAATGAAATCAGACTCAAGAGTCAAAACGTGGAAGGATCGGCAGTGTCAAATCCCCAGACGAGGACAGAACAAGAAACAGGATACGATACGATACGATACAGTAGGATACGATAGGATGAGATCGTTAGGTTCGGAGTCAGCAAAACTGCCGACAATCAGAGCAGACATCAATAATACTTCGAAGTAAATGATGGGAAGTTCCTTGACAGCCACAGCCATAACTCCCATCACTCACATCCTTACCAACTGATTATTACCCCACCATGAGCATGCCTAACCCAATCATGGAACCTACCAAATGGAACCCATTATTACCGTCAAATACCGCCCCCTGCCCCCCCCCCCCCTCTCCCCACACCATACACTCCAAAACCACCCAATCACCACACTCACATATCCCAAAACACGGGTCCCGTCCCATACCAACCACACACACCGCCAACTACTGCCTCCAAGTCCTAGCGTCGGTCAACTTCCGTGAGCAACAGACTTTTTCTTTTTCAACAAGTTCGTGGAATTGCTTGGCGACAAGGACGGGACAAGAGTTGCTTGTGGAGCTTGACCCTGTCTTGGGCGCGCTTGGGGTTGTGGTTGGCTGCATGAAGAAGCATTCCCGGAGGTTTGCCGGGGGGATGGGCTGGCTGAGTGGGCTTGCTTGGGTGGAGGCTTGTGGATTTGTGGAATGGTGCGTGGAGGGGCTCCGCCGCTGTGGTATGGTATGGTATGGTTTTTACTTTTGAAGAGAAGGGAAGGAATTTTTTGGGTGAGTGGTGAGTGGTGAGTGCAGAGTTTGGAGATCGAAAGGTACCAATAAATCTCACCAGTTTGGTTTTGATGTTTTTGGGGTTGCTTTTCTTTGGAGTTTTTTTTCTTTCTTCTTCCTTCTTTCTGGAAATGAAATCGGAAATCGAAAATATATAATTGACAGGAGAGAAAGGTTCAAGGACAACATTGCATTGCATTGCATGCCTGGCAAATCCCATCCCATCCCATCGCTCTAGCACTCCTCCTGCTCGTACGAGTTTATTATTCAACCTGATGATCCATGTGGAGAAGAAAAGCCAGAAACGGCCGACAAAAACCACCACCCGATATCTCGGCCTTCATCCCGAGCGAGCCCCATGCCTCATGTGACCTTGAAAAAAAATACAGGAAAACACCCCGCCTGCCCACTCACTGCGCTGCCTATGTGACGGCATTCCATCCGTGCCCGCTTACGGCAACCTACCTACCTAGACTAAGGTAGGTAATTTACTTCATAGGTATCTTGCCAGGCAAGCGGCTAAGCTGGTATCCGTTTCGCGGAACTTCTGGTCTCCTGTTTTACCTACTTACCCTCTCTCCCCTCCCGTGATTGATTGATTGATTGATTCCTTCCTGTGCTGCCCTGTCCTATCCTGTCTTGTCTCCGAGCTATCCTGCGGCCAGCTTCACGACTACCTTTTTCAGAGTAATTTACGTATGATTGGATCTCACAATGCAAGCCACAAACCCCCTTCCCCCTCAACTTCACACTACTGTAATAATGTATGTAATGTAATACAGTACGTCCCCCCTGCATCTCAAACGCCACCTCCTCCCTCTTCCCTGACACCATAATTCCTTCTAGAAACCTTCTAGAAACCTTCTAGAAGTTCCATGCATTAGTTAGTCAGACTAGTCTTCTTTCCTAGTCTCTTACCTAGCCTAGCCTAGTTTCGCTAGTTAGTTTACCTCCCGCTTGACGTTCGACAGACTTTCACATTCATCCGGATCTTTATCGTTCGGTCGTTGATTTATGTGCGAGAGAGAGAGAGAGAGATAGACTTCATGCGGGAAGGTAGATAGATTACTAGTAACTTGCTGGAACTTACTTACTTGCGAAGTTAACTCAAACAAGAACATGCACAGCTACGCTACGGGGGAGTATCTGGGGAATGGTGGAGGCTGGTCTGAGTTGACCTGACCCGAACTGGTGAGCTGAGCTGGGTTTATGATGTGATGTGACTTGACTTGAGTTTACTGGACCGAGGACTAATAGTCGGTTCCCCTTTTAACCTTCGGGGACTCAGGTAGACGAGTGCCCGCAGCTTCACAGAGGGGAACCGACTATTACCCCATGTTTCTGATTCCGAATAATGACATCTACCTAGGGACGCGGGGATATGTATGGGGATAGGTCTGGGGCGGGATGTACTCCATCCTCGTTAAATTTACCTACCGGTATCGACCCTTGTACTCCGTCCTGTAGCTGCCGTAGTATCGTACCATCGTAGTATTATAGCGCCTTGTATGCATGTATGTAAGTCCACGGAGCGGCTCCGTCCCGTTGTGAATAAGTTCCTCTGGCTTGCTTCTAGAACGCCCTTACGCCCAAGTCGAGACTGATCAAGGGGAAAGGAGAGGAGAGGAGAGGGTTAGGAAGCTAGGAAGCTAGGAAGCTGGGATAAGTATGCATACGAAACTGAGGGGAGCGGGAGCGCGATGTTTGAGAGATATGGTGAGATTTAGTATACTTGTATGGATGTGTGGTGAAAGGAGGAGATTCACTTTCTTGGATCGGATCGGATCGGATCGGATCGGATCGGACTGGGGAAGACACTTACTTACTTGTCAGGGATATGGAGTGATACTTACTGTAGTTTTGTGTTTTGTTATGATCAAACTATGGTCGTTGACAGCGCCGCAGAGTTGTAGTCTGGCTAGGTATCAGAAAAAGATGCTGAAACCGGGTTAATCAGGAGCATAGTTGGTTTGTTTGAATTGGTAGGTTTGACAAAACGAGATCTGACTTGTTTGTTTGAGGTTCTTGGATGGATTGGATAAATGACTGCTTCGGTCAATAGCCGATAGGAGTCTTAAGAGAGGTATTAGCTCTCCAAGGTATTTGTGGCATTCCATCAAGTAAAGTATTCTAGGTGACTAGATAAGAGGATGTTATTGAGGACAACTGGATGGTATAAAGTCCATGAATCTGCCTGCGTAGTCCGGCTGGCTTCAGCATCACGTTCTGGTTAGAATGAATCAGTCCCAGAGTTGCATAGATCTTGTCTTTCTCTTCTCTTGGGCCTCTGGCGCTCTTACTTCGTATCATTCATGCCAGGACGTGAAAGCAAGCGCCTCAACACTCTAGAGGGCTTGAAAGTACAATATATACCGACACATCTAGGAATGAATGTATGACTAGATGCAAAAGACAATTAAGTAACGGCTTTATACCTCCTGTGATTAGGCTGTGTGTGACGAGGTACTATCGCGCGAACTTAATGGACAACGACCTGGGAAGGAAGGGAGGGAGGGATGGAGTTACAGCTATATACTCTCGATTTTGAATCTCTGCTCAAGAGGCCAAATACGTTTTGGCCTCTGCAAGAAGTTGACATCGTGCTCTTACAATCTCCCATGATTCGCCGGCTGAAACGCCTCGCGGTTGAAAGATGCTGCATAATAGCCCGCCCAATTACTCTGTCGACTATGTTGAGAGAAATAGGTGCATCAACAGAGCCTGGTGCTGTCGATGAGCTACAAGAAAAGTACTACCTGTTCCGACTGGAATCGCCGTTGAGTAGGTATTTCTGGGCAGAATATATATATATATATATATATATAAGCGATGCAAATTGTCGCCGAACACAATGTTCAAGTCGTGGAGAATATGATTAAAGACACTCTTGATCTTTGATAGCTGCTCCGCCGAGAGGAATGATCCACAATGTGAAGAGTTTTTTGATAAAAAACTGAAGATGAGGTGTTCTGGGCGGATTTGATATTAGAGTTGCTGAAATTGCCGTGGGTGGTCAATGTCGGGGGAAAGAACTCCTAGATCAAGAAATAAAGGCATGTAAGCTCGTAAAGCTTCTCTCGTGCACTTCCATAGCACCCCCTTGTAATGTGGCGGAGATTGGTAGGGTATATGCAAGATGAGCTGACTACGGCGGCTCACTATCAACGCTTTGATAGCCCAGTCCAATTTTAGATTTGTTTAGTTAGACTGGACATTGCTGCCTCATGCTTGTAGTGGTTTGATGCTTGTGTTGTGAGTCTCTTGGGTCGCGTTTTGTCCGTCGAACTACGTTGTCTGACCTTTACAACGTTTTTAAAGTCAAGAAGTGGCTAGTAGAGATGCATAGCATCATTTTTGTGACGGAAGCGTGCGACTAGAATCCGACAATGCCGGTGATTCTGATGTAGAAGTCTTCTATTCAGACGGCAATGATGGCGAGGAGGGCTTTGGCCGCTGCGATTTCTTGGAAGATCTGAGACTTTGAGAGAGGTCAGACACAAGATAAAAGTTTGTAAGTGGCTGGCTGTCATTGCCCCTGAGATCCCAACCATACTGTCACAGCCATAGACTGACTGAAAATCTGCCATGTTCACATGGAAGCGTCGAGCAGTCTACCATGGCCAAGGTTCAGAGCCTTAACGTGGCGTGAATCTCAAAAAATAAGCATATCATTGGATGAACAAGACAGAACACATGCTTGAAAGCAGCCGAAAAGGCATGTTGGTGAGTTTTTATTCATTAGCCTAGTATCCTTGTTGAGAAGAGGTGTGATGATAAAAGTAGAGAACGAACTTCAAAGAAGAGTCGAAAACGGAACACATATGACAATGAATGACGCTCTGCAACCTCCCCGACGGACTGACAAATTCTTCTTATACAGTTATCAAGCAGGTAGACTGTACATAAGACTTGTTGTGTGTCAAAAATAGATTACTTTCATTCAATCCATGTTTACATACCACGGTATCAAGTCTGTGGGCTGTGACACGGCGAAAGCTTTGTTGACAGACACAAAGAAGTGGAGGAAGGTGAGTAGAGCTTGGCTTGATCATCTACTGAAGCCATAGGATGCACATAGTACTGAAATAAATATTGTCAATTGGCTTTGAGAACTTCCTGATGTTTTCGCTTGTCGGAGGGGAGGGGAGGGAGGGGAGACGTTGGAATAGAGGTCCAGACCTCTCTGCTTGGCAGCTCCTGACTCGTGACTCCTGATTCGTTGGCTCCTTCTCTTGTCTGTCTGCCATGGAAAGAAGGTGCGGCTCGCTGACCTCCTTTCCTCTCCTCTCATCGCCGTCTGCTTTGCTTTCACCTTGTTACTCGCAATAGAAACTTACGTCTTCATGCTTTAATATTGAGACGAGACTATTATACCAACCCCCGCAACTCCAGGCTTCGGCTTCGTCCCGGTCACTGCCCCACGCCGCCCGCCGTCCCCGTCCAAGAAGTAGCGCTAAGATAACCAATCCAGTCTCCCCACGCCATTGGCCTGCACTGGAACCCCAGAAACAAACAGTTCTCCACCCTGCGCTGCGCGGCACTGCTGCACTGCTGCACTGCACCTCCATCCTCCAGCTTCAGCTTCAGATCTGCTGCTGCCTCAGCCAGTCTCGTCTCCGTACAATGCCTGGCATTCCTCCCGTGTACTCCAGACGCAGAGGTACAACGCCCATCAACCATCCCCAGCTAGATGATGTGTGGCATCGCTCATTGTACGTCCTTGGTCTACAAGAAATGAATGCGCCTGTGTCTGTGGCATCCGCTTCAAAGAGCTCGACAACCTCTACTTCTACCAACATGGCTTCACCGATAGCCTGCCCGACGCCAGAAGCTGCCCAAACAGAACAAGTCGTCCTCAAGAAGAAGCTCAACTTTAATGATCTGCCGCTGGAAACAAAGAAGGAGATATTCAAACATGTCAGTATACTCTTGCCAACACCTGCGGGGCATCAGGCTGAGCATCGATATCCTCGTTCTATTTCGACGTTCTGCTAACATATCATCCCCAGGTATCCTCCCCCGACCTCATTGTCCTCTCTTTAGTATCAAAACAGTTCCGCGACCTAGCCGCAGAGAGAATATATCGAAGTTTCCACATTCTGTTTCCAGACGATGATGACCCCTCCAACGATTACCCGTTCGATAGCCTCGCCGGGGGCTTGGAGACATTTGTTACCAGCGACTACAATTATGGCCAATACTTGAAAGAGCTGATAATGGAGACACAGAGCGGTGGGATCAAAGGAGAGATGGCATATCGGGCTTATTTGAATGAACTGAGCTGTGGCAAGTTCATGAATACCCTCCTGCTCCTGACATTGCGGCAGGCCAAGTCTCTGGAGAGATTTCAGTCAGTAAACTCGTTATTGGGAAGATATGTGCTAACATCCACAGATGGGATATTCGCGTGGAATTAAGTCGTCCAGTGTGGAAGGAATTACGGAAAATTGAGGCCCTCAAGCATCTCCATATCAGGATGCAGTCGGGTCCCACAACCTACCAACCTCTCCCGCCTCTGCCAAACTCTATCCTACCTCCAGCTCCAGGAGAGGTTGACTCAACTGTGCCAGGATCCATACTTCATCCCTTACCCCCGATACTGCCAGTGCCAGCAGGTAGTCCGAACTCCTTCCCTTTTGGCAACCAGATTGCGAAAATCTACCTACAACCACCTGGCGGAAAGGCTGCGGTCAAGGCTCCCCCAACACTTCGCGGATTTAAAGACCTGAAGACCTTGACAATATTGGATATGGACTCTTTGGATTATTTGGATGAGCTGAAAGAATGCATCCGCGACAGTTCTTCAACGTTGAGCTCTTTGAAACTGTCTTTCTCCGATTCTCTCGTCAGTAGGTCTCGCAAACCACAGCCGGATCCACCATCTGACGATGACTCGGACCAAGAAGATGAGTTTGGTCAACTCATCCCTCCGCCTGGCCTACCCCCACCTAACCCGCCATTAGGACCGCACCCAGATCCATTTGGACCCTCCAAGACTCTCAAGGCGCAAGAAGAGAAGAAGAACCAAGAAGCAGCACTTGCAAAGATTCTTGGTTGTGAAGGTCCTCTGCCGAAACCCAAACCACACCAGTTACCCGCCCTTCCCCGAGAGGTCGAGAAGCCCAAGCCTGAAGAAGATCCAAAGAGACGGTTCATCCGAAATTTGGCACCTGTTGCAGCCAGACTAATGGGACAGGTCAAGCCAGGAGGTGATGTCTCGGTGGAAGGAAAAGAAGTTCTTGCGATGATCGAGAAGGCGGCGCAGATGTACCTTGAGGCAACTGAAACAGAAAAGAAGCCAGAGAAGGCACCTGCAAGTGTTGAAAGCAGTACAGCGAAGGCAACCCCCGCCTCATCAAGCGCAAGCACCGATGGAACTGAGGACGCAGCTGTCATGACTAATGCTGTTGCTGATGAGCCGGGACTTTTCGATAACCCTTTGAAGAAGAAGGAAAAAGAGAGCTCCGATGTCTCGAATCCCGAAGATATCAATATCGAAGAGCCAGAAGTCAATGAATTGACAGTGGAGTCGGAGTTACCTACAACTGAAGTGGTTCAGGATGACGCAGTGATCGCTGAAGCTCCAGTCATTGCAACAAGCAAAGACGTGGTCGACGATGCTGCTCAAGAAGCAGCACGAAAAGCCAAGTATGCAGCATTTCAGGCAGAAATGGCCGAAAAGATTGATCACGAAGGACAAGAGCTTCTGCAGGTGATAGACGAGCATGCTGAATTGGTGTCTTCTGTCGCGGCAGTGGAACAGGAAGGCGACTTGTGGGCGAAGAAAGTTGAGGAGTTCACTAATCAGCTACAGTCCGGAGATAACATCACGGAGGCGGACAGACAAATGATTGCCCACGCTAAAGCTGCTATCAAAACTGTCTCTGATAGGGTTGTCCAGCTGTCTGCCGGTATGTCTTATGTCACTGAGCATATCAGTGAGCTGAAGGAGCTCTCTCGTGTTGGTTTGGATTTCCGATCTGCGATGAGCGAATATGTTCGCAGTACACGTGGCATCACCCTGGACGCACTTTCGATATACATGATTCCCACCAAAGCTTCGGTTCTGACTCGAGGCGTGGACATCAATGCATTACAAAGCATCGCTCTTCTCAATGTCGGCACACAGTCTCCTATCTGGAATATGTTGGCAAGAGAGAACAAGCTGTCTCCTTTACCCCTGCACAAAATCCATACAGATAACGTCACTCTTCCATTGCTTTTGTGTCTCTCGCAGCTGGAAAAGGTGACGGAACTTGTCATGATGGAGCGGCTATCGAAGGAGCGCGTTGAGGGCAATGCATTGAAATCAACGGTTACCATCGAGCAGATCCGGAAGATGGTACTCAAGAAGCATGCACCAACTCTCAAGATCTTGGTCGTTCGGAACGATACCATCGGCATGGATTGGGGGTTCAATATCAAGACTGCCATGCTTCTTTGTGACCGTGCGAAGAACTTGGAAGAATTGGGTTGCAGCTTTGGCGTTCGCACCATGGTAAGAATTCTCATCACTTTTTTACTGACACTGCTAATTCTCAACAGCACACCCTGATGCAATACATGTCTGGGCTAACATCTCTACGTGTCTTGCATATCATATCCTTCCATAATCCCGAGGACAACTGCAACTGGGTAATGCGTGAATGCCGCAAGTTTGCCGTCGACATCGTCTGCCACAACCCCTCCATGAAGCTCGAATATCTCGCCCTCGATCAATCAGTCGACCGCCTGGTCCGTCGCAAGCCAATGCTCAAACCAAAAGTTGACAAGAAGGGTAAAGGCAAAGAGGCGAACTGGACAAGTGCAAAGGCTCTCGCGGAGCTGGTCATGGGAAGTGTGGCTGTTGCCACGTCTGGTGGATGGAACGAGGATAGCAAGTACGATTTCCCAGATAGTTCGGATGATGAAGATGGCATTGTGAAGACGGGCTTGCGTGTTGAGACGATTGATGGGATTCGCTTCTCTGATGTCCTAGACGTCCGGATATTCGAGCGAGATATTCTGACTGGGAAGCTGTGATTCGTTGGCTGCCTTCCAGATGGTTTGGGGTGGGAGGATCCGTCCATGATGACTGAGATGGCTGAAAGTGGTCGGCGAGATTGGGACGGCGCTTCTTCCTTCCTTGATGACTTTCGTTGAAATGGCGCGCATGGAATGGAGGTTATGAGATACGGGGCATACTTATGACTTTCTGATACCTATTTGGCTTGTCTTTATTTTTTTTTTATTTCTCCGATAGGGGAGGGGAGGTATCTAGCGAGCGGCATGGCGGCGTTAATGAAATTCTTTTCTGCTTCTGGTCTTGCCAGGCATTGTTCATCGTGTTGTTGTATGTCGTATTAACGTCCGAGTTCAGACTCTCTTTTTTTTTTTTTTTTTTTCTTTTTTGTGGATAGTGGCTAAGTGGCTGCTGCTGGCTTACCGAAAAATCTGTACAGTACCTCCCTATCATCCCAGTTTTTTTTGTGTTGAATGAATTATCCTCTCTTTCCTTTCCAGAGCATGGTTTCTCTGGTGCAGGTCAGAGTGTCCCAATTTTTGATCTATTTTGTTTTATCTCTCATGAGTCTAGTGTAACAGTACCTACCTATGATTCACCTGACTTTAATGTGGACTGTAAACAATTTCATTGCCACGGGGTTCGTCAAGGGAATAATGGAAATACAGGGCAGTGAAGTCAGTCAGCCACTCGGAAACAAGCATAATTGGCAATTGGCAAGCCATCAAAAAGACCCGAAGTGGCACTTCAAGCTTCGGCTAGCCTACAATTCGTTCCGGGAATGTTCCACAGAAAAAGGGTGTACCTTCCTAGTTCGGGTAAGGGTGGATTGACGCCATTCTGGGTCCGCCATTGCGAAGACTAGACCCTTACGAGGCAGGCCATGCCCACAGCAAAAATACCCATACGGACATCATCTGAAATTTTGAACCATCCTCCCTCTAGAGTTTATATCGACTGTCGTCCTCTGGACAGTGAAGACTTCAACAATAATCGGGACTAAATCCCTGATCGCGCCTTATCTAAACTCTACACTTTGGATATTCTCGATCGGTCAGGATGTTCATGCTTTAAGACTTTGGGATATGATAGGATAGGATACATTCCTGCGCGGGAGATAGCGACTGGATTTTCGATTCTCAATCCCTGATTCTCGAATATCGATATCGATACCCACAATAACTGGAATTGCATTATTGGATATAACATCCTGCCACGATGTTTGGGTTCAGGCGTCCAGCAGCCGATGCGCACGCTGCAAAAGAACCTCAGATGGACATCGAGAACCCGAGTAAGGAAGTTGGTGGAAGCAATTTCAATGTGCACACTACTTCCGACTCGGTGCGGATCGTGCATGCGCAGGAGGAGAACAATCTCGCGCGAGCGCTGTCGCAAAGGCATATTCAGATGATTGCTCTTGCTGGTGCGATTGTAAGTCTTCCTCCTACCACCCTTTCAAGTTCATTCTATCATACACGTGACCCAATCCTTCACTCCACCCCAATGCAATCCATATCACTAACACGCTCGCTCCCCTCCCCAGGGCACAGGACTCTTCCTCAGCCTCGGCGGCGCCCTGCAGACCGGCGGCCCCCTCGGCGCCCTCCTGGGCTACACCCTCGTCGGCCTCGTAGTCTGCTCCGTACAGTTCGCCCTCGGCGAAGTCTCTGCCCTCTTCCCCGTCACAGGCTCCTTCGTCCGCCACGCCGAGCTGCTCGTCGACCCAGCTCTCGGCTTTGCAGTAGGCTGGAACGTCGTCTACGGGACGTACCTCAGCGTTCCCGCCGAGATATCCGCGGCGCTGGTGCTGATTGAGTTCTGGACGGAGAGGTACCCGGCGCTGTGGATCACGCTGTTCATTGGCGTGACGTTCCTGGTGGGCATTGTGTTTGTGGGGGTTTATGGGGAGGTGGAGTTTTGGTTTGCGGTGTTGAAGATTTTGCTGGTGCTGGGGATCATTATCATGGGGTTGGTTATTGATCTGGGTGGTGTGCCCGGGCAGGAGAGGATTGGGTTTAGGTATTGGAACAATCCCGGTCCGTTTGTGGCGTATATCGCTACGGGGTCTTGGGGGAGATTTCTGGGGTTTTGGAAGGTTATGATTAATGCTGTTTATTCGTTTGCGGGTGTGGAGAGCGTGTCTGTGGCGGCGGCGGAGACGAAGAGTCCGAGGCAGAATATCCCGAAGGCGTGTAAAAAGGTGTTTGCGAGGGTGTCGATCTTCTACCTCTTGTCTGTTCTGATTGTGGGTATGTTGGTGCCGAGTAACGACGAGACGCTGAATAATGATGCTGGCAACGCATCGACGAGTCCGTTTGTCACGGCAGCTACAAGAGCGGGCATCAAAGTCGTTCCCTCGATCATCAATGCCGTGGTGTTGACTTCCGCTTGGTCAGCGTCTAACCAATGTCTGCTTACTGGAACTCGAATCCTCTACGGACTTGCTCTCAAGCGCCAAGCTCCACAGATATTCCTATGGACGACCAAATGGGGCATTCCGTACGTCTGTGTTATCTTACAAACAGCTATCGCGACACTGGCATACATGGCGCTTTCCAGTGGAGCCCTGACGGTATTCTACTGGTTCCTGAATTTAACTGCTGCAGGGACGTTGGTCAGTTGGATTGTGATTCTGTTTAATCACATTCGGTTGCATAAAGCCTTGGAGAAGCAGGGGATCTCAAGGAAGGAGTTACCTTGGAATCATTCCTGGACTCGTAAGTCAAATTTCCTCCTTATGACCACTGAGATGGAATGACTGACCTGTGCTCTAGCATACACATCCAGAATTGCATTAGTAACATGCATCATTTTCCTCCTTACAGGAGGATTTACAGTCTTCACCAAAGGGAATTGGGATAAAGCGACATTTATATCTGCGTATCTGTAAGTCTCTCATCTTCTTTTCTCTCTTCAATTGATGAACTGTATGTTTACTGACATGAACTAGCGATATCCCTCTTGTGCTCTTCGCATACACGGGATGGAAAGTCTTCAAGAAGACTAAGATTCTGGATCTGGATGATGTTCCGATCCGGCAGGCGCTGGATGAGATGCATGAGAATCCTGAAGTGCCGATTCCGCCGACGAGGGGGTGGAAGAGGTTGAATATCTTGTGGGGGTGAGTGGTGCACGTGGGGTGCTGCTGTGTGTTGAGACACTTGTTAGATACGATATACCTATACTCTTGTGAATTGGTAGTGAAGTATGATGCCTGGAGATCATCTCTGGCTAATAGATAGCATCAAAATTGAGCCCAGAGATGTGAAGGCTAGGCTAAGACGGGGTGTCTGAGCTCGGATGTTTGGAAGTGATTGAAGAGTATCGTACTAGAAGAGCATGATCAGCCCAGTGTCATGCTTTGATATCTCATTATATTCGCGCTCCAGTCTTTACTCAAAAATGGTGCTACACTCTCGGACTTGGTATCATATCGGATCCTTGCCCATATGTGAAGAACATGGATGTGTGAGATAACTCACAAACCCGTCATGAAATATTCGGTCAAATTTAGATAGATTGGTCTTTTCATTTTCTTAGGAGACGTATGTCTTCAAATGTAAGCCGAAATAAGGGGAGGTTCGAGATCACGACAGGCTTTGAGGACAGGGACAAATCCTCAGCCCTCCCCTTGCGGGCTCGCTTGTCTTGCAAGGCCATGACGACTAGGTAGGTATGTCATAGTTGGTGAATCATGTGATGAGTTTCCTTTCCATATCTTTGATTCTATTAAGTGTATAATCTTCCGGAGAACTATTTTCTACGGCGGCGCACTCTATGGTTGGTCTGTTCTGTATCGACTTGGGGTCCAACATGTCATTTCGAAACAGGTTACACTGCCCAATTCTCCATCTTAATGAGAATGCCTTCCTCTACTTCGGCACTCGTATCCTTATCTCTCTTGGTCGTGGGCATAGCGAAAGACTGTCCTTTGAGTTTCACTCCATCCTCCTCGTGGCTTGGCCCAGTATTTCGCTGTAGTGAGGAAGTTCCTGTGACGGAACTACTTTGTATCGCGATTTCCTCTGGTCCATTCTTCTTGCCATGGATCTAGAAAGATTGTTGTGCTACAAAGCCTTGTAACATTTCTCATTCTGTCATATACGTGTCAACATCGATATTTCCACTGTCTGGTTCAGCCTCTGAAGCTCCATGCCTATTGTCCATCAGTTTGATTCCAAAGTCGGAGCTGTATACATACCAGCCACAGCCCATCTCTGGTTAAAATAGCTCAGCATTCGTCTCAGTTGTTCGAAATCCTCCAACCATCTCTGATTATGGAAATCCTTGGCAGTTAAAATGTGGTGTTGAGCACACCTGACAATGTGCGCAACACCTGGTGCCAGGAGATCAACATTGAAGGATTGAGATTCTCGGTTGAAAGCGTATGAGATATCGATGACCATTCTCGTTAAGGTACTTAGTGCTGCCTCGATGGTGTGTTTGTAGTTCGCGGGAGTGTTGGAGTCTGGCATTTGCCCGTGGGCTGTCTGATGGAGCATGTACAATCCCCTTCTTCCTGTTAGTCGATATTCCTAAAGATTGGAAGAAACCATACGTGATAAGCATCTGAGTTGCACCACTGTATATACCCGACCTCCCATCGAGCTGTTCCATGACAACTGCGAGAAGTCCTTGGAGTTCTCTTCCCAAATGATATAATTTTGCGACAACCGACTCGCCAGTTTCGATAGAAAACCTAACCTTGTCATACAGATATGTTGCTTGAGCCTCTCGGCCGAACGACCCAACACTAGGGAGGTGCGTTGCAGATACAAAGTATCGAAACGTCGGCTGGGAGAAAGTACTTCGTCTGTCCAATTCCTCTGGCTCCAAAGGGAGGTAATCATTCTCTCGAATAGGACTTGTGGCCAGTGGGCGCCCGATCATCTTGGGATCGCAAGAGATCGTTCTAGACAATGTCAGTAGAGCTCAACTGCTGCAGGCAGGACTCGTACCTGTCACAAATTACGAGGCCCCACCAAGTACTGAGCGCCTCTTCATCGTCGAGCCACGCATCACTACCTTCCAATTCCGCCGAACAAGCTTTGTTATGCAGGCCCACTGCATAAGCAATGCGCGCTGTCGTACCAATGGTGATATACGCAGCCTCGATCATTCCGTGGGCGTGTTCATAGTGGGACAGTATGACACCTGTTTGGACAAGATAAAGAGAAGAGGGCATGAATGCTTGGACTTGTGCGAAGAGCGTCTTGGTTACAAGGTATAGCACCTCACGATCTTGGTCTAGCTCTGCGTCCGTTGATGGATGTTGGGTGATCAAGCGCATGGCGAGCAAGAGGATAGCCAAGTCTGCTGATGGTGATGTTTGGAAATCCGTGAATCGATCATGAAATCGTTTTCTTGATATGATTGGTAGCCAGAGGTGTATACTTTCGAAGTAGTTGAGCAGTATTTCTTCCAAATGCTTTCCCTCTACACGGATAAGCTGAGAGACTTGTGAAGCAATCACGCTGTCGGTCGTTGTGAACTCTGGAGTGGCCCTGGGATCGAGAGTACTCGGGGGCAAGACGTCCGATAGAGAATTTATCAGCAGCAGAGATAGTCGGAGACAAGGACACAATCTCGATCGAAGAGATCGAGGTATGGAAGTCCATGTCGAAGTAAGTCGTTGGTTGATTCCAAGTGGAGATGCGGTTCTCAAGGCAGTGGCTTCACTTTCAGATCGTCGTGGTTCTTCTGCGTCTGCATATCTACAGACGGCTCGACGCCTTGATTCAAGTCAGTGATTGGCAAAGAAGCGATGTCAAATCACACCTTGATCGTGCAAGAAAACATATCTAAATGGCAGAGCTTCGAGAATGGAGAGGTGAAAACTCACTTGAGGCATTGGCTGCACCTTGGCAGTCTCTTGTCGCATCCCTTCTTGATACTCTTACAGTGAGAGCATACCTGGGGCGCTCGAAGTGCAGCCTCTTGACTGTCAGGGTGCGCCATCTGGTTTATCTTCTAAAGGTTGGCTTGTGACCGAGTGGGTGGGATCCAAGTGAGGGAAAAGGTCCACCAGTTGCAATTGTCGGCCGCGATGTGACACTCCCAAGAGTAAGATTTCTAGATACTCTCCGGTGTGCTGGAAGGGACTAGTACCAGCTACTGCCACTAATCAACGACTGAATAGGGGCAGGATATTTCCACACTGAAACCAAATCTCAGCCCTGCCGTCGGTCACCATCTACTATCTATATGCAAACAGAAGGAAGAGTTTAGATCATGTACTCTTGACAGAATTCTCGCCAGAAATTTTGAAGCTGAAAACGCCAATATACTGACACCAACCAAGAGGAATTAAGGTTGAGCTTAAAGCCCCCATAACTGGGATTCGAGAAAGCTCTCGGCATCTTGGGGGCACCCCATCATCATGGTTACGTGATAGCATACCCGCGTCCGGATAAAGGCCGACGATGGGAGGAGTTGACTATGGACGGCAATATTTTTGTGGCCATAGGGCGATGAATTGCTTAGAATGATAAGATTCTGATGCAGGAATATAGTTTGGATATCCCGAAAGGGTCATTTATTGTTCCCGCGAACCGCTGCTGATTTGTGGCTTCGGTGGCTGACGAAGTCGACTATGCCTATACGAGTAAACGATGGCTGTTATTTTGTGATCAAGTGTGATGCAGGTACAGAACCAGGGGGATGAAGAGTACGATGTGTATGTTGTGAGGTTGTGAGTGGTAGAGTGGCGGAAGAAGTGGATGGAAGCAATTAAGGCTGACGCAGAAGAAACAAGCCACACGAGTTTGCCGAGCGTAGGGTCTTGAGGGGCAGTTTCTAGTGGCATGGCAGTGGAGTTTCGGGGAACTTGGCTGGCCGGTCAGCGGACTTCGGGGCGGCTTCAGGGCATATGTCCCCGGCGAATAATGTCATTTCCTCTCCTCCACGCGACACTTACATGAGGATAACCTTCTCCCATCAACTGAAGTAAATTGTCATCGCCTTCCTTAAAACCTTAGACGACAGTATTTCAAATCAACTCCCGTCCATACGAGCCTGTTCTCGACACTGTTACTACTCTAGGTCTAAGGCACGGGATGCGAACAGAACATGCCAGTTCCCTGGCAGTGATTTGAATTGTGTTCTGAAGGATCACTAAACCTGCATGCGGACTTATCATTACGCGCATTACAATCGGTCAGCAACCTGCATCAAGCGGTAGCTTCTACGCTGAGCACGCTGCACGCAAAGGCAAGCTTCTTTTCCTACTATCACCGTTAGAAAACGGCCACAGCATCCCGTTAAGTCAATTTAAACAATCTAAAGCCTTCTACTGGATCGCACAATCGCGCTTGTTCACTTGTGCTGACACTATCATGACGAGCAAAGAAGCGCGGAAGGATCTCTTGCCGCCAGCATCGTGGCGATGCTGACGTGATCTGTTCAGCTGAAGTATCAACCGAAGCCGAATGGCAGCACCGTCAGGTCATTCCACCCGATCCAAGACTTTGAGAACAGTAAAAGAAATATTTCAATTTCTATGAACGTCAATGTATGTGAACCAGATTCTAGAAGAATATGAATGTGGATATGGCATGCGGTCATCCTCAGCCGCTCAGTGTTCCAGCTGAAGGATACCACCGCTCCATCAGTACTTGCGATGTTTAACTTCCTTCAAGGTACTTTCACATTCCTATGACAACTTCTTATTACTGTGGTATAGTGAGGATGCAAAATCCTACAGCACGACACAGTCATGAGACACGACTTGGACGCTCACTCGTTGACATACGAACCTTCAACTTTGGTGCTTAAGATACCTTTTATCGACACAGATTCGTCTTGGCAGCTTTAGACGACCTTGACATTGGGTGGACGATGAGAGATCCAAGCGCTGGCCCCCACCTCAGCTTCAATCTTGGTTCCAAATCCCGCGCCGCGTTTCCGAGCTTTTTTCCCTCAAGTTCCGTGCTTTCAGAGTGCTGTCTGGCTCTCTCTTTTGTGGCGTTTTGTAACTATTGGGCAATGATAGTTCACTGATGGAGTTGGTTCCTTGGTCTCCACTTCACTGTAACGCTTTCGACTGCCATCGCTCCGCCAGTGCCTGGCATCTGCAAGAACAGATTATGGTGCCTAATGGGGAACTGGAGGTCTTTCGCACTCCCAAAGGCGGGCGGCCAGTTGGCAATTCGTTCGAAACACTGAGGAACTCAAGGGGTATGCAGTTGAAGGCGAAGAAGCCATCGTAATTCGGCTGTAGGTTCTGAGAAGTTCTCGGCCTGGACCGCGCACAGCATCCTAGCACTTCTCGCTGGGACGATGAGTAGGACAGTGTACACGTCGCTAAAATTCCAGAAGCCTGAAGCGAATCCCTCGCTTAGCCCAAAAAGGGGTCCAAATAGTGACCACATCAAATGGCAATCTTCTAAGTCTGTTGAGATGATAGGCATAAAGCCCAAGTGCCTGAAACCTTTCACGGCCCCTAGATGATCCCGCCTGTGTAACACAGCAGTCATGTGAGACGGGCATTGCATGCAAGTCGCTTGATGAGGCAAAGTCTGCTGCAGCTGCATGCCGAGCATCATCAGCTTCAGCCTGGTCGCCTAATCTTGACTTCAGCTCAGCTTTCCTTCCTCTAACTTCATCAAAATATCAAAGATCTCACATCATCTTAGCTTTCGTGGCCCACGAGTTTCTTGTTAGCTGAGCCAGGTGCAATATGCCGACGACTGAAAGTTTCAGGGAGCCTTCCCCTGCCCATGGCAGCGATGGAGCGATAAAGATGGCATCTGGAGAACGTTTCATCGATCGAGGTCTCGACGGTGTTTCAAGCAGCTATCGTGTGAGTTCACATCATTATTTTCACATATTCAGGATGGTCCCCAATTCCACAAGCAGTGAGAAACTCTCAGTAATCAAGGGTATCCCTCCACAGTTTAGCGAATCACATGTTGTAGCAAAGGCAGAACGCATACTTCTTGACCGCGAATCTACTCTCAATCAATCGGTAGTTGACAGTACAGATGACGGTATCATGACTCCGACCGTGGATGACAGCCCGTCTGATATCAGCACTCACCAGGCCCCTGCCTCTACCACTAAAGTTGAATCTATTGAAGTTTCAAACCCTCCACAATACGAGATCAAAGCGAATACACACAACACTACACTAACGGATTCACACATACCCACTATTGAACAGCTTGCCGCCGACCTTCAATCAGCTATCGATGGAGCATGGCCAATGCGAGCCAGACCTGAATATAAAGCGGTGCGCGTCCTGATGATGAGCTGGGATGAGGGAAATCCTTGCTCGTGGGCAGATATACATCGTTTGAGATGTGTCTTTTCAGACCTTTATCACTTTGAGGTAGAGGATTTCAGGATTCCGACAGGATATACTGCAGATTTGGTAAAGAGCACGCTTGCGAGTTTCATCCGAGAAAATGATGGGAAGAACAATCTGATGATTGTTTATCATGCCGGGCGCGTGTTTTATGGCTTGGAAGACATGCTCCGGGAAAAACCCATGGCAGACGTGCTATTTCTGTGTGACAGCTGCTACTTTTCGAATGCTCGAAGCTCCTTCCCTCCTAGTACTACCGAAGTCCTCGCAGCGTGTGGAATGGATCACCAATGTCCAGCCTCCGGAACACTTTCATTCACCAATGTACTTATCCGAGAGCTTGGAGCGGCCTCTGCAGGTCCTCCGTTAGCAGTGACAGAGTTACATCGCCGATTAATCAACTGCCTGAACAGTTTGAAGCCAGAATTTTTGAGAGATGCTCAGGGAAACGTCATGTTAGATGAGAAGGGCCTACCACGACACGAGACTTTGGAGAGAAGAACGCCGATCCATGATTTCCTGACGGGTTGGCCGGCGAAGAGTAGTATCTTACTTTCTCCCCTCCCAGTGAGAAATGCCACCTTGCCAACGGATGCCGAGGATGACTGGGATATATGGGACTCGTCTAGCAAGAAACCAAAACGCTCCCGCCTCAATCAACAAAGAACAGCCCCAGTCGCGTCAGCAGGACCAATAGAGCGAGGAACGAGAACAAAATACCCACGCGTTCTCCTCTCAGTCCGTCTCAAAGTGGACTGTTTCCCAGATACCGAACCCGACGAAGACAGCGTGTGGGCTTGGGCGGAATGGCTGAGAGATATACCCAGTGGCCTAGAGCCCGTCGCAATCGAATCAGTATACAAGAGCACGTCGTCAACCTTCATGATACTTAGTCTGCCTCTCCTTGTCTGGCATATGTTACCAACCAATCCCGCTTACTCTTTTGTTGGGTTCGTATACTCGGCTAATTTGCAGGATGTGCCGAGCAAGGTCTCTTCAGCAGCTGCCCATATCCAGAGCTCTTGTACTAAGTGTTCCGAGACCAGTGTGCAAGAGATTAACATAGAAAGAGAAGTTCGCAGACGCGTTGAAGCTGAGCTCGTAGCAAGAGAACTGTCAGCTTTGAGGAAAGAAAAAGAAGAGTGGAGTCGAAAACATGAACGAGAAAGAGAAACCGTTATGGCGAGGGGAATGACAACCCCGGGACCGTTCAGTAATGAGCCAAGAGCCAATGCCGAGTTCGGCAGATCTAAGGCACCGATCAGGTTTAAGGACGCTGTTGGGAGGAAATATTCATTCCCTTTCCATATGGCTGCCACATGGAATGTAAGCTTTCTGTTCCTATTTCTCTGTTCTCTTACCACGTACACCCTTTTATTGGTGAGAACCTGCTGACATGGTTGTAAGGGTGTTGAAGAACTCATCAAGCAAGCATTTCTGCATGTCGATGTACTAGGTCCGCATGTTCTCGAAGGCCATTATGACTTGTTGTGTGCGAGCGGCGACCTCAGTGGACAGATCATCCTACCACAAGTATGGGAAACACTGGTAGAGCCAGGATGGGAGGTAAATATGCACATGTGGCCTTTTCCAGAGCCTCCAAAACCCATACCACCGCCTCCACAGAGGCAACGGTTACCTCCTGGCGCCTATTCCCTAGGACCGAACGGACGAGTTGCACCGCCTCCGTCTCCGCCTCCACCACCAGAAGCGGTGCAACCCCCAGACCCAACAGCTTTACGACAACTATGGATACCTTCATCGTCCAGATCCGCAGGTGTTTCAGTTGTCAACAAAAGCAAGGGACTTTCAATCCGAGATGGAGGTCGCACAACCCGGTCTCGACGTTCATCATGCTCGATATCTGAATCTGGCTCTGAACGCGACTTTGTCGAGAGAGACGAAGCCATTACTCTGCTGAAAAGCATGGTCACGGCGAAGAGGATTTTCGTGGTTGGGAGGGTGGGCACTATGGGATATGGGAGGCGGGGTCTGATTGAGGTCAGTGTCAAGCCAAAAGGAGAGGGTATGCAGGTCTTGAATGAGTATGGTAAGATGTTTGTTGAGAAGGCTAGGAAGATGAGATTGGAGAAAGAAGAGATGTCATCAAAGAAAAGTGGACCTGATCTGGAGGTCTTGGTTGATGATTGATCGATCAGTGATGTTTTACTTTGTTTAGGACGTTGTACTATGAGACTACAGAATCGGCAGACAATTGGGAGGTTCTCTTTGAAGTATTTACTTGTATGCTGGGATACACGATAGGAGTGGCTTGCCTGATGATTTATGAATCCACAGTATAATTAGTCCTGACAATTTGGGAAAGTGATTTTTCCGGCACCCTAGGCACCAGCTCCTTGGCTTTCGTGTTGGCGTAGCGGGTTCGCCATTTCCTCTGCACCTGTGACATATTGAAACGATCTGAGGACAATTGAAGGCTCTGGTTCAATAGCCCACTTCAGAAAGCTGGCAAAGGGGTCTCTCCGCTTTCTCTGCCCAAACTCACCTCCCTTCAAGCCCAAAGCACTCACTCTGCACCTCCCTTCCAAGCGCCTTGTCCCAACTTTGTCGCGCAATATATCTAGTATACCTGCCCAGCTTCCATTCGACAAATCCAGGCTGTGTAGATGAACGCTCGTCAGGGTACCTCCTAATCCACGGCAGAAATGCTCCAACTCATCTTGATTCATGGCAGCTCCTCCACCTAAATGCAGAGTAGTAATGCGCGGCAAAACGACCGACTCGAGTAGCTTACCGATATGATGAGGCTCCTCTATTAATTCTCCTGCTCTTCTAGTGTTGATTCCGAAAACGTGGAAGTTGAGCATTAAGTCCTGGAGGTTGTTCCCACTGATCATCGTGCTAAGGTACTGATCCATGGCTTGTTGGTCTTTTGCTGCCAAAGGCTCGTCTCGGACAGGCTTCTTGTTCATGTTACCTGCTCCAAAGGAAAACTTGGAAATCGACTGGCATGCGGCACGGAGGTCAGACCATTTTGCGTTATAGTGGTCCTGATGGCTTGGAAAAACCATGGTTTGGTTGCCCCTCGTCGGAAAGCAGCCAATATTTATATCTCGTAAATTAACCCCCGCCTTGTGCACAGCGATCGGGATCTCCGAGAGGAGTTTTGCTGGCAACAATTCCGGTGCTCTGTCCATCTGTTCGATTGTGGACCATTCATGTGCCTTGGACATGAGTTTACGGAGATCGTCCATGCTGGTGGACAAGAGAGTGGGATCCTCAAAATATGGGTCTGGGATACAATCTATCTTGTCGATGAAGCCAAGAGATGTGGCATGGTTCATTTTAGATATAGATGCCGCCAGTCTATTTGCAAACGATCCGTCTGCAATCAGTCTAAGCTGTTCCTCGTGCTTTCTTTGATATTGCTCGTGTCCCTTGAGCAAAATGTGCTGATACTCAAGGTATCGACCATTTTGATCGTCATCCTGCCCTTCCTCAATTTCACCCCCGGAACTCACTAGCTCGGACCACGATGAAAAGTCTCTTGATAATTATCCATGGCTTTCTCATACCGTCGATACGGCAGTGGGCAGATAGTATCGTCACTCTTATCATGGCCTCCAAGATACCACGTTTCAGCCAAGTAATCACAGGTTCCCAAACTCTCTTCGAGGTCTTTTTGGCGCCAGGTTTTATACTGTGACAAATGCATTGCAAGTTGCTTCGGACGGTAATGAAGTACTACCTGGATGCCATGGACCGTGGATGAAAGGTTGGGGCTGCGAGAAATATTTTCAGCACGCTGGAGTGAAGTTTCATCGAGCTCGACGCGCAGCACTGGGCACAAGAGTGGTGATGCGACATCATGGAACAGACGACAAACAAGACGTAGGTTGCGGACAGTCTGTTGGCGATTGATGTTTTCTGCGTCGATGAAGCGTATGCTGCTGAATCCCCACTGCATACTTCCTTGAGATATGATTTTATGATCTCTAAAATTGTCAAAAATGTGCTTGAGGACGTCCGTGGAGAGGTGGAGAATGCTCATCGTGCGTTGTTTAGGTTGTACGTCAGATACTGCGGGAAGCATGTGCAGTGTCATTGTTGTTAAAGAGCGGAACAACAAAGTAGGCACTTGAACCCCAAAAATGCTTGAAATATATGACTTTATAGCGATGGTAGTAATGCTTTCAAGTTCAGGCAGCCTATCTATCTCTTTGATGGTGAGTCACGCCGGATAAATCAACAGTTACCTCTGTGCCTTGTCTAGCCTAGCCTGAAGAAGACTGTATATTTTAAGCGAGCCTTGGTTTTTATAGAAAAGTCTCCATCTCGATGTGTAGAAAGATTTATGGACAAATAAAGGGAATCAGAACACGTATGTCATTAATTGATCGAAGCACACGGTTTCAACCTACTTCCAACCATGGGAGGGTGCATGTATAATAATTTCTGCTCGACGACCCGTCTTAATAATCTCCTCCCCAATTGAGTTCACCCTGAATCTCAAATCATGTCCTGGATCTGTATCAGGCTCCCTTCGGCTTATGAAGTTTAGTCATCTCACGTGCGGTTCTGGTATTTGTGATGGTGGACTTGATGTTGCCATTGGCCATGGCTACGTGAATGGCCGTTCTGCATGTCGCCAATTTTTCACATGCTCCTGGTTCTGCAGTCTTCTTCGTTTCGGTGGTTGTTCTTGGTTGTTTTGGTGGCTGAGGACAAGTTATGTGTATCAATACATCATACCTAAATGCCTGGCGAAGTTGTGGAAGAGCCGCGGTGCATTCTGCTTTGGGAGGAGGATATTACCCCGCATTGGCGATATACCGAGATCAATTATCTCTAGACGGCGTCTCTGAAGAGTCCTCTTGATAGAACTAGGGCAACTCACATATCCTCTACCTTGTTCTCTGAGTTTCGCTACACTTGGGTGAATTTAGACTATCCTCGCTTGTTTACTTCGCCAGAAGGCTGATAAGCGAGAGGAGCTTTATGATAACGGCTCCGGACCGTGGGCTTCGATAAAGCAGGATAATCGTCCTATGCGTCTCCAATTGAAGGACTAGCGGTACCGCAAGCATGGGTTTTGGATGCGATCAAGTTCGAGTGTCAGAAATATGATCGGCAATTGGATTTTGGAGATTTTGGTTCAGATAGTGCTCTCCACAAAGGGCACGCACGTGTAAATTTCGGAAGGGAGGCAGTTTATCAGTTTGGTCAAGATAATTGTTGCATACCAGCTTTTTGAATACAATAGTAAGAAGCTACAATCTCGAAGTACGGACTGATCGCTTCAGTCTCTCCTTTCCTATAGCTCTCAAAATATGCTTCTGGACTTTACCACTCCCAGTTTTTGGGAAATCCTCTCCTTCTCCTAGCCAGAATACATGTACTGGAGCTTTATGCCAGCCCAGTGTTTGCCTCACAAAGTTTCTCAACTCTTGATCTGATGGGCGTGGCTCTGCTGAGCGATGTTGGAGGAAAGCGGCTACCACCTCGCCGTACTTGGCGTCAGGAAGACCAATAACGCTGGGCTGAATGATAGATGGATGCTGACCAAGCACTTCTTCGATCTCCAGAGGGAAAATATTTTCGCCTCCTGTTTGTTTTCATTTCAATCAACTTGTTGTACCATGATATTTGGAAATGCATACCTCGAATTATGATGTCTTTTATTCTCCCCGTGATGCTACAATATCCTTCGTTGTCAAAGACAGCTTCATCTCCAGTTCGCATCCAAAGACAACCTTCTTCATCACGTTGCATCGATTCAGCGGTCTTCTTCGGATTTCTCCAATATCCTTTCTGTAGCTGGAATCCTGACACCATAAGCTCCCCTCGAGTCCCTATCGGCACAGTATCACCCCTGGTGTTCACAATCTTGGCCCTTGTGTGTGGCAAAATCTTTCCAACGGTGGACAGTCGTTTTTCTACCGGATCATCTGTGTACGACATGAAAGAGCCAGGGGACGTCTCCGTCATCCCTATAAAATGTTAGACACTTCCAAAGACTCTGCTCATCAGGTCGCTTACCATATGTACTTGTTATCTCTTTCATATTCATTTTCTTCCGGAGATCAGCCATCATTTTCTGAGGAACAGGCGATCCGGCCGCAATTCCCGTTCGCAGGGAAGAGAACTCTCTCGCTGAGTCCCCTTTCAGGAGTTCCAACTCAGCAGCAAACATGGCTGGAACGCCGTGGAGACCAGTACATGACTCTTCAGAAACAGCCTTCAAAACCAGTGATGCTTGAAAAGTTTCGCTTGGGAATACAATACAAGCACCATGCGTAATGACCGCAAGAAGTCCCAAAACCAACCCGAAGCAATGGAAAAGAGGAGGTGCGCAGCAGATAATGTCTTCAGAGCCCAGACACATTCTATCGCCTACAAATCTTCCATTGTTGATAATATTCCTGACGAGGTGAGTATGGTTCAGTCTGTTGCAGTGGACTGAGAAACATACGAGTGTGTTAGCATTGCAGCTTTTGGTGCACCAGTTGTGCCACTTGTAAATTGCAGATTGCACACTTGGTCTGCCAATTGCTGTTGCATAGTTGAGAAGATCTCATGATCAGAAACACTTTCTCCAGCCCGCCAGAACTGATCGTAACTAAGAAAATCACATTCGGTATTTTGCTTGAGACAAACGACATTTTGCAGCTCGGGCAACTCATCTTTGCTGACACTCTTCAGCATGCTCATGATCTTTGTAGTCGAAGATTTGCCGATAGATGTGGCAACAAAGAGAGCTTTACATCCTGTTCTCTGTAAGGATGTGACAAGTATTGAAGATTGGCTTGCGAGAAAAACTGACCTGAATGTTTGAGAGCAAAGAGAAGCTCCCTGGGGGTGTATGTGGTATTCAAGACGACAAATATTCCCCCAACATGAGATGCGGCAAAGAAGAGTTCAACGTATGCTGGTAAGTTGCCAGCCAAAATTCCAACCCTGTCTCCATTTCGTATTCCTATCTTCTTCAATCCTTTGGCAACTTTTATTGATTTGTGGTAGAGTTCTGCATAGGAGACACGATAGTTGTACTCTGGGAAAACCACACATGGTCTAGACGGATTTAGTCCGGCTTGCTTTTGAAGCAATTGAGTGAGTGTTAGGTCCCACAGTTGTGAAGTTGAATCACCAACGAGCAGAGATGGCTTGCAATGATTTGTCATCTTTTCGTTCTCTCTTGGTAAAATATTGTCGTGGAGTGGCTGGTCTATCATCATGATAAACTTCGTAACCGAGTTGTTTGTGGAGACAGAGGAAGTGCGGGTTTCGAGGGCTTGAAATGCCAGGGTGTGATTGTTCAATCCCAGCTGACCGTGCAGTTAACCTACTCTAAACCGAGACATCTGATTTTGGGAAAACATCATTCAGATCCAAATTTAGTTTTCTCCCATAGCTCCTGTAATTACGTATCCCGACTCGTTCCCGCTCTGGAGTGTTATTGTGCGGACCGGTTTCGTGGGGAAGTTGGGGACGGATGACCCGGACCGTGCTTGGCGAACCTTCTTCCCACTGCCAGTTCCCGAGCTGAATGCAGGTGGAGCAGTCGGCATATCCTGGTAAATGGTCTGAACTTATTCATGAGAGCCTTTCATTCTCAAGCCTGTTTCTAGGCTGGCGATGCATCTTCAAGGCTGAGATCTTCAGACCAATACGAATCCCTTCATTGTATCATGCAACATCAACCACCACAATGGATTTGGGCTCAATACAAGCAAACTTTCCTTCCATGTCGAGCAATTTAGATCTGAAATCTGCAAAGTTTAGAGAAAATTCGACCAAATGGAACGATATCATTGCCAAGTACCACAGCGCTTCGGAGGCCGCGTCCCAAGAAGGCAGAAATGCAAAAGCCATCGAGAAACACACTTCAAGACAGATTCTAGGTATGATGGAGTTAAACCGAGTTGTTTCTAAAATTTGCCTAAAAAATTTCAGCAAGAGATAGGGTTGCTCTTCTCCGAGACCCAGACACCCCATTTTTGGAACTGTGTGCCTTTGCAGGTCATGATCTTCCGGACTCTTCCCCATCTGCCAGTCTGATAGCAGGCATTGGAGTTGTGAAGTGAGCTTTCTGAGATCTGTATACGAAGAACAGTGAACTCATCATGACTTAGTGGTATAATTTGTATGATCCTAGCACACATACTATCTATCCAAGGAGGGTCTTGGAATGAATTTACTGTTTTGAAGCAAAACCGAATCACTGCTATTGCATCCGAAAACCGGCTACCTTTGATAGCGCTTGTACAATCTGTGAGTATATCCTGATCAATCTCACTGAAACCGCCAAGTCATTTAGACTGACGAAGTTCTGTTTTCCAGGCCGGTGTTTTCCTTCCCCAACAGTTTCGAGTTTTCCACAAAAGCGGGCAGATATTTCGAGACCTCGCTCTACGAACGAAGAATGGCTTGCCTAGTTGTGCCGTCGTTTTCGGTTCTTCAACCGCAGGCGGCGCATACCATCCAGCTCTGTCAGATTATACAATATTCGTACAAGATCAAGCACAAGTCTTTCTGGGAGGACCACCATTGGTGAAAATGGCCACCGGTGAGGTTGTAGATGCCGAGACGCTGGGAGGGGCAACGATGCACTCGACAGTTACTGGGCTCTCAGATCAACTTGCAGGTGATGAGTAAGTCCAGTTTCTTCTGAGAGTTTAAAATAGGCACTGACGGATGTCAAGACTTGATGCAATAAGAAAAGCCCGCGAGTGGGTCCTGACCACATCGAGTGCACAGAAACAGTTGAACAGACCTTTAATTACAGCTCCATATGCAGAGGTTAAATATAACCCAGAGGAACTTTTAGGCCTCGTGGATCCCGATATTCGACAACCCATGGATATGATGGAAATTATTCTTCGCATTGTGGATGGCGCGCAGATTTCTCAATTCAAACCACGGTTTGGGAAGGGTATGCTCACTATTTGGGCACGAATTCATGGTTAGTCTGTCAATAGAATATTGATATTAAGTTGAGCTAACAACGGGAGGGCATCTCACTGGTATCATCGCAAATCAAAATCCTGTCATCCTCTGTAACGAAGCAGACAAGTCAACCCAATTCATTCGCCTCTGCAATCAAAAGTAAGTTTCACACCAAAGATAAGTGCTGCATTATTTATCTGACGAACCGATCCAGTCGAACTCCTATCGTGTTTCTACATAATGTCACCGGCTTCATGGTGGGTCTCAAGACTGAGACTGCCGGACTTATCAAGAAAGGCGCACAATTTGTGAGCGCGGTAAGTACAAGTACAGTTCCAAATATCAGCATCGTGTGCGGCGCTTCATATGGGGCTGGAAACTATGCGATGTGCGGAAGGTCGTATGCCCCTCGCTTTCTGTTCTCCTGGCCGAACAGTCGATGTTCAGTGATGGGTCCTGATCAATTGAGTGGAGTGATGGAGAACATTGCTCGTGGAGCAGCAACAAGATCAAAGAAAGCTGTCGATGAAGGAGAACTGAAGGCTTCGACAAAGCGACTCAGTGAGCAAGTGTTGAAGGATTCGGAAGTGTACAAGACCTCAGCGTACCTCCTAGATGATGGAGTCATTGATCCGAGAGACACTAGGCATGTGCTAGGCATGACCCTTGAAGTCGTTACACTGGATCCTGTTCGTGGCAATGTTGGTTTTAAAGGTCTGGCTAGAATGTAAAAGAGCATTGTGTTGAGGTTGAGAGTGCTGCATGCGTTGCTGTTCTCGTCATGCTTAGAAGCTATAGAATACGTACTACCGTGGGGATAGAGCCGAACAATCACGATTCTGAAGAAAGATAATAGAATGAGCAGTAATCTAGATACAATCCCTCCAAGGTATAACTTCAAAATATACAAATTGCAGTTCTCCATGTAGAACTTGCCCGAAATCCGGAGGGCGGGAGCCATCGAATTCATATGTCAGTGACACTGTCTGTATGCTAGACATTTTGTTGATTTAACTGATGCATATCCGCTGAGCTGCTCCAGGGAACAATTTTTACCTTTTATGAATCTATAAGTAACTCAAAAAAAAAAGACCAAACGGCTCAGTACTGTCTGTAAAATGTTTCTTGGCGTTTATGGCTGCCCAGCGGGATTAGAAGCGGGGCAACCCCACTTGCCGACCTCACTTCCCACATCATCTCGTCAACGTTACGTATGGCTTCAACATTTACTATCCAGTAATTCATGGCATATTATACTTCATTGAGGCCCACAAGGAACAACAGGTACAGAAGATGATGACCCAAAGCTCAGCACCTGGACCAGCCGCGAATGAGTACCGAGGCATCAAACGAAGCCAACAGGCCTGTCAGAATTGCAGGTAAGCCATCTTGATGGAAGATAGTGAGGCAGAGGCCTTCGATCAGCTTGAGGCTGTTTAATTTGACGCGAACATAACGATGCTGACTCGTAAATAGGCGCAAGAAGGCCAAGTGCTCTGGGCAACGTCCTGTGTGCAGTTTCTGCCGTAGGCTTAATCAAGTTTGCGAATGGACCAAAGTCACAGTTGAATCACAAGATACCAACGAATCCGCCACTAGAGATATGAGTAACTCTGTAATATAACTGCTCTTCTGTTTTGTAGCACGTGCTAAGTGCGTGCGTAGGACGATTTGTCGAGAAGAGTGGCTTCAATTGAGACAAAATTGGATAATTTACATGAGATGCTCAGCACGTAAGTTGAAGACAAGCGCCCTTCAATCCTTCTACTTACTCCCATCAGATACCTCCCAGCTATTCTAAACCAGTCACGAGATAATGCTAATAATTCCGATCAAATAATATCGCCTCATCAGAATGGTCCAAATGGTAGAGCTTCTTTCGATCTGATCAACGTGACATCTCCCGATGCTGTCCCACCAAACAATGCGAATCCGTGAGTCAAGTAAATCTCCCCAAACTCCTAGCTTATTTGGTGTAGAGCATCTTTTCGAGTTCTTCCCCCTTATCCGGTTTTGATCAACTTGATCAATGTATATTTTGAACGAGCACATAACCAGCCATATTCATTCTTTCATGAAGAGACATTCCGGCAGCGCCTTGAGCTCAAGTCGCTCCCCGAATTCTTACTGTTCGCCGTAATCGCTTCAGCAGTAAGATTTTCTTCGGATCCTTACTTTGGCGAGTCGAAGTCCGAGGCACTCCGAGCCTATGCCAGTGAGTCGTGGAAGTTGATTGTAGCTGTCTGTTTCGGGCCTGAGAGTGACCCGGACATATACTACTGTCAGGCAGTCACTCTATTATCTATCATTGACTTCACAGGTAGGTTGGAACCCTAATGGAACATTTTTATTGCCGAGTATAACGTGTACAATAGCCGGTAGGCGTCATCCTGGTTGGCTTAAGATCGGCTTGTCTATACGAATCGCCCAAGATTTGCAATTAATGATGGAACCAAGTCAAGACCTGAGTCATTCTGAACAAGAAGAGCGACGAAGAGTATTCTGGTCCATATATGTCCTTGACAAACTTTGCTCCTGTGGCCGCGCCAGGCCAGTGGCCCTTGCAGATTCCCACTGCTTGGTGCAACTTCCCTGTGATGAAATTACATTCCGGAAAGGCGAATGGAAGAGGACTATATCCTTAGAGCAGGCACTCTCAGCAAATGAGACGAATACAGGAGACGTCAGCAATTTTTCATTGGTGATTCTGGCTGCTTCGGTACTGGGTCGTACAGCGCAACACAGCATCCATCAGAATTTAAGAGGAGAAAGCCGGCTGCCCCCTTGGGACTCGAAATCATTATTTGCCACTATCAACTCGGCCCTCCTTCAACTGGAGATGAAATATGAATTTGGAAACAGTCTTGGGGACAGCGTAGCTCGGATGCGTGGTGAGGATGGCAATATTGATATGCAAGTTGCGGGTCCCGTGATATTTTCTCGAGCACTGTTTAGGACTTGCCAATGTCTTCTTCACCACCCGCTTCTACTGCACCAGCAATCGCGAGTTCTTGGAACCAAACCCCCTCTTAGCTTCTGGAATCGTGCGATACAGACTTGTCGAGAGAATGCCTGTTCTCTTTCGGAGCTTCTTCGTGATGTCCAGGCAGCTGGCTACATCGCTACCTACTCGTTCATGGGATATTGCGCTACAATTTCGGCGACCATACATACACTCTACCTCGAGGATCCTGATTTGAGTATCCAACAAAAGTCAACACAGTTATACCAAACGGACATCCTCTTTCTCAAAACCCTTGCCCAGAGATGGAAAAACGCTGAGTGGATGGTAATCACACCTTTTACATGAATCTTCTATCATTAATTTTTACTGACTTGACATAGCTGCTGGGTCTAGAACGACTTGCTGCTCAGTCGAAGCTTTCTGCGACTCTCCTAGGCACGAATCCTGACTGGCAGGCATTTGACGGCGACCAAATGGAGAATATACGGGCTACCATTGATTACAACACGATGTCACAAGCTCCAAAAGATACTACTCTACCGACTGCCGCCATGATCCCTTCGCCATGGAACCCGTTCGTCGGATTTGATGGATTCAATAATTATGCTCCCACACCGAATCAGTCAAACTCAAGCGGACCAAATCCCTATGTCTATGACCCATACAGCGATCCGATGGGGTTCAACATGATGTCTCCATTCGCATCAGGGCGTTGGTGCAGGGGCCAATTTCGGTGGATAAGAGCCTAAAGACACACATTGCGGTTGGAACATGCATCAATTTCCAACATCTCGAACTCTAAACTGTTTAATCTACAGTGAATAGCACTTCGCCTTCGTTTACTGCGTCTCCTTTCTGAAACTTGGCTGTGAATTTGCCTTCCGCAGTAGCCAGAATGTTCATCTCCATCTTCATACTTTCGACAACCATTGCAATTTCTCCAACCTTCAACATCTCACCGTCTTTCTTCAGCACGTTGAGAACTCTGCAAGGCATTGTTGCTTTGGGTGATTTATCCACAGCTGCCGCTGCCATCTTTGCCGATCTTCGGAGTGATTCGCCATATGAGAGACGGGAGAAGTGGTGGTACTTGACGTATGTTCCGAATGCGGGAATATGGGCAAAAACTTCTTGGTGTGCACCCGCCTCAGACCCTCCTTGTGGACCAGATGAGGCGAAGATGGTATACCGTTGGCCATCAACAGTAACTGAAATGTCGTCGAGGGTCCATAGTTCTGAATTCTGAAGAGCTGTCTGTGAAATGCTTAGGATATCCATGGAGGTAGCATGAGGTGGGGTCTTTTGCAGAGCCGGAGTATCCCGCAGTCTTGAGCTGAGCTTGTTATAGCCCCGTGCAAGCAAGACACCCGGCTTCAAGTCCTCGTCTCCTTTGCTGGACTCGGTTTCATTGTAAGGGACTACCTTGACGGAATTTCTTCCGTCCCAAACAACAATATTAGTCTTTCCACTGAGGCCTGGAATGGTCACCATGCTAGCTTGGGTATTTGCTGCGTCCATCTTCTGATTCTTGAAAGAGGGTGGTATGCTCGCAAAAGGACGTCTTGCTGAAGTGGAATCTTGCTTCTTCTGCTGTAACATTGACGGTATGAAGGAGAGGAGGTTCTGGAATTCGTCGCTGTGCTTTACATACGGATTTCGGACAAGCGTGGTCATCAGTTCCGGGATGAAACTCGTCGTATATTCAGGATCTTGAAATTTGGCATGGAGGAGGCAAGACTGCAGGAATAATTGATTGCTTCTGATTCCGATGCAGACCGTGTTGGCCATGATCTTGGCCATATGAGATACGGCCAGTGATCTTGTCGGCGCCCAGACTATTATTTTCGCCATTAAAGAGTCGAAGAACACCGAGACTTGCGAACCAGTCTCGATGCCCGAGTCAAAACGCGAATACGCATCTCTCGACCTTGAAAGGACTGATGAAGCTGGCGTCCAACGTCGGATGATGCCTGAGTCTGGGTAAAAGTCGCGGTAAGGGTCTTCAGCGCAAAGGCGACATTCGATTGCATGCCCAACCTGAGGTGCCAATCCGTCTTTAAAGTACCCAAGCGCATCCAGAGATCCTCCACTCGCCACATATACCTGAAGAGCGACAATATCCGTTCCGGTTGTTTCTTCGGTAATAGGGTGCTCGACTTGAATCCGAGTGTTCACCTCGAGGAAGTAATACTTCGAGGTGTCGACATCCACGATGAACTCCACAGTCCCAGCGCTGACGTAGTTGAGGAGTTTGCCAATCTGAATTGCAGTCATGCTCATTGCTTTTCTGAGTTCATCCGAGAGCCATGGTGATGGTGCTTCTTCAATCACCTTCTGATGTCGTCGTTGAATAGAGCATTCGCGATCCAGCAACGATACCACTTGGCCATGTGTATCACCCAAGATTTGTATCTCGATGTGCTTGCTTCGCTCAATATATTTCTCCACAATGCAGTCCGAGGACCCAAACGCCCTTTCCGCCTCCGATTGAGCTCTTGCCAGTTCATCTTCGAATTTGCTTCTCTCGTACACAATCCTCATTCCCTTTCCGCCGCCTCCGGCAGAAGCTTTGATTAAGACTGGATACTCAATTTGGTCCGCCTCTTTCAAGAGCCGCTCGATACTTTGATCCGAACCATTGTATCCTGGAATGAGAGGAACCTCAGGTGCGTGCTCCAGGAGATAATCCTTCGCGGATCGCTTGTTTCCAAGCACTGCCATACTCTCAGGCGATGGACCGAGGAATAGCATTCCTGACTGTCGTATTGCTTCTGCAAACTCGGAGTTCTCACTTAAGTAGCCATAGCCGGGATGGATCGCATCAGCTTCATATTCCTGAGCAGTCTTCACGAGAAGCCTGATATTCAGGTGGGGATTCCCATCTTGCCCGGCAATATCTCCAAGTGGGATCGCCTGGTCTGCCTGCTTGACATACAGAGCCCCTTTATCACTATATATTGTTAGATCTTCCAATATTTTGAAGACAGTAATGCATTTGTGCACTTACGGGTCGGTGAACACAGCTATCGATGTGATGCCAAGACGTTTGCAGGTTTCGATTACTCTGCAAGCAATCTCTCCACGATTTGCAATTAACACATGTCTAATCACCGGATCACCGGTCTTGTTTCGTAGTTGTGGACATTGAAGAATTGGTAGTCTGTCCATCGTGGGCTTACGCTGTCTTCGACTGTGTAGAATTGAATGATTCAAATCGAAGATCTAGATAGCCAGCGTACCACTTCAGTCTGCAGATAGAACCGAAGCTAGAATGTTGATGCTGCAGGGACTACAGGGAAAGCTCCCCCGGATCGTAGCACAGACTGGGGGAGATGCCGGGACTGCCCACGGTCCGTTCCCGCCCTTCGACGTGCGAATCCCGAGAGAGCGACCACGGCTTGGGAATTCGGCAACATCAACAACGTTTTAGGTTACACAAAATACTGGGAGAAAAAAATGATTGTTTCCTGGTCATGCATCGATTACTGCGTTTTTCAACTATGGCGAGGAAACTACCTGAAGTGAAGATCGTAGAGGTGGGACCACGTGATGGACTTCAGAATATCTCTCAAATGGTACCGACTTCCACCAAGATTGAGTTGATACAAAGGCTTGCCAGAACCGGACTCACAACTATTGAAGCAACATCTTTCGTGTCCCCTAAATGGATACCTCAACTTGCCGATGGTTCAGAAGTTTTGCGAAGTCTGCAGAATCATATCAAGACGGGCTCCAAGATCCAATTTCCCGTCCTGGTTCCCAATGTCAAAGGTCTGGAGAGAGCAAGCGAGTGTGGCGCGAAGGAAGTGGCTATTTTCGTATCCGCGACAGAAGGATTCAGCAAGAAGAACATTAACTGTACGGTAGCAGAATCTCTAGAACGGGCTCGAGAGGTGACCAGACGTGCAAGAGATTTGGGAATCATGGTTCGCGGGTAGTCATCACCACTCAGAATAAAATGGCCAGTTGCTAATGAACCTCTTAGATATATTTCTTGCATTTTCCAAGATCCGTACGAAGGAATGACAGATCTACAGCAAGTCGTGAAAACCACTAAAGCGCTGCTAGACGCAGGCTGCTATGAAGTCAGTCTCGGTGACACTCTTGGTGTTGGAACTCCCGCCGATGTCACAAAACTTTTTACTGCCGTCCTCCGTGAGATTCCACCTGAGCGTCTTGCTGGGCACTTTCACGACACCTATGGTCAAGCTATTGCGAACGTGGTCAGAGCTTATGAGCTGGGCATTCGGACTTTTGATAGCAGTGTAGCGGGACTTGGAGGATGTCCATTCGCCAAAGGTGCGAAAGGAAACTTGTCAACAGAGGATGTCGTGTACACCTTAGAGAAGCACGGGATTTCAACTGGTGTGAATCTGACGGAATTAGCGAAGGTTGGATCTTGGATTTCGAAACAGCTTGGGATACCAAATGGAAGTCGTGCTGGGGAAGCGATCATAGCGAAACTCCAAGATTCGAATTCTCACCCCAAGATCTCATCTGCTTCTCAACAATGGCAGGTTCTCGAGAAGAATGATGATTACCGAGTGAGCAGAAGCGGGGTCAACATCGAAATCTGTCTTACAAGGCCGAAAAATGGCAACGCACTCACAACAAACATGCTACAAGCACTCTCCAGACTGTTCAAATCGTTCTCCGACGACGACTCTGTTTTCAGAATCATTCTACGCGCCGAAGGTAAGTATTTTTGCACAGGCATGGATCTGAAAGGCTCGAGCAGTACCGAAGAACAGTTCAGCAATTTGAACACCCTCTTCCACACCATCGATGCTTGTCCTAAAACAACAATCGCTGTCATCAATGGTCCCTGTTTTGGTGGTGGTGTCGGTTTGGCTTTCGTCTGTGACATACGACTTGCAACCTCCAACACCACTTTCACTTTAAGCGAAGTTCGTCTTGGACTTTGCCCAGCTACGATATCGAAGTTTGTCACAAGAGAGTGGGGTATCAGCTACACTCGCTCCGCTATGCTGACCGCCAGGGAGATCAAAGCTTCGGAGTTGGGAAAACTGGGAGTTCTTTATGCGGTTGTGGAAAACAAGTCGGAGCTTGATTTGGCTGTGGAGAATCTTGTACAAAGCATGAAGTTCAATGCTCCAGGAGCTTCTAAGTTGAGCAAAGATCATGTCAGAGCAGCGTATACTCATCCGGGTGGGGAGATGCAAGCCAAGGTGATCAAGAAATCTTTCGATGAGATGATGGATCCTGGCGCGGAGCATGGATATGCTCGTTTGAAGTTCAAGGAGGGTGTGAAAAGGGTGGACTGGGAGGCAAGAGGAAGAAAGCTTCTTAGCTCGAAGCTATAGAATACATCTGCATGTATCAAATTTACCAAGCACACAATTTTCAAGTCCGGTCCATGTTCCCAAGATGAATCGTTGACGGTATGTATCTCAATCACGTGATTTCTGTGAGTTCGACCAAGGGGCCTCCCGTTTACGTCACCCTTCATTGACTGCTCTTTTTGCCGTGCACCAATAGCCTTTCATATGAACTCTATGTCGCAACTGGTAAAGCCATATATCTTGGGCACATTGAGGACAAATATCGTGACCCGGACCCGGTCCGTCCAAGCCGTCCCCACTCATCCCACGACCTTCGCGTCTCGGTAAACACCCCCGAGATCCAAACACGGAACAGTAAAGAAAGTATCAGATGTTCAAATGTGACGACAGGGAACGGATCCCTAAGATCACCGCCGGTTCGTATCGGATGTATTGTATCAGAATAGATCTAGACTACACACAGAAACTGGATTTACTGTGGCTCTCCAAGTCTTCTTTCTATTTTCTATTGTTGACTGATGACCATAAACAAAACCATGTCTTCATCATCTCAAAGTCCAGATATGACCCCTTTCGCTGAGCCTCTCTGGCACACCCGCCCAACAGAAGTATATTACAATGAATCTCATCGACGGCTCAGAGACACTATCCGAGCGTACATATCAGAAAAAATCACGACAAACTGCGCGGAGTGGGAGGAGCAGGGCTTTGTACCAAAAGATGTAATTTTCGGTCCCTACAGTCGCTATATCCTTGATATGCGAGAGAACCACTAACAATATCTATCCACTTTCAGGTCCTCTTAGAGCATTCTCGTCGAGGGTACACAGCCGTGACTGTCAACCCAGCAGCCATCGCTCCTTATATGGGAAATATCAAGCTGCCCGGCGGCATCAGACCGGACCAATGGGATGCATTTCATGATCTCGTTTGTATCGACGAAATCGCTCGATGTGGTTACCTGGGTGTAATTTTGGCTCTGGGATGTGGAGACGCGATTGGACTTCCGCCAGTCATCAATTTCGGCACCGAGGCACAGAAAAAGGAGTTTTTGCCTAAGGTTATTAAAGGACAAAGCAGATTTTGTCTTGCGGTCACTGAAGTTGAAGGTAGGTTTTGCCAAAAACATTTGGCGAGTTGCTGAACAGGAGAGGAGAGGAGTCCGGGCTGATTGGAATGTGTAGCTGGGTCTGATGTGGCAAATATCACAACAACAGCAGTGCGTAAAGGCGATGTATATGTCGTCAACGGAGCCAAGAAATGGATCACAAATGGTATCTGGGCAACACATTGTACTGCGGCGGTACGAACAGGTGGGCCTGGCAAAGGTGGAATCTCGGCGCTCGTCATCTCCTTGACGAGCAAAGGTGTTAGTCGAAGAAAGATTTTGAATTCGGGTGTAGCTGCCAGTGGATCGACATACATTGAGTTTGATGATGTCGAAGTCCCCGTGACAAACCTTCTTGGGAAAGAAAATCAAGGGTTCAAAATCATCATGTCGAGTATGTATCCCTGGTGTATTCGAGGTACTCTTTGTCTAACCAATGCCAGATTTCAATCACGAACGGCTGTGGCTTGCATGTACCAGCCTCAGAATGGCGAGAGTCTGCCTCCAGGACGCATATAGCTATGCTCTGTCTCGACACACATTCGGCAAAGCACTGATCAATCACCAAGCAATCCGTACCAAGTTCTCGCTTATGGCAGGGAGCATTTTGCCTGCCCATGCATTCATGGAATCCTTAGTAGCGCTTTCAAACACACTGCCAAGTTCCAACACAAACAGCAGGAGTACGCCTGTCGCGACCGAACAAGTACAAATAGGGGGGTTGATAGCATTATTGAAAGTCACTGCTGCCCGGGCACTCGAGCAAGCCGTGCGTGAGGCTCAGCAGGTGATGGGTGGATTGGGATACTCGAGGACTGGAAAGGGAGCACGTATTGAGCAGATCAGTCGTGATATGAGAGTTATGGTTGTTGGTGGAGGAAGCGAGGAGATTTTGACAGAGTTGGCTTTCGCTCAGGAAGGAAAGGATGTAGCTGTTATCGCTGGTCGTGTACAAAGCAAACTCTGAAATAGCTCGAGCGGGAAGTAATTAGCCTCCGAGTCTTGGCGATACAGAGCTGTCCTAGAATTCATCTTGGGTAAGACAGAGGCTCATCGTCTAGTCCGTGACATTTTTGGCGTTTTGTTGTTGACGATGAAGGGTCTCCAGTGGAGTACCAGATTTCAGGGCGGTCAATTGTAGTACGTTACACGCTCCAGAAGCTCGAGTATTACAGGTCAAAGTCTGAAACATGGCCAGCTTTGTCTTCGGAACATGGAGCTTCATACTCCAAGGAGACGCTTCGTGTAAATGCTTAGGCCCCGTTATTGATATTTGGCTTGCCGGGTGTGCCTCGATCAAAGTCTAAGGGATTAGTTCCATCTCTTCATCGAAGAATCCAAAGTCAATAACTCTCAATACGGCCTCATGGTCTTCTAAAGTCGAGTCTGCTGCTGAACGCTTGTGGAATTGGTCGAAAATCAACGTCGAAAGTTGAAGAGCAAGCCGCCCCACTGCGAGACATAAGTAAACATAAACAGTATTATGGTGATTTGGTACCGCCAAAGAGGATACCACATGCGTGACTTTAATCAAAAATTGTATCAGGGGTTCTGCTCATTTAGGAGCAACCAAACAGTTGGAGTAGAAAGCCAAGAGCGTCTTCAGGTCACGTGTGGGAAGGGGAAATGTGAGACATCTGTTGTCAATGTTACACAGAAGAATGGGTATAAATGTGTGGCTTGGATCTGGAATTTTCAATCTCCGCCAGCAGATTCGCATTTATCCGCAGTCTTGTAATGGTTTTGTTTCAATTCCCATATACTGCCCTTGGATCGATCTCCCTCCAGTTGTCCCTTTGAGAACAAGCTGTTTCCGGGTGACATCACTGGCGCCAACCTTATTTTCACCCCATATCTGCCCAACTTTATTTCGAGCTTCCATCATCCACAACATCATTGAAAAACATTTCCTGTATTATTGCACTTATAATTATCAAGTATACCCCCAAACATAATATCTAATGGATCATCCAAGTGAGTCATCTGCTTTACAACTGCCTATCTTAGATTGGTGTGGAGAGTTGGATTGGGCATGCATACCATCAACCTCCGTTAATCCATGTCGACCGGGACATACCCATATACAACGAAATAATAGCTGACAGACTCCTCTTTCGATAGAAAGACAAATCTCCCACGTCATCTATCTCCTCACCGAGGGGTCTCCGGCAGACCAAAAAGACGCACTGGATGCGTACTTCCTTCCCGACGCTGCATTCATCCACCCACTGTGTAGAGTACCCAGTTTCTCTCACTTCAATCTTCCGCTTGTTGGAGAGATCAATTCAAGATGGGTCATCTGGATGATCTATCGCTGGTACAAGATTCTTTCTCCACGAATTGTGCTCGATGTCGAATGTGACGGTAAGCACATAAACCCGGCCCTTCAACCACATTCATACTGATCCCCGCGATCAGAATTCAATCAAAAATCATCCATCCTCTTCGTCGAGATCCGACAGATCTTCTCCCTCTTCTTCGTCCCATTCTACAAGTCAGACGTACGACTCACCACCAAGCTGAAGCTCGTGCATTCGGAAAACGATGGGAAATATTATATCAAGTCCCAGGAGGATCTGTACCAGACAAATGAGGTGGTGAAGTTCTTTTGGCCGGGTGGAGCGACGATCGTTTGGCTGTGGCAGTTGTTTGCTACAGGTCTGTGCATATTGGGGGCTCTGTTGCTGGCGCCGGTAACTTGGATTGAGCAGAGGCATGCGAATCATGTTAATGGCGTTAAGAAGACTATTTAGAGGTCGGTAGAATCCATGCTTGCAATGGTGGAGAAGGGGCGGCGGCGTTGGTAAGGGTGGAGTTCGTGGGGTCATGTGAGGTAGACACAGCGGGGTCATTGGTTTTCTGGTGCTGGTTGGAGTGTCATTTTTTTCGCATGTTGAAGTGTACGATCAATTCCATCTTCATGAAACATCGCACGACCTTAAAGAGGATTCCAGAAGCTTTGGCTGGTCCACAAGTCCTTTTTCTTTTGCAGGATAAGGTGACCGAAGCACATCGTGCCTAGAAAAGGATGCTGAGTTGGAATATTTTATGATTCTGCTGGAAATGTTTCACATGTCGTAAAAGCTCATGGCACATGCGTCCCTTTTGAACCTCTCAGTTGTGTCCTGTCAAAGAAGCCATTCCTTTCTTCTGATTGCTATGCATCTTCCCCAGGTACAGGCACCAAGTCAAGATCTTAACAATACTTCTTTGTTGATGACCATGTGGTGGAACGAGCAGGCAGGTTTATTTGGACGGCTAGCACAACAGTCTTTTCATTTTTTACGACAGTATTCCTACCTGGTTCATGGCTTTGTTGGTTGCAGCTTCAGCAACAACAGAGCTTTGATCCAGTGGCTGGGCGAAACATGGAGTTCCATCTGAAAGTGCTTTTGAATGCGTCCAGGGGGTCAGAATGAGCAAAGACTCATTGCTCTATATATAACCACGACTCTCCCCTTTTGAGATGTTTACTAGAATCTAGCAACGCAACACACAAGGCCATTACGATGCCATCTATAACACGACAAGATAGCAAAATGCCTTCTAAGGGCCCAGCAGAACGATCCGAGTCCAGAGGCAGAAAGAAACAGCGATCGCCAGAGAAGCCACCACAAAGAGATAGTGATGAGTCCTTGAGCCCAAACAACGGGGCTTGTCTGGGATAAATCCAAAGCAAGAAGGTTCTTCACATTCGAGAGACCCATCACTTGGAACTTCAAGTTCCAAAGGAATCAAGAGCATGCGGGGAGGAAGTCCACAGGCAAGAGCCGCACAACAAAGCCAAAATCTGCCACCATTTGGACCACCTGCACCCTACACCACGTCCAGAGCCTTTACTCGTGCAACATCAGATTCGGAGGAAAATTTCCAGCAAGAAAACCCGTCGGGTAGCAGGGAATCAGTCCCTCTCCAGTTGAAAGTGGATGAAAACGGGCATGCATATCTCAGCACATCAAGACGTAGATTGGATGACACTGGAAATCCGAAGTTGCTGCAAGGACCAACTAAGAGCGTCATGAGTGATGACCAACAGATCTCTTCTAAGCGATTTGGAGACATGGGTCCACCACCACGTCAGTCTAGGCCCGTACTCGGTCGGTCATCATCTCTCAATAGACCAGATTCAGCCTCGTCACAGTTCAGACGATTCAGCTTTGATAGTGACGGGGACCTTCCTCCTCCATTCAAGTTTATGCGTCACAGGCGGCAAACCACTGGTCAAACCCAGGATCAACCCCTGATACAAACTGAATCACAAGGAAGAGCGTCCGGATCACCTTCGGGGCACTACAAGGGTATGTTGAAGTGGAGTTCTTAGGTGGTGGTAAGGTTGCATGGGGTTCTCGCTTAGGGATGGCTTTGTTTACTTTTAGCATTGCAGGCGGCACGTGTCGGCAGTACACGAAGGTCCGACTCGTTGCTTTCCGCTGAAAGAGGAGGTTCACAGATGGATGAGGAGATTCATAATCGGGGGAAATACGGCTATTTTTGTTATGGTTTTGTGATTATAGAAATCTATCACAGTTCCCCAGGGTTATGACTCAGCCCGAAACTCCCACGTGTTTGTCAGATTGCTCAAGTCTAGTAGTCCCTTCATCACCCACTTGAGGCCAGCAATCACCTCTTGAAGCCCAGAGCTGTGAATAACTTGCCGCTCACCACCAGTCCAGCCAATAAAAACACCGTCCCTCTTCCTCAACAATCCAAGACTCTCAACCATAAACCCCCAACAGCCGCCTTCACAGTCCACCCTCACGTCATTATATCCACTAGCCCCCATCCCAACCCAATCCACATAGCACACGTCCAACATAAACCATCACAAGATGTATTCGCATTCAAATTACCATGGTACGATCGGTCCGCCTGCACCAAGCTCCAACGATCTCCAAGACCAGATTTGGAAGCTCCAAGAGGAATCCCGCGGCTATTTGGCACGTATTGATAACCCGGAGGCGAGGATAGTTGAAGATAGGCAGTATGCGCTTGAGTTGGAAAGGGTTCTGAATGGAATGTTTAGTGGGTGGACGATGAATCCGACGGGGGATCAGGCGGGGAATCAGACGGGGACTGGGTCGTGGAACCAAGGAGGAGGTTGGCCAAAGGCCCTGGGGCAAGTCTTGGGGAGATTGAGCCGATGTGAGGCTTAAGATATCAGCTGGTTTACCAGACTAAGGAGGACGTTGGGAGTTAATACGGTGATCTTGCACGAGCTCCCTGCTATCTGTTGCGTGAGTTATAGTATATGGCAGAATGAAAGCAGTGGTTAGCATGGATGCGTACCAATATTTGTGATTGGTAGGCAGCAATGATAGTTCCACTAACCTTCGAAGAGTTCGTTGCTAAAAATCACTTTTTTAAAATCGAGTATCAGTGGTTGACCATCTAAGGATTAAACTCCAAGCTTCATTCCACCTATCAAAGTCCATGGTCATGTCATCATACTCCTATTTTCCTCTCATTTCCCCCACAGATGTCAGAACATAACTTAGACTCCAAACCAGGAATCAAAATAAAGTGCACTGTCTGTCAGTCTATTCGAGACTCGAGCTTCTTCATTTGTCCCAGACATTCGTCCCAGCTCACCATTGAGCTTGGATGTAGACAACGGAATTTAAGAATAGTATAAATTGTAATTAAACGACCCCATTGCCGTTCAGCAATGCCGCAGTTTCTAATCAACTTCAAATATCAACATCAATAATTCTCATTGAACAATCTCAATCTCAATCTCGTCGTTATATTCCATATGGAAGCGTCTCAAACCCTAGGAAACAAACTTTTATCAAACTCCTCGTAACCTCCTCACTATTCCTCTTTACAATGTAAAGAAGAAGCCCGGAAGAAGAAGGTATCACATCACCATACTATAAATCGAGCCTTGCACTGGAAATGAAACCAGTGCTAGTTTAAGCATATCCGAGGCGGTAAGATACTGTATCTCGTCTCCTTCAATCCCTTCACCCTGCCCCACCACAATCCCCAAGCTCAATCCCAGAAAACACAAACCCAAACCCCAGAACCCAAACCCTCGATTCGCAAAGTCCCGTGCCCCAGCCCGCTTCAAGAACACTCTGGGAATGTTCTCTCTCACCATTCCATTTCCCATCTTAGGCCCCGTCCTGGCCTGCCCTGGCCTATTCAGCAAAGTATTCATGACCCAACCTTACTTGATCTGATCTGACCTGACCTGACAAACACTACTCAATGACGATGGATAAATGCACAACTAGCAAAATAGAGAATAGGATATCAAACCGACCAATACGTCAGAGGAAGGAGAAGATCGCGAGAAGCAAAAGGAGGAAGAAAAAGCAGGAAGAAAAAGGAGGACAAAGCGCGGAGGTCGAAGGAGGAGGGGGAGGAGGAGGAGGAGCAGAATCCCAATTCCATTTCAATTAACGACTACACATATATATGGATAAGTAAGTAAGTAAGTTGGCAAGCCAACCAAAGCCAGCCAGCCCAACCAACCCAAGCTCCGCTCCACTCCGCTCCCAAGCAGCGCTGATTTCCATCACTCGTATGCCCTGCCCTATCCACTCCACTGTATCCCTATGCAAGCGATCCAATCCGTCCGAACAGACAGCTCCGAACAGACAAAAACAAACGAAAAACGTGGGTATACATGATCGCATCTCATCTCATCTTGTCTTGTCTTGTCTGTCTATTCTAGACCCCTTGCTCTGCTCTGCTTCGCTCTGGTTTGCTTCCCTGCCCTTCCCTTCCCTTCCACGATGTAACCATCAAAGCTGTCTATCCGCCTGCAAGCGCACAATTAACCAACCCATCCTATTCCTCTACCTTCGCTTCTGCGTCCCCTTCCATCATATGTCCGAGGCCGAAGTCACCATCCAGCCTCAGCTACTGCTCACTTCTGCCCCGAGAAGAACCAACTCGATCTCTTCCCCGCATTCCCACTCGCCTCATTCTGTAGCCCACTGATAGCAGGGTTAACGCCACCACCGCCGGTAATCATGTTCCCAAAGGCCGACTCAGCACCACCTCCTCGGAGGGGTTTGGCGATTCGGGAGCCGGCGCCGCCGAAGGAGAAGCCTCCGTTGGTGGGGGAGCCGAGACCGCGAGTTGAGCCGGACTTTGCGGCTTCGAGGCGCTCTTTTACGGCTGTGAGTTGGGCTTCGAATCTGTGGTGGTTTGTTAGTGTCTGCCTTGTACCGATCGAATTGGAGAAGGACAAGCGAAATGAATGTGTAGAGGATAGGTCAGGGATGTGGCTGAGAAGAACATACCTATGATTCGCAGCGGTCAGTTTCTCCTGTGAGTCCTGAAGTAGCGACTCGAGTGATTGTATCCTCTCGTTCCTAGCAATGAGTTTCCTCTCCGCAATCGCAACCTCCTTCTTCAGACTACCATTCTGCTCAACGAGTTGACGCTGCACATGCGTGAGCTGCTCGAGATTGCGCTCCAAGAAGGCCATCTTCTTCTGCTGAGCACGGTTGTTGGATGAGCGGAGCACATTGTTGTACTGCTCTCTCGTCTCGTCAAGGGAAATCTCGAGTTCGACGACACGCTCGCATCGGTTCTGGAGATCGCGCATGAGACTCTTCTTCATGACGTCGAATTCAGCGATTTGTTGCTGAACGGTCTTGCCGTTGGCCATGCCGCCGGCGCCGTTGGGGACGCCGCCTGCTTTGACCTTGCGTTGGAGGTCTTCGTTTACGGTCTTGAATTTCTGGATCTCAGCTGACTTCTGGGCCAGATCGGCTTTCAGGTCTTCGACTAGTGATGTTTGCACATCTTGCTTGTTGGAGTATGCCTGGGCAAGTTTCTGCTTGACTTCCTCGACGTCTGCCTCGCTGAGGTTTCTCTCAAGAAGGTCCTCGTACTCGCGCTCAACAGCCTCGAGACGTTGCTCGAGCTCCTCTCTTCGCTTGGCGTTTGTGTCGTCTGAAGGTGTACCGTACACAGACAGCTCTGCTTGACGAACAATCCCTTGTGTCTCGACCAATGCAGCCTTGATAGACTCCAACTCATCTGGGGCAATGGCTTCCCCAGCAGCGGATTGCCCATGGAGAGCGTCCACTTGGTCGATAACCTTCTTGATAGTCCGCTCATTGTCACTGAAGACATCTCCACCGAGATCAAAGCCAGCCATCATCTTGGCCATCTTCTCCGCCTTCTTCTTTTCCTTCTCATCCAAGACAGCGCTAGTCTCCTTCGCGGACATCTTAACATCCAAAAGCTGTTGCTTAACTTCATCGAGTTCGGCTGTCAGCTCAGCATTGGCCTCTTTCAATCCGTCCATGGTAATTTGCGCCTCCTTGCTCTCAAAAGACAAGCGTTCTATCTGCATCTTAAATTCGTTGACCTCACCAGTCAGCTTCTCGTTCTCGCGGTTTCCTTTCGTGTCCCGTTCCTTGAGATATGCCAACTCCTCCTTCGTGTCTCTCATTTGCTTCTCAACTGCAGATATCTGGGATTCCTTCTCTGCGATCTGATCTTGTAATTCATTCTCCCGTCGCAGGAACTCTTCCCTTTCGTCCTTATCGATTGGTAAACTGGGTGTGGCAGAACGTTCTGAAATAGCAGGTGTCTCCGCTCGACTCTCAGCCGTAAGTCTTGACGGCGTTGACGGTCTCGCCGGTTGTGCTTTCGTCCTTGTGATCCCAGCAATCTCCAGAGGGGCCGCCCACTTCTCCTTCGGCACCGCCTCTCCAGCTCTCCATTGTTGTACCTCAGCATCCAGTGTCTGGACATAGGACTCGAAAGTCGTAACTTGGGATTGCGCCTTCTTGAGCAACGCCTTGAGTTCCGCAGGACTGATCTCCGCATTGATCTTGGCCTTGTTCTTAATCGCCTTCGCTCGCATACCAAAACGCAGCGTACTCAAAGTTTCCGCATCGTTGTAACTACTGGGCGAGCAGTTGATAATAAGTGTAGTCCGACTGTTACCCCCCAAACTCTCTTGCAGAATTCGAGTAAGTTTTGAGTCTCTGTAAGGGATGTGGGATGATTTCCCGTCCGTCAGGTTGTTGATGACCATTCCGAGGGCACTCAAACTCTTGTTGATCTTCTTGGCCTCCTCGAGAGTCTGTCCGCTTGCACCAGTCTTGCCGACCTTCTCACTACCAGCCAAATCGACCAGGAAAAGTTGTCCGCTCTTCGCAGACCCTGTTTCAACATTCTTCTGTGTGATGGTAATGACGAAGATGGAATGCGACCGCGAGGATTCGGCGTTCATGTTCGTAGCAGCAACAGCTCTTGAATTCCCACCCCTTCGCATGACCTCGTAAACTTCCTGCACGCTCGAGACGTATATCTCTAGGAGACCTTTCACATATACACCCCTATTCTTCTCCTCGTGCACCGGTAAATTGTCATTGTGCGGCGCCAGGAGATCCCTAATACGCTCCATGTAGATTTCCATGTAGCTGACCCGCACAGTATATTCGATGGTCCCAGGACTGGCTAGAATACTCGCAAATATCTGCTCCACAATCCGGGGAATCACACCTCTGCCCTCGGGGTCATCCATATCCGTTCCCATCATGGTATACGACTTTCCCGCACCAGTTTGACCGTATGCGAATACAGTGCCATTGTAACCGTTGAGAATGTCGTCGACGGTAGACTTGATGGAGAAATCGAAGACGTCTTTCTGCCGCGAGTTCATATCAAACACGCGGTCGAAGGTAAACGACCCAGAGGCCTCTTTGGACTGTTCATATCATCAGTTGAGCCCCTTCAAATATATAAATCAAGTAGACAATACGTACGTCTAGCCGACATGTGTCCTCGCTCTCGAACTCAACAATAGGCTGCCCGCCCTCTCCAACCTCGATGCGGTTCTGCGGCCTGAACCGCGCCACCACCTTGATGCTGTTCGACATGATGCGCGAGTCGAGGCTGCTGTCGCTATCCGGGAACGATCATATGTGCCAGAGCCAAATGCTTGCCGGCCCGAGACGTGGTGGTGGTGGTGATGATGGAAGACGACGTGGTGTATTTCCTGTGCGCTGCTTCTCTTCTGATCTGATCTGCCCGTGGCTATCGTGTCGTGCGAGGGTGACGTTGGGGTGGTGCCGCCGCCTGTCAGGTCGAAAGTCGATAAGGAGGTTGTTGACACACTTGCTGGGTTCGCGTAGGTTCAAGATTTCGCGTGCGCCGTGCCGGAGCCAGATCAGCTAATTTGCCCGATGCAATGCAATGCACTGCGATCACGTTCCAGTAGCCAGGAAGATGCTTGCTGCGCGCGAGGAGATGAATTTATTTGTTTTTATTGAGCCGGAGATGGTTGCGAATCGGGAATTCAAAGGGAAACCAATATTACGAGATATGCTCAGCTGGATCCGGAGGTTTACTTTGGGCTTTGTCACCATTCCAGAGATATCTCGGCGGTCTTTCTCTTGGAGGACTCACCCCACGCCAGAAGAAACGAAACTAAGGAGGATAGGGGCACAATTTCTGGATTCATGTAATAACAAACGCTAAATAAACCGCTCTGCTATGCAGGATGACCCAGCTGACTAGAATTTACTCCTTTGCCATAACCCAGAAGCAAAGCAGACAGACAGACAGTTCAGTCAGTTAAACTGCACAAATATTCACCATCGCCAGAAACGCCAGAACCCCGCCATATTCGATGTCTCGTAATGCTCGTAACCTTCACCGCTTTCCTCGCATATTGTGATCTTGCTTGCTTCTTCAATCTTCCCAGCTCTTCTCTACCGATTCCTTGACTCGCTTTGTGTATTCCTTGCGGTTGTCCTTGTATAGATTCGATGCTTCGACGTTAGCCGGGGACGAGGTATTGGGATCGTTCAGTAGACTGTGTTGTTATCAGCAGAGCCCAGACATCTATAAATGCATCTTCTATGTATCCTCGCACCTTTGAATACTCGTAAGAACCGCTGCAACATCATATGTTGGACTCCATCTGTTCTGCAAGATATCCAGGCACAACTCCCCGGTGGCGTAAACATTAGGATGGAACATCTGGCTGATGAACTTGACCGCGGGTGGTTTATTGGGGTATTGTTCTTCGAATTGCATAACTAGTCGGAAAGTTCCATCTTCAAAAGGAGTATCTGCTGGACCGATAATGACTGCGTTCCTATTCGTGGGGGATAGTCAGTATTTGTCCATTGTCCGTTTCTTCTCTCACAGCAGCATCCACTGCAGAACTGGCCGACTTACCATTGCATAACATTATCAGCGACTGGACTTGCAGATACACCAGCGGGAGGATCCGTTTGCATGCGCTGTAGAACGTTGTGTTAGTAAATCCAACTTCCAAATCCACTGCCAGTCCCGACCGCCACCGCGTACCTTGAAGTCTCTCATGAGACGACGACGAGCAGCTGTAGACATATTGACAACCTTCCAAATATCCTTCTCTCAAACACTGAAGTCGACGGTAGCACCTGGAAAATCTTGACGGATGTCACAGACGTTGTGCAGGGTAGAAGTGGGGTCCGGGATGTCGAGGAAGTTTATGTAGCTTGCCGTCATGCAGGAGGAGACAGGTCAAGTTGGACTTGTATTCGCTGTCTGTCGTTATTCGAGAGGATTATCTTGTGTTTGGGCTCAAGGATGTTGGAAATGACAGGATGTGTACGGAGAGTTGAAGCTGGAGATGGAATTCGGGACTTGAAGGCGGTTTCGTTGCTAGAGTTGACTGTCAGACTTGATCTGCATGTTTTCAGCCACATTTGTGGCGGCTGTCAGCCGTGTTGATCGGCGGAACGGCAACACTACAGCAGTGAATCAACACCTTCCAATGCAATCATTAAGCTTTAAAATAATCCAGGCTTCTAGAATGGGCAATTATAACTATTTGAAGGCTCCAAAATCTGCAATTTCGACATTTCGATCCATGTTCCGCCACTACTTTTGAGTGATTCTACGGTGTGCCTCCTCACGAGACCAGAAGAACAAGTCCATATTCTCAAGAATTTGTACTACACTCTGCTAAAAAAAAAACCCCCCAGACAAAACTCCATACTAGCCCTTACTGAAATTGCCACTTATACTGTTTCTTGGGGAAAACCCATACGTAGTCGGTGCTACTGGTAAAGACGGTCCTGCCAGCCAAAACGGGAAAATGTACCCTCCATCCAATCCACCACCCCCACAGTTTTCTAATCCCTTCAGCTGTATAAAAACAAACAATCCCGCTCTCTCCCTCTAGTAACCCTCGGAAATAAATAGATGGGCCTTGCTGCCGTCGCATTAAAAGATTTTATTTGTCCAACCTCCCAAACAACACTTTCGATCTCTCCATCCTCAAATCTCACATCTGTTCTCCCCCAGGTCTCCAATCCTCTCTCTCCATCGTCCCCAGCCCTTCCTTCTACACACGACAAGTCCATCTAAAACAAAACATCCAAACAACAACAACAAGCCAACGCAGCCAAACACCCTCCTAGCAGCCCGCCACTCGCGCCTCCCCTCCCCCTTTGATCAACATACTGACCCTGCGGATACCCACCCTGTCCATAACCTGGCTGGCCATATCCAGGCTGTCCATACTGTCCTTGCGGCGCATACCCCATCTGTGGACCCTGCTGGTAATATCCTCCCTGCTGCTGTTGACCCCATTGCTGCTGACCGCCTTGTTGTGCGTACGGATCTTGGTTGGGGTATTGTCCTTGTGGTGGGAAGCCTTGCTGCGAGTAGTTTTGAGCGGGCGAGGCGTTGTAGTAGTCGGATTGTTGGCCGGTGCCTTGGGGGGCGATGTGCGCTGGGGCGGGGGATTGGAAGTTAGAGCCAGCGTCGGAACCGTACTGTGAGGAGAATGTTAGTATGATTGATGAGATCAAGTTCTTGAGAATGACCGAAAGAATTGATGGGAGGGGAGATGACAGAGGCTGGGACTTGAAAGGTAAGAGGGGGGGAGACTCACGGCTGGTGGTGGAGGGCCTGCCGGAGGATCGTATTTATGTTGCGACATTGTGAGATTTGTACAGTGTTTAAGGTGAGAGATGGGATGTCTGTGTATGCGTATAGATGTCTTGGTCTTATTGAAGAAGCGGAGTGTGTTCTGGGTAGTGTTGGGTGTCCTTTGACCGGATGTCCCGTCTCAAGCCTCTGGAATGCGATTGCCGCTTTACGAGTTGTTGGTATTAAAGGGTCGTATGTCCACGAAAGAAATCCTTAAAGAGTTGAAGGAAAGAGAAATGATGCAAAGGAAGGTGCGGAAAGGAAGTCGTCGCAAGCAATGACGGCAATACGAAGGAGGGCGAAGCCGCTTGATGACTGTAGTCGTCTTATGGTTCGTGCTAGTGAGTTGAGTGCAGGCGTTCGAGGCGAGGTTCCAGAAGGCGAGCTGGTGTCCGAAGCAGCTGATAGGCGTTCCCGAGAGTCCGGATCGGGTTCAGCTCGGTGGGCTGCTTTTGTCTTTCGTTCTGTCGTTGATCCGTCTTTGCGCGTAAGACCCTCAAATGAAGTTGAGTAGGATGAGTGACTGACTTCCTGGTTTCTACTCAGAAACTTCTGTCAAATATTCTGAGGAGATGTTGCGAGGCGGAAATGGAAAGATCTCTGTCACAGCAATCGTCGCACTGCACTGTGGCTGAGCAAGGGAATGAGCGCCAATCCGCGTGCCGAGAGTTGCCCCTCGTTTTGCAGCTGACACCCTTTTCGACTTCTACCCGTCCACCTTTCCCTTCAACAGTACTAGCAGTGAAATCCTACACTGAAGGCTAAAGCATCGAGGAGTTCATGAACATTTATGAAAATTTCCTTCCTATTTCATTCTTTTGACATACTTTAATCTGACGAAGTACGGGTCTTCATGTGCTATTTACCAAGACCGGAATCTTGGTGATGGTGGCATCGTTTCTATCACAAGCAATTGGCGATCTTGGCCTCAGCGCAATTATTCATTCGATGTCTTAGAAGTTCAACCCAGAGTCTCGAACGTCTTGGACAGTCAGAATTGTAAAATCTGAGCTATCCAGCTTCAAGCTAGCTGTAAGATTATCTCTCCTAATCATTGGCATCCTTGGCCAACAATTTGAACGCAAAGTCGTCAAACTCGTGTAAGCATTTCTTCAAGCTCTACTTTCCCCTCTTCTTTTCTTTTATGTTCTCTTTTTATTTACTGTTCTCTCCTTATCCTCATCCGACCCAGAAAGCACATATCTGAGTTCCCTCTCGTCCTGCCCATTCATGAACTCCACATACTCTCCCAGGGATGCATAGTTGTATCAAGCTGGAAAGTGTTCACCCTAGCCCACTGCTCTCGTAACATCCCGCATCACCAGCTCATCATCCCGCCCACTCTCCCCAATGTCTCTATTCGTCTCGTTCAGAACAGAATGTCCAGTCCCAGTCTTCTCCTTACACACCTCGACCAAGGCCTCTGACGAGCATTTCCGCACCTCATTGGTGTTGTCATTGGTGTCAATTGCTTCCCCGAGCACCATCATGCCAGTCACATCGTGGTTGTCTTTTGAAGTTCGATTGGGAGGCGACTAAATTATGGGAACTGGTCCCGCGGAGAAAGCTCTTTGGACCGTGAAAATACTGAGTAGTTGAGTAGTGACCTCGATGTGCGTCGCAAGACTGGTCTCTATAGTTGGAATGGTGCTTGTGAAGAATATATAGGGAAATATCCGGTGGCCTTTCTATCTTCCTGACTTCGCTGCAAGACATCAAGAACTATATGATGGTGGGCAGGAGCAAGTGCTTCAATTGACTAGAGATAACATCTGAAGGTTCATACGGAAATACTCATAAATCATTGACTGTTTAAGCGCAGAAAATGTAAACAAGAAGGCATAGGATTATGGTCTGTTGACATGGCATGTGCGGGGGACTTTCTAATGCACTGGGTACCTCTTGATTTTCATTCAACAACAAGAGTCTTCATCCCCTCTCCTAGATTTGCCGATCCCATCGAAAAGCCAAACATTTCCAATGTTCCGAACAACTTCAAAGGCCCTCGGCACAAAAGAACGATATCAAGTGGAAGTCAACATTCAAAACCTTGGCCCCACAGCATCCTCGCGTATTTCCTAGCCTGCAGCAACCGTCATCTTCTGCAGAAGCGCACCAAGTAGTGTTGGTGGAATATCCCTGTAATGGTTCATAACACAACCCAATTATAACTTTCTGCAGCTGCCTTCACCATCCTATCGGACATAGCGGACTTCCATGTACAGCCAATTTTCCTGATTTGCGGATGGTCCTCGCTTTGGTCTCCTCGCCAGCGCCCGTCAGCAATCCCAGCCTCCTGTAATCATCAACAAAACACAAGCTTCACCAAACGGAAAGTTACCGAAGGGATTACGACTTTCCCAACCTCCTCGATTATACTAGTGAGGGGGATTTTCGCATCCCCCACATAGATAGATGTTTGCATTTCAAGATTGTACTTACCTACAGCAAATACCAGTCCTTCATTGCTTTTTGGACGATTGAAGGTGCAGCCCTGCAGGTTGCTGTGTTTGTGCTGCAGAAACAAGGCTTATGCACCACTAACCACAGTGCAGCCTCGGACGGATATGCGCCCAGTTGAACTCAAGCTGGAATCCCAGGCCAACTCTGCCTAGTTTCAAGTCACTCCTTCCTGTCTGGACGACCACGCCAGCTCATCCAACCTTCTCCTCCATCCTACATTCTCGTCACTCGTTCCCAGAACTTCAATTCGATTCAATTCCTGTCTACGAGATCTATTGTACGATTATTATATCCGATTAGTTGAAGAAAAAGCCCCGCCAACTCCACCAGAGCCATCTGCATCATCGGTTTCAAGCTCGGGCCTGCGATCCGCTCAATTCCCCTCGTTGATCCCAGCCAGCCCAGCCGGGTGCAGTTGGAGAGATAAACAAAACAAAGCGTGTCGAATACCACGCAGCGCATCAATTGCATCGTCTCCATCGAATACTATTATACCACCAAGCGCACCGAATCGAATACAGCTTCTGCGCTCTTCAACTTCCCAGCGAGCAGCGCTCTTGCGCCACGCCCGACCACCCGCCGCAATGGCACCAATCCCCATACCAACAACCCTCCACATCCTCCCACGCACCGCATCTCCAAGCACCACCAACCCCATAATCTCCTCCCTCTCCTCAATAATCAAACGCACCCTCCTCCAAGTCCGCCAATCCACCTCCGGCATCATCCCCACCACCTACGGCAACATCAACGACGGCCCCGCGCCGGGCACAGTCGTCGGCATCGTCCTCGGCTCCGTCGGCGGCTTCCTGCTCATCCTTTGGCTGATATACACCTGCATGCAATTCGGATCCGTATCCTCTCGGTCCTCCTACACAGAAAGCATCGTCATCGCGCCAGCCCGACGGAAGTCGCACCACGGGTCGACCACACACGCGCGGCGGGTCAGCGAGACGGTTGAGGTTCGCCGCGCGCCGAGTCCGGTGAGGATTGTCAGGGAGCCGAGTCGAGTCGATAGGGTGATTGTGGAGGAGAGTAGGGAGACGAGGAGGGAGAGGAGTAGGAGTTTGGCTGGGGGGAGTGATGAGGTGGTGGTTATTGAGGAGCATAGTCCGCCGAGGAGGAAGAAGAGTACGAGGGTTAGTGCCGAGACGGAGAGGAGGGAGAGTGGGTATAGGACTGTGGATCCAGGGGCGTATGGGGGTGCTGTTGGGGGGAGGAAGGTTAGTGGGAGGAGGTGATGGGGTTGTGGGGAGAGGTGATTGTCGATCTTGAGAAAGGACATAATGTGCGATTGAGGATATGGATGATGGGATATCGGATGATTACGGATACGGATAATGATGAAGGGAATGGACATATGGGAAACTCGTGGGCAAGGCAATAGAGAACAGCTTTAGCTGGAAGGACAGTGGAAGGATTTGGGACTAGGAAGGACGTAGGGAACGAGAGGAGGGGACGTATTGCATTATCACGCTATTGTACGCGAATATCCCCGGGCGTCTATTTCATTTAGGGCATATTGGCATGGTGACTGGAATGGGGTAGCATCTATCATGTTTTCGTATGATATCTTAGCTCTTCTTTGCTTTGCAAACGTTTTGCTGTTTGTTTGCTGTCTACTTATGTATCTAGCTTGTACTCGTAGCAAGTGGCACATACCAAACTACAATTAATAAACATGCAATAAAACAAAATGTGAAGAATCATTAGCTTTGAACTGCTCGCTATCCTCCCCAAGATCTCTCATCAATGTGGCCAAAACAAGAAAGAAATGAAAAGGTTTGGAATATTGACTGCCTGCCTCGGCGTGATTACCTAGCTAAGCATAGCAAGCATACTTGAAGGCTCTCCAATATCCAGATCCAGATCTAGGTAGTTCCCTTACTCTCTCTCCCCCCCCCCCCCCCCCCCCCTCTCTCTCTCTCTATCTCGCTAGCTCGTGAACAACAAACACCGAGCTGAGATATGAGCCGAGTTAGACCGGGCGTATATGGATTGGATTCGATTGCATACAGACAGGTATGGGAGTTACAGAGCTAATAATAGTCAAGAATAGAGTGAAGAAGAGGGTAACTTTTCTATATATATATTGCTTTAAGTGCTCTATTTCTTGAGAACGGTTTTTGCTCTGCTCCTTTCTTCTACCAAGCTGAGAATTTACTTTCGAAAGGGAAATTTATTTTTCGAGTTCGAGTTGGAGTTGGGTCGATGTGAATTTGATTGTGTAGACTTATAGATAGGCGGCGATGGAGATAGAGAGAGAGGTGGGTGGCAGAGGGGAGAGGGTGAGAGGGAAAATGGGGAGAGGAGAGTTGATCTTTTTGGACTCGATTCGATTTTCCCTGACATAGCGAATAATAGCGTTGCTTTAACGCTACTTTGAATAGCTTCCCTTTGTTTCAGAAAACGCTGGAGAATAAGAGAGAGGGAGGAGAGGGGGAGATGATTTGATTTGATTTTTTTGATCTTTGATTTTTGATCTGTATGAGGTATATGCTTGATCATTGGCATCCAGTTGGAGGGTAGAGACATGAGGAGGTTTTGTTTTACTTGCAGCTTGCGTGGTAGAGATATATCTATCTTCCCGAGAAAGAATGGAAACAAACAGACAGATAAACAGAAGTGAATGATTTGGCATTGTTTGTGACAGTCCGGGATTAAGGGGAGGGAATGAATGCCGAGGGGGGTGGGAGGGAAGGGAAGGGAAGGAAGAGGATAGGATGGATGTCCCTGATCTTTCTTTCTTACAACTGAGGGAGGTACTCTTTCGAGCTCTTCAATCAGACTCTTGCGAGAAGAATACTTCTGATAGGAGTACGAATCGTGAAGGAAGAGAGGACAAAGAGGAAGGACTGACTGACTTGGAGATTGGAGAATCATTGTTTCCTGAAATCGGAAAAATCGAGAATATATCCTCAACTGAGCTAAGAAATCCAGAAAATGGCCGGAGATTGAAGAGCATGTTAACGGCATAGGATATTGAGAATGCAATAATATGTAGCAGGGTACAAGAACAAAAAACTCAGATATTTCAGTGAAGTGAAAAAAAAACAGTCTCCAGTACTTGACAAATGTATTCCCCACGGCCTCAATCTGATCATATCCTATCTTTGTCTCGTTCTGTCGTCCTGGGTCAAAATTAGGGAGCCCGAAAGTTAACAAAAAAGGAAAACTGGTTGATTAAGCAGAGTTAATTGAGACGGTTCAATAGAATGCGATGAGATAACAATGAAGGAGGGATAGACTGTGTGTAGAATAGAAAGTAGAAGCAGCTTCTAGAATGAATACTGTATGCAGCCACTCGGCTCCAGCCTTGTCTAGCCTGACATCGTGTCTTGGCTGTGGGATATGGATGGATGGTTAAAATCTCGATGTCCTTTTTGGATGTTGTAGCCGACACCCGATCTCAGTTCCAAACACCAAAGCAGTGATACAGAGGCAGCGTGGACGGCTGAAATACCGTCCATTATTCACGCAAGCCATACCTCGAGAACGCTTTCAACCCGGGTATTCATTCGCTATCCTGCAGATGCATCTGCATCTGTGCCGACGTCATGCTCACCTGCTTCGATGCCAGACATCCAATGCATGTTGAGTGAGCGCTGCAATTGCATTAGTATTGTGACTTCTCCGCGGTTGCAGACGATCAACAGATTCATGCCATCCAGTTCAAATGGGTTATTCCGTACGGAGTTCGGCAAATGGGCATTTATCTTTAGAGACTTAATCAGATTGGAGAGTCGTCGTCGCTGACAAACCCGCGAAACAAATATTTCAGCCAAAAGCATGCGATATCGGCAACGCGGTCAGCATCGGCTTCGAATTTCTCCAGAATCCAATAATATTCCGCGCGAAAGATACTTGATGGAGTAAAGTAGGTATGGTACTCCATAAACATTGGTCGTCTCCAAAAGTACCTGAATAGCGGGGAGACCAAGACATTTATCTGTGGAGCGCATAACTTTCATGAGAGTTGATCCTGGGCATACTGGCATCCAGATCCTGTTGTGGAGATAGGTGAGTTTATGTGTCGAATAGGCGACGGCTTTCTGACTCGAGGTGGACTCTCGGCTGTGGATAAGCGGATGCAGCTGAAGTATGTCCTATGGTGGGGAATTCATACGCTGGTAGTTCCTCATACTAGACTGTTGTGGTGTTGTGAAAATTGGTATGATATGTATAGTATGGATGGAGGAGACATCAAGAAGGCGGTGGAGTGGAAGCATTCGCGTGTTCTTCTGCCAAGTGACTACTGTGCTGTGCTGGAAGTGCCCAATCGGAGAATTGTCAGGGCGGAGTTGGGTGCTGCGCTGCTGCGCTACCACCCAAGCAGGATGCTGAAGGGCGTGCAAGTCAAGAAAATTGACAATTGCGGATCCGATCCCCCGCCCGCTGGTGAGCACCACCACCACCACAGCCAGACAGGGTTGGATGACTGTACACTTGCGATACCATCCTCAACTGCTGGTTATGATCTGTACTCAGACAACAAGAGAAGACAGAGTGCACTTTTTCTGAACAACTATTACACTGTTCTACATTGAATCTACTGCTGCGATATCCATCATAGACTGACTCATCTATTTCCGTGCCCGCCCGCCCGCCGTTGTCTCTTCTTCTGATTCAAATCTTGCTACTCATCCTTCTTTTTTTATACTTCCCTCTCATCTCACCCGGTTCACGCCTTTCCATTGATCTGGTTTGACATCCCCCTTTCATCCACCCTCATCCCATCTTCCGTCCATACCACTGCACAACTCTGTATCCGAACTGTGTTGTGCTCACGCCTTCCTCTTCAGTACTTCGGCCCGGCGCCCTCTAGATGACCACCATCGACGAGGAAGCCATGGACGAGTTCTTCAACTTTGACGATGCCGCCCATCCATTGGATGTCGGCATTGACCCCAATGCCATGGACTTTAGTCATCTATCGGACATGGCAGCCGGCCCATACGACATTGATCTAGCCTTTGCTACACAGACAGACGACGAGAACCACTTTACATGTCTTCAACATTTCTCGGCGCCAGAGGACCATCTTTCTCTTCACGTCAACGCCCTTCCCGAGACTGGAAATGGGACCGAGACTGCCATGCAGGATACCACCATGATGGGTCCCGCCGATTTCATGGATTTTCCCAGATGGATCGACGGTATGGACGTCCCAGCTCGTTCGTGCTCTTACTGCCAGCGTATGCGTCTCCATTGCAAAGTCATTAAAGAAGGTCTCCGGAAGGGCTCATGTACGAGTTGTGTTGCACTAGACCATTCCTGTAGCTTGACACATCCCGAGGCCTCGATCAAGAACAACCGCGGCGGGGGCTTTTGTGTTCCTAAGACCGTGAACGATACTGAAGACGCTACGCCGGAAGCTTGTGAGCATTGCTTCAAGCAAGGCATGGAGTGTAAGGTTATCAGAGAGGGAAGTCATATTGGATCGTGTATGGATTGTGTGACGTATGCCCGCGAATGCAAGGCGAGACCGAAGGACTTCCTCTCCGCTTGGGACCTGGAAGAACTTATGGAATTGAACCAGAAGAATCAGAGTCGTCAATGTCATAGCTCACTCCCAAATAGTAGGTCGGGTTCAACAGGCAATCTCGTGTCTCTCAGATCATCAGAAGAGAACATCAATGCCGAATTCGCTGAGATCGCTCCTAAAGTCGGTCCAAGGTTTTCTCGAGAATCGATACGGATCCTTCGAGGCTGGCTATCAACCCATCACGCACACCCTTATCCAACTGATGAGGAGAAAGAGTCTCTCATCCGGCAGACTGGTCTAAACAAGACCCAGATCACCAACTGGCTTGCGAACGCTCGTCGTCGGGGTAAAGTCAGGCCACCACGCTCCACCTCTCCCAGCGTCAACAACTACTCGAATGCGATGGACATTCCTAGACGAGCGACACCCGCATTAGAAAACATGAATCCCCTGGAAAGATGGAAAAACTCTCCTCCCGAAAACGAACCTGCTTCCGTCACTGCTATTGCCAAAGCCGTCACTGCATCAACATACTCATCTGGTCTGGCCAGTCCTTCACTCAGCTATGGACAAACGGACGATGGATCAAATCGCTCCATTTGTAATGTTTCTTCTACGAGCAGTTTGGGGACTTCTCACTCTAGCGGCGGTTCATTCGCTTCCGCGTTCTCTCATAAATCTCGAGGCTCATATGGCTCTTTCGGTTCATTCGGAAACAGAGGACGACGTCGTCGCCGTCGTCAAGCTCCGAAGCCCGTCACAGTCAACCCCGCCCAAGGTCCACCCCGTGCTTTCCAGTGTACGTTTTGCACGGAAACTTTCAAAACTAAACATGACTGGCAGAGGCACGAGAAATCGTTACATTTGTCATTAGAGCGGTGGGTATGCTCGCCAGATGGACCGACACAGTACTGTGCAGATTACGGACACAACCGCTGTGTCTACTGCGGTCTTTCTAACCCGCCCCTGGATCACGCTGAAGTTCACAATCATTCCAGTTGCGCTGAGCGATCACTAGAAGAGCGAACGTTCTACAGGAAAGACCATCTCCGCCAACACTTGAATCTAGTCCACGATGTCAAATTCCAATCTTTTTCCATGGAGACATGGAAAGTGGCCACACCCGAAATCCGTTCTAGGTGTGGTTTTTGCGGCATAGTGATGGATTCGTGGACGATCAGAGTTGACCATCTTGCTGAGCATTTCAAAGGCGGTAAATCTATGGCTGACTGGAAGGGCGACTGGGGTTTCGAACCACAAGTTTTGGACATTATTGAAAACGGAATGCCTCCATGTATGTTTCCCCTCAACTCTTGTTTTGTGCTCATGCTAACGTAATAGATCTTATTCACGATGAGCGTAATAGCATGAATCCATTCGAGGCTACGAAGGAGAAGACCAAGGACGCAAACGAGAAAAGTCTCGAAGATTACGTCAAAATTGGACTGGTGGAATATGTTCATGATGCGGTCTTGAGAGGAGGCGTGCCAACGGATGCAGATCTTCTTGTTGAGGCTCGCAAGATCGTCCACAAGGTAGATGACGTTGCTTTTGGAAAACATCCTGAAGGCTCTTGGTTCAGAGATCTCATTCTCCTGTCTGGAACAACAGAAGAAGAGATGCCCGAACGACCTGGCTCACCAAATTACTCTTGTATCAAGGGAGTCGAGCTAGTCAACGCTCAGGTGGCTCCAGAGTCTGCACATGTTGCACTCTCTACTTGCATCAAGCAAAGATCGTTGATGAAATTCGTTGAGAGCAAGCTGGCTTTGGGCCTAACGCCCACTGATAGCGAGCTGCAGGCCGAATGCTGCAAAATTCTCGATGATATTGAAAAACAGTCGAGTGTTCAGAGCAAGCCTGCTGTCGCTTGGTTCAAGTTTCTAATCAATCAATCGGCTTGTTGGCTTAGGGGCTTTCGAAGAAGGGCTGGACTGCCAAGAAGTTCCGAGATACTGTCTGAGCAGATCAGGTCCTTGGATGACAAGAGTATCGATTACAGCATCCACAACCACGCGAGATTGGTGCACGAACTGAAAGATTGGGTTCGTTTCCAAGTGTCCCTGGGAACTTACCCGAGTGATGTGGAGCTTCAGAATCAAGCACGAATGATCGTGTTCAAGAATGATGATCCGTGGAACCAAACAGCTATCGACGACCCATCGATTCTCCACCAATTCAAACAACAAGCTGGACTCGTAACCATGGGCGACTTTGCTTCCCAAGGACTTAATATGCCTGTCCTAACCGAAGTCAGTGAGGGATCCCAACCATCTCCAAAGGCTCTTCACTGGGATTTGGACAGCACTGGAATGACTCTGCCATCGCCTGGAAGTGGGGAGTCAACAGGGTCAACACACACTCCTGTCGATGCACCTCTCCACACACTCATTCAAAACCAGCCCTCTACGAATACCAATCCAACACAGCCGCTCAAGTACTTCTTGAATGATGCAAACTGTTATGGGAGATTGGCTCGAGAGTTGACTCGATTTGTAACGACTTGCATGTCACCCAACAACCCAAATCAACATGTAAGGCTTTCAACACTCTTTCTTTTGTCCTTTCCCTGCTAACAATCACAGCTTCCATCCGACGCCGAAATACAAAATCAAGCTCGCTGGGTAATCTATGACGATGACGACCCCTGGAACCAAACAGCAGCCGACAACGCCGAATGGCTCATCCGCTTCAAACGCGACGTTGGACTCTCCCCTTCCGACGGCCCCGGCCTCCCCAGCTCCCACCCATCATGGCGCATCGCCGATGGTGGCACTGGTTTCGCTCCACCCTTCCTCATGCCCCAAGTCCTCCCCCCATCCGACAAATTCTCCACCGACATCCCCGTCACCATCGACCACAAAACCTACAACATCAAAGCCAAGACGGCCCAGAAATTTGTCAAGGGCCTCTCTCAGCGCTGGCAGAAACCTGCACAGGTCTTCTGCTCCCGCGATCTCGAATCCAGTCTCAGCGCTTTCGTGCAGGCCGAACTCGCTGCTGGGCATTGTCCTACAGATGATGAGCTGCGCGCCAAGGCGAGAACGATTCTGGGGATGGAGAACACGGCTGCGGATGATGTCGAGCTGTTGAGAAAGTTTAAGGCTATGCATGGCATTACGAGCACGAGTATTGGGCTTCTGGGAGGTGGTGGCATGCCCATGGCGGTGATGGATGATGAGTTCCTGGCTGAGTTCGACAATGAGTTGAGCGGCATGGACTTGACCACTGTTGACTTTTCGGGGTCGAATTCGCTGTCACATTCACATTCAAATTCCAACAGCAACTCGAATTCTAGCTCTGGTGGAGCAAGTCCGGAGTTCTCCATCCCTCAGATGCAACAGCCCCAGCCGATTTCGAACCTCTCCGCACAACTCCAATCCCAGTCTCACTCCTCCTCACCTTCTCCCCCCCAATTCCAGACCCAGAACCAGACACACTCTCCGAATCAATCACAACCAACGCTCCACCAACCCACTCCCCGCAGCAAGGGCGACGGCCCAGCAATCGACTACGCTGAACTGTACCGCGTGCATGCCGCCACTGCTAGCCCTTTAAGAAGACGAGCGAGTGCCAAGATGGCTGCGAGGAATGGGTTTGTTCTTGGAGGTGGCACTGGGAGTGTCGATAGAGTCGGGAATGGGAGCGCGAGTGGGAGTGCGAGTGGGAGTGGTAGTGGGAGTGGGACGCTGGAAGGTGTTGGCGAGGAGTTTGTAGAGGAGTTTGGGGAGGGGAGTGGGATGTTGCTTTGAATGGCAAACAAATCCATCCATTGCAAGTGCCATTCCTCTGCGAAGATTTGAGGGACTTGCCTTCTTTCTTTCTTGATGACTTTTCCTACGTGGGCGGCAGTTTCTGCTTTTTCTCTGCTGAGATGATTGGGTTTGGGTTTGGGTTTGGGTTTGGGTTCAATTCGAATTGATGTATGCGAGAGGAGAAGGCAAGAACAAGCAGGAGCTGGAGCAGGAGCAGGAGCAGGAGCAGTAATGAAAAAAAAGGAGGGGAGAAAATAAAACTAGTCCTTTTTCTTTTTCTTTTTCTTTTTCTTTTTCTTTTTCTTTTTCTTTCTTTTAACTATTTCGGATATTGGGATAGTAGGGTCTGTTTTTTGGGTGGAGGGAACAGAACCAGGGAACCAGGCATGGCGTTTATGTATGTTTCCTTTTTCCTTTTTTGGGGGGGTGGGTCAACCCAGGATTGAGATGTTAAGTTATGTTTTCTTCAGATAGTTGCGTTAAGCTAAGTTAAGTTAAGCGAGATTCTATGTTTTTGTTGACGTATGAAAATGAAAAGGAGAGAAGAGGAAAGAAGATAAGGGAAGAGAAGAGAAGAGAAGAGAAGAGAAGAGAAGAGAAGAGAAGAGAAGAGAAGAGAAGAGAAGAGAAGAGAAGAGAAGAGAAGAGAAGAGAAGAGAAGAGAAGAGAAGGCATAGGGAATATATAGGTGAGTAAGTATTGGTAATGATAAACAGAACAGAACAGAACAGAACGAAAATGTGAAATATAAATATAAAATGTGAAATTTGAAATTGAATACCAATTTCGTTGATTGAACTCAGTCAGTAACTTACTCACTACAATTCTACCGTAAGAAAAAGAGACGATGATATCTTGATTTGTAGGTTGGATCAATTACTATAAATCAAGCTCAAATAGAGTAAACAAACAAAACTACATACAGTACATATCCCCAAACCGCCCCCTCTCCTTCTCCAACACCCCCCTCCAACACCCCCCTCCAACACCCAAAAATCCCTCACCCCAGGACCAAAAAAAAAAAGGAATCTTAGAAGAGACCGAACAAATAACTACATCCTTCTGGAGGCCGTTCGTTCGTTCCTCCATTTCGTTGCGCTGCTGTTCAGCCTGTTCTGCTCACCTCCTCGAAACAAACGCTCCTCCTCCTTCCCCTCCCTCCCCTCCACCACCCCTCATACTCGCATCCTGACTCGCAACAAAGTACCCAAAGCCCGCACCCTTCAACCTCCCAATCCACTTCAGCAAACTGATTTTCTCGAAGCCGCCCATGCCTAGTTCGACATATGGTCGTAGCACACGGCTGATCTCCTCAGATGAGATCTTGACGTGGCTGGCGTGGTGGATGAAGATTGGTTTTTTGGTCTCGGCGTCTTCGGTTGTGTTGGAGGAGGACGAGGGTGAGGAATTGGTAAATGTGGTGGAGAGCACGTCCCGCGCCATACTGTCTACGGACATGAGGTCCAGACTTCCGGCCCAGTCGTCTAGGATGGGGAAAGCTTTGATTTGGGTTGAGAGGCGGACGATGGAGTCGAGCATTCCGGCTGGGATACTGCTGTTCTCCTGGGAGCATGGAGTAGTGCGGTGGATGAAAACGGGTATACGCAGTCTCTTCGCTGCATTCTGAAGATAGACTTCAGCGGCCCATTTCGACGCCACGTAACCATTCGATCCATCTTCAGGAGGCGTAGACTGCGCGACAGAAACGGGGTGGATTTGTGGATGTTTGACATCGCCGAGGAGGAGTACACCTCCAGACGAGAGAAAATGAATGGGGATCTTGCGGCGGGCGGCGAGGTTGACGAGTTCGATTGTAGAGGAGACGTTGGTTTTCTTCAGCACGCGGTAGTCTTCCCAGAAGGCGCGGTTGGCGCCGCTGTGGATGATGAGGTCGATGGATTCAGTGAGGGAGTGGAAGTCTTCGGCTGAGAGCCCAAGACGACGAGATGAGAGATCGCCGCCGTATTCGATGATTTTGTCGGAGGGGTTCTTGATCCGGGATTCTTCGAGACCTTGGCCTTCTTTTGAGCGGATGGCGACGCAGTGGATTTCTGCTACGGTTGGGTCTAGTGCGAGTTGGGCGAGGATGTGTTTCCCTAGATATCCGGTAGCACCTGTGAGGAGCACTCGTTTGTTCTTTGTCGTTCTGAGAGGTTTGAGGTTCTCGAGCTCAGCACCGCGGACGTGCGAGATCTTGAGTCTGACTTCGTCTTCCCAGATGATGGGCTGTAGTACAGAGGACTCTTGGATCACAGCTGCTAGTTTGCCGAGTGTGCTGCACTCGTAGAGCTTGACGAGCGGAAGTACGATATTGAAACGCTCTCGGATCATGGATTGCAGTCTGACGAGGAGGAGTGAGTTACCGCCAATCTTGAAGAAGTCCGTGTCAGCATCTAGCATCACACTACCGAGGATTTGCTCTGGAATGACTTTTGCCCAGATGTTGGCGACTTGGATCTCAATTGTGGTGAGTTCGTGGTGTGATTTCGGCTGGGAGGCGGCTGTTGGTAAAGGCAAGGCTTGGATGGCTCGCCTGTCTACCTTTGCTTGGGGCGTGAGTGGTAGTTTGTCCAATGGTATGATCAAAGCTGGGACCATATATTGAGGGAGTTCCAATTTTGCTTGGAGATCGCTTAGGAAGGATTGCTGATTCTCGGATTCCACATTCGATAACACAACGTGTGCCACAATGAAAGCAGGATCTCCAACCACTGAAGCGATTGCTTCGGTTACCATGCCATTTCCAGCTCGAACGATTGTGCTTTCGATGTCGCCAAGTTCGATTCGAAGGCCACGCAGCTTGACTTGGGTGTCTCCATTGATACGTTCTTTGAACAGTAGCGTGCCATCTGAAGCCAAATATCCACGATCACCGGTGCGGTACATTCTAGTCCAGCCACGACTTTTCTGATCTGCGGTTGCGAAAGGATTCGGTATGAATTTCGACTTAGTAAGCTCGTCATTATGAAGATAACCTGGCGCGACTCCAGGCCCACCAATGCAGATCTCCCCAACGACGCCAGCAGGGAGTCCCTTGAGGGCTTTGTCAACGACATAGATTGAGTAGTTCGGGATTGGGCGACCAGCAGAAATTACAAGGTCGTCTTCATTCCAGTATGGTATCTCAATTTTCGTGCAAGATATCGAAATCTCTGCAGGACCATATGAATTGAACAAGCGAAGCTGTTGCAAGCCCAAGGTCCGGAACTCAAGAGCTTGCTGCGGGGCCAGACTCTCACCAGCACTCCAAGCGGTCTTCCACTGTGTACAACGAGACAATACGTCCTTGCCATACCGGATCCAGACTGAGTATTCGGATGGAGTGGCCTTGGTGTAAGTGATTTTCTCTTTGAGAATCAGATTGGTCAACTCAAGTGGATCGCCACGCTTCTCCTTGGGAACGACGTAAAGCGTGCCACCAAGAGTGAGAGCAGTGAAGACCTGGGCATTACAGATATCAACACTAACTGCGCTTTGTTGCAAGATCGTCTCAGCTTTGACTTCATATTCCTTTGTGAACCCCTCGAGCTCATTGGCCAATCCGGAGTGAAGGAGCACGATGCCTTTAGGTTCTCCAGTCGATCCGCTCGTGTACAGTATCATTGATGGACTTCCTGGAAGAGCCGATATAGGAATGGTCTCAGAAGATGACAGACCCGTGACGTTGATTATCGTCGCGGTAGAGCTCAGCCCCGGACAATCGTACATGGTCTTGTCGTGGGCAAGAATTGCGACAGTCTGGCAATTAGCGACAGTTCTGGCAAGACGGGGTATGGGATTGCGAAGATCGAGAGGGACATAGACCGCGTTGATGCGCAGGATCGCAAGCATGGAACAGACAAAGTCTACAGACGGCTCCTGGAACATTGCCACCCTTGACCCAGCCGTCACACCACTTTTGACCAATGCCAAGGCGATCCCTTGGACCCGTTCGAGCAACTCGATGTATGTCAGAATCGTGTTATTTCCGTCCTTGACAGCGATTCTGTCTGGATGTTGCTTGATAATGTCATCTATTCGGTGGACCAGTGTTGCCGGCCATTCCGGGATCATTGAATTGCCTGGAATATGTTAATCAAGTATGATATTGGGAGACTCACGTACCTTCACCAAGCAATGCCACTTGTTTTGTTTCATCAGGAGTAGCAACAGTTGGGTCATCCAGTCGTACTCTGGCGCTTGCAACGAAAGCTTGCAACAAATTGATGTACATGCTCATGAGTTGTTCTGTATCCTCTCTTGAATACAAGCCTGCCTGAGTTTTGAGTGTGATGACGGAATCCCCAGTAATACTCTCCATGATGTCGATGTTGAAATCATACGAGGTGCGACCGAAATCCCAGATATCATCATCAGTTGTGCAATTTCCGAAGGGTTGCTTCTCAGGGGTTGTCTGACGATAATCGAAGAATGCTTGGAACAGCGGACTGTAGGTAACGTCTCTCTGAATATTCAGCTCATTAACCAATGTGTCGAATGGTAGCCGGTCGTTTGCAAGAGCAGCATACGCTTTGTCGCGGGTCTCCTTGATGGCTTGCGCGAAAGATTGTTTCTTAACCTCCCGGAAGCGCAACGGCAGGAGATTCAGAAACAGACCCATGACCTCCATGGCGTTCTTCTCGGATCTGTTAGCGTCGGCGATACCGATACAGAGGTCATCCGTATCCAATAATCGGAATAGGAGTGCTTTCATCGCAGTGAGGAAGAAGTGGAATGAAGTTGCATGGTTCTTGCGAGCGACCTCCCTAATCTTGAGGCCTAGAGCTTGGTCGAGTCGGTGGTCGACCATGTTCTGCGCGTATGTGGTTACTGGACGACGATGCGTGACATCCTTGAAAGGAAACAGAGGCAGAGGGGCAGGAAGAGTAGCGAATTCCTCTCTCCAGAAGCGAAGTTCATTCTCCATCAAACCTTCCTCGATCGCACTTCGTGTATTGTTTGCAAAGTCGGTATACCTGAGCATTGCTGGCTTGAGTCGATTGCCATTGTACACTTCTTGGACCTCAGAGAAGAATATGCTGAAACTGTGACCGTCCAAAGCAATGTGAGGATACCCGACGATGATGTAATTAGTATCGGGAGACAACTTCAAAAGAACAACACGAAGTGTTTCGCCCTGTTCAATGTCGTACACGTGGGTTCGGACCCTTTCAAATTCTACCCTGACTTCATCTTCATGTTCGATGTCCTTCTGTTCAAGGTGGAATGGAGGATTCTCGAGGATGCCTTGGACAAGTTCGCCTGGCTCTTGCTCGAAGAAACACGTCTGCAGAATCTCATGTTTCTCGCCAACAACACGAATTGCATTCTCAAGATCAGGTATGCGCAAATCCCCAGACATACGGGTAGAGAAAGTGATATTGAAACTTGTCTGATCTTGTAAATAATGCTTCAAGAACCAGAAGGTTGCCTGTGGTATTGACATTCTCTCAGTCCGGATCAATTTCCGTGACATGACTGGTTCCTGTAGCGCTTCCAACTCCTCGACCTCCTCATATAGATCTTCCTCCAAGTCGCTCAGACCCGCTGTTGTCTCCTCGATTTGAGACAGACTGGAAGCAGGGGTCGGGTGGAAGTTTAGCTCTATAGGGGAGGATTCAGCATCTGAGGTGCCCGAGGAGGTTTGAGTGGTGTCTACCTGGATGACATCTTTGGTCGGCTTCTCTTCAACAGCAGCTGTCTTCTCAGAGCCAAGGTTAGGCATGAAAAGCTTTGGCACCTTCTCCAATGCGTCGCGAAGAAGTTCCTTGATGGAAGCCCCAGCCAGCAGTTTCAAGACTGCCATGTCAACCTCAAGCTCTTTCTGGAACCAGGTTCGGATGTCCACTGCGACAAGTGAATCCACACCCAGCTCAGACAGTGGAACTTGTTCGCTGATTTTGACATCGGCAGGCAGTTGAAGCGTGATTTGGATTTTGTTGAAAAAGCAAGCTTAGATAATAGTGAGCATTTTGTTCTGGTATGGATATGGACAACTTACTCTTAATGACCTGATAAGCCTCATCCAGACTGGTAGCCTTCTCCAGCTCCTGCTTGACGGGAACAGTGTTCTTCTTGTCACCTGTGCTCTTGGCGATTTCTTCTTCCACGACGAAATGGGAGAAGCGAGGATTGTGGTACCAAGGCACTGGCGGGTGTTCATTTGCATCGGTTCGTCGAAGGCCTGCAATAATCTCAGGGTTTCTCCCTGATTCGGGCTTCCCAGCAAGGACAGCTTCAGCGAAAGTCTGATGGAGATCTCTTTCGGAGGTGAAGCTCGTTCCGGCTCTGATGAGGAGCTGATGCGTGAATAGAGCGGCGCGTGAGAGGTAGCCAACACCAATGATACCAGCCAAGTCCATGACTGAAGCTGCAAGCCCACGCTTTCGTCGCTGGGCAGCCAGACTCGTCATGTACATGTTAGCAGCGTTGTAGTTTGACTGGCCACTATTCCCGAGGATGGATGCAAGCGACCCGAACATGATGAAGAAGTCCAAAGTGTTCTCGGAGAAACATTCGTCGAGGTATTGACTTCCATCAACTTTGGGCTTCAGGACTGAAACCATGGTGTCCAAGTCCATATTGGAAAACATGGTGTCTCGAAGAATCATGGCACCGTTTGCAACACCGGCAATTGGAGGGTGCGTCTCCTTGATATGTTTCACGAAAGCATGAACTGCGGATCGATTGGTGACATCCCTTCACTGGTTAGCATATGCATTCATGGATTGTTGAGCACTTACAAAGAGTAGATAGTGATGATAGCGCCCATATCCTTTAGCATTTGCAACCATTCGTCGCTCAGCTTTGGATTACGGGAAGTGAGCACGAGATACTTGGCACCTTTACGAATCATCCATTCGCAGAGTGAGTTTCCGATTTCTGCTGTCAGACCAACAAGAATGTACGTCTTCTCAGCCGAGAACAGGTTGTTCCGGTCTGCCAATTCAACTTTGACGGGGACTGTAGGAGTTGCGCCCCATGCCAGTACCGAGTTCAAGAAACCGTTATTCTCAACACGAGAGTTGACATCTTTGAGAGCAATTGTCTGAGATGGAGTCAAGGATTCGGCTGATTTCAATTTGATTTGAGCGTAGTCGGTTGCTATCCTCAAGAGAATGTTCAGGTGATCAAGCTGTGGTCCAGGTACAAGCTCAGATTCTGTCGCAAAGAATGAGGAAGAGCCCTTCGTCTTGCAAAAGGTTGGAAGGCAAGCACCAATGCGAGCAGCGACTTCCCCTGACTCAGTTCCGATATCCGAGAAATCGAAAAATGCAGAGACTTTCTCCGGCAGGATTGATTTGATTCTCTGCAGCGGTGCTTTTGTGGGGATCGAGATGTGTTGAGAGCTAGCTGTCAGAGTCTCTCCACTTGTGGTGAACACTATTCTGAGCTTCTTCTCAGATGCTCGTTGCTTCAAGAGAAGTTCGACAAGAGGTTCCGATTGATGGACAAGGATAGTTGAACCTTCTTTCGTTGCTGCGAGGACAGAACTTGTCACGAGATATCCGGATGCCAGGAGTAACAATGTCTGCTCCGAGCCTTGTGCAAGATCGATAGGAGCTGTGAAGTAACTTGGTACAGTGACGATGCTGGCATTGTGTTCTGAGATGAAGATGACGTTTTGGTTCGTTTGACGATTGATGCCAAGTCCGATGAATGCAAAGCCCACGTGCTTCATCTTGATCGACGTCAACAAGGAGTGTTCGACTCGAATCGAGACAAGATCTCCGGCGGATTGTTCAAGCTGCATTGATCGAATATCATAGCCCTCTTCAGAATGAACAAGCTCAACTGGGTTTGACTCTGGCGCAACCTCCTCAGTGATGGGTCGCCTCTTGGAATTGAATCGTGCGTTCAGAACCTCTTCCTCATATATACGAGGAATCATGAGAGTGCCTTTCTCGTAGGCCATTTCTGGCTCAACAGTCCACAGCATCTTCTCAAGCGCACCTTCTTGCTCCCAGAAGTTGACAACTTGGAGCCTCATCAATGTTTCGGCGATGAGCTTCGGTTCCGGTCTGCTTCCAATCTCGATGTCCAAGTATTGGAATCTGACATGAGGGATTTCGAGACGAACAGAGCGTCCAATACCAACACTCATGTTCGCATATGGGTCATCAGCTCGACACCCGGCTGTGATCCAAAGCACGTTGCTTGCTTGGTCAAAGAGTCTCTTCAAGCACTCAAACTTGACAGCTGTAAAATCTTTGAAGACCGGAACATCCAAGTCTGTGACACTGAGGACCGAGTAGTTGGTGGGGAGAACCATAGAGTTGATATCCTCAACAGCATTGATGGTCGTAATCCGGATGCACAATGGATCTAGGAGTGAAGATATCTCCTTGGTGAAGTTCGCAACTGAAGGAGTTGTACCGCCGACAATAATGAGCTCTTTGATCTTAGGCATCAGGTCTGGGGAAGAGAAAGGTTCTCTGAGGAATGAAATCTTGTCGTCAACTGCTTGAGCCGCCATGATAGATACCGGCAGAACAACAACATCATGCTCAGGAGTAATGGCATCGATGCCCGCAAAGCCAGACTTCAGCAGCTCTTCATTCCATTGGGTAGAAGTTATTGTAGGGGCGAGAATTCGGCCTTCGTCCTTACCAGCCCACCAGCCAGGCAGACCACCTTCATCAAATCCAAGTCTCATAGGGCCATTGTTGGTGATTTCGAGAAGCAGAAGATATCCACCTGGCTTGAGGAGACGACGAGCATTCTTCAGACTCTTCTCAATGGATTCCGTGGCGTGGATCACGTTGGATGCGATGATAATGTCGTAGAATGCTGGAGCGAAACCTTGAGCGACGATGTCCTCTTCGATGTTGAGTGTCTTGAAGAGCATCTTGCTTGCATGGTCTTTGAATTGTTCTTGAGCGCTTGGGAAGAAACCAGCGGAGATATCAGTGAATGTGTAGGATGAGTAGGACCTGCCTAGCTTATGCAGGATTGACTTGGTTGCTCCACCAGTACCACCACCTGTCCGGAACGTGAGCGCAGACACAAATTGAGAGGACGATTTGACTTACCGATCTCAAGAATCTTGGTATGAGGATATCTGTGAGAGATCTGCTTCATCATCCGCGAAATATACTCGTTGGACTGTGGAATACCCAATGCCTCCTTGTAGAACCTAAACAGAACATTGTCCTTGGTCATATGACTCAAGATGTCGGTTTCACCTCGGACTGCAGCTGGGAGGTTCTCTCCCACAGCAACCATGAGCTGGACATCGACACTGTCGGGATGACTGATTGAAATCAATAAATGTTCTTGGTTTGGGGTGGAAGTCTTACCTCTCTGAAATTGCGATAATCTGGTCATGTGTATCACTTTCCCACTCCTTCTTAGCGAAAGGGTGCTTATCCTCAGATACAAGCGAGCAGATATGAGCAGCGAAATTGAACAAGCTCTGGAAATGCGACGGAGATGCCTCCTTCGCTGCTGCGCTGAATCCGTGGTGCAAGTTTCGGAGATAGAAGAAGGCGAGTCGCTCCAAAGTGTACGCAAAATCGAGCTCTGCTGGAGTTGCCCTGTCGGCATCGGTGACGATCAGATCACCGTCTGGGTTTGCAACCTTCCACAGAGTCTCTGCGAAGATACGGAAATCATCGGCCGGAGTTGCTGGAGCAAGTGGCATGGCAGTCATTCCTTCTACTTGGATCACGGTATGGAGGGAGTCTTCGCTGTAGACATTTACATCCGCGAGGATCTTGGCAGATGTTGTGTCTGTCAACGTAGAGTAGAATGGGAGATCAACAGCCTTGCCGTTTTCAATCTCGCAAAGTAAAGGATTGATACTGATTCGCTGGATATGCGTCGGGACATGGATGGACCACAGTCCACCATCGTTAGGTGCACAATAGGCAAGGAAGACAGCTTGAAAGGCAATGTCGATGACTGCTGGATGCATCAAGAATGATTTGTACTCTTCGGTTGTCATTGGCCTGGCGATGAGACCACTGGCATAGTTCATCTTTCGCTTTGTTGCTGACATACCCTGGAAGTCGAGAGTATACTCGTAGCCAATAGTCTTCAGATGTTCGTAGAATCTGTCAACAGCAGTTTCAATCATGTTGGGGACCGGGGGTTCCTTGGCTGGGAGAGCCAGGGGAGATGGCTCAGCGATGGTGACTTCGACTCGTCCGGTTGTCATGACTGTCATCTCTGTCGAGCTCTTGTTCAATGCAGCATATATTGTGAAATCAGCAGTATGAATTTCCTCTGTATCATTCTGTGGGGTGTGGTTGAGATCGAAAAGTACCTCAACTCCAGAATTCTCATCGTAAAATGAGATTGCTTTGTGGATGAAGAGATTGTGGATCTCGATGAGCTTAGCGGTTTGAGTGGCAGGAATGAGCGTTTCTGCAGCTTTCAAAGCCATACAAATGTACCCAGCTGCAGGGAAAATGATTTGACCTTGCAGCTGATGGCCCCGCAGCCACGGAATCTCCTTAACTTTGAGGGTATTGTGCCACTGAACATGCTGTTCTGTGCTGCTTCGACTTTTGACACCAAGCACTTCATGCGGTGGGTCGCTTCGACCGTGGAAGGCCCTAGTAATGCGAGACTCGCACCAAAAGCGACGATCATGATCGAATGGATAGGCTGGCAATTCTTTGAGGAGAGCGGGCTTGGGAGCTGACTGACATGCAAACTTCTCAAGACCTTGAAAGTTAACAGATGGCTTGTTTGTCTGCATCCACAAGAATCCGATAGCGTTTGCAAAAGAATCCAAATCATCCTTTCCTCGGCTGAGCACTCCCGAGTAAGGAACGGGCGAGCCAAGCTTGTCAGCAATTGTTGAAAGTGCTGGACCTTGGAGGGCAGGGTGAGGCCCGACCTCCAGAGCGGCTGTGAACGACCCGACGCCTGCCACGGCGGATTCGATAGCCTGAGCAAACTTGACCGTGCTGACCATGTTATCTTTCCAGTAGATGTCTCCAAGCTCGGAAGCACTCTGCATCTGAGCACCATCGCGCAAGCTGGAGAACCAATGCGTCTTCTTAGACGGCTCAAGAAGCTTAATTTTGCAAGCTCGGAGAGATGCCATGTAGGGCTCAGCGCAAGGAATCATATGGTGAGAGTGATACGCCGTATCCACTTTGAGCATTCGGACAAACTTTTTCTCCTCCTCAAAGATCTCGACTGCTTCTTGAATCGCATCAATGTCACCAGACAAGGTGACGCTTGATGAGGAATTGCAAGCAGCAACAGCGACTCGACCTTCAAAGTCGCTCAACTCGCAGAACTCCGCGGCATCCTCGAGCGAGGTGCCGACAGCCAGCATAGCACCCTTCTCTCCGCTTTCAGAGCGAGCAAGCTTGGCATGGAATCCACGATAGTACGCAATCCGGATAGCATCATAAGATGTAATGAAACCAGCAGCATAGGCAGCGCCAATTTCTCCGGAAGAGTGACCGACGACGGCATCGAACTCCACTCCTGCGCTCTTCAGCAAGTCAACCAGAACGACTTGAACAGCTGTACAGAGCGGTTGAGCCAAGGCTGCTTCGCTGAGACGAGAGGCCTTGCCATCTGCCAGAATCTCAGCTTTCAGAGACCATGCTGGACGGTCTGATTCGGGGAGCTCCGCAAGTGATCTCTCAAGGCTGTCGATAATGGCCTCTGCCGTCTTGGATTGGCGGATCAACGCTGCTCCCATAGACGGCCATTGTGCACCTTGGCCAGTGAACACACCGAGAAGGCTTGATACACCTGGAGCGGGCCTGACTGCAAGACTCTGGATCTTGCCATCTTTCAGTGCTTGGAGCTTGGCATCAATTGTCGCGGACAGCGAAGCTGCTGATTGAGATGAGAGCGCGGCTCTGAATGGGAACGTAGAGCGGCGGTTTTGAAGCGTCCACGCGAGGTTTCTGAGCGAAATAGAACTATTTTCTTGGAGATAGGTAGAGTACTGCTGCAGTTGTGCCAGCAGAGCCTTCTCCGACTGGGCAGAAAACACGAATGGCGTAAAAAGCGGGGGTTCGCTGCTCACGTGACCGCTGATCTGCTTGTAAGACTCCAAAGTTCCGTTGACAAGGTGCTGCTCAGGATCGAAAGCTTCGAGGATGGCATGGGCGTTTGTACCACCAAATCCTACTTCGATTAGTACACGTGGAGGTGATGATTTTGAAATCCTGGTTTCTACTTACCAAAACTGTTGACACTCGCTCTTCGAGGAACTCCTGGTGGCAGGCGTGGCCATGGTTTAGCCTTTGTGGAGATCTCCAGGTTATTGTAGAACGGTTCAACAGTGGCACTGAGCTTGTCAAAGTGCATGTTGGGGGGGATTGTGGAAGTTTGAAGTGCCAACGATGCCTTCAACACTCCAGCAAGACCAGCAGTTCCCTCAGTGTGGCCCACAATGGTCTTGATAGAGCCAACGTATAGCACATCTTGGGCATCCGATGACTTGTTTGTTGGCCCAAAGAATGCACGACTGACAGCCTCTGCCTCGACAGGGTCACCGGCCGGTGTTCCGGTTCCTTTTAAACGTCAGTTATCATTCCGTATAGGTTGCTCCACAAATCTTACCGTGAGCTTCGAAGTACTGGCACCGGTCATTCTTCTCCAGCACATCGAGGCCAGCCTTCTTGTACGTGTCACGAATCAAGTCTGCTTGGGCATCTTGACTTGGCATAGTTATGCCTTTTGAACGACCATCCTGGTTGACGCCAGTCTCGCGAATTATGCATTCGATATGGTCGCCATCCTCGATAGCAGCACTCAAAGTCTTCATCACCACGGATGCAATACCCTCACCTCGAGCATATCCATCCGCTCTCTCATCCCACATATGGGATCGACCGGTTGCAGAAAGCATATGTAGCTTGCTCTCAGCAATGAATGGGACTAAGTCAAGTTCAGCGAGTGTTCTGTATTAAATACAATTCTTCCAACTCTAGATGGATTTCTTACCTGGGCCAAGGATCAAATTGGCACCTGCGGCGACCGCAACTCTAGACTCGCCATTTCTCAAACCCTGCACCGCCTGGTGCATCGCCACCAAACTTGAAGAGCAGGCGGTATCGATGGTCATCGAGGGCCCGTGCCAATCGAAAAAGTACGATATGCGATTGGAGATGATGCTTCGAGCCATTCCAGTCGCAGCATAAGTCGGCATACTATCGAAATCGTTGACAATCAGGTCTCCATAATCGGCACACATGAGTCCAACGTAGACCGATGTGGAAGAACCTTTCAGATCTTCGATTCTGAGTCCAGCTGAATCAAGGGAGTCGTAGACTGTTTCGAGCAATACTCTCTGCTGAGGATCCATGGATTCGGCCTCCGCCGGCTGAATGCTGAAAAAGTGAGCATCGAATTGACGGTTGTCCTCGCTGAGCAGGTAAGCGTCTCGGATGTCAGTTGCTCCGTGATGGGTGCCATCCTTGTGGTAAAATCCGTCAACATTGAATCGATCAGACGGGATGGGTGACAAGACGTCACGTGGGTTCTTGAGTAGGTCCCAGAGCTTGGCTGGGTTGGTGGACTCGCCGGGGAAGCGACAGCCACTGCCAATGATGGCAATAGGCTCTCCACGTTGAGGTGCCATTGTGTAGGGAAAAGAAAGATGAGTTGAGTCTAATTCTCTAAGTTTATGGGTAGTCTTTAGAATAAGAAATCTTTGATGGCGGATGGTCGAGGAAAATGGAATATCACGGGTGTCCTTGCCAGTAGATATCACAATCCGAGAAGTGAGCTTTGGCAGCATCAAAAAACGTTTGACCCTAGTTGGACCATCTTCTCCATCCTTCAACATCCCGAAATCGCCGAATTTTCTAAATCAAAGCTCTGGGTTGAGAAAGTGGCGTTGCCAAGGCCGAAAAAGCTCTGAATATTCTCTCCTCGTAGCATCTGAAGCTGATGAGACGAGATATTCAGAATGAACTTGACGCTATTACACTTTGGGAGAGCAGATTCCTTCGACGGGACATTCATCCTAGCGTGAGTATTGTGGCTTACCGGGACTTTGGCAAAATCACGGCACCACGGAACAGTACCAACCTACTCGCAAACCCACAGGGATCAAGTCGACTGAAAATACCACCATTGGTGGCATTGCTTGTTGAATGTGCATGGAAATAGTGCGGCAGAGACCTCTTGGCAGAAAGTTGCAAAATCGCCGAATTACTTGAGCTTGTCCTGGAAACGAAGCTTATGATACAGCCTCCTTGGCATCGTTAGGTGGCTTGAAAATAATACCGCCGCAACGACAATAATGAGAAAACTGTAGATCATTCTGACTTTCATTTCGTCTTCGGGCCTTTTGTCAGATCAGTGATTCAAATCACGTCAACTTGATTTTGAACATTTCAATTTTGCAGTTCAGAAACGGCGAGAGCGTTGAGGTGATTGAATCCAAAAAATGCTATTTCTTGTTCCATTGATAGATTTCGGAAAAGTACACAAGCTGTTCTGAGTACATCTCAGAATGATTTGTAGTATACTACTCTAAGAGAAAAACAAAATGAATCATTTTACCGATTAGCTCGAAAACCAAACAGGGCTTTTTATACAAGACAGTTTAGTTCAAATATCTCGATAAACACAACTACCTTAGCAACCTTTGGTATCTCGCTTCAAATGATCCACAGAAAACTCAGAATGTAATAACTCTAGGGATAACCTCTAGATCAAATTATGCAACATGCTTGAAAATCAAAACCAAATTCAATGATTTTCAAACACTCCAATCATCTTACAAAATGCCTTCTCCCCTGATATACTGTCCTTTCAAAATAGCATCTATTCATGGAGCCGGTTATATCCTGGTTTCGTACCTGGAACTTTGAGATGATGGCCATCTACTTCAAGTAAAATTAGTTTCATACACAACAAAACTAACAGAAAGAAAAATCTTGGGAGCAACATGGGAGAATGGCCGAAGAGATCATAGCTTGCATTTACCGACACAAAATCGGAATGTCTCAGACAGATGAACTCTCTGTCTTCGCCGCTTCTTTCGCGGGGATAGCTGTACCCTCATTCGACGCCTCCCACCCAAGACCAGATTCCAGCGCTACGCCCGCCCGCGTCTCCTTCCGTTCGTTGCGTGACTTCCGCAGAGCTGGGATGTACTTTGCCGGGCTGTACCACTTGAGGTCGCGAAGTTCTTGGCTGTCTGGGCGTTCTTGCCGGAATCCGACGTTGGTGAGGTACCGAGATGGGTGGTACCAGTTGAAAATGAAGAAGACAGGGAGGATAAAGGAGGTCTCGAAGACGTAGAAGTTCCATTCGTGAGTGACGAGGTATCCGTCCTGACCGGTGGAGAACTCGATCAGGCGGTAGATACAACGAATCTACGAGAAGAAGGTCAGCAGTCGCCAAGTATCTTCACTAAATTTTCAGGACTCACGAAAATGAACATTCCAGCGATGTTGATTGCCCACAAGAATTTAGGCCACTGCTTGTCAGGCCAGTGCTGCTCGAACCTCTTTGCCACTGAGTGAAATCGTATCGATATAACCAGGAAGAACCCAAAACAGACGAGTTGGATGATGAGACCAATCTTCATGATCTCGAGTCCGTTTTTGGCTTTCTCCCGGTCAGAGTCGGTGCTGTCGGATCCACCCATGACTTGAGTCACGAAAGCACCAACATCACAAGTCACAAAGAGCGGTGCTATACTTAAGATCAGATACATAACACGTGTGCGGCTGTGTCTGAGTGGACTTACTCATGTAGCGTGGTGGGATCCAGAGATGCTTTACTGTTTGATATTCCTTTGGAGTAGCATGAAGTGCAATTCGTCCCTGAGAAATATTCTCATCAGCATTCTTGTCGATGAATTCGTGAAAGATTCAAAACATACCGTAGCCATGTAGCACGCAGCAGCCATAACTGCGGGTGCAATGAATATCATGACAAACTGAAGGATGTAAAGTCCTGTTTCAGAAAATCAGAAATGCGAAACTCCATCAATGTGTTTCTTGCACACACCTTTGTCCCCCTCCTCCGCAACTGAAAATATGTGACCCACATAACCAATTGCTTCCACTGTGCGTCGTCAACTCCAGTCCCAACTCCCTCACTCAGTGCTTCATCTCCAAACATACTCAACGCTCCAATCACCATACAAATCCAGAACCAAGTCTTGTATCTGAAAAACTGGTAGGCCGTCACAGCAAACGCCACGGTGTACAGGATGCCGAACACAATGGCGGGCGCCAGCTGAGGCTCGTAGTCGTACCAATTTGCTATGTAATCACATCATGATCAGTAAGATGATCTGAAGATTCAATACACCATGCTTAGAAGACAAGGCAAATGCTCTTCTGATGTGAGACTTACTAATTGGTACCTTTGGGCCATCATTGATGGATGCCATCCTGGATAGTTGTGGAAAGCTGTCGTCAGGATTAGAAGCTGAAATAAGCAAGATGGATCAACCAGGTGGGTTGCTTACATGCAGATAAGAGCAATAGCCTCACGGATAGAAGAACACTTCTAGGGCAAAGCACGTCGGTGTTATGAGCGAGTTGGGTAGGACAACGGGAGGAATGGACGGCCGCAGAGAAAAGAAAATATGGCCCAGAGTTTTGCTGACGAGAGATGAGGTCTATTCCTGCGGCTCTGTACGTAGGTATGGGAAACATATGGAGAAAGATATGGGACTTTCCTCCGCTGCCCAGAGCGCCAACTATCTTATCACCAGGTTTAGTGTTGTGCTGTGCTCATTTCTTGATGGGCGGCTCTCCTCGTACCTCGTACCTGCACAAGCATGCGGACCGCCAGCCACCGACGCCCGCCCAAGCCATGTCTTGGCGACTCGAAAGGCATAATGGTGTTTTGTATATTTGGATGTTGGTGAGAATGAAGACCGGTGGGTCGGTCGGCATTGGCTATTGAACCACCGACTTATGCCTGAGCCTACCTGCGATGTCGGAACGGCGCCGGGGCTTAAGCGAGAAATTGTTGACGCCTAAGCGAGAGCGGGGCTTGGCAACGGCGGCTCTCAAGTACCGTTCCGTCCGTGCAGAGAGTCAGATTGTCAACATGTAGGATCGACTTAGCTAGGTAAGCTTATACGCTCGATGGTTTCTAATTCTCCGAGTGCTCGCTTGGCACGCACTTGGAGCTTAAAGCCACCCACCCCCCTGCCACGGGACGGCAAGGGCGGGAGACGGGAGGCTTGCGGCTTGCGATTCCGTTAGTGGTAAGCAGCCCTACGGCGCGTGCAGGTGTTCTTGCATATGTGCCACGCTGGCCGAAAGATAGTCCGATCCCAGTTGTAGCTCAAACAGACACCATTGACCTTTTAGGGTAGAGAGAATCATCCTGGGGTGGTACATCCACCTGCAGGGTCTCTGATTTAGGTCTCAGATACTAAAGATTACTTACATACATGGGTACACAAACTACGTTTCTAAAGGCGACTTTCGTCGTCTTGATGCCTTACTCGTGGACATACAGACTTCCTTTTCCTTCTCTCCCTTTCTCTCCCTTGTTGTTTGCCCAATCAGGCCGGCCCCTCCCGTCTCTGTTCCCATTACCGTCTGAATTCAAAGCTTCAACCCGGCCAAGAAATGGGAGCACTCTTCTCAAGGTCTTACGGCTCGTATCATCGGTACTTGACTGTTCGTCCAATACAAGAATTCGAGCTCACCGAGCCGACCTACCAAATGACAGCCTGTGCCTCATCTCAACCTGTTAGCTCATCCGCTTGTCTTAAGTAAGTCCCCAATCCCATGCGAGTCATCATGAATGGAGCATCCCGCGTTCTCCCGCCCTGGTCGATCAACGCCCCACGTTCCATGTTAACGCAGGGTATCGGGTACCTATCTAAGGCAGCATGGCGAGGTACTTGTACAACAGCTTGGTTTGACCACTAGCCAACGGCAGGGGATGCAAAGCGCCGAGGGCTTCTTTTCAAGAAACTTCGCTAGAGCGCCTTGACCACCCTCTGTGTTTATTTACTGCCAAAAGAGGTTAAGTCATGAACAAGGATTAGAACCTAATTACCGTAATTTACTTCGTGCTGATGAGGACAAAAATAAATCCCTGGTCCCTTCGTTACCACAGTCGTCATATTGTGGTACAGCGCTTTTGTTCCTCGCAGCCCAAAGACCAGACACCAGACACCCTGACCCCTCAACGCCAACTCTGGCGTCAGCCTCACAGCTTGCTTCGGATTGAGGACCCTAGTCACTGTGGATACGACTGCCGACAACCCTGGAGATCAATCAAGGATTTAGATTGTTCTATCGATCTCCCCTCCCAATTTAGCAATCATTACGTCGGCAACCTCCGTTTTTGTAGGTTAGCAATTCATGATACTGCAAAGAATGGTAAACTCTAAAGCGCGCTAAGAATGCTGTTCCCCTTTCTAACGTGTCCCAAATCTACCTAGTATCCGGATATACTGTTCTCACATCACCTCCGATAGCGTCATGTCGCACCCCATCTCATCACATCATCCCAACTCGTATATCGTATCAGAGCAGTGCTGAATCCTTCAGCATATCCGTCACCCCTGCTACCCCCCTGTGCAGGATATCCTCCCGCATCTGAATCTCTTTCAGCGTGAACTGCATGGCAACCACGTGTATGCGACGCTTCGGATCGCCTGTTGCACAATTGGCAGACTCTTGTGTCAGGGCGGCGCCCGCCTCCATCTCCAAGGGAAAGCATGTCATGATGCCCTTGTCGATGCGATCGAGCAGATGGCGTATGGCGTGCACCAACAAGAGGATCTGCAGTTCGCTTGAGGCTGGCGGCGTAAACTGGCCGAGTCGGAGGCTGGGCAGGTCCCCGGCCGCGGTGGGCTGCGCAGTGATGTTTGAGTTTTGCAGTCGTAAGCGCAAGTCAGATACGAAGGGATCGCAGATGTTGAGAAGTCGGAGGTAACATGTCAGCACCAGGAAGAAAGTCGCATTGTATTGGCCGCCTGATGCTGAGCCTGAGGATGGGGTTTGATTGCTCTGTACGGACTGTCCAGAGATGCCGGCGGCATTTGTTGGTGATACACTATTCCGGCTGATGTTTGGACTCTTGGCAGCATTAGCCCCGGGGGCATGCGTCGCAAGCCGATTGAGTATATTGATGAAGGCCTGAGCTGTGGTGAAGATTGAATCGGCTTGTGTGTCGGATATCGCCTGGGGTTGGCATTCCGTTGATGCGAGTGGATTCGTTGAGATGTTGTCCAACTTCATGGTCGCGAGACCATCACCAACGCGTCCCTGAAGCCCGACTGCCGTAGCGGGAGACGATACAGAGCAGCGGTAAAGCATGCTTTGGAGTTCAGCCAGGTCTTGAATGCAGTCATTCATTGTGGCTGTAGCGTCTCCATACGGATCCGTCGGAGAAGATTCAAACGAGCTCAGTTGGTCACTGAGGCTCGGAAAGGTGTGGTTGTCACCGGATAAGTCCTCGTGAGAAGGCCAGTGGATGCCAAAACTTTCAGGGAACAGGTCAGAGAATGGTTGGTTACCGTTCACATGGTAATCTGCTGCTCCTGGAAGGGTACTCAAGTGAGGCAGATTCCACTGTAAAGGTTCGAAAGTCGTAAATATGCTCAGGTCCCGGGAATTGTCGTAGTTCGCATGTGGAATGGTACTCGCGTGGTCTGGATTTATAGAAGTTAGAGCAAAACTCGTACAGCACTCGTACACCGCAAGAAGATAGATTGAACTCACCTCCACCGCTGTGTAACACGGTACTCGATGGGCCCAGCACCTCACCGTCTAACGGCATCATCACGTCATTGTCTGCAATGCTCCAACTCAATGTCGGACTATCGGTGGTTGGGACAGTGAAGCTATCTCCCACCTTTCGCTTCTTTGTTTTCGACTTTGTCTTTGCTGGAGGTTCCGGGGACTGCGATACGTTCCCGTGGACCACCAAATCTTGATGTTGGTGCAGGACTATATCGCCTGACGATAAGGTTTGTTGGTTTCCGGGAATAACTCCGTTGGTACTGTAAGTGCTGCCACTGTTGCTGGAACTGCTGTCACCAACATCTCCATCCCCATTGTTTTTGTTGTTTCCCGTTTGGTTCGCATTACTTGTGCATGGAGGTCGTCCCAATCGCATTGGCGTTCCGTATACGCATTTTGTGTTGGCTCTGAAGCATCTTTCGCAACCCTCGGAATTGCTGAACATGTCCGAGCGGACACAACGTAACTTGTGGCTATGGCACCTGTTGCATGCCAGACGTGTGAATCTTTTAGATGATGGTGAGATGGACGAGTCTGGCTTTTGGCCATGTTTGACTGAGGTGTACCCTTCTACATCGCCGACACTGGCATCGCTTGTCTCTCCATTCGCAGTCTCGAGGCTGCGAGCATTGTTGTCTGTCATATTGAATGTATTCTCTGTCTCCTTGCTGTGTTTTAATCAGATTAGACGTTTGGCCTGCCGTCCTTTATCGATAAATATCATTTTCTTGTCGTCAGGTAACCAGTCTCCTTCCTATTTCCCGAACGGGTGGCTGCCAGTAACATTACCACGCCTTTGGACTGCAGTAAGACCTGCCAATGTGGTCAGTAAGACAACACCAAAAGCAAACTTGGGCACCGAAGGGGAAAAAAAGAATCCTACAGCTGATTCGTACTCTTTGCCTATGGCATAGCTTCCCATGGAGTGAGTGGGGTGAAGGTAAGCCATGTTTTTCCAGGGTTTACTGCAATAGCAGGGGTGCCGCAGTCAACTTTGCCGGGTACTATGATCCTTCACAGAAATTACATGCATGAGCACTGCAGACAGAGGAGAGCAGAACTGAACAAAGGGAAGACGGGGAAACCGTGTTTGGCTGGGGCTGGTGGTCGGGTGGCACAGCATGCTCAGCGTGAGCGGCAGGAAGAGATGGGAAGATTGATTGGTACATAAAACGAAACACCCAAAACCTTACTCGCTGGAAGTCTCTCCGGATCCCTCCCTCATTCCTCATCCCTCATCCCTCGCTTCCCGTCCCTCCATCAAAACACGTCTCCGCGCCAAAACAGCTGATTTTGCTGGCGGCGTTCAGCAATGCCAAGTCCCGTGCCAAGCGCTTGTGTCAGTGGGCGGTGGTGACAAAGCGTGCAGGTGGTGTGTATGGTGTGTATGGTGTGAATGATGTGAGTGGGTGGTGAAAGGAAAGGTGTGTGGATGAATGAATTGCGCCGTAGGTTGACCCCCGCGTCCACGGGAAGGGGATGTTCACCTGCATACAGACCTAGCTACGGACGTAGGGACCACCAACGCAAGTACAGGCATCGACGCATCCCGCGCGTCATATTGCCGGTGTCTTTCCAATCTGTCCAGCCTTGCAGCTGAACTGGCCGAAAAAAAAATATCGTCGACGAGCGACATCGTCGCCGCGATTAAGTCATTCCCACAGCATCTACCCAGCCTCGAGCTGCTCCCACGATCATGTCGGTCGGCACACCAGGTAGTCTTCATTCTCCAGGTGCTGCTTTCAACAGTGTGGATATCCAGAAGAGCGTCTCAGAGATCTTTGATCTTGAGCGCGACCCACGAGTTCCTTTTGGCCTCGTGCAAGGCTACCAGGAGAATGACCAGACGGGTCCCGACCAAATTGCGGAAAAAATAACGGCGAAGATCGAATACCTCACGAATATCCTACCTATTCTCACTCATCTCTGGCTCTCAAGCTCTGAGCATCTTGACCTCTCAGCCGAGAAACTAGCAGATGCGTGTCGTGAAAGTGAGTTTTCGCTATTTCAGGACTGTCGTTTGCTGGCGGCCCAGAGTCTGGAAGTTTATTACGATACATGGATATAAGCCACGATTGTGGACCTTTGGTGCACTTGTCCATTTGTTTCCAGACAAGATGACCCATACTAACATGAGAACGTAGCTCGATGGCGAGTCCCCGTTGGCGAGTCAGGCGTCTTGGATTTCTTCCTAGGAATTCTGCCACACTGTGAAGATAGAAGGGTTCTCAAGCTACAGATCTTGCGACTCATTGGGAATACGTGCGCAGATGTCGGTACGTTGAAGGTTGAATGTGAAGTCATTGAACAGTCTTGCTTATACAATACAGACAATAACCGGGCTCAGATTTTGTCGCGCAATGTTTTCCCGTCTATCATACGCGATTTGAGAGATCACATCCTTTCGCCATTTGCTGTCGTAGTAATCTATAATATGTGTGTTGATTATGGTCAGTATCTCATCCATTTTCCCAGTATTCATTGCCCCCTCGCTGACACACACTTAGAACCTGCCCAAAGAGAAGCATCCGAGCACCAATTGACTCGCGAGTTAATTGAATACCTTTTTGCAGCAGACGATGGACGCGTTGAAGTGTTTCTCGACCACTGTTGTGAGCTATTAGGGTTCATGGTAACTCAAGGTTTGTGGGTCCTTTGCTTTAACCGCCAGACGCTCAAGCTAAAAATGCTTCAGAAGCTGAGATCGACAAGGCACCTAGCAATACCTGCCTTGTATTATTCAACGTAGCAGCTGCTTTAAACATCGAGAATAAACTTGAGGAATTCTCCAAGCTACTGGATATTGCCACTTGTTACCTGACACACACCAAATTCCGGAAGGGTTTGATTGAGGATGGTGGTATGGTCAATGCTTTAAATCTCATGACGAAGACTTATATGTCTTTGGAAAAGCCAGAAAGCATTATACGCCGGTCTCACCAGGCTTTCCCACAAGACGCAATTGATAGAGCGGTGTCTTCGCTTTCTTCACTCAGCCAGCAGATTCTTGACACATCAAGTCTGCCAGAATTCAGTATAGAGCTGTATCCATTAGAGTCTCAATTTGGGACAACTCTTATCCGATTACTTTCATCGTCTAGGGTGGTATTTCAAAACTACGCATGTGTGCTAGTCGGAAACCTTGCTCGCTCAGACACAGTCTCGGAAGAGCTCGTCCACACCTACCAAATCCACAATAATCTCAACACAATTCTGAGGACTACAGACGATGCAAAGATCCTTTTCGCCGCTCTATCTCTCCTAAACAATCTATGCGTCTCGCCGAGAAACAAGGTCGAGCTCGGCAACAGCGGACTCCTCGAATTCCTCCCCACGCTCTGGAATCTAGCAGACAAGGTTGCAATCCAACACGCTTCAATCCGCTTAACTCGCAGTCTCCTCGTTAGTAATTGGGATAACGTTCGCAGATTCTACCGCCGACTGTCGCGGGACAAGGACTCACCAGCACACATGCGATCCAACATGTCGCTCCTCCTCGCGACATTCGACAGAACAGATAATGAAACCACAAAGGTAGAAATCTCACGACTGATCACAGCCTTCTGCCGCGTAGGCAGTCAGCGTATGCCCAAGGACTCGCAGAAACTCGAGCAGAACAAGCGCAAATTCTACTACATGCACCCGGAGATCAAGAAACCCCTCATCTTCATGATCACACAGCAGAAGTCCGCAATCGTGCGGTCAGAAGGCTGGTTCACACTTGCTCTCCTAGCCGGCACAGCCGAGGGCACAGAATGTATTTTCAGCGTTCTATCTGAAGACGGCGGGATGCAAGCCCTGATGGAGACGATCGAGGGAAAGAGGATCGTGGATGGGCAGCCTACCACGCCTGGGGTGCCGCAGTGGATTGACCAGTTCATGGGTGAGGGCTGGGACTGGGGAGGCAGTCCACAGGCTACTATGACGTCGTCGGAGGATGCGCAGGCAATCAGGATGGCGAATATAGACAGGAAGAATGCGAGGGCGATTTTGAGGGTGCTGATCAATAGTGGGCTGGACGCGGTGGATTCGATACAGCTGAGCGTGTACAAAGATCTCTTGAGCTCTGGGTCTCTTTAGCACGAATTTTAATTATGGCTTCATATTATTGACTTAGTTCCTGTGATGATCACTGTGACTTCGAATCAGACCTACTGGTAATCCAGGGGACCTAGAAAGGGCTCAGGGCTTCCACTCCACAATCCTACATTCAATTTCCTCATTAGATTGAAGATTACCTCATTCAGCTTCCATGTAAAGGCATTCCAGCAGGCCTCTCAACATAATTATCTTTAGAAGAGTAAGAAAGTAGCGCGGCGTTGTGTCGGGTCAGCTCTCTCCGTGAGAATCCTTCAGTCTCCACTCCAGGGCCTTAGCATAAGGGTCTGCATCCAATATTGCAGCAATGTATTACATTCTCTAGCCAAGGCCAGGATCTGCCCTCCCAACCCAGCTCAGTCAGAAAAGCTTAAATGATACCCTTCCTCAGTGGGTGTGGTACGAGGTTTACCAATATCTGCAAGAAGATCGGATTGATTGGGAAAATGCTGAGTTGCCGGTTGTTGGGTCCTGCTGAGCAACCTGCAACTAACCCTTGAGGCTGTGAGTTCAGGCTGGGACGCTATGCTGGCTGACATATGCATGCATGTAACCACGGATGAACGGTCCAGTTTCTGTCTGAGCTCGTATACCGTAGCTGCGCTGGACATGTGACAACTCAGTTTTGGAGGAGAGAATGGCTGGCTGATTAAGTCATTTATGTTACAATGACAAGGAGCTAATATACGAAAATTGCAAGACTTTGGATTTGGATGAGTACGATATAGATTGGAATTATAGTTGATATAACTTCATCTCACCATGTCATGTATGTACATTATTTACAGATCCAATACAGTCATTCATGCTTGTGGGTTCACCACATTTGTCTTCTTGAGACTCTTCCAGCCCATCCCAGTGCTGGTAAAGAACGCCACGAACGCACCAGCAGCGCCGAGATACTAAATGACCTAGTCAGTACAAGTAATTTGACGGTAAATATCAATAATGGGACTCACAAAAGTGCCAATGAGGGCATAGTTGTAAGCTTCTAAGACATGATCTAGAGACTCCGGTGGCACAGCTTTCTTCAATTGCGTGGCTCCCCACTTCACCACAAGCGCTGCATTAACTTCTGGTGCAAACCTCTGAAGTGCGCCCATGAGGCGATTGGTGAAGATTGTCTGACCGCAGGAAATGAAGATGGCACCGCCGAAAAGCTGGAAGAGGACTACCAGTGCCGAGCCCACTGCGATCTCGGATGGTTTCAGGATAGCCTGTGTTGCTATCACGGGCTGGAAATGTTGTTAGCTATGAACAGGGACTTTATCACAGAGTCAAATACTATTTGAAGGACCATTCCGCGACCTGCACCGCCGAGTATCTGATAGCATATCCATTCTGCTTCGGATGTACCAGGCTTGAAGTTTCCCATGAGGCCTGAGCCTATTGCCGTGATAGCTGATCCGACCATAGCCCACGGTAAGTAGTATCCTAGCCTTGTGACTACAAACAAGTCAGTCTTTGTTACAAAGCCAGTAGTGATGCTGCAAGGTCAACATACCTAGGATACTAGATATCCCCGCCGCCGGAATCTGCGAAAGAAAGGTGGGCAGGATCATGATTCCACTCATAGTTGGGCCGACTTGCTTGACAGATTGGAACCAGATTGGCAAATAGTAAGTGACCAGCAGGAGGGAACCCATCTGTAGAAGTGCTGTCAAGCAACTACTATATATGATTCGCTGCTTCAGCATTGACATCGGGATCATAGCGTCTTTTCCTATTCGTTGCTCCCACAATGCAAACACAATTGCAGTTGCGATTGACCCGATGAAGAGGCCAAGAATGGTGGCAGAGATCCATGGATGCTCAATACCTCCCCATTGGAGAGCCATGAGGAACATGATGCATGCCGGTGCAAAGAGAGAGAAGCCTATGATATCCAAGGCAAAGAATAGCTCTTTCAAAGTCTTGTGAACTTTGTATTTCTCCCGCTCATCGGGTATGTCGATGAAGAATAGGACAAGACCGGTGATGGCTCCGGCAGGTAAGTTGATGTAGAAGCCTGTAATGTTAATTAGAGGTGTTCAATAATGTACTACGGGATACATACACCACCTCCAAGTTGCATATTGTGTAAATGCTCCACCGATCAAGGGTCCGACTGCCTGTCCAATAACACCTACTGACATGATTGTGCCAACAAGGACTAATAGAATAGATGCATTAGTTCCATCGCTGGATATAGAGCGAGAGAGGATGTTCATACGTGGACGTTTCACTACTGGTGCTGCAGAGGCTATGATGGTGAGGGCCCCATTCATCAACCCCGCGCCACCAATACCACCCACTGCTCTTCCAATTATAAACATCTCCGACGAGACCGAAGCTGCTGATATCAAAGCTCCCAATTCGAAGACCGCAAGAAAGGAGAGGAAAGTCCACTACATCCGATCCATTAGTCACCGCGACGAGCAAGAGGTCGGATATGCAGTTACCTTGAGAGAAAACACAGTGTAGAGCTTGCCACTTAAAGGTTGTACTGAACAACTTCGCCATTATGTCAGTAAAGAGTCGTTGCAGGTTCTTCAAACTTATTTCGGACAAGGGACGAACATACTTGGTGAGTAGGTATACACTGCCATACCAGCCAATATCAGAAATCGATTGGAAGTGCATTGAGATCTCTGGAATTGCCTGGGTAAATAGTCAATATTGCTTCTTCGGTTTCCGCAAATCAGTATTCCTACTCACTGTTGCAACTATTGATGCGTTAAGCATCATCAACATGCCGGCGAGCGTTAATCCAAATGTAAGAGTATATAGCTTGACACCTGTCAAGTGTACAACATTAGGCTCCTCGTCGTCCTCTTCCGTTGTAGCATCGGGAGAAGTTTCTGGTGAAGTGCTGCCATTATGACTTGCATCTCCCAGCGGTTCCTTGGATGCAATTTCTGGCTGCTTCAAGATGGTGCTGTCTGTGCCGATTGAGCTGGCGAGCGTCTCTTGCCTTTCGGTATTGGGGGAGTCGGTCTGGAAATCATCGTCAACTGTCACAGCTGAATCACTTTCCAGCTTCGGTGAAACTTCAAAAGGTACTTTTTCTGTTGAAGGTAGTGCTGGCTCCAAGGCTTGTGTCTCTATAGGGGCAGCAGACACAGAGCGACGTGAGTCTTGAGTATGAAGCGGTTGCAACTCAACTGGTAAAGCGCCATTGTTGACTTGTTGGTTTGATATATCCATGTCTCTGGCTATGCTCTTGGCAGTCGATTGTGTGGAGATTAAAGTAGCACTCATGATGAAACGATCAATCGAGCTGTGTCAAGGGCATGGCGCGTAACATAACATACCATAAGACATAGTTAATGTACGCATTCTTGCCTTCGTTCCTCGGAACTGCAGGATCAGAGACGATGACAATAGCCGGCAGAGTCTCCCATTGCCCATACTGGAATATTCGGCTGGACTGGGTACAATAGTCAACACCGGTCTGTCGGGTTGGAATATCGCCGATATGCCAAGCATTTGGGGTGACATTGCCGATATAGGAGGTTAAGCGAGCAGGACCGCCATCCCCGTTTCCGTGGCGCTTCGTCTCAAAAACTCGCTTCTCGCTTTATTCTGTAGTCTCTGTAGCTGGTGGCATACCGGGCAAGGGGATTAACTCGTTGGTCGAAACCCCATGTCGTGTAAAGAACCCATTCCCAGAAGACCATTCATCAAAAAGAGTACTGAACCCTGGCGATCAAAACAATTTCTGATCTGACACACATGGACTGTACTATTCATCTAATTCGTCTAATTGTAGAAATCATGTATTTAAAGTGATCGGCAACTCGCCAAGGGCGGCTGATGGCGAACTAGTTGCTGAGTACGGGTGCCATATATCGCCGATGTTCCTGCCTTTTCGTAATTTGTCTAATCGATGACTTCTAGATTGATTTTGAGAGGAGAATTCCAAGGAGAACACAAAAGCGCCGAAAGCATTAGACTGCCAAATTTCTCCACCTCTATGTCACTCGTGAGAAGACAATCGGCCGTCAGATCTCCTTCTAGTTCGAGAAGATGAGAGAGTTACGTATGCTACGGGAGTGGTGAAGCCAGAGTGACTTATTTCGTTACCTTATAATCTTCTTGAAATCTTCCTCTGGAAGTACCCTTCATCAATACATTGAGACGCAGTTTTTTCTCATCCCCTAAATAAATCATGTTGTTCAAATCCATTACTTGTATCCTTGCAGCACTTGCCGTTGCGGAAGCGACACCAAGCAGACGCTGCCAGTACAACACACTCGAGCAATACGACATCGAGAATGTGACAGCGATTGATATTGGAGAGGATCCATTGATTCCTTTTTCATCTCCGAAACTCTCTGCAGTCAACCAAACTGCCTGGGAGTTCTGGTTTTTCGACTCCACAACCGAAGATGGAGACGCTGGAATTTCGTTCGCATTCTGGCGAGATAACTCTCACGTGGGAATAGAGAACCCCCCATTAGGAGTTTTGAGGCTCCAAACGCAAGTTGTCTTTCCCAATGGCACCCACTGGATCGAGACTTCCTGGGTGACGGACAACACCATTTCAGTATGCAAGGATGCAACGACTGGTGTGTGGAACAAGACCGGATCCACATATTCCTTCAAGACATCCACCGATCTCAAGCACACCACCATCACTCTTGACTCGCCGACTTTAAGTGGGACATACACTCTTACTGCCACAGCGCCAGGCATTTACGCAGATGGAAATTTGTGGCCATCACGACGGGCTACTGCCAAAGTTATGCCCTATGTCTACTGGGATGCCTCTGTTCCGTCCGGAAAAGTCAAGGTTGATATCAACGTCGCCGGCACACAGCTCAAGTTCACTGGCATCGGCGGTCACGACAGGAACTGGGCATCCTTCCCACTTGTTCAAACCGCCCTAGGCTGGCAAGAGTCACGTGTGAATGCCGGTCCCTACACCTTGGTCTTCTGGTTGATCGGATCCCAAGTTGATGGCAAGACATACCTGGCCTCCACCATTATCAAATCCAACAAGGTGATTTTCAAGTCACAATCGTTCACTGCGGCGAAGAACACGGATTACATGCTTTTCTCACAAACGCACGTGAACGATACAAGCACTCCTTTCGATCCGACGAAAGCCCGCACTACCTTCCATCTTGACTTTGTTTCCGCTTCCAAGAAGAAGGAATGGAAATTCGACGTTGACTTTGCGGATCCCGAGTGGGCAATTCAGGACCGTGGGTTTGGAGGTATCATTCCAGCTAGCGTGACTGGTGGAGAGGTCGGCTGCAAGCAGTACTCTGGTGTCGGAACTGCAATGCATGCTGAATTTGCCCCAGACTGGGTCTAAGTCAACTGTTGCTGTATTTTGACAGCTATGAAGAGAGCTGGTGATGATTGTGCTGGCATCAAAAATTTCCTTCTGTGGGTTTGGCATTAGACTTTTGGTAGTCATGGGTGTTGGAGTGGACGATGAGCATACAATGGTCATAGTGCTACGGCTAGAGTTCCTTTCAAAATGCAAAATCGTACGTATAAACTTGTTTATATTTGGTTGAGCTTGTGTTAGAGTGGTTGGGAGTCCCCCAGAATACATGATTTGATTCGTTCATGAGGCCTGCACTTTCACTTCTTCCCGATCTATGCAAATCGCGGTCGGAGTCTTTACGCCTCACATCATCTGGAATGCTCCGTGCAGTTTAGGTGGAGTCTTCGTAATCGCCGGGGTGGCTCTACCCTCAACAAGCGGTTTTTGAAAAGTCTGCGAGGGATCATGGACTGTGATTGAAACATCTTGACATTCGCGGGGACTTAGTTCGGGGCATTATCAGTCCTTACATGGGCTAAACGCTTGTCTTTCAGGGTATCTAAAAGAGTGCCGTCGGAAGATCTTTCTGTTTCTTCCCGAGGTCTTCAAAGAGCGGTGTCTGGACATAAAAGATATTCTACACTTTTTCTGAAGTGATATGTGGATTGAAAGGTATGTCTATACATAAGAACGACTACATTGTAGAAATCTATTCTAACTTGCGAATATCCCAGATAACATGGTAACAAAACCCTTCAGATAAACACCATTTCATCGATCGTAACAACAGGATCTTTCCGAATCTTGCTCTCAACTGCAGCATTCCACCACGTGACTTTCGATGTTCCACTACTTACATCCTTGATAGCCTCCGCCAACTTCCTCGTCCCATCCTCGTCAGGAATCAAATGATGACCCCCATTGAACTCGATCAAACGCACAGTATCTCTATCAAAAAACCTGTCAAGCATCATCCTCCCGTTTTTGAGCCAAGGATCCACAAGACCATGGACCTGAACGGTCGGGATCCGAATCAAATCATCCTCTAGCTGCTGACTCGAGCGATGAGCTTGCCACTCTAGACAATCCGCTGTCCCATTGAACATGATGCCGAACTGTAGACTGCTCCAATAGGATCTCTCTCCGCGATTGCGGGCTTGCTGTGCAAGAAGTAGGAGGCTTGCGGCCATCCCAGCACCTTGCGAGAAACCCATCACTCCCACAAATGGACTGTCATACTCTCCGATCTCCAAGAGAGCTCTTTTCAAGCCCTCGTTTGCCTCTTTCTCCTCTTTCCCGAGATCTATACGTCTTGCAAGAGGCTTCCGAGAACGGCGCCTTTGCGGGATCCAGGCGAAAAAGTCGTCGTCGCTGTCAAAGAAAGGGAGAACTCCTGGACCGGGAGGCGAAGAGAATGGAGCGTTGACGAAGACGAAGCGAAAATGATCTTTGAGGTGGCCTCGTAGCTTGCGACTTTGGATTTGGAAGATGTCAATGTTGGTGCCGCTGCCGTGAAGGCAAAGAATTTTGGGAAGTCGTCTGCGTGGCTCCATCGTTATGGCTAAGAGATGAAAATTTATTTGTGGAAGAGTCTTTGGTGGAAAGAAGATAGCTAGGAGTGAGCTTGACAAGGAATTGGGTGCTGCTATCTACCATTTCAGCCTGGGAGGATTTCACGATGAGCCAGGAATACTCTACTAGAGACTTGGCAAGACTCAGAATCGGGCCTTTTGTCACGCAATAGATTGACTTAAAAGTGCAAACTCGCTTCAGTAAGATCATATGGCGCTAGTGGTAAACAAATCTGAGTGATGCTGAGAATTCGGCGATTTAGCTGAATAATCGTTGATCCTACGTTCTTGAACTGGGAATCCTTCAGAAGGAAGAAACCGGAAGACGAGAAAGGAAGAAAACTTAGTCTCTTGGCATCTGGCGTTGAGATTATTCAGCCTCATGAATATATCCAGTCAGAGTGAACTGGACATTCAGCTCATTTCGGCGATTTCTTCTTACGTTCCATAAGACGCCAAGACCGAATTCTGAATTTTCCAAAAGTAATCATCTTCTGAAGAGTAAGTCCCCTTCCTTTGGTTGTGTCTCAAGAAACTAGATCAACTTTTTTCTCGCTCTCTTCAGCAAATCCTGTTTCGTTGAGTTCGAATGTCCTGTTTGAGTTTTCTCGGTCATCACTTCAGTTTCGCCAAACCTCAAAATGCCACACTCTGAGGATATCATTCCAGCAGAACAGACTGCTATCATTGCCCTGCCAAACGGAGAACTTGGAATTTCTCACAATGTGCCAGTCCCGCATGTCGACGACGATCTGGCCCTCGTGAAAACGGTTGCAATCGCCGTCAACCCCGTGGACGCCAAAATGGTAGGGCCAATGGCAAGTCCCGGTGCCATTTCTGGCTGTGATTTTGCTGGTATTGTTGTGAAAATAGGTGCAGGCAGTGGAGAGTACCTGAAGATCGGGGACCGCGTGGCTGGCGTGGTACATCCAATGAACCCTATGCGCCCTGATGTTGGAGCTTTTGCAGAATACGTTGGTGCCACTGCCGATTTCACACTCAGACTGCCTGAAACTATGAGTCTGTCAACTGGAGCATCACTGGGAACGGGTGTTGGAACCATGGGACTGGCTTTGTTCAATCACCTCCAGCTACCCAACACACCTGATAATCCAGGCGTGTTTCCAGTCAACAAGCCTTGTTACGTTTTGGTGTATGGAGGAAGCACCGCTTCTGGCACACTCGCTATTCAATTGATCAGACAGTAAGACTCAGCTTGATGATGATGGAAGTTGCTTACTGACACATATCCAGTGCGGGACTGACACCCATTGCAACCTGCTCGCCCCGAAACAACGCCCTGGTGGAGAGCTATGGCGCTGAAAAATGCTTCGACTACAATTCGCCAACTTGTGCGAAGGACATCAAAGCATACACTAAGAACGGTCTGCGATACGCAATGGACTGTATAGTCGAGGCTGATACCATGACAATCTGCTATGAATCGATTGGACGGTCTGGCGGACGCTACACAGCACTTGAGCCATTTCCCACTCACCTCACAAGCACGAGGAAGACCGTCGTGGCAAACTGGGTTTTGGGACCTTCCATCCTTGGAACCAAGATTGGCTGGCCAGCACCATTCGGCCGTGAAGGCGATCCGTCGCTGCGAGTGTTTGGGAAAAAGTGGTTTCAAACAGCCCAGAGATTGTTAGATGAAGGGAAGATCAAGCCACACCCCGTGAGAGTCCACGATACTGGTTTTGAGGGGGTTTTTGACGGATTGGAGCTTTTGCGAAAGAAGATGGTGTCTGGTGAAAAATTGATTTACAATCTCTGAGTTCGAAATAGATTAGCGTAGTTGGAAATCAAAAGCGATAAATGATAGTACATATTGCAAGTTTCGACCTTAAACTCCCAGGTGTTGTGAATGATTTTAATGACCGTAATTACAGCTGGTCATTTTACCTCACAGTGCATTGTCACGCCCACGGCCACTTGAGTCATTGAAAGTGACGGACACTACGTTGCTCAGATTGGCTCGGTGACCTCATACCCCTTAGCATTCTAGGATTTTATGTCTCTAAAGTAAGCTTTTAATGACTTTGGCTGGAACATCAGAAGTGACATATACTTGATGAACTCAAAAGGGAACAGAAAACTTGGCCTTCATCCTGATCAAGTGATGTATGATGTCGGCGCTTAAATAAGAGAATGAAGTGTCATGAAGCGCAGGTTTCTGTTACTCAAGCCAGACTCGGTTTGCTGCAAAGTGAAGCAGTGCCGTGCCCTTCGGCGTTTCACAAAGGCTAGACACACTTCCATTGCCCTAACAATGCCCAGAAAGCTGTTGATTGCTTCACATTTTCAACATACATGATGTCGGTTCTGAATATTGTCTTTGTCATATCGTAGTGTCCAGTTTGTACTTGAGCCCTTGTGATGTCCAACCCCTCGGAAATTGAATGGCAGCTCATACACGTGTCGGCAGTCAAATATGCCGATTGAACTGATGAACATAAGACAGAATATGGGTGGAACCAGCGTCAACCGTTTTTGAACAAGGGAGATGCCAATGAGATTCATTTCGTAACTCAGATCGGAAGTTACATTCAAGAAAAATAATTATTAAGAGGGAGGAGATTCTCAATTTCCATCTATCACGAATCGACACAACGGTGAAGCTCTCCCTCAACAACATCCCAGTGTACTGGCTCATTTTTGGGGTCGAACTCCTCGGCACCTCGAAACTCGACATTACTATATTCCCACGGCGTAGAGAACTTTCCCGAAGGTTTCGTCACTATCAGAACCTCTTGAATTCCAATCTTCCGCATGTTTCTTAATATGGCCATCAAGCTGTACATATTTCCGCCATGGGAGCGCAGTTTTGGCCACATCTCCCATCCTGTCGCCAAGGTCTGGATTTTGGGCTTTTTTCCATTCTGTGGATCGGGAACGAAAGCGTCGAATTTATTGGTAAATGTCATTTCGTCAAAGTTGATGCTCCATAATATACCATTTGATTCATTGAAGTAAAGTTTCGGCTCTCCAAGTTTTGGCTCGTGGTGAGCTATGAGGACTTTTAGACATTCTTCGCGAGTCTCACCGGTTACTCTTAGCAGAGGTACCGATGCTTGGATAGGTACTATGGAGGGTTTACTATGGTATTCATTCTTGTTTTATTACTCCCGATCTCTGCTGCAACGATCGGTGTGCCTAGCGCGGCGGTTCTGACGATTTTTCGTCGGAGCTCGAGAGGTAGCCTGGGGAAACAGGTGAAAGTTGCCAACGGCATCTCAGTCTCTTGATACGATATAGATTCTGCTTGTATCTGCGCGTTACGTTTCTTAAATTCTTGGTGATGCTTTGATCTGTTGCTGTTGTATCTGGATTGGAAGTTCCTCCGTCGATTGAAGAAGATTTTCAAGGTTTGATTCGTCACGTAAAAATTCCTTGCAACAAAGAAACGTGTTGCTCACCGTGAGCCAGTACGAACGCGTGACTAAATTCTTGTGCCGGAAATTTCAAGCGAGGAACCACAGTGGCGCGGCATGTCACCAACACATTCAAGGAAGAACTCTTTGCCACCAACGGGTATCACGACATGAAGTGCTCCTAATCCCATAGTCCACTCATATATTTCTTCAGAACATATTCAGCATATCTGGAAAAGTTGTCTGCTATGGTTTGATATAAATCCGTCGAGAGAGAAGAATCAGAAGATCGAAATCGTGAATGGGCTTGACAGAATCAGCCAGATCAATGTATACGCCACAGTCATATAAACTATATAGAATTTTGTAATTAAGAATGAACAATATTCCAAAGCTATAACGTTGTATTGTCGCAAACAGAGGCATATTTTGAACAATCACGAATGCAGAAGAGCCTATATTGACAATAGTATTTGTTTTCCACCCTTGCCTGTATTTGTTCCTTGACTTAACAGGATCGTGCCAAAATAGAGGAACACGTCATTCCCTCCGGACATCTTATCTTGACATTTAATCACCATTGTGAAGCTACAAGTCTACCAGATTTGGAAAGAAATATCCAGTCCATAAACCATGAAACCTTTGCTGAAGTCCGGAACAACGTCCCCACACACCCCCTATACTTGATTGGCTCAAAGCTTATCCGACGTTTGTGAAAAGTCTTCAGACATAATGGATCTTTTGAAGTGTCCACGGCAGCTTCGGCTTCTCGTATTATAGGTCATTCCCGGCCCAATTATTCTCATCATCAGGATCAAAACCATCTGCAGCTGCGTCAGCATGTCACATGTTGGAACCAAGCTGTTACTGATGCTGAACTCACCCTTGATCAATTACTCTAGATGTTTCTCTGCATCATGCTCGTACATAGCAATATCTTTCATGTGCATATCCTCGAGACTCTCCCAAGTCAGCTGGTTCGTAACTGGGGCGGTTAATGCCGAAAACGAATCATCAAAATACCCGTCCGGAAGCAATTCCTCAAAGAATGGTTTCTGGGTGAGCAAATTGAGATCCGTAGAGCTCATATCTCTCCCCTTATCGACTACAATGTATAGCTCTCTGACCCCCAAGGCAGAAAGGCTGTTCATAAAAGCCATGAATCGTTGTTGTAGACCCATTGCGATCCAAGTAGACATTTCGATAGCGAGTGAGGGAATGAATGAAACTGTGGAGGATTCAGGTATGAGCTTTCAGCTTTCATAGTAAGCATCATCTGCCAGAAAGATGGTATCAACGTCTCTATTCATATAGAACAACGGTCTCTGAATGGTCTCTGGAAGAAAGGATGTTTGAAATTGCTGTGCCTCTCCACGAGCCTCTTTGCAGACATGCCGGATTCGGCACCAGGATTTCGGCCTCCAGATATTTATTTCCCCATAGAGGTAGATGTGACGCTTTTGAAGCTGCAAATTGATCACCGTTGGCTTGAACAAAGCTGTTCTCCAGATCATGAGTCGAATCTCGACCGCGAGCTTCTTGAAATTTGGAAACAGAATACAGTTTGGACTCTGCACCGTATTCAAATCCGGTGCAATTACAGACAATCCAATTTGAATCTGACGTTGAGAAGAGATCAAAGTACCATCCAGGTGGGTAGGTGTTCGTACCGTATGGTTCCCAGCAGGCTGGACTACTTTTAGTGGCTCCTCAACCAACGCGACGGGATGCTTCTCCTTGACGACCAAAGTGCTTCCGTTCCCGAGAGATGTATCTAATGATTTAGGAGATATCGTGTCGTACTTTATGAAATTGGCCTCGTTGTCGTCGTTACTCATAGCTCCTGTAGAATCGCTTGGGGACAGATATTGAGCTTCAGCCTGTTCTCGCTCATCGATAACTGTTGCCATGCTGTTTCTATCTTGTAAACCATCTGCTGACACATCCGAGGCCACGAAAGAAATTTGTTGACCAGCCGCCTCTGTTTCATTTCTTTCTCGCGCCATTCTTTGTAGAGATTGTTGGACAGGCGATCTGATGATGTATCTGGTGAGAGTCAATTCCTTATCGAGAATCTGGAGGAGAGGCAAAAGAAAGTTTGATCAACACTCTGAGTGAATCGAAGCTCAACAGCCGTTTGTATTGTCTGCGACGTCAAGAGCGGATAATGCAGAGGGGTATGCCGGAGTTGCGGATCGTAGACAGTGATACCCAAGAGAATTCCAGCAACTAAGGTCTGAGACTCAAAGATGCCGAAATTGTCGAGATATCAACTTAATTTTTAACGGAAAGAAGGAATTTATCTATCTACCTTAGCTCAAGGCAGGTGATTTTGGCGCTAGCAAAGGTCTCGCAGTGAGTCAATTTTGTCAACGGGATCACGGGATTGGAGTTCACTCTTTGAGGGGCCTTTACGACTTTCTATATTGGAGAGGCTACGTAACGGCGAAGGTGAATGAGACTGGTGGCTTCTACAGCTTCAATAGTGAATTTCAAAAATGTATTGCTCGCTCGAGGCAAATCTTGAAGAAAAGCAAGATGGCCGGGTGGGATTGTGAGATGCGGCTTGGGGATGCTAAGCGAGAGGCTGGTGCTAGCTTTCTGGCGCAGGTTGAAGGGAAGGAAAGTGGAAAGAGTTTATCTTATATTTCACGTAAAGCTCAGGTCATGAGAAATCACCAATGCATAAACCCAAGACTGTGATGTCTTTCATAGAATTAATTCATTCTGCACTGTATCTGACTAAACAATCAAACAATAAACACAAGAAGATCCTAGGCAGCGACCAAGTCGCAAGTCCATCCCAGATTAAACACCCATCCCATCCCGAGCTGACAATAACAAAACGAGATAATGACAAACGATAGTTATGTAGGTAGATAATAAGACAATTTGAGCCAAATATATGGCAAGAAGGTAAAGGAAAAGTCAAGCGAAAGTCTTAGCCTTCCCCGATCCGAGTCCAATCCGATCCAACATCAAAGAAATAGCGTAGAAATATTTCGCCGACCTGCTTGCCAGCATTACACCCATTATCCAAACACCCCATAAAGCCTCGTACCAAACTCCACTTTCCTCAATTCCATGGTCCTCATGCCATCAACCACTCCTCAACATTCATTCCGCATCCTCCCCCTCCATCTCAAACGGCACCTTCTCCTTCTTCCCCTTCTTGCCTCCACCACCGACCTTCTCTTTCTTCTCTTTCTTTTCCTTCTTCCCCTTCTTCTTCTTACCTCCAGCCCCACCACCACTCTTCTCCACCATCGTGCCTCCCTCGGAGAACACAGGGCTGGTAGGACTAGCAAGCGCAGACTCAGGTTCCGTCTCAGTTTCCTCACGACTGAATCCGAAGTCGGCGGGTGAGCCGAGATCAGGAGATAGTGGGCCCGGTGAAGTGATGGCTTTGCCTTTGTAGGATTGAGTAGGGAACGTGGGCTCGTCGAATTCGGACTCTGGAGAGCGAACGTCGTCGGTTTGAGCGGCGGGGTTGGAAGCTAGTCGCGCAGACATGCCTGGTGTGATGGGGACGGCGAATTCGGAGCTGGGTGAGACGATTTCGGAGTCGCGCTCAGAGTAGGGATCTATCGGAGACGTTGACCTGAAGGGTGGGGTGGTGTCGAGTTGGAGGTGATGACGTAGGGTGCCAGGACGGGGCGGCGTCGTCTCGGGTGAGTACTGACGTTGGATGAAAGGTGATGATTCGGGCTCGGGACTATATCGCTGTTGTTGAGGAGAGCTGTACTCGTCCTCGAATGGTTGAATTGGTGATCGCTGCCTGGCAGCTGGGAAACCTCGATCTAGCTGCAAATGGGGCGGTAGAGTTCCATGGGACTCATCGAAGCGTTGAGAGTCTACAGGCGATCGTTGTCGCAAGTCAGAGAACTCCGGCCCGGGACTGTAACGCTCGTACTGACCAGCTCGGTAGTCGTCATCATCTAGTGGCTGCAGTGGAGACCTTCGACCGAGACCTCTGGAAGCGAATCCAGTGTCGTGAGGAGATCTAAAGTCATCATCGTCATATTCTTGGGCGGGATGCTGACCGGAAAGGTTTCTAGGTAGCATTGCGGGCTCATAGTTTTCTTGCTGGTAGTCAAAGCTACTCTCACGTTGTAAGCCGTGGGGCCGAGAGGCGGGATCGCGTTCAAACTGTGGAGACGACGGATCATAGGAAGTATCGGGTTGGCGGCTATGGAATGGAGATTCCTGTGTCATATGTGGTAATCCATGAGCATCATATCCGGTTCCAAGTGACATGGCGTCATCCGAGTCATCAAATCGTTGCTGAGAATGTTGAGCGGTTCCAGGGAATACAGGGAACGATGGCGCGGGAGTAAATTCGGGACTGTCGAAAGGCTGATTTTGGTTAGGGGTCCTCTGTCTCATATCTGAAAAGGCTGGGGCGTTGTATTCGGACGAAGGAGATATCACATCGTCCGAATCCTCGTAGTCTCTCTGCTCGAGACCTTGACCAGTTCCTGGGAATGATGGGAAAGTCGGTTGCGGAGTTTGTGTGTCAAACTCTCGCGTTAAATCATGCCTTGCTGCGTGACCTGGTGCAAGTTGCCTCGTGTCTGAGAATACAGGGGCATCATATTCAGAAGTAGGCGACATTACATCATCTGAGTCTTCAAATCGTTGCTGGCCAGCGTGTTGGACAGTGGCCGGGAATACTGGGAAAGTTGCTGGGGGTATCGCGTCAGAATCTGGCGACCTAAACCCACTCTCGTCTATAGACTCCATGCGGCCATGCGCGGGGAATGTAGGAGCATCAATCTCAGCTTGTGGTGAGAGTACTGACGCAGGTGAAAGCAGGTTGTCCGAGTCCTCGAAAGGATTGGATCGAGCATCGTCGAGAGGTGTGGCATGCCCGGAGTCTAGATCCTGGTCTCCAAGGAGATTATGTTGAGCAGATGGGAAGGGAGCTTGTTCTATCCGGTAACTGGTGAAAGGCTCGTCGAGATCTAGGGCATTGGTAGGTGATTCGATGAAGGGTGAGCTGGTTTCCACGGTTTCGTGAGTGGAAAGAGGCCAGTTCGCATCCGAGGAAGGAAGAGCCTCATCGTGTTCAAAGACATCAGGTTGTGCTTCTACGGCAGTGTCCAACGAGGGTAAGGGACTGTCAGGAGGATGGTCACCCTGGGCTAGCTCAATGGGAGAGGGTCTGGATATTTCTCCATCGGACTGGAGATCGCTTGTTGATGGTTCCTCAATTTCTGGGTTTGGCAGGTCCATAGCATGTCCAAGTACAGTTGGCGCATGCTCGTCACCCTGCTCTGAGGGTGCTCCACCAGTTATTGGGTCATCCTCGGATTGGTGCTCGGGCTCCCGAACTGTTGTGCCTTCAGGTATGTCTTTGTCGTCCGATATTGCGGCTGGTTCGGCTTCAACTTGTGGTTCGGTCTCCACGTGCTGCTCTAAATCTGGCTCTGCAATCTCCTTCGCAGCCTCAACTTCGAGGTGACTTTCATCGAAAATTGATCCATTCGCTATTTCGTTTGCAGATGTCTCAGCAGTAGGTTCATCTGCCTCTGCGTCAGGCTGCATTGACTCGTCCGCAAGGGCTTGCGAATCATTAACGACGCTTTCTTCAACAGCAGCTTCAGGAGAAGGAGCTCGTGGCTCTAAGCTTTCCTCATGAGATTCTGCTACCGGCTCTGGCTCGGTAGGCGTCAACTCGGTCTCAACAGCCGCGTCTCCAGTATACAATTGCTCATCGGCTGTCGTGTCGAGTTTAACGTCCTCGTCAACTTCCTTCTCTTGCGGCGAATCATCATCGATCTCGATCTCCTTAGCCTCCGCAGCGTCCTCGACTGGCTCAGCAGCGGGAACAGAATCTTCAGTCGATTGTTGAGCGTCATCGACGACATCTGGGAGAGAGTCTGGCTCGTCGACAGAAGCCTCTTCAACATCCGGGGTATATGTTGGTAATTCCGCTTCAACGACTTCCTCTGCGGTCGAAACCTCACCAGAAATTTCATCTGTCACGGGCTGATCCTCAGTCAGTGCTTCGGGTTCGACAACAGCGTCTGCTTCGACGATAGGTGCTGGGTCATCCTCGGAGGTTTCTTCTTCATCTACCGGGGCAGTGATTTCAGGCTCAACAATAGCTGCATCGACAGCCACAGATTCCTTGGAAGGTGAATCGGCTTCCACGACTTCCTCTTCCTTCGGCAACTCTTCACTGTCATTCACTTCAGGGACCGCTTCAGGCTCGTCAGCAGAAGTATCTTCAGCAGCTGGGGTTTCAACTGGTGATTCAGCTTCAACGACTTCGGGTTCCTCTGCGCTTGATGCGTCGTCCACTAGTACGGGCTGGTCCTCGACTGGGGCTTCGCGGTCAGCAATACTCTCCTCCTCGGTGATAGGCGACAAGGCACCTTCAGGCTTCTCTTCTCCTTCAGAGACGACTTTAGGTTCAGCAACAGCCTCTACAACCTCTTCTGCGATTGGCAAGTCTTCGTTAGAACCGACTTCTTTGATTCCTTCCACAGTCTCAGGAACTGGCTCAACTAGGTCCCTCGACACGACTCTCGAGAGCGTTGGACTTCGACTCCCACTCCAGGCACTTCCAAACCAGGCACCTTCTGCCATTGACATTTGTTTTGCCACAGCCCCAGAAGGTGCAACCACAGAGCGCGAGACAGCATGGTCTTTCAATTGGTCGATGCCGATGTCATTGAAGTGGACGCCACTGTGGAGAGTGGTGATGTGCGTGTTGTTCTCCTTGATGTTGCCGTCAAGAGCCTCGAGCTGAGTGGAGAGGGATTTGATGTCCTGGCTTTGTTGCTGTAGGGAAGCCGAGAGTGGAGCAACATCAATGGCTTTGACATCTCCATCCAGAGTTGTGATCGATTCCACGATTCCGGTACCGCTAGCATCAATTTCGGCTTTGAGCTCATCGCTTAACGTGGTGATGCTTGTAGTGATAGTGGTATGGTTGATCTCGATCTGAGCTGCTAGGGTAGTGACTTTCTCTTTCGTATCCTCCACATTTGCGGCACTGGTCTCGATTAAAGCTCGTACGGCTTTGACTTCATCGAGAACGGCTGAGCTGGACTCATCGTCGTCTTTTGACAAGAGGACAGTCGCTCCTGCTCCGGCTGCACCACCGACTGCCAGAGCACCAATGGCTGATGCGAGATTGGAGTGGGAGTCTTTAGTCTCAGCGTGCAGGTCCTTAACCAGCGCGCCGTGGGAAGCGACATCAGCTTTAGAGTCTTCGAGAATAGACTTGAGTTCAGAGATGTTGGTGAGGATATCAGCATGTGATGTGCCTTCCTTGATGGCCTCTAGCAATGGGCCATGTGAGGTTAGCAATTCATGGGATTGCTGTATAGCCGCGAGTATCTCTGGGTTTGGATTTGCTGTGCCTTCGTTGATTGCAGAAAGAGTAGCAGTTTGAGCTTCCAATGTAGTGAGGATAGATTTGATCTGCGTGTCTAGTGAAGAGAGGTCGCTGCTTTCTGCTGCTGGAGTAACGCCAGGCTGTATTGACTTGAGTTCTGTAAAGGCTGCTGTGTGAGATGCATGGGCATCCTGAGAAGCCAATGTCGCTTCTTTGATTTCTGACAATGTGGCGGCGTGATTGTCGTTGAAGCCAGATGTTGCTTCTTTGAGCTCAGACAACGAGGTAGCATGAGCTGAGTGCAAGTCTCTCGACGCGATAGTAGAGTCTTTGATCTCGCCCAGAATCGTAGCATGTGCAGTATGCGATTCGAGAGACGAGGCGGACTGGTCTTTGAGCTCCGTCAAGATTGCAGTATGAGCAGTATGGGACTCATTAGAGACACTCGTCGCATCTTTGATTGCCGATAGAACCGCAGTATGATCATCAAGCTTCGTGACAATATCTCCGATCTGTGCTTCTAGTCCTCCAAGATTAGCACCCTCTGCAGGAGTAGCGTCAATGGATCTCGACTTGATTTCGTCCAAGGATGTGGTATGAGCGGCGTGAGAGTCGTTGGAAGCAGCGGTGGCATCCTTGATAGCAGAGAGAGTTGCGCTGTACTCCTCCAGCTTCTCTACGATACCACTGATTTTCTCTCTTAGATCGCCAAGGTCAGTCGACGCTCCAGCAGGAGCAGGTTCGATGGACCTGGACTTGATCTCATCCAGAGAAGTAGTATGTGCAGTATGCGACTCATTAGATATGACAACGGCAGAGTGGATCTTATCCAGCGCAGAAGTATGGCTAGAGTGAGAATCACTAGAGGCATGCAACAGAGTCAGTATCTCGTCATCGAGATCAGCTTCTCTAATCTCCGTGAGGAGATTTGTTTGATTTGCCTGGGTTTGGCCTATATCGTGCAGAGCAGTGAGTATTTCTGCTGCGACATCTTCCTTGATCTCGTTGAGCAGGTTGGTGTGCTGCGTGAGAGTCTCAATGATGATTGCGAAAGGCCCATCTGGTGTCCCGCTATCACTTCCCTCCGTTGGCACGACTGCTGTACTTTCTGGGTAGTTCCTAGCCTTGATCTCGTTCCATGCTGCGCTGTGTGTCTCCAGAGTGCTGATAATAGATCCGATCTGGATTTCGAGAGCTGCGAGGCTCATGGGGTCTACAGCAGGCGCGGTTGGGATGCCAGATGATCTCATACCTTCTAAGACGTCGGCATGTGTGGTGGTGGCAAGCTTGATCTCGTCCAAAACTAATGAGTGGGATCCAGTGCTACCCTTGATTTCCTCCAAGACAGAACCATGTGAATCCAACTTAGAAACAAGGTCGGTTATCTGTCTTTCAAGACCAGCACTTCCACCTTCCGCGAGCACTGGTTCGACACTACGAGACTTGATGTCCTCCAGAACAGAACCGTGGGTCTCAAGTGCTGTTGCATGAGCTGTGCCAAAGGTCTTGATCTCATCCAAAACGGACGTATGAGCCCCACCAGCTGTCTTGATTTCTTCCAATGCAGCGCCGTGGCTTTCGAGAGTTGTGATGATCGCACCAATCTGACTTTCAATACCTGGAGCATCTGTGGCCTCGGCTGGCGAAGATGAGTGCAGAGACCTCAAACCCTCTAGAGCGGTTCCGTGACTCTCTAGTGCAGTAATGTGGGTACCAGTCGAAGTCTTAATCTCATCCAAGGCAGATCCGTGACTGTCAAGAGTAGCAACAATAGCAGCGATCTGGGTATCCAAAGCTGAATTTCCGCCTTCAGCTGGCACCGTAGCACTTAGAGTCTTGATGCCTTCAATAGCAGCTCCATGATTCTCGAGAGCTGTAGTATGGGCGGTAGCGGATGTCTTGATCTCGTCTAAGAGAGGACCGTGACTTTCAATCGTCGTGGTTTGAGTCTTTATCTCGTCCAGAGCTGCTCCGTGCTTCTCAAGCGTGGCGACAATCGCAGCGATTTGACCATCCAGGTCGGCATTACCTCCTTCGGCCGGTGCACTAGGACTCCAAGACTTGATACCCTCCAAAGCCGCTCCGTGGCTTTCAAGAGCGGTCGCGTGAGATCCACCAAGTCCCTTAAGTTCTTCTAGAGCTGAAGAATGCTCATCAAGCTTGCCGACGATCGTGGCGATATGAGTATTGAGATCGCCGGTCTCTTGGGTTGGGGCGGACTCGGGGCTGATGGATTTGATTCCCTCCAATGCAGTAGCATGAGAGCCACCAATTCCCTTGATCTCGTCCAGAGCAACAGTATGAGCGTCAAGCTTGGCAACGATGGCGTCTATCTGGGCTGTGAGATCACTGGTATCGACCGAAGAATTCTCTGGCGCAACAGATTTGATGCTTTCCAATGCTGTACCGTGACCTTCAAGTGCAGTAGCATGGGCTCCACTAAGACCCTTGATCTCATCCAAGGTAGCGGCATGGGCATCCAGCTTTGTGGTGATAGCACCAATCTGAGTTGTGATATCACCTGTATCGATAGGCGTGGATTCCGAATTTGTAGAGCCTGATCCTCCCTTAATCTCGTCCAGCACTGCAGTATGGGTGTCGAGCTTGGCAAGTATCGCTGCAATTTGAGTCAAGAGGTCGCCAGCATCAGCTGGGGGCTCTGCTGAAGTCGATTTGATGCCCTCGAGAGCAGCAGTATGTGTTCCACCGAAGGCCTTGATCTCTTCCAGTGCAGTACTGTGCTCATCCAGCTTTCCGACAATTCCAGTGATCTGAGTGCCCAACTCCGGGTTTACATCGGCACTATTAGATTTGAGACCTTCCAGTGCAGCCGCATGAGCCGCATGCGACTCGTTGGACTGTTTCACTGCAGCCAAGATCTCCACACTTGGATCCTCGGCCTTATTTCCCTCGATCGTGGTAAGAACGGTGTCGATTTTGACTCCCAAGTCGCTGTTATTCGTAAGACCTGCTGCAATGTTCTCTTTGAGTGCTGTGAGATCAGTCTGTATTTGTTCAAGAGCAGATGAGTGGTCAACACTGCCGCCTTCTGAGACAACAGCTGCTGGCGCAGAACCGAGAGATCGCTCTTTGATTTCTGACAATGTGGTGGTATGGAGCGCGTGAGAGTCGTTGGATTGTTGTAATGCTGCGAGAATTTCTGGATGTGGTGCCTTTTCTCTGATTTCACCTAGCACGGTGGTGTGTTCTCCAACTGCTGCGAGAACATTTGTGAAACCTTCGGCATTTGAAGTATTACCAGCTTCTACACTGGCTTTCAGAGCTCCCAATTCTGAGGATATGGCATCAATCTTCTCAACTGTGTCGGCATGTCCCTTCAAAGCAGCCAGGTCTGTAGAAATAAGGTCCAGCTTTGTGGTGTGTGAAGATAGTAGATCGGTATCTGGCGCCGCTCCGGATCTTTCACTGATGGTCTGAATGTTCTTTCCCAGATCCGCTCCAATAGCCTCGATGATTTGCCCAATATCCAGCTTCAATTGGTCCAGTTGGGCCTGGAGGACCGAGGAAGTGGTAGTTGCTTCTTCAGAAGCAGACTTCAACGAGTCGATACTCTCTTTCGTGGGTCCTACCGAGGCATTTAGTTCACTGACTCCTTGTGCCAGTTCCGCTATTTTGGTATTATTCGTTTCGATGGACTCGGAGATTGTTGCAAGTGTCTTCGCGTGATGTTCCTCCATCAACTGTCTGAACTGATCAAAGTCCGGCCCGCCAATTTCCCGTGGTCTTATAGCCCCTTCCACTGCATCTGCAGATTTCTCTCCATCTGCCGGTGTGCCTGGTGCAACATATGTAGAATCGATGAATGACTCTCTTCTGACTGCCGCAGCTGTTTCGGCATTTGTATCCATCCGCGACAAAACATCCTCCACACTCTGATTCGTTTTCCTCAGGAGCATCTCGTGTGAGTAGACTGCTTCCACCACCGGCTGTATGGTATCCAAGGCCGATTTTATTGAGGGTTTGATGAGTTTCGCCAGGTTTGCCGCAATGGCAGTTTGGAACGCCTCGCCATTGATTGCTTGATCAACGGCATCTCGTATGGCGTTGGGATCCTGCGTAATGAAGCCAGTCGTATGTAGCGGGCTGTCGACTTCAGAGTCTATAGCGGTAGGACTTCTGACTTCCTGATTGGCACCATTACCATTACTATCTGCAGTCGTCCCCCGACCGGATTTGCTGAGTTTGCGGGTTCCCTCGAAGGATTTGCGTCGGCCTTCGAAAGAGGCACGAATGCGTGAAGTTAAGGGAGGGCGTGAATTCGGCGCCATGGTGCAACGAAGGTAGAATAAAAAATACCGTAGACGGTGTTGACGAAGAGAAAAGAGAGAGGAATGACGCGCTGAAGGAGAGAGAGACTGTGGAAGAGTTTTTACTTTGCCAGAAACGCAGACAGATCTACCTTGCCCACTGCGATACTCACCGTCCCAATAAATGGCATCCTAAGCTGCACTGCACTGTGCTGCGCTGACCAGTCCTATGCCGGCCCTTACCATAGTTGACCCGCACCCGCCAGCTGGGTATATGGCGGTGGTGATATAGGAATGGATGCTTAGTTGTCGAAAGTTCATGCGTGCTTGTGCTTGATCGCCAACAGCATCGCGAAGTGTGTTGTCGGAAGGGCCTGTCCAGTCCACTTGGTCAGGGGCCGCCCGTCCAGCCGGCAAATTAGTGGAGCGACGTGTTTCCTATGGCGCCGGTTGGCTGAAGGAAACCCCTGAGATTTTAGGGTTGGGTAGCCGGATTATCTGATGTTCCGGGGTGTCGGGCAGCATCAAGATCGAGATTTGAAGCTTGTGCGCTGGACGGGCAGTGGGGGCATGATCTCATTTGATACCTGCCCGAAATGATGCCATGCTTGCTTCTGATCTGTTGTCACTTTTGACAAGTGTTAAAGATTGCTGTCGTAAGTTCTAGCTTAGCTTACTCGTGGTCATTGTGAGGTGGGATGACAGCGGGAGTGCAAATAGGTAGTGATACACTTATTACCATCGCAGTTGAAGAGTCGTGCGGAAGCAATATCAACGAGTCAGTTGTATATTGAACAATACGCCATCAATATCATATCTACTATGAAATGTAGGGCAATTCGATCATGAAGCATGCTTGCTATGACATCTGAAAATATAGCATTTCACAGCAGAGTCTAGCAACTGGAAAGCATAGCGGGGCAGTGAGTCGCTCTCTCATGCGTTCATTGGAATCCATACCGAAACCTTTTAGAAAACGGATGAACAAACGGGAAACTCGCCATATATAGCTCGTTTATCGGGAAGGTCTTTCAAACCTTTTGCCGTCACAATTCATGATGCATAGAAACAACACGGGATGGAACGTTGGAGTGCATGTCGGGGCAGTGAAGGCTTGATCATGCATAAGAACTGGTGGGAAGGAGAGACGATGAACAGGAAAAATTCTGGCTATCTCAACCAGTGACAGACACAGTTGATTGTGTATCTTGATTTAACCAAAAAAATATATTATCTCATCTGAAGGGAAGCTGGGCGATGCTACAAACAAGACGCAGCTAGACAGACGATCGGCGGGCCTCGGCTAAAATAGGGGCTTTGCTCATCTGCCTTCCACCACCGCCGCCAGTCTTCACAAAAGAGCAAGCGCAAAAACAACGACAAAAAGCAAACCCGTCATCTCGCTCACCCACTTACCGTTTCCAAACCCCAAACCAAGCTTCCCTTCAAACCACAATATACGCGTTTATAAGGCCCAGGGGTCCATATAGTCACGCGTTTCAAAACAGTCTCACCGCGCCCTCACCCGCGCTATATCTCTCAATGGTATGGTTCGCGCCTTCGCCATAATTGCCGACATATACGTCGCATTCTACCGTGTGAAAATAGATTACAGAGCGGCCAAAGCTCAACCATAAGGTATTCTCCGAAGCGCTCACACGCATATCGATCAAGCCAAACCAAACCAAACCAGATCATTCAGTTCGAGGAATGGATTGGATTGGGCCGGTTTCTTTTGGAACGATGTTCAACAGGGCAACGCGATTGGTCAATCAGAATTGTGCATGATTGGAAGGGTGAGCCAACCGAACGGGTCGTCAATGCGTTCCATGACGGGGAATATTTGGGGTTTTATTTCTTGGGAGAGAGAAGCACGAGGCTGAGGCTGAGAGGGTTTGTACCGCGATCTGGAATACTTTGGGTCTGGTAAATTGGACGTTTCAATAGGTGAATGGCTTCAAGCCTCTTGCTTGGCGAGGGGTGCAGGGGGTTCAAGTTTGGTAGAGGTGGATGGTCCTTTCCTTTGATTACAAGAACTGAAACATTAATTCATTGTCCAGTGATAAAGATAACATTCGAATCCTTCAACGGTTATGGTGAAGAAATCTTGGCTTCATTGGAGGCTTGTTTCGGTCAGTTATGCATGATCGGAATCAGTGTCCCGCCAACTGTAGCCGAGGATCTTGTTTTCAGGTAAACATGACTATTTGAGAGAAAGATTGTTTCTCCAGGGATTGGATGATGCATTTGTTTGCTGCCTCATCTTTATTACAGGGCAGTTTTACATCGCTGGTACCTGTTGTTTTGCTCTTTGACTAAAAGAGTTATCACAATAATTAACACTCGTTGACTCTTGTCCAGGGCAGAAGATTGCAACAAGAGGAAGCTGCGAACTTAAACAGACATGCTGAGCTTGGGAATTAAGATCAAGCTCAGTACATGGGCGTGAAGGGCGGCTTGGAATAGACAATTTTGTAGTTCTTTCAGCTTGTAACACTAGCAGGTATGAAGACTTTACCTTCAAACTCGTCCAAAAGTCAGGTTTAGTGAAGTCTCCAAGCGCTCACAGCATACCAGGCTCAGTCGTTCTACTATTCAATCTTTCGTCGATCATATTTCTGTGGTAATCTCAACAAGGATGCTCTCTCAAGTCAATCGTGGGACAGGCCCTGCCGGAGAAGAGTCATTTTTTTTTAAGTCACATGACGTAAACAACATGTTCTGGTTAGTTTCGTGTTCGACAGCCCGAGCTCTTCGATTGACAAAGAGAGAGTTCGCCTCTTTGAATTTCCATCGTTGGTCAAGTATCCTCAACGTGGACCAAAGTAACCAACGCAGTTTGCGACCCACATCACCCTTGCCTTGGAAACAGCTTGAGGTTCTGCTTCCGCAGCAGTCTTCCTCTGCTATCAACAGCCTCAGCTTTCTCACCTCCAAAGCCACGCTAGTGCTTCTTATTGGCCAAAAACACCAAATCGCGAATCTCTCTCAGTACATACATCTTCTCGATGGCAACTAGTCTCCGATGAGGACAAGACGACATCTTCACACTCTACGAGTGGCACCGAGTCTTCCAAAACGAGCATCAATGAGATCATGAAACCAGTCCAGGACATGTTCGAGGAAGAAAACCGGCCATTCACATTGATTTTACATGCTACTCTGCATCAAGATATCGATGTGAACAAGATGGCCGCTCAGGCTCGTCACCACCCTCCTTCCATCGCTCCGGAAATGCAAAGTCTGCAAATGGAACAAGCACCCAACTTATCCTCCGGCCAAGGTACAACAGGACGTCTCGAGCCGCTCGCCAAATCTGGTGACCCACCAGGCACCAAACTCCTCCTATTGACGGAATTGTCAAGCGCCACATCCAGTTCCCCAACCACTCTCGCAACCACTCTCCCACCTCCCCCCAAAAGGTTCACTCTTTTCCCAAAATTCCCGTTTGAGCTGCGGCAGATGATCTGGCGCGAAGTATTGGTAATGCCACAAGTCTTATCTTTTGACCATAGTCTGAGATTCGGACTCACGCCCATGCAAGAGATAGAAATGTCCAAAAAGTACGAAGGACAGCTTGAAAGTTGGAGTACCCTGGTTACAGTTTCTAAAGAAGCTCGAACAGAATCACTGAAGGTGCGGAAGCCATTGCAATTCCTGACTAGACGAAAACCCGGTTATGATACGAATGTCAAGCAAAAAAGAACCTTGTGCTGGAATGGCGAACTGGATATTGTTTGGTATTCAGACCACAATATTCTGCGGTTTGTTCAGTTCGGTATCCCACTCGTCACAAAATCAACACCACCCAATCTCTTTCCTAAATTGGCCTTTAGTCTAGATACTTGGCATCAAGCTCTGTTGGGTGACGCCCGAAGCCTTCTCGGTCGCCTTCGAAGATACGGTACGTACGAGATTATTCTTGTGGTAGGCAGTTGCACAGCTTTTGAGTCCAAGCAGACTGTCTTCGTTGAACCTCGTGAAAGTCTCACCACTATGGTGCCTGTCGATTTGCTTTGCCACTGGGTTTCGGAGTCTGATGATCTATGTAAGATTACTTGGCAGATGCTTAGCAAAGTTATTCTAAATGATATCCACGCCTGGCAGTTGGAAATTGGAAAGTCTACAGGTCGAAGTATTTCTGGTGCGTTGGGATAGGTTCTTTCACTCCAGAATGCTAGGTACCACTCTTCCAATAGTACACGCAAGCGACACCTTCTAGAGGGCACTGATCCGGAGCCGCGCGAAGATTTCTCGTTATTTTATGGCTACTTGAGCCACGCTGATGTAGACTGGCGTTGCGAACGCATAAACCTAGTTGAAGCAACAACGTATGATGCGTTGGGATCTTCAGGACCAACCTCGAACTAAACTGGAGACACTTGGTGTCGGTCTGTGGCAACAAAAGAAAAATGTGTTCTTATTTTCATTGTCTTCAACGATCGTCGTTACAATGCAGAAAGATGCAAAAAAACGTGGCATAGTGATACTGTGTGTTGACTGGACATTTTCTTCCGCATACAGGGGAAGATAGAAAGTTCATGCGACGAGAGTGTCCACAGAGCAGAAACGCAGGCTGATAGATAAAAAATACTTACGAACGGGTCGCAACATTTTCAAGAGAACTTCATTGATACATAACAGCGAATCAAACTCGATTTTAATCAGTCAAAATTGTTAAGCCCCGGAATATGGGGTGTCTTTCAAGATTCCATGATCATAAAGTCCTGTTGGCTAGCTCGCTTCGACTTTATCCGAGCAAGCGATATTTTTGTTGTTCCCTGCCGAGCATTCATTTCATCGGTCAGCCTGACTTAGTATATCTTATACTCTCTTGCTGCATGTTAATTGCCCTTTTCATGTGCAGATACTCCATTTCAGGCAGATATTTGATCGTTGTTCTCGTTTCGCGACCTACTGGGTGAATGAGACATGTTGACATTATCAGGCATCAAAGTCAAGAACAATAGGTAGAAGATCGTCCAAACTTCTCATCTTTCTTATATATAGTACACTTCTTTCTCAGGAGACTTATTCGATCAAATGCCATCGAGATCTTGGTCAGTCAAAGCTCTGAGCATTTTCATTCCCCGTCTTACACTATGCAGCGCAGCCACCAACCTGAAAAGAGTCCTTCGACTTCAACACCTACCAAACAGCCAGTCGCCAACGATAAGATGCAAAGTTCTTATTCTCCCACCTCTTCTCCCTCTGTCGACACTTCCATCGATCTGTCTTTGAGACCAAACAGTAAAGCTGCCTGTACGGTTGCAGTTACGGGAGAAGAAGACGATGAGGCTGACATCGATCAGCAGCTGAGGGATACCATGGAAGCAGTCCTCAGCCCCACAAGAGCTTTCAGCGGAGGCAGCAAGACAACAGTTGCACCTACTCGCGAGATGTGTATGCATGCCAAGTCCATGCAACTCCTCGAGAGAATACGAGATAGCGGATTCACGACCGTTAGAATGAGTTGTGGTGCACTTGAAAGAGTCTTCAACTGCATTGGAGCTCTTAAGAAGCAGAACATACTCTTGAATGCCAAGATGACTGCTGTTATCAACAATCGCCAAGCAACACCTCCTCGTCACCCTCCGCCTCCATCAGTACCAGCCCATAGTTTCCATCTATTCAGCAAGTTACCAGTGGAGATTCGTTGCATGATCTGGAACCTCGCACTTTACACCCCTCGAACAATCAGCGCTGACGTCATCATCCCCCGGCCTCTTCTCAGCCCACGATACACTCAACACCGAACCAACCTCAGACTCGTCTGTCAAGAAGCCAGAGACGAAGCCAAGAAAGCACAAGTCGCACTCAACAAAGTCTGTGTTGGCGGAAAAACTATCTTTATCAACCCCGCTGTCGACATACTCTGGCTCTCAGCATGGGGGATCAGCGACGACGAATGGATTCTCGTCTTCAAGATTCTGCACAAAATACTGGCATGTAATCGTCTTCCCAGGATCGCGGTCAGCCTTGAGCTCTGGGATCGCCTGATGTCTGCTGAGAATACGAGATCGAGATTCCTGGACTCTGTTGCTGCGTTTGAAACGAAGGAGATCATCATAGTGATGGGCAGTATTTCGGATTTCGGATCTCCAAATTTGCTTTTGAGGGAGCCGCGGGGTAAGCCGAGGACTGTTCTGCATACAAATTTCATCAGTCGGTTCCGGCAGCTCCCTGCCCATGTTACGTGGGAGGAGCTGAATGATACGTTGTTGTTCGAGGTTACGAATACCAAGCTGCTGCGGGCTGAACTTCGACAGACTATGATTTCTGGTAAGTTTTGATTCTAAAATATGGTTGGGAGGTATGTAACTGACTATTTACTCTCAGCTGGCGTGAACCCAGACAATCTGACTTTCGGTGGAAGATTCAAGGATACATCGTATTGGGACTTCAGAAAGGTTCACTTCATGGAGGCCACTACATATACTGCTATGAAACGAGAGAAGGAGAGAGTTCCTATTTGACGCCGATATTCGCCAGCTGGGGCAGCGGGACATAGGAATGTGGCCTCATTCGGTCGTGGACCTGAGTGTACGCTTTCGCGAGCGAAACTTCATTCGTCTCTCACATTACACATACCTTGAAATGCGTTTTCAAAGGCTATATATATATATATATATATATATATACTGTTGATCATTGAGACCCGCACTTTCTTGTTCATAGCACAGGATTTGTGTCCTTGTTGACTTTCTTTCCTGGAAAATTGGATTTCCAGACCACAACTCTTGCTAAGCTTACCGAGCTTGAAATATTATCCTACTGCCTGTATCATACTCACACTCAAAACCTAAGTATTGTGCTCGATTTCTAGGGCGGGCGTGCATCTTACTGTGCATCATCTTCATATTGTGTCTGAGGAAAGCCTGAGGGTCGGCTCTCGCTTAGACCCCTGTCGTGTTTATTTGTCCTTAGCTCGAGAATCTTTGTCGGTTTTTAGCTTCGGCCACAGGCTCTTCAAGGAACACCTTCCTGCTGTACGTCTGATTCTCGACAGCTTCTATCTTGAAATACTCGACTTGAGCGCTTACCCTCCAGCTGGTGTCGCTCTTTGTGTTTCAGAACACTGCAACAAATCCTTGGGCTGGCTTTGTTTATCAACGTTAATATGATCATTTCACCTCAGCGTGTTTGTGGTACTGAAACTCACGCCGCGAAAAGATCACACGACATGGTACGCCAAAATCCATCTAAGGGCTCCAAAGCTCTGTCCTCAGTATTTACCACATCTGCCAGCACCAAAGATCAGTCCGATGAGCAAACAACTCGCATCCAAGATTCTCCCGTCAAGACTGATTCACCTACCTCGAAGGTAACGTCTAATGGTCGCCCCAACAAGGAGCTACCTATACCTCGAGGCAATGCTACACACTTCTCGGGGGTTTCGAGAGTTTCGCATGGGAGAATGACACGCACGGGCTGGGTAGCTCTTACAGAATTCAATTTGTTCCCCAAACTGCCCTTGGAGCTACGTCGAATGATTTGTAAGTTTTTCAGGCCTTTAGAATGTCTAACAAGCGTTGTACCCCAGCACGCATCTCGTCACGTTCTTGTTTGTGTATTTGACAACAAGGCTGATTCATCTTCTTTATTCAGGGAACACCGCTTTGTCTCATCCTCAGATCCTTGGCATCCCAAGTGCTACTTCTGCCAATTTTGTTCCTGCCAAAAAATACAACTCCATCAGAAATGTCTGCAAAGAAGCACGAGCAGAGGCTCTGAAAGTCCAAACGCTTTCTTGTTTCAACGACATCAAGTGCGGAGTAAGCGGCATATATTCGAATAACAGCGTTGATATTCTCTGGATACTCTCTGGAAGCGACGATGAGCCAGGCTGCTTAGAGGGTCTCTGGGACTCGGGGCCAAAACTTGGCAGAATTGCACTCCCAGCTAGTGAATGGTATCGTCATCTGATGTATAAAGACATTTACAAATCGTTATTCTCCTTTCTCGCCCAAAAGGGCGTGGAGGAGATATTCGTCATTGTTGGCCCAGAGGATGGGAGATTGTGTGCCGACAAAGTTTTCACCGAGCCATGTGGATCTCCTCACACCGGTCTCCCTCAGCACATTATCGACTGGTTGGCCGCAAACATGGATCTAAAGGGCCTTGCTGAGGGAACTGCATCCTGGGCTGAACTCAGTGAGTGCGAGACTAAGTCACATAGGGACTTTCAGGAGGAAGTTCACAAGGAGATACTGGAACTTGGTGAGTAAGAATATCTTGAAGTGCATAAATGTTGCTGATTGCTCATGACTTTAGCCGAGAATCTAGCAGGACTTGATGATTATGACAAGCTTTTAGCGTTGCTGGGGCTGATTCCCTCGGGACATGTGATCACACCAGACATGTTGGACCTGACTGGTTCAGGTAGTACGATCAGAAAGATCACATTTGTTGAAGTCAAGGACGCATCAGTTCTCCGCAATGACCGTCGTCAGATACACCGCTCGCACTACTAGAGAGCTTTCATAGAGTTCACTTTCGAGAGATTGGCCTATACATCCAGGAAGAGACCAAGATGCTGGTAATGATTGGTATATCTACCCTCGGCTTCCACATTTTTTACTCTTTATCAAAGTACTCTTTGTACACAATTTCCAAATGGTCACTTCTTTTACAAATGAATTTACTAAACTTGTCCTTTGACCTGCGGTTTTGCTGTCACTTGGTGTCTGACTAGCGTCACTGTTATGTTTCCTTGTTGATGATCCTCCAACTACACTACAACGACTCTTTGGCGTTTGAGTGCTCAAAACGATGCCGTGTCTATGATGCTCATTCTTCTGTTTCCAAGATCAATCTCCCCCATCCGTCACTGCCTGCCTTGAAGAATGATCCGGATTCGGATGAACAAATTAAAATGAGACCACTGTGGACAAAAGCCGCGTCATTGTAGTCAAGTTGCTCATCTGGAAACACAGCTAGGTACATATTGACTATCGGAAAGATGTTGCCATTGCTACGTTACGGTGAGATGGGACCGACCTTTCATAAAATGAGCGGGAGTCCAAGGTCTCAAATTTAGATGCCTTCTCAGAGTAAACTTTCATATCATGCTCCAGAATGTACGTACTAAGAATTTATAGTGACTGACCACTCGCACGAACCGCTTCGTGGCCTCTGGGTCCATAAGGTATGAATCAACTCCTCGTTCTTGCTTCCCCCACGATTCCAGCTGACGCGGATGGCTGTACTCCTTTAACGATGTCGTCTCTTCCTGCTTATCAGTTTTCTGTTTGGTTCTAGAGATCTTGATTCTCGTCACTTAAGTCAGATTCTGATCAAAGCCCTTGCCTTAAAGATTTAATTGTCCTTAATTCCTCATCAGACCTCGTTCTTGTGGAACTCAACAAGGGCAGTTGGAATGTTTCAGGATCTCCCCAAGTCCCCAGTCGGTGAATGTTCCTTCAGTTCCACCAAGCCTCCATATCTGAGCCATCAGCAAAGCTTCCTCCATTCAAAGACCTCCAATTGCGCTTATGACTCAATGTAGTGAATGTGACTCGACTGTGCTAAGACTGAAGACTAGAAATTCTCTGGGATTCAGACTCCATTGAGAGGGTGAGTATAAGAGCAAGCTTTTGTTTCTCCTCTGCCGCCAACCTACTGGAAGCAGCGATCCAAAACAAGCAGATAGAGAGGTATCGAATAAAATATGGATTTTCTTAGATCTGCTCGACAAGATATCCGGACTTGGATTCAAAAGCAAACCACAAAATAATGCAATGGAAAGCAAGAAGATTCCAGTCCAAGCCGCACGCTTCGATCGCGCTTCGTCTAAAGGAGGAGTTACTTCGAGCCGCCGAAGCCTTGCCAGAATTCGAAAACTTCCTTCAGTTACCACCAGAGCTGCGTGTGCAGATATGGGCGCATGCGCTCCGGACGACCCGAGTAGTCGCGATCAAACAGCTTCTACAGGGATATGAAGAAGGATATATGATTGTCAACCCCAACTCCCCGCTCCTAGCGATCAACAGAGAGTGTCGCCATGGGCTTTGAAACTCCTGACACGATATACCTCCACATAACTTTAGCCAGGAGACGTTCCAGTTCCGGATGAACCTTGATGTTGATATCCTGTGGATCCAAGAAACCCACTGGGATAGTTTCTGGAGAGTAGTCCGTGATTTCTACCCAGACTTCAGGCTTACGATAAATAATAAAATGTCAAAAGACAAGCATGAAGGATATTCGAAAATGCTGGATGATTCTACATCTGTTCCGGGAACTGGGTCAGGAGATGAATCCAAAAATTCGAAGCTTGTTACTTCGGGTACGGTGGCCGTTTCCTGGAAGGCCTGGCAGTATACGTTTATAATTCTGGAGGTACCCAGGGCAGTCTGCTTGTCATGGCTCGTCGATTGTTTATCGGTCAAGGGTATCCAAGAAGTAATTTTAATTGTCGGGGAGACTCCGGCTCCCAATAGGAGAGACATTTCTTTCGCACCGGCAAAGAAACTGCCGAATATGACCTATGAATGGATGGAGTTCCTGACTACCTTACATGTCAACCACAGAGCAAGCCTGGAGAAGATTCAAAATGCGCTGAGAGCGCATGTATAGATGCACAGCACACTAAAATCGTAGGCGCATTTCACGATGGATCATTAGGTACGGTCCTAGTCCATAAAACCTGCAACTGTCCGCTAACATAATCTAGCTCGTTACCACAAACAACGGATCGCCTCAGCTAGCGAGGAACAACACAATAGATGGTTGTCAGCACTGGCTGACTGCGAGAACTGGGTGATGCCGCGGTTTAGGTTCGTAGAAGCTCAATTGGGATAACTGGGACTACACAGACGTGTAGTGGTAGATGGATACATGGGCTCTCCGTACGGTATGTGGCTATGCATTTTGGATAATGAATTTGTTCGCACTTGTATGCCCTTAAACTCGATTCAATCAAAGTTTAACCAATAGATTTAATGCAACTCCTCGCCACCGTTGATACCGAGACAATTCAACCACTTATGCAACAAGTGGCGTTGGATTGGTCTCAACTTGCTCTGTGTATGTTAATGCATGATCGCTCTTCAATACATGTGCTAAACCATGCAAGTATTCAATTCTATTCATCATAAAATAGTTGCTGAGTAAAGAGAACCCAATACTGAGCATGTGCATTTTCCAACCTTCACGCCATAAATCAACGCCAATACCCAATGCGAGGGGCTTTCATCCTCAGGTTCCGCCCACTACGACTATTACTGGCGATAGGTCTTCAGTTTCGATGAACCCATCTACCATTTGCAATGTCTGAGTCAGTTCCTTGCCATGGACAGTGGACCACGGTTGACCTAAGTCGCAGCTCATCTTCCAATGAATGAAGTTCACCAAGTCTGTCAGCATTACGTCGAAATTTGCATCTCGAAGTTTCCAAAGCTCCTCCATGGAAATTTTTCCATTTGCTTGCCACTCAAGCATATCAAAATTCATGGCCTCGATAGTATCCCCAGCACCGTCTCGGCGGTCCTTCTTGACTGTATCAACCATGATGCCATAGTGGATCATCGTTTCGTAACTGAAATCGTCCACTCGGACCAATTCTCTTGCTTTTGGGGCGATGTTGGCTTCGATCTGTCCAAGAAGTCGTTCCCGCCTATATTCGTTCCAAGGGGTGATCGGGTTCGGATACCCATACTGGAATCCAGTAACATCGAAGGCATATGACTCTCCTGAATGAAGGGTGAGTTTGATCATTTCGTGGCAGAGATTTGCTCCATTGATTAAAGCACCGGGGCTTGGTTGAACAAGTCGCATGTTTCGATTGCCCTTCTTGTGCCAATGCCTGATACGCGTAGTTTCTTTGACCATTGCTATGAGCTGGTTAGCATGATTTAGCTAGTTCAAGGACTGAATCTTACCTCCCAATAACCCATCTGCGAACTCGATCTCCCAAGGTATTGCCTCTCTGCAGGCAAGAAAACAGAGAAGAGCATTCCTATCATCTACCTCAGGTACGAGCTTAGACGGAAAGGCGAAATAGCCCTGAGGCCAACATGCATTTTGCATCTTCTGAAGTAGTTGCAGATTGGTCAGCCAAGGATGTCCGATGCCCGCATAGGAATTTCTGGAAAAGGTGACACAATATCTTACCTTGCCGTGAACGATCAAGTCATTACCATTTTTAGTCACAGCCGAAATCTTCAGTTGGCACCATGTAATTTCTCGAAAGATGAGAAAAAGCTCCTGTGTGAGCCTACCAACCCGGTAGAGCTTCTGTCGATCCATCAATCGTCGGCAAGTTGCTTTGTGTCGCTGCCGATCTGTTCTCTGACATATTGCGTTGCAGTAATGAGCGATCGCGAGATCACCTTCGATGACTGGAGATGATCTGCACCATCCCGGCGATTATGATGAGTCCATAACTGAAGGAAGTTGAAAAGAATATCAATGATTACTTGATTGGGAAGAGAGTCCCGCCTAAAGCTAAATCTGTAGTGACATTCTGTTTGGTACTCAATTGGAAGTGAAGAGTTCGGCCAGTCTAGGTTGAGGGTCGTAACCTTGTAAGAAGCTGGGGCATTTCTCGCATCGCCGTACCATTGTTCAGCGATGGTGAATTCGCGGCACTTCGCACCGCACAGCACGTCGGATATTCTGACTGCCCTCTCCCCGCGCTTCTCCGCCCAGGAAACAATGTCAAAGCGACAAGCTCGGTAATTTCAGGGGTACTAAGTCAACACACGTGATGTCAACAACAAACCGCCCGTTTCACCAGTAACACTGTATCGGAACTCGTCCTTAGCCGAGTGGCCCAAATTGACGGAATACCCGGAAGTCAAAGTCAAGGGCGTAAGAATCATGTCTAGATACTAACGTTCTGTTAGTCATCGAAAGGCTGTTCCGGCCAATCAGCACACAGGCACTACCGTTTCGGAACCTGGCCGCCTCGGCTTGCACCGGCTCTTCATCAACATGCTCTGCGCTCATGGTCTCTCCTTCTCTACATTACATCTAACTTCGCAGGAACAAATTCGGTACATGTTGACAGCAACCCCCGAAGGAAAAGTCTTAGACATTCCATATTCAACATCTTTCTTTGTTGTAAAATTACCCCACTACTCGACCCCGCATTCGAGCACCCCCACTTAAAGATCTCTCGACAAAGACACCAAGAGATCCAGATCATCATGGCTCCTTCGACTGTACCAATGGGAGTATATCTCTGGAAGAGACTCGCATCTCTTGGCATCGAACACGTATTCGGTGTTCCAGGAGACTTCAATTGTGAGTAATGAAAGTCAGTGGCGTGCACGTGACTAATACTGACTCGCGCTTTAGTAACTCTACTGGACCAGATTTACAATGTTCCAGAACTCAAGTGGCTCGGGACCTGCAATGAGCTCAATGGAGCATATGCTGCTGACGGATATACCAGAATCAAGGGACATCCAGCTGCTCTTCTCACCACATATGGTGTAGGCGAGCTCTCGGCAATGAATGGGGTTGCTGGAGCTTATGCGGAGCAAGCTGGAATGATCCATCTCGTGGGCATGACATCTCGGCCAAGTATGCTTCAAACTATCTCCTGATTGTAGCATTCTGACATTTGAATAGTCCAGAAGATGCGAGCTCTGATCCATCATACCATGGAACCTGGGATGGACCACGCTATTTATATTGGTATGAGCGAGCCTGTACGAAAGACTCACACTTTCCTTATGGATGACAGCACTATGGCCCAAGAGATCGATCGAGTTATTATCGAAGGTGTCAAGAGCAGGCTCCCAGTTTTTATTTATATCCCAATCGATGTTGTGTCTGTTCAGCTTGATGCCAAGCGTTTGGAAACACCACTTGATACAAGCATCAAGAACGATAAATCAGCCGAGGATGCTGTCGTTAAGTCTGTTTTGGAATTGATCAAGAGTGCATCTGATCCTGTGATCCTGGCTGATGTATTGACAATCCGTCATGGAGGACGGGACTTGGCGAGGGAACTAGTTGACCTCACTCAATTTCAAAGTTTCTCAACGCCTCTGTCAAAAGGCATCATTGATGAGACCCACCCAAGCTACGGCGGAAACTACAACGGAACAGGTATGTTCAAAATGTTGATCCAGAATTAAGTCACCTGATTGACCATCGTAGTATCCTTCCCCGGCGTGGCTGAGGCCATTCATGGTTCGGACCTAGTTCTCAACTTGGGCCCGCTTTTGTCGGATTCCAACACTGGTGCGTTCACAAGAGAAGTCAAAGACGAAAACGCTGTTTTACTTGGACATGCATTCTGCCAGATCAAGGGAAAGAAATACGATGGTGTTCACTTCTTGCCTGTTTTGCGAAAGATTGTGGAGGCTTTAAGAAAGGACCCAAAGTCATACCAACTCCCACGGCCACAAAAGGGAGCTAGACTTGAAGTAACGATTCTCGAATCTCTATCTGAACTTCGTAGCTAATCTTAACAGGCACCTGTTTTGAACAAATCCACGTCCGGCCCCATCGAGCAATCATATACGTGGCAGCGACTTGGCAAATTCCTCAAAGCCAACGATATTGTGTTGGCCGAATCTGGAACTGCCCAGTGAGTTCAATCGAGTGAAACTTGTTACATTTCATTCAAATGCTTACATCTATTCGCAGGTTTGGAATGCCAGACGCCACCTTCCCTGCAAATGTCAGCTTCATCACGCAAATCTTCTGGTCATCCATCGGCTACACCGTCGGCGCATGTCTTGGCGCTCTCGTTGCTGCCAAGGAACTCAAACATCCTGGTAGAGTTGTCCTTATTGTGGGTGAAGGAAGCATGCAGATGACTGTTCAGGAGATGTAAGTCTGACAATACGTCAACGTTTCATATCGATTGCTGACAGTAATTAGCGGTTCCTACATCCGTTATGGCTTCAAGCCCATTATCTTCGTGATTAACAACAACGGTTACTCGATCGAACGAGCAATCAATGGACCGAAGCAGGGATACAATGATGTCAGTATGCTCTGGGATCATCAGAAGATGCTGGAGTTCTTTGGTGCGAGAAAGGAGACTGGGATCCAAAGCAAGAGCTACAAGTGTAATACGGTCGAAGAGCTGGAGAAGGTTCTTACCGATGAGGAGTTTGCGAAGGCGGACTACATCCAGGTGAGTAATGCCATTGGTCTCTATTTGGTATAGCGCATACTGACATCGACCATAGGTGTGTGAGATCGTGATGGATCAATTCGACTACCCTTGGCGATTGACCAAACAGATTGAAATAGCTCAAGCGCGGGCAAAGACGATGGCGGGGAAGTATTGAACTTGGACCACTTCCTCCGGGTATTTTTATCATGATCAGAAGATCATAGATCAGATTAGACAAATAGCGTTACTCCGTTGTCTTGTCTGCCTATTCTCACACCTCTTGGTATGCCACGTGCGTGTCGCTAATGTTTGCCAAATATTTTGACCTCCAACACTATTTGAACCACCCACGGCATCCGTTTTGGTCACCAAATGTTACTGGGTAGACTGTGGTAAGAGAAACTTGAAAAACTTCTGGATATAGCGAAATCCTACTCAATATTCAACGTCGTGACAAATTCCGTATCTATTGAGACATTATATCTCCACCGTGGCTTGAATGGTGTCGTTTCTTTAGCTCGTGTTTCAACGGGCCGAGTCTTCCGGCTGGTTCTAACACAACACCTCATTCAACTTTGTTTTGCTTCAATTTCAACATCTATTCCCCGTCAAAACCACGGCTACAGCAAGGAGAAATTCTCAATATCGCTTAATTTAACGATTAGATTTTCCCTCGCTCGCAAGGAAAAAGCCCGCCTGTCCAGGTCTCTGTCGCACCGATATTCAAGATGGTGGTTGAGCTTCCCTACAGCCTGTACACGCGGTACAAATCAGTCGCTCTGGCATGGACGATTATCATCATTCCCCCAATATTCATCAACCTAGGGTTGTTTTATGGACTCTGGTATGGCCGTCCAGAAATGGACCGCATCGCGGGTAAGACACCTCGTCCAAACCTCTGCCCATATTTTCAATCCACCCTAATACCTGGCAGTCCTCACCATTCCAACAGCTGTGCTGGGAATACTTACCATCGTAGCGATTGTTGAGAGGATATGGAAACTCACCCAACCCTCATCTCAATTTCGACCCCTCAAATCTCCCCGCTATGGTTTGGATATCTTCCAGTGGGGATATTTCGGAGCTTTGATTACCATCTCCTCACTCATCAGCTCGACTCTATTAAGAGATGATAACGATCATGACGGTCATGAGTTTCAAATCAGACTCTTGTCAATGCCAGCTCCTGTCCTGATGTACTTCCTGGCAACGCTGACAGCATTATCGTTAATCGTGAATAAAATGGAACTCACATTGCCATTCCGATTCGGCAGTATGGATGCAGGAACCGTGGTTCGACCCGCTATCTACTATATCGTCGAGGATGTTGTTGCAGTGGATGGGAATGGTGGAATTGAGTACCGAGAAGCGTTTGGGGCACGATACGAGAGTAGTTCTATGTTTCAGGACATGATCAGAATCTTGAGTATCGTTTGGTGTCTGGCTTTCTATGCTCTTGCCACATGGTTCACGGTTTTGGTGTTCACTTTACCAGTCGTGGCTGTGTATGCTGTGGGGTGGGCTGGGCCATTTCCTTTTGCTGGTATGCTGGCCGCGTGGACTATTTACTACGTGAAGTCTTGCTTGAGAGAAGAGAGGGAGATGGAGAGTGGTGGGTCTGAAGTCCATGGCGGAAGACTAGGACAGGTTCAAAACGAACAGACACCACTTCTGAGCAGCAGAGTGTAAATATTCACGCCATTTATTACAAGTCTCGCAGTTCAAAAGACTTCTGAAGAGTTAGAACTTCCGATCGAACTCTTCACCGATCTCGCTACATACACGTCCGCCACACTATCCCAGTTGTCAAATTAAACTGGCCGAGCAGGCCCCCGGGAAGGTCTGATGGAAAGACTCCAGAAGCATTGGCGACTGTGCTCTTCAGAAATGCCCTCAAATAGATGTTCAGAGTCGCGGGACGACCGCATGGTGACCAGAGCGTGTTCGACGACTTATCTGGATCCTCACTTGTAATATCGAAGCTACCTGCTTTTGGGCCTTGAACTGTGGCGTTTGTGGATATCATAAAATCTTCTGGATCAAATATCAGTGCAGCTCTTATTTTCTGAAGTGGCGATTGTGCTTGCGACTTACTATCGGAGTAGTAATACCCGGTTTGCTCTGACAGCGTGACTCCCTTGTCGAGAGTGGCATCCCCTGCAAACCTTGTATTTGCCACCAAATATTGAAGGCCTTCGGGATATCCGATATCAACATAGACAAGACAGTTCTCCCTCGCTGCAGCAACCGGCGCTGTTGGTGAGATCTCGATACGGTAAAGGTCGAACGTGAGAGTGAAGCTAGACTGAATAAGCATACCGCCCTCAGCAATAGAACAATTTCAAACCTGTTTTTCTCAAGGGATATGTGTCCCGAAACAGATCCTGCACTGCAGCCATTGCCAGAGTAGAAGACCCGGTTCAAGGTCACCTGACTCAAGTCGAGTGTATCAACAGCACGGCTTGGGCTGAGAGCGAGACCAAGCAAGATAGTAAGGATTAGCAAGATATGCATTTGCGATTGTTTCTAACAAGAATTTAGAACATTTCCCTGAGTTCGTGGGAGTTTTTTATATGTGGATAAACACATTCAGGCAAATGCATGCATAATTCCAGCCTGAAGCCGTCCAAGCGAGATATATTTTGTGCCCGATGGCATCCTCTGAGGTTTTGGATCGCATCCTATGAGCATGGAAATTGAATATGTCAAGGATAATAGCAGAATAGGCAAGCTGGGCAACTACCACGGGCGGGTTTTGGAGCTGTCCACCTTCACATTGCGCGTGATACCTGGCTGGTTGAATGGTTCTCCTCGACGCTTCAACGTCAGTAATGGTCCAAATATAATAGTCCAGATATATGTCACTCCGAAGATATTCCACGAGTAGCACGAGCTAATTGCTATACTAAAATAAGCAAAATAAGCTTCCATGCATATCGTGAAGTTGCGTAAGTCTTGCGCATCCCCTTGAATGTGATTTGCCCCGCAGCCTGTGTCTACTTTGTTAGGCACTATCACGCCACCCAAAAGGACTACCCCCACCACGGCACCAAAAATAAACTTACCCATAAGTAGTATGCTGCATTTCTTGAACAGCTGTGCTAATTGATTATTCGTTTCAGGCGGAACAGCCTTGGGACAAATCCTTGGTTTTTGCTCTTTGATTGCATTGCGTAACATTTACGTTGCAACCTATCTCTTGGAAACAGTCTTGCTCAAGGGTTTATTCTTCAGGTCAAAGAATAGAAGCAAAATTCATGCTATTTAAGAACCATCTCACTTAGAAATCCGTTATCTAACACTCATGAAAGAAGCCACGCATAGCCAACCCCAGTGTTGATACTCAAACCGATCATCTGCACTTATCTTCACAATGGATAGTTCTTACTTGTCCATACCCGGCCCGTTAAAAGGTCCTGGGAAGAATCCCATGCAGCCTCTTCAGAAATACTTTGTTGAATTGGAAAAAGGCAAGGAAAAACTTGGGGAAAAACTTGGGGAAAAACTTAGTTCTTCAAGCAACAGTAAAATTTCGACAGATGGACCAGTATTTCGTAAGTTTCCAAATCTTCCCATAGATATTCGACTCCTTGTTTGGGAAGCTGCTTGCGAGGACGGGCAGATTATTCCTGTTCAACTCAAACAGGTTTTCGTGTCTGTGCACTCCCCATTCTGGGACCATTGTGATGGCGCACAAAGACCAAGGCGAAAGAGGGGCAAAGATTTACGCCTGGTGGCTTGTTCCTTACATTCATGTATTTTTATGGTGAACAAAGAAGCGAGAAAAGTAGCCCAGAAGTTCTACTCTATTGTGGATTCTCTTCCTCCAGGCTATCATCCAGTGCTATTAAATCCAAATAACGATTTACTTTGTCCTGTCACGGATGATGCACTACATTATATCCAAAGGAAGGAAAACGAAGGAAGGAATTTGGGTTTTGGGCTTGTCAAATGGGAGTTTTTCAAAAAGCATGAGCGATGTCGTTGGTATAAAGGGGCCAAACCCAAGGGGTGGATTCTCCGAAAATAGTTACCTGAATCACGGCCAATCACTCCACCAGTCACTAAACAAGTGCATTCCAGCCATTTAAATCTCACTCAAGGACTTTCTTTAGTTAGTACTATAAAAAGACATTCAAATTACTGTTTCTACTGAACCCCCATCATCTCACCTATTGAAAAGTGTGCCCATGCATGACAATACTCCTCTTAGGAAAAGCACAGAAGTCATGGAGAATATATCTACCGTTGAAGATCAGACCCTTGGGCTACAAAATATGATGCTGGAAACGCCAGAGGTTGAGAAGACTGTCGAAAGGCCCGCGACTACAAGCTTTCACAGGTTTCCTGACCTCCCACCAGAGCTTCGACAACTAATCTGGACTTTCACTCTCGAGTCCCGCAGAATAATCGGGATCGCCAGTCTTCGATTCTTCGAGCATGCTCAGAGCCGGGAGACATTTCTAAGGGGTGTTGTGCCGACTGGGCTTCCTTACCCCACGCTGAATACCAACAAAGAGGCACGCGAGGCTACTTTGCGAGTCGTACAAAATCTAACACCAGCATCTCACAACGGGTTAGGAATACCAAAAATCTGGGGTTCTACATCGAAAGATATTCTTTGGTTCCATAATGCACAGTATGACGAGCTCCACCGTTTACTGGACTGGGTTTATCGAAAACCAAGCTCGAGTCCCACTAGAACCGAAATCGCTATATCTTATGAGGCATTTTGCGAACTGTTGAGGGACTTATGTGACGTTTTTGTGGGCATGAGATTGTTCTGTCTATTCGAAAAGCTTTCTAGCCTGAAAGTTGGACGAATCTTTGTCGTGGTTGAATATGATTACTCTTGGACTAGCAGGGACGTCGAAAATACCCCTGGAGCTTTCACTGCGCCTTCAGAGAACCTGTCAAAGTACAGAGAGCATGCGGAGTGGATCTCCGTTGTAGACCAGTGCACGTGGGACGTTATAAAACCACGAGATCGGGGGAATCCGCCTCCGATGTATTCGAAAGCTACTACGTGGCTGAAGTTGGAAGACAGGGTCGGGAGAATGGGTTCAGACCTTGAAAAAGAGTGGGCGAAAAGTATGAACTGTTCATCAAGAAGATTATTGACAAGAGGAAGAGTTCAAAAGTACTGACGCTCGTTTTATATGTTTTTCTCCGTTCGAGGATCGGCAGACAAGGAAGTCTCATGGACGCAAGTGTTAAGACGCGGAAGAATTGGGAGGTGCGACGCTACTTTCCGACTTGGAACAAGCCGTCGTTCGAATTTGTGGAGGCAGTGGGCGACAGTGGGACACCGTACAGACGTCCTTGGACTCGACAATCGCACGGTTAGTGATAATGCCGTTTCCAGAACAAGACGTGCGTGGCGCCGTCAAAGTCTTAAAGTCTTCTCTATAGCTACTCACAGACCCAAGCACACTTGCGGCTGGGACAGTAGATAGACATAAATATGAACATAAAACGAAAGTTTTGCTTAGCGAACCAAGTGAAGTATACTTGACCTCTATCGCAAACCATACCAGTCTTACTATACCATACAAGCCCCCGAAAAATCACGCCAAGCACGCCCCCTTCAAATTTTCATGATAGAAAACATCGTAGCTGAATCTCGCAGCCGGGAATTTAATCTCCCGCTCTCCAATCTCTCATTTCCTTCCTAGCTATAGTACATTGCACGTTTTATTTTTGCGTTTGACCAATCTTCATTTCGTCATCTGTTTAACATTCCTCCCTTGTACAACGAGGAATTCTAGTCGATTTTGATGGATCCGTAGATCTTCTGCACAAAAAGCCAGCTGGCGAAGAAACCGATTGAGCCTGGGGTGTTTGTTAGCATGTGGATAGTTGGCTGACAAGGCATGGGGTTAAAGCTTACCGGTAAGAATAAAGAACAGGAAGGAAACTAATGCGCTGTATCCGATGTACAACACACTACCCGCCAATCCACTCAGCTTCAGCTTGGTGATCCAGTAAATGAGAGCGTTGGCAAAGACATAGAAAGCAGAGGCACCAGCTGTCATGAACGCTCTCCAGTGCCAGTGGTAGTTCTCACTGCAGAGCAGGAAATAGACCATCAGAACGGTAACGGCCGCACAAGTGATGATCATGAGACCGTAGCAGAGGAACAGGAATCCGAACATGTAGTAGACCTTGCTAAACCAAATGGAGGACATGATGAAGTAGAGCTCGACGAAGATGGCACCGAATGGGAGGATACCCACAATTAGCATTGATGGAATGGGCTTCATGTATGTTGTCATGGGTGGGATTTGGCGAGGGATCTGGTTGGTGCGGACTGGGGCTGCGATCGGTGGTTGGCGAAATCCAACCCAGCTTCCTGCGAAAGATAGAGGAACTGAGATCAAGAACCAGATGCCAACAATAACGAGCATTGTTGTAAATGGAACGGCGCCGGAAGAACCCTTGGCCCAGAGGAAAAGGTTGAGTAGGAAGAAAGTACTGAAAACGATGCCAGGAACCATGACGGGTGTCAAGGCAATGTTGAGCTTCCATTGCTCACCACCAAAGGACTTGTATACTCTGGCCGATGCATATCCGCCGATGAATCCGAGAACTGTGTAAAGGAGTACCATAATGGTGCCCAGAGAGCCACGGTTTGATGGTGAAAGGAATCCGAGAAGGGCGAAGACAATTGTGAAGCCAGTCATGACGAAAAGCTGAGCACCGTTCCCGAGAAAGACACTCAGAAGCAGCGGGGATTTTGGTGTACGGAATACATCCCCATGTACCAACTTCCACCCAGAATCTTCCTGAATGCCATCCTCAGCAACAGCAGATGTTCCAGACAGATCGTCGAGGTTGATCGAGTCCAGAGCATTGTATCTCGCAATATCCTTCCTGAGTGTACGTAACAAAATTGAAACCACAGTAATGACCAGGAAGACGACAATAACAGCCGAGTTGATCAGTGAGAACCAATGGATCTTGGGGTCGAAAACATGCAAGTATTTGTCCCATCTTGTAGCCCAGGCAGTCGCAGATGGAATCCAGTACACGCTGTACGTAAACATCACATCGGTCTCAGCACCCTCGTTCAAGACCATCTTTGCACCGCCAATACCGCAATGTCCGGCCTGCTTGACTCCTTGTCCATTACCAGACTTCTGTGATTCCCTCGAGTCCGGCTGTACGATTACTCCGACAACTCTGTAATTCCCAGTCGAAGTCTCATGGTAGTCAATCAGGATATCGTAATGGTTGTTGAGGGCCAAGTTCTTTGCATCTGCGCTTCCGAGCGCAAATCCTTGACTGTAGAATTTCGTGTTCGTAACCTCATCCTCAATCAGTTGGCCTGCGGGCAGCCCATCCACCAACCAGTTCAGCGCAAACCCTTGCGCTATCCTCCTGTTGACAAAATGTGTTGAACTTTGATCGTACTTCGTCGAGCACAACTTTTTACACGTCTCGTTTTGCGCCATCTTAAGCTCGAATGGCGAAGTCATTATCCGATCCCCAAAGAGGATGCTACCCAGGCTTTCTGACACATGTTGCGGTTCTGGTTCTGGTCTGCAGAAGTGGAACGCTGGGTGATAGTAGTCGAAGGAAACGACCGATCTAAGTGTGCCGTCTTGATTCGATCCAACTGGAGTGAGGCGATTCACATTCAATGAAACGGCATCTCCTTCTTTGTACGTTGTTGGCGCAACACCAGGGAGGTAGAAAGCTGTTGATAGTTGTGGTGCCGCGAGGAGAGTTGCGAGAAGCGCCGCAGACGGCGACAAGTCTCTTGGGCGCATGATGAATAGTTATCTGTGCATACAATGGTTTGTTAGAAGAAAGACTTGAAGGTGGGTTGTTGTAGCTGTCGTCTTTGTTGGGGATTCTGGGGAGCCTTGGACCAGGGGTTAAGCTTACGAGTCGAAGTAGTCCCGCAGCGCAATTGTACAAGCTGTGAATTATACCCTCATATGTCGGATTTCTTACCACTTGTAATTTAAAACTTGACGATGGCAAGATGTTATTGTTTCCAGGGAAAAGGCGCAGCAGGAGAAATAGCAGAGTTGTCTTAGTTCAGGAGAGCTTCAGCTAGCCAACCGTCACAGGGCTTGGCTAAAATAAATCTGGCTCCAACACGCATCACTTCGGACCCGGCGGAACTTATCCCCGGTCGATCATTATTTTTGTTCCTCTTTAAAATTTCTGGACCTTATTACCCTCCTCAGGAACAGTACCTTCAACATGGCAACAAAAACGGCCACAACATTTCCGGCGCTGCTGGACTCATTGCAACAAGCATTGTCTTCAGCTGCAGAAGCTACACAGAAACTCGATGCGCCAATTCCTCCCAAAGACGGCATATCCTTACTCGATGTCAAGAACGAGCTTTTCCTCTCATACCTCCAGAATCTTGTTTTTCTCATAATACTCAAGTTGCGCAATCGCAGAAGCGGCAGTGAGGACGAGGATGAGGAGTTGGATAACTCGGTAGTCAAGAAGTTGGTGGAATTACAAGTCTATCTAGAGAAAGGTGTGCGGCCTTTGGAGAGCAGACTGAAGTACCAAATCGACAAAGTGCTGCGCGCAGCAGATGATGCGAAGCGGATAGGAGAGAGTGCGACCGTACAGACGAATGGAAAAGTCGTCCGAGATGACGAGGATTCAGAAGAGGGTAGTGACGCCGAATCTGCAGATGGTGTTGCGCTCAAAGGGCCTGAAATCGACGACCTGCAGTACAGACCGAACCCAACCGCATTTGTCCGACCAGCTGCTGGTGCCGAGGACCACGCTAACAACAGATCTGCCGATGGAGTGTACAAGCCACCTCGTATTCAAGCTACAGCTATGCCTACAACGACTGGACCTCGCGAGAAGCAAGATAAGAAACCCAACAAGTCCGCAACGCTTGACGAATTCGTTAGCACTGAATTGTCAGCTGCGCCATTTGCGGAGCCCAGTATTGGATCTACGATCGTGAGCGGTGGTCGCAGAAGCAAGAGTGAGAAGGAGAAGAATGAGGAGCGAGAGAGGAGGGAATATGAGGAGAGGAATTACGTCAGATTGCCCAAGGAGAGCAAGAAAGATAAGGCTAAGAAGGGTAGAAAGGATGCTGGATATGGTGGAGAGGAATGGAGAGGTCTCGGCGAGGGTATTGATCGTATTGAGAGGTTGACGACTAAGAAGGCCGGATCGAAGAGTGTGGTGGAGAAGAGTAGGAAGAGGCTTGCTGCGGATGGACCGAAGTCAAGTGGAGAACAGGGTCAGCATATGCAGAAGAAGCTGAAGACTTTGGATCTTGGTCGCCGGGACAGAGGGCGAAGATAATCTAGATGCAAATTGATGCCAAATTGAAGACAGCATTCGACCATCCCTGACATCTCCATTTCTTGACTGTTCCTGGTTCACTATGTGAATCTGCGAGGGACTTCTACCAATCCCAATCCGCCATCCGGATATCATTGCTTTGAGACAATTTAGTCGATAACTTCTTGCCCTCCGTGGGCTAGTAGGATCTAAGGCACTACTACTAATAAGCCTCTTGCCTTGTGTATTTGATACAGGCGCGTAGAGTGCGCATCGGGTACATAGGCGGCGTCGACTTGGACAGTTGGGGTGGATATCTTGTCCTGGTTGCTAGTTAATGTCCTGAAAAATTATCCTATGCTGGCAGCTAATGTTGATCCGCCATTGTGTTGACACCGGATGTTCGCTTCCCAAGTTCGCTTAGACGTGGAAAAAGGGGGCGGCATGTGACGACTGTTTACCCCTGAGAAAATGCTCCTCAAAATCTTGGCTCTCTTTACAATCCCATCACAATGCATTTGCGAACCGCAGAAATCCGTATCTCGTCATTCTTCTTGTTTCTTCTACCATTCTGCTCAATGTAGCCTCGCAAGATTCACATTCTTGCGAGCTTTCACATGTCAATGCTGAAGCTTGATGCCGATACGTCATAGTCTCAAGACCGCCGTTTCCGAAACAGCTGGCACAAACAAAACTATTCAATCGCCCGAATCTAATTATTCTTGTGCTATTCTCTCTCGAGCTTCTCTACATTCTTCAATTGAATATCAAAATCCAACTTCATCCTCTAGATCGTATCTTTCAATGTCGTCTCAGGAGTCAAGCTTCATCTTCCAACCTTTCATTCTCATCTACCAACTCCTTCAATGGGTCCTAGATAAGCTTTTGTCCCCGGCAGCTCCCGCGCCAGGAGCTCAGCTTGGAAAACCCAAGATCGCCATTATCGGTGCGGGATTGACGGGCGTGGCTGCTGCAAGCCATTGTGTCGGACATGGATTTGATGTGAGGATTTTTGAGAAGGGGCATAGGAAGGCGTTGGGCGGGATTTGGAGTGTAAGTAACGCCCAGAATTTCTACCACTCTTCATATCTACACGAATGTCACCGAGACGTGAAATTTTGGATTGAGCTAGACTAATGCGAACTCAGCGAGTAAACAGCACCTCAGGTCTCCAAATCCACAGCATAATGTACCGCTTCCACCCATCCATCCGCTGGTCAGGCGGCTACCCCAACCAACAGCAAATCGTCTCCCAAATAACCACCCTTTGGAAACGCTACGGCCTCGAACACAAGACTCAGTTCAACACTCCCGTTGAGAAAGTCTACAAGGACGAGCAAGGACGCTGGATAATCAACGACCCATCTCTCGGCCGCTACGACGGCATCATCGCGGCGGTAGGCACGTGCGGCGAGAACAAAATGCCGCATATCCCTGGACAGGAGAAGTTCAAAGGCGAGATCTATCACTCGAGTCAATTGACAGGTAAGCAGGCTAAGGGGAAGAAGATGGTTGTCATTGGCGGTGGTGCGAGTGCTGTTGAGGCGTTGGAGTTCGCAAGTCATGAAGAGGCAGAGAAGACTGTGATTCTCGCCCGCAGTGACAAATGGATTATCCCACGGAATCCAATTGTCAATATGGTATTGAGCTTCAACATCTTTGGCGGGGAAACGATATTCTCTTGGATCCCGGAGTTGTTATTGAAGAAATTCTTCTACCGCGATCTTCAAGATTTGGCCCCCAGCGAAAAGGGATTGTTCACGGGGACGCCAATGGTCAATTCTGATGTTATGGAAAAGATTCGATCGGGGCAAGCAGAGTGGTTGCGCGGCGATATTCTAGGGTTCACTGAAACGGGTATCAAGTTCAACCACCGCGGGAAAGGCGTCCCCACCAACGGTCCTGGTAGGGAAAAGCTCATCGACGCCGATATCGTCGTAATGGCTACTGGTTTCGACCGACCCAGCCTCAACTTTCTTCCCGAAGACTCCTTCGGTGAACCTTACAACCCGCCGAATTGGTATTTACAGACCTTCCCACCGTCCCACGTCTCTGTGTCAGCGATAAACTGCACGTATATCAACGCGATCGGCTCAGTTGGTAACTGGCACATTGGAATCTATACTCGGATACTCTTGATGTTCCTGTCTGATCCGCTGACTCGCCCAAGAGCGTTCTGGATGGAGAGGTGGATTGATATGACTAGGGTGCTGAAGAAATTCGCACCGACGGGAGCCTTTGACTTCTTCACGTATCTGGAGTTGATCTGGTGGTTTACATTCTGTATTGTGATCAATCCGTTCAGGTGGAAGTGGGCCCTCTTTGTTTTCTGTGGGGTGGGAAGATGGCTGCCAAAGAGAATTGTGGAGGCGGAGGATAAACTTAGGGATAGATTGGGGGTGAAGAATGGCGACAATTATGATGTAGGTAAGAGCTTTTAGTTGAATCGAGGGTAGTATGCTGCTGGGATTTAGTGAGGTACAGGTATAATACTTGCTAGCTATAGTAGAATCATTATGCTTTCTTCAGTGCCGAGTCTCGCTTAGCGGTTCAAAATAGAGTCGAAAATCAAGCCAAACCACCCTTCTTTCTCGTAAGTCCTACCTATATCAATAAATGTACTATTTGCTTTCACTGCGTTTTGTCTTCACTTATCGGATATAGAAGGGTGTGAAACGTATTGGAAGGTAGACAAGATTTATCCTGTCAACCCTATTATTCGCTGTGCGACTTAAACTTTGTGCACCAACCCGGAGTAAATCACCGTCAATTTGTCGCCTGCAATGATAGTAATTTCCCAAACTCCATTACTTGACAATGTTTATACCCTATCTCTATCTAACACCATAACACGCCTATGTGTAAGTCTTGATTCACCGCACCTATCCAGGTGATACCTGTGCATCGACGACTTGCTCCTCGCCATCATCTGGAGGTGAAGACTAGGTGGAAGTAGTGATTGTGGTGGCTTTGGCGCTGCCAGAGTCACCAGAATCCCGAAATTAACTAGAAACTCGAGAGCCAAAAGTTCCAGAACTCCCAAGTCAAACACGAGAGCCAAAGGGACTAGGGCTGCTTGGTTTTTCCAATTTGGAGACTCTCCATGATTCGGCGAGTTTGTTGTCACGTTCGAAATTCTCGTCAAGTCCTCCTATAAGGTATCCGTAGCACTCCCATTCCGTGATTCCTTCTATGGCTTTTGGTACCACATTGCCTCTGTTGCCAATCAGGTCCGCAAGCGCACCTAGATCGAGTACTATAGCATTACAGGAAGAATCGAAGACTGCCTCGTCATCACTGATAAAACCTGGTTTCTTCTCGCCAAGCTTATAGGGTTCATTGATGTCACCGATGTCGTTGTCTATCTCGAAGTCGTTGTACTCCTTCTCGTCGTCGTCGTCATCATAGACGCTGTAAATCTTGTGGAATGGAGGCCTTGGCTCATACTTGTCGAGTATTGTAGATAGACAAGCATATAACCGATATGTTGAGGTCATGAAGACAACGTACTGCGTACCCTTGTCCTCTTTCATCAAACGTCCAATCAAAAGGCCTTGAAAGATCGGATTGCCTTCGGGACCACCATCTGGAGAACCATTGTGGAAGAGAGTGACCTTGTAAAGGAGATTGGTGTCAAGAGGCTTGGGGTGGGATCCTAGATTGACATGAAGCGATCCTGGATGAACGGGATAGAGCTGGAGGTAAATTTTGCCAGAAAGGTGGATAGGATCACATGTCTGAATGTGGTATCGATCAAGGATGTAGACTATGCTTCGACAGCCTCGAAGGTCTCGCAGTGAGGTCTCTTGTAGTGCCTGAAGTACGCCTTCTTGAGAGTAGTCGCCTGCGTTTTGTCCCACAAAGACTGTCCATAAGTATAAGTATTCAGAAACTGAGGGGTGCAGGAAATTAGCTTACGTGGATGTGACTTGTCTTTGCTTGCCATTTTTTAGATATTGTGACAAAGTCCGATGTTAATGAAGGATTTGTGTTGAGTTTACACGAAGACTCTTCAAAGTCTTACAGTTGCGGCAAGAAAATAAGGTGTGGAAGTGTTTACACGACTTTATATACAATAGAAGGAGAACTGTACTGACCGTGACAAAGGGATATGTCGCATCTATGTCGTTGGCGAACAAGTACATTGTTTGTGAATTGCCGCTTACCTTTCAGCATTCCGTCGAAACAAAGGATAATCGGAGGCGACTAGTTTGTCACAGACTACACAGATATGTCACACATTCTTGCAAAGTAAACTGAAGTCAATAATCAACACCGCTTCCTATTCTCGCTTTCCGACAGCAAATCAATGAGCTGTTCAATGAAACCCCCTGTCACACTGAAAGGCAACCTACGTTCACCTCCCTTCCAAGCCCAAGATCCCAAATATGACTCCCAGAACGACGATATATGGTTTCCGACAAGAACCAACCACTCGTCAGCAATCTCGGCTACTAGCTACGACAAATTCATTACCTGAGCTGGCTATAAAATCGGCTCTTTTATGACCTCTTAAAGCCATGACTCAGAACTCATTGCGATCGATCCAAAGGCAACTAAGTTAGTCTTTCAATCAATGATGGCTTGCCACTGAGACTAAGCCCTTATAGGACGTAGATGCCACGACTCTAGAAACAATAGCTGAAATCGACTTCTGGGTACACGGTTATGAGAGGGCGAACGCAGCCCAGGCACTCTAGGAGGCCACAGAGCTGGTAGTTCGGCAACCACACTGCACTCACAAGTTCTAAAAAGAATGCTAGGTAAAGAAGTAGGACCAGCGATGGAAGAGTAGTGGCAACAACGAATATTTCAAGGAAACGCTTAATGCATAGGAGTAACTATATCTTACAACAAAGGGGTATCCAAACGCAACTAAATAGCCTCCAAATACGAAGCCGCCGTCCAAGCCAACGCACAACCAAGCAGAGCCCACGCACCAACGGCTTTCTTCCCCAACCAAGTATCATCCACCTCCACCTTCGCCGCCTTGACTCTCCTCACATTAAAACGTTCCTGCTCCGGCACAGGAGCCGTAGCATTCTTCGCCTGCGCATCAACAGCATCAGCCCTCTCCCTCAACTCCTTGATCTTCTTGCCCAGTGCAAGCAAATCCTCCCTCCACTCCGTGTCATTCCCTGCATTATCAACCTCTACGTTCTGTACGTTGCCAAAGAAATCCATGACGAGTCTGTCGCGGCCGCCTTGTTCGCCGCTGGGGAATAAATCCCATCTCACGCCGGGATTAGAGTGGATCTTGGATTCGTCGTAGCTGTCGAAGAGATCGCCGAGTGTTTGTTTGCTGCTCGGTTCGCGGACTTGGGTTTCGAGGAAGTCGAGATTGTAGTATGTGTATCTGTCGATGACGGCGACGCCGACGTCGTTGTCGGCGTGGTGGGAATATGATGATTGATCGATTTCGGAGGAGCCGGTCGCTATTATGTTGGGGGAGTAGAATTTGCTGTACATGGTGTTTGCTTGGCAGGTGTCAATCATGAAGAGGAGTTCGTGGTATCTGCGAATTGGGTCAGTATACAGTTTCTAGAGGTATGGGAATTCATGGACATACCTTTTCTTCTCCCACATCTGCTCAAACGCATCCGCGAGATCAAATGCGCTGATTTCCTCCGCATCTTGGAACTTCAAGAACTCATTCCCTCCATGACCAGTCATGTACACGAGAATATTACTTCGGTCATCCGTCAACAGCCTCTTACTCCTCGGCATCTCCTCTCCCACCCTATCCGTCAACAACCGTATAAAGTTCTCCACCGTGACCTCATATCCCCTATAATCAACCTCGATATTGTCACCATACAGATCTACCGCCCTGTCCGCGTTACTGTAGACCGTGCCGGGGAAGGCGTTGCGCGGATTGCATGCCATGTCGTCTGGCAACATGAGGATGATCTGCGAGTCGGGAATGCCGAGACGCTTGACCGTTCTGTAGAGCGAGAGCACATTTGCGAGATGTCTGTAGTTGAACCAGAAGCGCGACGTGGATACTAGGACGGCCCAGTTGCTGGTGTGTTCTGCTGTTATGGCCGTAGGTCCTAGCAGAGAGGCCAGGACTAGAGGTAATTGGAGCAGGTTGTTGAGCTTCATGGCGGGTTCGGCGAGTTTATGATTGATGGAGCAGCGAGAGGTTGGGGTTGAAGATGAAGCTTTGACGGGATGGGGAGTACGTCCGTACCGTAAAAGGATTCGCCCGTGTTGATATGTATTATTCTGAACGGAATATGGATTTGTAGTGCTTACAGATGTCGTCGTCCATATTGTCCCCCTTGAAAGAGTTCCGAGGTCTCTCCTTACCAATCAAAAGGGGCGGTGCAGTGCGTTCCGCCCCGGCGTCATTGGTGCCTCATACACCACGGGCATGCAGGGACGCGCTCCACTCCACTCCACTCCACTCCACGCCGCCGCATTTCACCACGTCCCGTCGGTCACATGAAAGGGCCACATCCACATCGTGAGTCTGGATTGCCCCGCCTTTAAAGGAGACTAAAGTCAATATCAATTATCGACTTCTTCTCATCTGACTCGTAAACCTTCCACTCTTCGCTTTATCCCACAAAACTCAATTCTTCTACCCCGCGAGAGGCTGGGAATACCGGCATGTTATTGTAATGGGTTGGCCTCCAGCAGTAGTCATCGTTGTCAGGTACGTCTTCTCTGCAAGTCGTCTTTGTCTGTTTAATTATCTCGGTGCAGACTCAGCATCGTTATGGCTCACGGGCACTTCTAGCAACACCATGAATTTTACAACTGCTGACTACTTCCTAGGCATGGTGCACGTCTGGATGCAGCAGATAAACAGTGGCATCTCACCTCTCCGACGCCCTACGATCCCCCTTTGACCTACGGCGGGTGGACACAATCCAGAGCTCTGGGCACGAGGATTGCCAGTATTCTACGATCCAGGGAGACAGACGATGAAGTGCTTGGAGAAGGACAAAATGGACTGGCAAGGAAGAGGAGGCATAAGGTCGTCATTCATACCAGTCCCTTCCTGAGATGCGTGCAGACTTCTGTTGCCATCAGTGCGGGGTTGGCACAGAATCCTGGACATACACATCACCACCACAAAAGCCCTTCTTCACCATTAGTCAAGGCAACGCAGATGCAGTCTTCCCCTAGAATACGCCCTACCCTTGCAACTGGATCTCCTTCCCTTGCACCAATCGCGGAACCTGTTTCTTCGAAGCTCAATGGTAAACTCAACAACGAGCAGCAGGAAAATATCAAGAAGGCAACTCTACGTGTCGATGCGTTTCTTGGAGAGTGGTTATCTCCGGATTACTTTGAACATATCACACCCCCTCCTAGCTCTGTTATGATGGTTGCAGGAGCCAAGGCAGATCTGCTGAGGAAGGAGGACTACAGCAGCTTAACGCACATTCGTGATCCAGCAACAGCCTCTGTTGGTTTTCCAGGTGGCTGGGGAAGCCCTATTGTTATGGCAGAGAAGAAAGAGGACGATGGAGCACTGTCAACTCTATCCACCCTTGGACAATCACTTCCTCGACGAGACCGAACTAGCAGCCTGAGTAGCGTGGGTAGCAGTGGAAGTCGTCAAAGCCATCGAAGCGCCACAAATCTACCTTCAGCTGCAGAACACGGAGTATACCAACCACCCATTCCAGCATACGCTATCTCAGGATCAGATCCTATTCCAGCTGGATATACCGCTCATTCACGAGATGCTTGCGTTGATGTCGACTATCAATGGGACAGCATGAGAGAGCCACAGGAATGGGGAAATGGTGGAGAGTATGGTGAGGAATGGAGTTCCATGCACAAGAGATTTCGGAAGGGATTGCAACAATTGGTTGGATGGTACAGCAATATCGATGATCCCAGTAAGCTGTTGACAAAGTCCAGCAACACAAGTCACCTGCGCCCAAACACGGAGGATAATTCGGAAGACGAGGATACGGATCTTGTGATCATCTTGGTTACACACGGAGCAGGATGTAATGCGCTGATTGGAGCATTGACAAATCAGCCAGTATTGCTGGATGTCGGGATGGCTTCACTCACAATGGCTGTACGAAAGCCAACTCCTACCAACTCTCCAGCCACCACGCCAGGTCACTCTAGGGCATCTTCCCGGACTGTGTTGATATCTGATCAGTACGACGTGAAACTGGTTGCAAACACTGAGCACTTGCGAAGCACGTCATCAACCCCTTCGACATCCCGCTCGCCCTCCTTAGCTGGCTTACCTACATTTCGAGAGTCTTTCCGTGAGAGATACGTCAGTAACAGCGGTTCTCTCGATGGCTCGACTTTTGCAAAGAACAGACCAGTACCAACATCTGGCAATTTCGGTAGTATCCGCCGCACAGCTAGCATCGCTGGATCGGGTCCTCGCAGCTATACCCCCACCCGCCAGACCACCATCGGGCTCTGGAGTGCACCACAACCTGAAGAAGAAGCCCCTGACGAAGAACCAGAAGATGACATGATTTTGAACTTTGGCGACGACTCGGGTGCCGTTAAGCAAGCTGAGAAAGACGACGCTATAGCCGTTGAGGATGGGAAAGATGCTGAGAAGGAAGAAGACGATGTTGCTCCACTAGGTGGGTTATGGGGAAATCCTCGACCACCTGGATACGCGGAGAAAATCCGCGAAATCGCGCCCAAGAGACGCTGGACTGTGAATGAGCGAGGATGAATTGCTTACTGTAGAGCCAGAGCGAGCATAGTAATCCTCGATGGAACGAACAAAAGTACCAAAATAACAGAGACGAAACGAAAACAAAATAGCATTCATAAGTAGCGAGGGAGTTTTGGCGAAAATGGCTCGACCTTTTTCTCTTGATCACGGACGGACGATCTTCTTGTAATGGCACGGCATGGTATGCGTTTTTATGTTTGGGCGATATTGGCATTTCCAGTGCTGCTCTAGAAAGTGGCAGGGAGGTATAGAATATCATGCATGGCTTCATTCTGCTCACTCTGGCCCTCAGCTTCTTGTACCTCTGCTTGATTACGGGACGAGAGCTACATTGCAGTCTTTCTCGTACCTTTTTCCTTCTCCTTCTCTGAAACCTTCCCTCTCGCTTTTCCTTCCTCTTTATCCCTCCCCTTCGTCTTATTCTCCGGCGACCTACCTTTCACTGCCTTACCACCAATTATCACCGACTTCTTTCCCTCCCTCTCCACCACCTTCTCTTTCTCCTTTCTCTTCCCCTTTATATTTTCTACTCCCTCTTCCTCCTTGTCTTTTGCATCACTATTCTCCCCCTTCACAGCAGTCTTCCTCACAGTCCTCTTGACCGTCCTCACCGTAGTAGTTCCCACCTTAACCCACCTTCCCTGCGGCACAATCCCCATCCTCGCCATCTCCTCGGGAGATAACTGTTCTTCGCCTACAATCGCCGGCTGCCGTCCGGACTCTAGTTAGCCAGTTTCGTTATCTTTAAAGGGGGGCCTTTTTTTCTTGGAAGAAGCGTTTGCTGGATCGGTCAAGGTGATATATAGTGAATATGGGAAAGGGGGTATAGAGGGGAAGGGAAAGGTAGTCAGCGGATTTGGGGAGATGGGAAGAGGGAAAGGAGGAGGAGTTCGGGGGAGAGGGAGCGGGAGGGAAAAAGCGACAACGACGAGGAGGGAAAAGGTGAACAGGGAAATCACGTACGACCATCCCGCGTCCCATGATAGGGATCTCGTCGCCCATCCAGGTTTTGTTGGTGAGGGGGTTGGAGCCGGGTCCTACAATTTCTATTCCGTCATTGATTTCGTCTTTCTCTCTGTCAGTGCCATTTTTGTTTTCCGAGACGGGGATTTTGGAGGTGGTATTTGATGATTTTGCGGTGGAGGTGCTTGCGGTTGTTTTAATGGTCTTAGTGATTGTTTTAGTGCCGTTTGGGGAGGTGGTTGTTTTTTTTGTGGTTGTGGTTGTTTTATTAGCTGGAACGGCAGAAGGAGAAGGTGCAGATAGAGGGGAGGGTGTGGAGGTAGAGGTGGGAGAGCACGGTGGCATGAGTTTTCTGAGAGAAGGCATGATGGTAGCTCGGAAAGTGTGTTTGAGTTTTCGAGGTTTAGGGTTTGGTAGTGTTGAGGAATTTAGAAATGGGGATTTGAATAGTCGGTCGTTTGAGAGCTGTAGTGAGACCGGCTTAAGAGATGGTCGGAGGAGCAACACTGTGAAGCGTATGCATGAATCGAGGGGATTATGATGGAGGGATAAAATGTTGACACAGAGAACGAAGTGCGAGTGGGAATCAGATGGTGTTGCTTGGGAATGCTCTGTTCAAATCTGACAGCCAGTGAGTCAACTGAAATAACTCACTCACTTTCAAATGAGAGAAGGAAAGTAGATTGAACACCACAGCAGTCTCTTCTTCGTTGGCGATTGCACGGCACACATTTGTTGCAACTTGCATGTATATCAGAATCCGGGCTTGATAGAAATTTATTTGAGTTCTATCCTCCACATACCTTTGCCCATTCCCCCGCCATGGCCGTCGTTTCTTTAGCTCTAGTAGCGAAACTTATTGACAGCATTTACCTGCCGGAATGATATTTTAGAAGGCAGGGTCAGATTTCTGACATCTCCTGCAGGGCATAGACCACTTGAGTTGATGACTCTCTCGTCCCAACCAACTATAAGTAACAGAAAGGTTAGAAAAGCCCATTAAACAGGTGGCGCTTGGCTAGTGCTTACCATTAATGAAATTCTCCCACTTCCCTCCTTCATGTTTCTTCCAAATGCGCATTTGCTTCAGGAACCCCTCTTCCATATCCTCCCAGTTGCCGTACTGTAAATCCCATCGACCATAAACCTCGCAATACTCTTCAGGTCCCATACACGGCGGACCATACTCAGAAAGAACAACTCCATAGGTGTCCAGAGCCAAGGATCCCAGCAAGATCACAACCTCGAAGTTTCCGCTCAAGGACTTGCACAGAATGGCAATATCGGTGTATACACTCTCGATATCCCGGGCACGCCGCGTAACATCGACGCCAGCTAGGTACTCCGTTGACACGCTGATCTTTCTGACTAGATCTCTATCGAGAAATGCCAAACCAGCTTCATTGCAGAGGAATAGTACAGAATACCAGGCTGCGTCTGTCTCTGGATTGAACAGTCCCCGACCTCGAAACTGCTTGAGGACTTTCTGGGCTTCTGCTCTTGCTTCTCGATTTACATTCATCAATCTAGCTTTGCTTGCGGACTTACGACAAGATAGACTGGTGTAAAAGTCGGGTTTGATGTTGAGTACTTCTTCGATGTGAAGTGCCTCTTTCCAGATCATGATTCGCAGCTCCGAGGGAAGGGCGTTGAAAAGGGTGAATTTTGGAGAATCGTCGTCGGAACTTTCCTGCTTATCCTTGAGCTTGAGACTGGAAATATTATCCAGAGCCATATTAATTTGCTCATTCTCAGAGTTGTAACCTCTTTTCTTCTTTAAAGTGCGATAGTGCGGATTGCTTTTGTGAGCTTTGGCTTGGGTTGCCTTACGTTCGTTTCGCGCCATTGTCAAAAGGCTTTTCCGATACTCTTTAACGAATTTTTGATTTTGTTTTTGTTCTAGGAGGTCGACACTACACTTTGACAAGTAAGGTGTTACAGCTCAAGTAAGGTGTTGAGTTGTGAAGTGGTGGAGGTTGGGGGATCTGTCGAGAAACTGAACACTCGAAGAGAAACTGCTTTAAATTGAGATCGAGATGAAAGGAAGTAGGTCTCAAGTATGTCAGAATGATTCGTTTTCATGGTTTCAAATGGCTCTTCGTGATTCAGACCGCAACAAACATCGCCAGTCATTCACTCAGTCACTTGAAGGGGCATAGCAGGCGGCATTTGCAGACAACGCAATGCCATCTGTATTCACTGCCTGCCTAATAGTCCGTCTAACAAATGTATATGCGTTCCAAAGCTCTATGACATAGATGATGTATGACTTGAAATTAAATCTCGACGGGTCTTCGTTGCTGAGTGCCAATACTTGATGCCATTCACCCAAAGTAAACAATGACAAAATGTGCCAGGACAATGCACAAGCCCAGTCATTTGGTCATACGACATATTCGATATCAACATACATAGCTAGTTATAAACTCATTTTTTCCAATGATATAAATCCTGCTGATTTTGAGTCCTGTGGGAAGATGTACCCGCCGCAGAAATCTCTCCAGCTCCTTCCTCTCTGTCACGTGTTCCTGCTAAGCGACCGCAACGTAGAATGTCCAGATCCCAAGTCCAAGGAAGACTTCTCAGGAATATCATAACAAGGTCTTGGAGTTGGGAGATCCAGAGCTGATAGAAAGTTCTATTACCACACCTAGTAGTAACTCGACGAGGTGGATTTTGAGTACTGCCCGCTTCGTGGCTGATGAATGCATGAGGGTTATTCGTGGCTAGGAGTTCGACATCAGGCATACGATCATTGCACTTCCGCGACTCATCAAGGATAATGAGGCTCCGTTCATTTGTGGGTTTATGAACATGGCGTGAAGAAGCGGATGGTAGTCCAAAAGACAAGGCTGCGGAGCAAGCCATGGAGTTCGAGGGTACGAGTGAGGTCGTATATGTAGGTATAACTGCTGTACAGCTTCAATCCGGCAATTTTATGTCGATATTGAACGAGCAATTAATTTCTGAATCGTTGTCGAGTAACAAGAGAGGAAAAGTCTTCTTTGAGATAGAGGAAACATTGAGATAAGCGGGGCAGCTCGAGCTCCGTGCCACAGTATGACTAAATTCGCTACAGCATTGATAATAGAGTGTCATCTTTACCTCTGGAGCCTGTGAAAACTAATTCAAATAATAGCACAGTTTATAGCGCTCAAAAACAACAGTTAACGCTTTACCTTGTAAGCATTTTACATCATGTGACGTCGGTTAAAGACGTTGAGTCCACTCTAATTCCTCTTCTATTATCCAAATATTCTGTTATTTTGAACTCAGCAGATTCACCGATCATGGCCCATACAAGACTATTTTTCTTCCTCTATATCTTAATTGTGGTGGCGCGGTCAAACAGGGGTTTGAGCCGTGATAGGATGCGAGCCAATACTTCTGCCTAACCAATCAACTTTGGAGCTGACACAAATCTCAACGTCAATCTGAGCTTCCCTTTGTTCATCAACATCACGTCTTCGGCAAAATCCACTATTCAACGATATCACGATGGCAAGTCCCACTGGGTATCCTACCATCAGCGACGATGCTACCAGCTATCTTAATTCTAACAGCACTCGCACTCCCTCTGATTTGGCCCAACCCCGCAACAATAAGCTGCAGGCTCTACTCAATCAAATTCGCGACCTACAGATTGACAATACTGTGTTGAAGAAAGCCACAGTTGGCTTGAAAACTTTCACACTGTTTCCGCAATTACCGCTGGAGCTGCGACTCAAAATCTGGAGGAGCGCCATGCACATGGAGGAAGTCTTCGCACTGGGCCACTTGGAGAACGAACAGGAATCAGAATTTTTTCCTCAGCTGCGACTCCTATCCGCAGCCGGCAAGTCAAGCTTGATGCACGTCAACATGGAGGCTCGAGACGAAGGAAAAAAGGTGCTGTCTCAATTCGTACATAAAGGACGAAGCACCTGGTACAATCCCGACACGGACACTGCTTGGTTTCCCAGACCTGATTATGAGACCCTCATGTACGTTGAGGAGGAGCTCTTGGAGAAGAAAAAGCTTCGCATTTATAAAATGGCCTTTCCATATCAATATTCGCGTCCTTGGCCTGAACACATGGTAGAGACACACGAGCGATATAACGGGTTGAATTTGCGCGAATTGGTCTTTGTTCTTGGATCTAAAGATCTGCGGAAGCAGGATGGTACTGAGACTATCAACAGCACCAATAGGCCTGCAGATTTCGTACTCCCTCTGGGCCCGGATGTGACTACCACCAACCTCTGCTGGGAAGACTTGGCAGGCATTGAGATGAGGAATATGGAATATTGGAAGAAGGAAACTGAAGACGCCAGAGACAAACTGAAGCGCGGTTTGTGTCTTCCGTCTGTTCCAACTTTATATTTGCTGACAACTATAAGAGGGTTGGACTCAGGAGGATTTCGACTATCATTCTTCACGGGTCCCGTGCGCGAATCCCAAAATCACGTTTCGCTTCACAAGGGATGATTTATCTCTCATGGATGATGACATATTCCAGTGTAGAAGCTAAGGTCAAACAAATGAAATCTTCAATTAGTTACTTCACGGCAGTATCTAGAGAATGGCTTCCTTCACATGTCGTTCTTAAGATTCAACCCCATAATATAATTGTATCTTTGTTCTACTCCAAGGGCCTGATTTCTCTTCGTTGAACAGATTCTTGTGCTGTAAAGAAGAAAAACTCGCTAGGTTGATCTGAGCCTATGTGAGTAGCCTGGTGATACTCGATATCGGGACCTTACATCTCGGGTGACTACAGAAGGGAGGGATCTCTGTAATACTATTCTCGATCGGGGTTGTCTCTCCTTACATTTCTACATATATACCCTGATGTTCTTTGAATGGTTACCAAAACTTTCCTACGCGTTCCCTGGAGAACTCTCCTTGTCAACTGTTCGTCGCAAAGGAAAGAAAGAAGAAGGCTGGTAACAGTGATCGAGGGGTGGTATGCTCCTGGCGAACTCACTATTCCATGAGTAACGAAAGTATATTACAATCTCATATTGGAAAGCCATGAGAGATATCTATCGCAGATCATCTGCTGTGGATTTCTTGGCGTTGAGATTATCTGTACTTCTGTACTTCTGTGAGCCTGTGTTGGTCTCGAAGTATTGGTGTACAGCGCACCGATCTTCACGGATACCACGCTCGTGGCACCTGCTCCTCTTTTCGTACTTTGTAGATACCAAAGACCTGGGAAGAATGAAGACTTCGCTCGTGTTCAGTCCCACAGCTTCAAGATTCAGCTCTTTACAGGAATCCATCCTTTATTCTGGCTTGCCAAATCCTATATATGCTCCCTCCTCCCACCCAAAGTTTGAAGTATTTCCTCTTTTCATTAGAATCAAAAATATTATATCAACAACAGCTCATATCGAATTTTCTACAACAACACTAGCCAACATGCAGTTCACAGCAGCCCTCGCCCTAGCTCTCATGAGCATCACATCTGTCGCTGCCGCCCCAGCTCCCGCACCCAACCCAATCAACCTGATGATCACCATTTCGGTACTCACTCCTCTCTTTACACCACCCTATCCCTATCCCTATCCCACCCCACCCTGCCCAAAGTATCTCTTCACCAGACTGACTCTTCTCTCCACAGCCCGAGAGCCCAGAAGCTATCTTCGCCCTGAACAACGCAGCAGGAAGTTGCATCGGTATAGGCGGTACGTCTCTCTCCACAGTCTTGGCCATCCTTGTCAATCATACTATTATTACTCTCCCCGGAAAAGATTTCCTTTCTGACATACAGACTTCTTTAATAGAATGGTGCGGCAAAGACTCGCCCGACGAGCCATGCTGCGAAGGGTCGGATGGCTGCCACATCGCGTGCGGTGGCAGCAAAGGGTGTGGTTGGTACTGCACTAAGAAGTCGACATGCTCGGGTCCGTGGCATCCTGGATGCTAGATATCTCCCCATTAAGCTCAGCTTTGAAAGAATCGATAGCTAGGACGAAGGGGACGGGTGGGTTACTTGTTGGGACTGAAGACAATATTTCTGGTGTTGAGGAAGAAAAGCCACGAACAAGTTTGCTATGGGTCTTAACTAGTTTCTTGGATTCCAGTTTCTTGCATACCTTGATAATTAACCCAATCTTGTCTTCAGTATCGAAATTATTTGTTCAATGAACTGTTCCACTGTGAAATCTCGGGAGCCATTGCATTGGTGATCGTTGATCAGTACAATGGGAACTAGAATCGGGTCTGCTTAGTTACTCCGGATCTTGAGAACGGTTGGTCCTAGTGTGGATACGTTGATCGTTGTTGTAATTATTAGGGGGAAGTGTTGGCCACAGGACATGTTTGGGCGCTTCAGACTTACTCGGCTTATAGAAGCCATTTCAAACAGGATCAACAGCCGGGCTCCCCATGTGAGGCGGCGGGCCCCCACTATTAATTGAGGGCACATAAGTAATACGATAGATTTTTCCATTTCATTGCATGTTTTCATTTATCAGGTCAGTCAATCAATCAATCAATCTTCCAGCCACGCACAAATTCCCCACATCACCACCCACATCGATCATCTCGCATGTCTATCCGTGAAATGTTTCCAGGATCCCTTAATGCCAGCGCACATTTGCAGGAAATAACAGTCGATCCTCCCATCACAAATCCGTCCTATCATCCATTCATCCAGCCATGATGCAACAAGAGCAAGTCGATTGAGTAAAGAGGCAAAGCATACACAGAGAGGAGAGAAAAGCGCGGGCAGGATCCTCGACTCCAGTCTATTAACGAAGTTCGCTCAACGCCTGCAAAGGAAAAGAAGTGGCCAGGATGGTAGATCACACGAGTCCGTCATAGAGCGACAGGGCGGATACGATCGTCTCGTCTCGCTTGCTGCCCTCCTTGAACTCTTCCATGTCTAGACTGCCATTCTCGTCCTTGTCCATCATCCGGAAGATCTTCTTGACTCGCTTCTCGGGGGTATCTTCATCGGCTGGGAGCTTGACCATAGACCCGACCTGTCACTATGTTAGTGGACTGCCATGACTTTGCCAGAAAGCTTGGTTTTGAGCCGAGGGTCAAGCGAGCCGCCACGTGACCGGATCTGGAGGGGTCCAAAAATAGAAAACGTACCATCTTGTAAATAGCTTCAACAATGGCCAACATTTCATCGTAGCTGATCTTTCCGTCTCCATCAATGTCATAGAGTTGGAATGCCCAGTCTAACTTGTCTTCCATCTTTCCTCTGCTGGTGACGCTCAACGCGCAGATGAACTCCTTGAAATCGATCGAGCCGGATTTATCGCTATCGAACACATTGAAGACATAATCTGCGAATGATGATGGATCTCCGAATGGGAAGAATTGGCGGTAGATCTTCTGGAACTCCTCCTTGGTGAGCATGCCCGAGGGGCAATCCTTCAAGAAACCTGATCCCGGTTAGCTTGAACCTTATCCACGAGACCAAGATATCCATACCCTTGTACCATTGTTGCAACTCCTTCTTGTCGAAATGGGTTGATCGCTGCAATTCGCTGAGTTGCTCTTGCGAGAGCTTGGATTGACTGCGCAGCGCGGTTAGCAAGATTCTCGTGCGCATACTGTACATTCTGTGGACAATAGCCTTACGATTTTCCCATTCTGAAGTTCTTTGTATGCGGTTGTTCAAAATGGTGTTGTGTTTGCTATCGCAGCAAAGGAGAAGGACTCGAGCGCAGCCACAGGCGCCAGATGGTTATCGTGAAGGAGCAGTAGCTGTACTATGGACTTGGTTAATCCATGATCTTTCTGCAGATGTGCGCATCCACATACGTAGTGTTGTTACAGTTTCGTAGTTCTGGAATATCCACGTGGCGGAAGTTCGCTGCTTATAAATTGAAATGTCGGCTCTTCGAGACATTGTCAACGTCTGCAAATAGACCAGCAAGATATCACATACAAGCTTTAGTCGCCTCCTCAATTTGTCAACCTTCTTTGCTCTTTGAATGTTCTCGTCCGGCAGGGTCGGAAGGCTTGAGGAATCTGGCAACAGGCAGCGCATTAGCAATCAGCTTTGCACACAAAGAGCTCGAAGCTCTTTCCTATTTCCAGTTACTGACCCCGAGTCTTTATCCTCCTTTGTGGTCTAAACCCAGGCTATGCAGGTACAACAGTTGGCAGGTGGGGTAGGTCGTCGTGCCCTGGTATGAGGCGCAGCTCTGCGCAGATATTCTGGTCGGTGGTCTCGTCGTCGCAGAGAGCCAAGCTTCTGGAAGGAAGGTCAAGAGAGCGGTCAAGCCAGGGAGTAGCAGCAGATAGCACAGGAATCGTGGTGGTCGCTATGTCATGAGTTGAACGAGCGGGCTTTGGTGGTGTGGAGTGGAGAGGCAACCTTGACTTGGCTCGCGCGCCCTCTTCCCCTCGTCTCGAATCTGACAAGCGCGGGGCAGAGGCAAGAAATCCGGCCACCGTAGATGAGGCTGTGCAATCCAGGGCGCTTATTTATGTCCCAATGTTGACATTGTTTGCTTTGCTATGTCTTGATTGCTGATGATCACCAATCAAAGAGCTGATTTCGATTCTATTGTTTCAAGCTTTGAGTGAAGGTTTAGGGAGTTATTGAGCCTCATGGTCATGTGTTCCCCACGTGAATATCTGCCCAGATACTGCCGAAACGAATATTCTCATAGAAGATAATAGGGCCATAAACTTTAATCCGCTTATACGCGAGAATAGAACGACCCGTCGGACTGTGGTGCGTCTAGATAGTTTCGTCCTCATACAAAGCCGTTCCAGGCTTTTCATTACACTCCTCATAAAACACAGACAACACAGCCCAAGTGTTAAGCGAGCATCAATCTAACGATACCTGTCGGATGTCTGAAAGCATTTTTATTTCCGAACAAGAAAGACCCTGTTACATATCGTTAAATGAAGAATCCAGGGCTGGTTCTGCTGTCTACCATACAAAGCGACTGTGAATACCCTCTTGATTTTGCTGGGTTTTGAAGACCAAGCTCAAGTAGCCAGGCACGTGACCAATACCCCTTTTCCCAGATTCTGAAGCTGAGCGGAGCTTCGCGTCTGGAATATCCAGACCTTCTTCGTTGCCATCACTGAATTGACGATCAAGAACGGGCAAGCAAGTTCATGTCGTGGGATAACAGAAGTTTGGGAGCGCTCTTGGGGCTTAGAAGATACTCCTTCACCTGGGAGTGAACAACATGAACCATTTCCTCGGCAAGAGGCTTGTCACCTGTGGGACTTCAAATTTGTAATAGAGACCTCCCGGACTCTAATATGGTCTCGCTAATGTAGGCCTCATCGACTTATGGGTCTGTCCAGGCTTTGGAAGTTCGTCCACCGGATATTTGGACAAGTCTTGTCAGAACTAAGAATCAATGCCTCAGCTAGCTCTCTCGGGTCGAGAGACAGAACGGCGAAAAGGATTCACGAAAATGGTTTTCACTTTCTCGGGAAGATTCAATTCTTTCCACTCTTGAGAGTGAGCCTCACCTAGTTCTCAGCCTCAGTCTTTCTGCTGCTGCCTGTGCCCCGCAAATATAAATCCCAAGCACAACACCAACAAACAAACATTTGCCTGCACTCAAAAGCCCCAATCTCTGCCCAACATGGCGATCGAGATTACCTCCAACTCAGATATGCCGCCATGCCTCAATACCGAAGCGAAGCAGTTCAAGAAAGCTAAAGAGCTGGCACGATTACACCGAGATACTCCCGTCAAAAGTGCACGCAGTCCCAAACCACAGGGCTTCTTTAGCCGCACAGTTATCATCACGATGAAGACCGGTGAAGAGCTAGTCTTCCAATTTCGACCTGAGGCTCTGGACATGACACCTTTCCAAAAAGCTCGTGCTGTGCTCGGCGATGTGGTTCCTTCAATCGAGCGAATTGAGGACGAAGCCATGTTCCAAGCTTCGATTTGGGTCTATTGCATGACATGCATCGCTGGATCGACTTGTTTCCATGCACGTAATGGCAGAAGCGCAGAAGGCAGGCTCCAGGCTACCAAGACATTGGGTCAAATTCTCTCCAAAGGGCACGTAGCTGGAGATGCGGCTCAGGTTGTCCACGAGACAATCAGGCCTCATTTGGAGGTCCTCCTGTCGGCGGAGAACTCTTCCATTCAATCATTTCATTCTGAGATCAAATCCATGCTGGATCAAGTCGACAGCCTTGCCGCCTTGCCGCTGTACATATCGCACTTCGATCTTAACGATGTCAACATCATGGTGGACAACGACTGCAGGGTTAGTGGTATCGTTGACTGGGAGCTTTCAACGAAACTACCATTTGGCATGGGCTTGTGCCGGATTCACACTTTGGCCGGGTTCTACAGTCAGCAGAAGTTTGTGATGCCTCCGGAATTCGATCAGGCGGAACGCGGATTCTGGGGCGAGATATTTGATGGCATGCCGAAAAAGGTGCGGGAAATTATGGAGCAAAATTTAGCTTTGGTCGACCTGAGCGTGAAGGTTGGAGCGCTTTTGGATACCTTCCAGCTTGATGAGGGTAAAGTCGGTGGCATTAATCCTGTTGCTGTGGAAGCTCTCCCCAAGTTTCTGACTTATCGTATTCCACAGTCTAGGGGCTCGGGCGAGCCATATCTGGTATGAGCACTGTAGGGGAGATAATGGGAGACTCGTACAATATAGAAGACGGTTGCAACTTGGACTGGCAAAAAATTTGCAAAATTTTCACAGGTATCCCCTCAACTTCCATGCCAAACGCACTTGTTACAGAGGGTGGCCAGCCTGAAGCCAGGCCCTGTAATTAAGCGAGGAACGCCTAAATCTGCAACCTGCACTGAAAGTAACGATTTTCCCACTCAAATACCAAGACACCCGTGCTGGATATTCTGAAAGCATTTATATACCCAAATAAGGAAGAGCCTGTCACATACGACCATAGATTGAGGAAATCAGGGCATCCCGTCCGCTCTGCCGTACTTAAACCTCAAATCGGTGGATTAGTAGTTGGGTGGGTGACCACCAGCGAACACCCACTGTTGTATGTTTTTTGACTTTTCTTTTTCCTTTTGCCGAGCGGATGCAGGGAGTTGGATAAGACACAGGAACATTTCTATCTTAAGATCAAGGGAATGATTGCCTGCAATATTTTTGGACTTATAAATGTGATCTAAATACAAGACATTTATATTCTACAACGCTTTTGTCAACTCCAATTGAGATAAATACTGAACAAGCGCTAACAAGAAATTGCTCCGATGCACCGTTCGCTCTGAGATACCGTGACAGATTTACACAAACACCATCTACACAAATTCCAAGTCTTTTGGATTGCCATGCCAATCACAGCAAGAGAACCTCCAAGCTCCCTTGTGTCTAGGAAGGTATATCCAGCGAAACATAAGCGCCACAAACCATGGGAAAGGCGGCCATACAGCCTCATGAACAGGTTTCTCAAACGGATTATCCATATTCGTGACCACGATCGGGATTTCGTGATCCTGTAACGATTAGCAGTTGGACCATGAAAGGAGTGAGCGAGGACCGGACATACAGTTTCCGCAGTCTTGACCGCAATCTCGCCAACCTTCTTACTCCACAACTTCCAATCAATCTTATCCCCAAACTTCTCAAGATCTTCGAAGGTTCCAATCTCATCACTCAAATGCTCCACCAAAACCGGCGCGAAATCGTCGACCAGCTTCTGAATCTTCACACCATCGTACGTCTCCTTCCCAGCTCGAAGAGCCTTGACATACTCTTCAAACCCTTCCAGACCGTGAGCAAACGCGTGATGCTGCTCGACATTCTTCTCCATCCAGCCGGGAGTGCCGATATATTCCTCCAGCATGGGGAAGAAGTGTTTCTCTTCGTTGCTGTGGTGCTCGTGAAGGAGGATGAGGAATGCGTGCATGAAAGTGGTGAAGTCTGCGATGTCTTTGTCGTGTTTTACGTTGGGTGCTTGGAGGTAGATACAGTTGAGGATGCGGATCATGACGTTGTGGATAAGGCACATTTCTGTGGCCGCGCTGAGGGCACCAGGTTCTTTCTTGGGGTTTTTGATCTGGAGGAGAAAGTCAGTGATACGAATGACAGTGGGTTTGGAAGAGAAAGAACGTACCCCGCGTCGTTTTCTGGGGGTTTCAATGAGTGGAAAGGGGCCATCTGCCCATTGTTTGGTGATTTTGGCTGGTGTTTGGCCCATATTGAGGAAGTTAAATGAAGCTTGGAAGACGAGAGAAGGTATACAGAGGTCTAAGACTGCAAATGAGTGAAAGGCAGCGCTGATGTTTATTGAGAAATATGAAATACAGAAATCAACATTGATATGGCCATCTTATATAATTCTCCATCACTGCGCCGTAGAATACTCGGCATCTCAAGCTTCTGGTTGGAGCGTAATACGATTGGACGTTTTGAGGTTAGTGCTTACCGAAGCATGGCTGCATGTTTTGGGTCGTTGTCTGACTTCGGCTTCAGCTGTGGCTTGAGCAGCCAATGGCTCAGGCCTTTACCCCAAAATGGTATGCATATCCACTCTTAGTGATGTAACAATCCAAATGGCAAGATTGATTGGATCAGAGAAAGCCAGGGAAGTCGGCGTGATCAGGATCCAAGAACTTTATCCTCACTCCATCTCATGAGGCTTTAATGTTGATTTCAGCCCTAAATTGGTGACTGCACGCCTGCCCCAGAAGAGAAAGCTGTACCGATGAGGCTTATGGAATGTTCTTTCCGCATTCTAGTGTATACTGCTAAATGAAGGTAACGCCGTGATTCATCAGATGAGAGGTAGAGGAGGAGAAATGTTGGAGGGGGTCTAAAAATATAATTCGGTCATGTGATCGGGCTGGCCGAGGCGCTAAGCCTTACTTGCTAAATTGTGTCCCAACTCGCGATACTCGCATCAACATCCTTCAAGGCGCCGCATCGATAGGTATGGATGGCCTCGTCAACAGGCGCTTTGAGCCGGTAGAGGTGACGATGCTAAAAACTACCGACTCGATCTCGACTTATTTCCTGCTCACGGGAGGAGCATTCAAGGTCTTGCACTCAACCATGCATGAGGAGTACAATGGATGAGAACTGTCGTAGCCGCATTTCTCACCTTCTCTACAAGCCTATGTACCAGCTGGGTCCTGGACTTGTGTATTGAATTACGGGAACAGCCCTTTCGAATACCTGCCTACCCAGGGAATGAACCTCCAGGATATCATCAACACATTTACACGTGACGCTGCCGCCCAAATGAAGGTGGCCTTTGCTGCGACCCAGTCCTTCCGTTGGTGTTTCGTATCTGACTGTCATCGCCTACAGTTATAGCGTTCAAGAATCGACATGTCCTCCATCAATCTATCATACAATAAGAAATCCTTCGCCTCTACGAAACCAGCATCATGGTCATCATCTCGGATCTCCCTTGCGAGCTTCGCGATGAGACCTTGCTTCAAGCAGTCTTAGCCCGCGGTGTGAGGTTAGGCTTGAGGCTCAGACTCGTGAATAGTATGTGACCTCCCACTAGACATTTCAGTGTGTCCTTGTTAAATCAGGCTGACAGGTGAACAGAGCAATGGGCCGTTGATGTAAAGCGAGTTCTGTTCAGGTCTCGCCTCCTTGACGAAACAAAGTGTGAGGAAAAAACATTCCTGAAGGCGTATTTCGTCTGGCAAATATTTTCGGACCAAAAGCATACAATCCCTCCATTACGCACCATTCGACGTATCGCGGAGATCTTATGCGAAGACACTCAACGGCCAGACGATGCTGCCGTTCGGCGTTGTGTGGAGTCACTATGCTCCCTGACGATAATTGAAGGTCGTCAAGTGCAGCATGGCGATTGGGCTCGAGTTACGGAAGATGATAAAAACTTTGATTACCACCTTCTGGTTGCTGCAGCTTACGTGAACCACCTGCCTTTGCTCAGGACTTTGCTCCCTAAGGTTGGCTTTAGATTGGATGGGAGCTCCCTATTTGGTCACCCTGCTCAGGCAGCTGCCCTCCACGCCAACAACGAGGCATTGGAGCTGATTTTGAGCACCGATTGGAAGAAGACCAGCACCTGTGCATTCCGTGGTGCAACAGCCTATGCGCACTTTGACACTTTGGACTTTTTGTTGGAACCTCGATGGAAATTTGGTAATGGGCTGAACACCCGTTTCATCAATTGTATTTGGCAGGGTCTCCAGAAAACGAGCAGCGTAGCAATGTTTACACGGGCTTTCCCTCTACTGGGTGACTATGAAGCAGACACTCCTGGAAAACGCCTCGGATTTTTCCTCAGATGGGCAGCAACATTCGGTCACACGATGTTAGCTTTGCATCTCTTTCACCTGGGTGCACAAGCTTCTGGTCATCAGGCTTTGACATTCGAGGATTTCAATCCGCTGTGGGCTGCCTGCAAGTACGCCGACGAAACTGTGGTCCGCCTCCTCCTTCGCAAAGGTGCGAATCCGAATGTACCTTACGACTACCCACAGTCAAGTCCTCTTCAAATTGCAACACGTCGTGGCCGTTTTGGAATCGTCCGAGCACTGTTGGAATACGGGGCAGATATACACAAGTCTTCTGCGGATGGCCCTCAAGCCATTGTATCTGCCATTGAACTTGAGCACATGGCTATTTTCCGCTTGCTACTTCAATACGGTGCTACTTGGAACCCACGCAGTACCCGCATTGCATTTGGTAGGGTGGCTAAGGCAGGATTGAACTCAATGGCCACGATACTGCTCCAAGAGGGGTTGCTGCCAACTTGCGACTCCGTTACCATAGCACTAGAAAACGCGAATCATGAAGTGGCGCGAATTCTATCCGCAGCTCTGTCTGAAGCAAAGTTCGATAGTTTCAGGCTTTGGGACGTGAACTGGATCAATTAGACACTTTTACGCCTCACATCTTTCCATATATATGGTTGCCAAAATCTGAGCACAGGATGTTTGAAGACTGCCTGGGACTAACAAACACGGTGGATAACATAAGAACGTAGTGGAAGCAAAAACTTGGATAGACCCGCACGGATAAATGAACTTCAAGTACGACTATGCAAATACGCAGCCAATGCCCCATCTAAAGCACTAGCAGCGCTATCTATGTCATCAGGGAAAGTTGTTGCCAACACCGTTTACTTCGACAATTCTAGACATACGATACAGCTTTCCCGACCATACAAAAGGCTCCCTCTGGTTGAAACCAATAAAATATCCCCAGTTTACAGACGACCAAGCTCGATGACGATAGAATAATAACCCGGTACTGTGTCTGGATTCTTGTTCTTTTGATTTTTCGTGGTACCGTCCGTGAACACATGGAAGGCCATTACTTCAAGATTTCCGAGTTCTCCGTGGTGGTCAGTCAACATCTGTAACATTCCTCGTCCGTGGATCGAACCAGCAAACTGCTGATAGGCGGCAAGCTCGTTTGGGTTCGCTGCTGTAGGCTTGAATACAGCCTTTGTCTTTCGATCAATTCCAGCCAGACTGAAGGCTGCGTTGATGGCCTGCCGTGTCTCTGTAGTTACCACGTCATCACGAACAATCCATTTAAGATCTTTCACGGTATTTGCATCACCTGCTGCGACGCGCCAGCTGTCCATTGTCATGTCTCTCAGCTTCAAAGCCTTCGCCTCATCACCACCAGGCTGGAGATTCTCGTCGTGCTGTGCGTTCCGGGAGTCCTTCAAAATTATGGTTCTCTCTGGTACACTGACGGCATATCGCGAGATATCGAGTGTCTTCTCATCGGCACTGTTCTTGATCTTTTCAGACCTCCATCCGCTTTCCAGTTTCACGTCCTTGGCAGCCTTAATACCAAACTGTGCCAGATATCGACCCTGGTCACCATTTGAGGTGTGGAGAGGTCCAGTCACGCCTTGTTCCTCATCAGGCATTCTGACGTACCCTTTGGACTCAATGCTACCTTTATCATTGTCAGCACGATTCGTGGAGATGGCATTCTTCAAGTCGTCTTGTCGAGAGGCGCCAATCTGTCGAACAGCTTCATCTTTTGCATCCGGGAAAGTTGCGGCAGTCACAGGAGCTGCTTCACCAGGGACAGGTTGTCGAGTTCCACTCCCTTCTCCACCATCACGATCAGCGGGTGGTCTATTCCCAATGATCGGGCCGTCGAGACTTCCAGGGGTGTCGCCATCAGTCTTGTCTCCACTTCCACCAGTAAAAGAGATTGGTGCTGCATCTGAGGATGAATCACCATCTTTCCCTTTGGGACCCTTGGGGGATATCAAGGGGCCTGCCCTGGCAAGGATCTCGGAGAGTACCCCTTCAACTCCGTCACGCTTCCGTACGAGGTAGTCCGATAGGGTTTCGGTGGTATATGTGCCAATCGTAGCAACACCTGGGTGTGAGTTAGTGTCTGTTTTCTGTAACTTATCGATTGAGACTCACTGGTACAGTTGTGGGCGCAGGATCGAGTGTTCAGCGCATTGCCGCGGAGTCCAAGCGGGGTCCCATCGGTGACTGCGAGCAGAGTCGAGACCGTTCCCAGAGACAGGACTGCTGCAAGTGAGACTTTCATGATAACGATGATATAATGAGATCAATAGTCTATTGATGGACAAATAGAAGAAAGGTAGTATTGAGTCTGAAATGATAGTAATGATAGTAATGATAGTAATGATGGTATGTGTTCTTTGCGGTACGCGGTGCTTTTGCCAGTTACTGTGTTGATGTTGATGAGATTTTTTGTACTACTAGGGATTGACATCGTACATATACACGCTTTCTTTTTATCTGAAGACCATGTCGTTCGAAACTTCGGCGCTTCTGTGGCCATTGCCAGGCAGTCTGCCTCGTTGAAAATCCCAGCGTCTCTTCGAAACTGTCGCTCAAGTAAGATGCTTATTCCAAGCGCAATGCGCCTTGCACAACCGACAATCTCTCAACTTTGCTCTCTATTGACAATCCTGCGGGCTCAAAAGCTGGTCCCTATTGGACTTTTCAGCGGCTAGCACCCATATCGGACCCGCTCGGACTGACCGTCTGATCGAGTAAATGGCTACGCGGAACATTTGTAGCGGGACAATGTTGGTTCGTCTGCGGCACAAAATCGAAATCCAAGAATGGGCTCGGAGATTGTTCTGTAAAAGGTGTATTAGCACTGCACACAGCCGGAGTGCGGCTGCATTCTGGTGCGACTGAGGCTGTTTCTCACGTGGGAGGCCCAGAATATGGCCCAAATGTGGCTGACTTCCGTCTTCAGGAGTCTGTGAAACGAAGCAGCTGCAGGCCATGACCGGGGCACGACCTTCGAGAACAGCCGTGGCGTTCTGGCGGCTAACATTACGAAGAGCGCTTGTTCGGTATATTTCGCAGCTATTGGTCTATTCCAGTCAAGCAAAGGTTAACAAGCTCGCCCCAGGTATTTTGGTACCTGGCCTGCAAATCCCTCGCCATTTGTGACCACTTGCGACAGGCAATTACTGTCCGCAGTATCGTACCGCGGGGCGAAGTTTCAATCTACCTTGCAAGTCAACGATCTGAGCATTTCGACGATAACATCTCCCAGGGATTTCTGGAAAGATGGTGTTGGTTTGCCGCCGATGCTTTCTGGTTTGTCGGGCAGAATCAGGACAGTTCTTGGGAATGAGGACACTTGCCCAAAAGTCTGCCTACCTAACCACTCTTACATTTGACTCTTGGAAGGCGTTTTGTCAAAGTCTACGTACTTAAGCTACTATTGTGCTCCTCCTGTTCAATCTTGACAGATCATTTCTTCACAAACACTCCAACACACATACTACGGCACATTATCTCATCTTCAAAGACCAAACTGCAAATCCTAGAAGCCAAGGATTCCATACATACATATCTTCCTCGGCTCTGCATCCATACTCACAGCAATGTCTAGCCCCTTTGCCGCCGCCGAATCTTATATGAATCATTCTTACACCACGGACGTCTCTGCTGCCGCAATACTTCCAGTCTTCGAGACCGGTGCCAATATCATTGGAGGTATCTTTGGAGCTGTTGGTCTTTTTCAATGGATCAAGGGTCTAGTTCCAGATCCCCCAAAGGGAGTCACCAACGTTGGTATTACAGTCGGACAAACAGCAGATAACCCTGAGAAGGACGGCCCATACAACATGGCAGGCAATATTCCGGCTATCAGCGTCTACAGCGTCGCTGGAAACCTCGTCGCGTCCAGCAATGGTGATAGGAAGAAGACTTGGAAGGCGGGATCCAAGAACTCTATCTCCATGGAGAATAATGGTGCTCAAGACAGTGTCGGAAGCGAATACGTTTCCGTCGTGGCAACCGGAACAAATGCCATCTGCATATCGGCAGTGGGTCTCAAGAACCCCAACGATGAGATCTCTTATGGCTGGTTCTCTGACGTCGGTGTCTCGTGTGGTATGCAATTTCACTGGTCAGAGACGATTGTTGGGAACAGTGGGACACAGGGTTACCGTCCAAATTGCGTTTGGATCACAGGGCCAAGTTCTAAGAACGATGTCACTACTCAAGGTTTCAGCATGCATATCATCGACTTCAGCAAAGTCACCCAGGCTCAGGCCGATGCATTCAACGGCAAATTTGACTTAATGTGCGGTAGTGCCCCACGATTCTCCGCCTGGACGACAATGCTCCCCGACATCTCTCCTCCTGTGTTTATTCCATCTCTGCGATATAACGCTGATAGAACTGATCTGGATGCTTCAACAGTCCTCGTCCCAGGTTTCGACAAAACAGACTACGGTCGCATCAGCATCGACAAGACTGGGCAGCCCACCCATCCAGTTCGCTTGCCCACGCCAGAGAGTCCCATCATTCCTCCTGACTACCCAGCGGAGCGAAATGAGAAGAGGAAGTCTCCCATTCGTCCAAAGTCCATGCATCATACTCTCATATCAAGCAGATATCCGGAACATTCAGCAAAGCATCTCTGCAGCAGTGCCACCTCTTGGGGTACAGATGTTGTCTCGGAGACGGAGGGGCTTTTCTGTGATATGGATCAGAAGCAACTTTGGCCACTGTGCGAGAGGAAGTCGCAAATGTCTTGCTTTGATACTAAGACTAATGTACTGAGAGGCAGGTCTGCGGAGAGAGCTGTCGTACCCGAGAAGCGCTATTTGGAGGTCAAGAGGTGGGGTTCGGCTGAATAGGGGCTTAAGTGAGTGTTAGTAAATAGTAGCAGCACTGACGGTTCCAATTGGAGTAGATCAGAAACCGCATTAGAGGCGGCCGACGACTTTTTCAGGGCAATTTTATTAGATTTCTTTGGTTCACTCTTATTTGAACTGGACTGACAGCAGAAAAGACAGGCTTTTGTCCACTTCCACAGTTTTCTTGTTGTGCTGTCCCGCAACATGAATGTTCTGTTCACTGATGTGCTCTTTTCACTGATGTGCTCTTTTCACTGATGTGCTCTTTTCACTGATGTGCTCTTTTCACAGAATCTGGATATTTGGTGACTCTACCACGTGGGAAATGATCAGAGGGTAGGTAATATCTAGGCGGTCGCTCGGAGGCAACCTTTTCCCACTGCCAAAAAGAAACACACGTTCTACAGTCAGCTGATAGCCTGAAAGGATGCCCTGTAATTAAGCGAGGTCCGCGTGAAGGACACCCGTGCCTTGTAGGATAGGCGATGTTAGTGTCTCTCTTCAGCGCTGGGTGTGTTCTCTGCAGTTGTGGGGTTAATGCGTTCGGCGGGAGTAAATCCACTGCTTCTCCCTTCATCTGCCAACACAGTCGTGTCAGGCATTTTTTGTGGTGACTAGATTCTGTACAACTATGTTCGTATCAGCAAATATCATAAAAGACAATGACCGTCAATCCTGGTCAAGAATTGTAACTCTTACTGCAATGGCAACCCATTACTGAAAACAGCGGCCGAAAAGTGACATATCTTATGAGTGATGTCTCCAAGACCGTGCACACTTGGGAAACAACAGAGAGTTAATACCTATGTACAACAATTGCTACCAATTTGGGACCTGGAAATGCTACGGTTGGTCCTTTTGCCGCTGCAGGTAGTCGCGGATGTCGAAGGGGTCTACATTCAGTGCTGCGGCCGAGAACACTTGGAAAAAGCAACGCGCCAACTTACCAGCTTCAGTCAATTGGAGATTCAGAAAATTACTACAGGAAATGTTAGCACAATTAATTGGAGATGATATTAAAGAAACAACTTGAGTGCTCTGTTGCTCACGCAAGTCTTCGGTCACTGGCGCCTTGCAGTCCTCTGACAGTTTCAGGAATGGATTGATGATCAGTCAGGACCTTACTTCATCTCGTGTGCAGTTCCAGCGCCACGTGAGTCCTGGCAAATCCATACGAGCCTGTCCAAATCGAGCCAAGGCTTTGATATTCGTTGTTCTTTCTCATTTCCATTGTTCGGTCATTATTGGACGTAGTGTTACGTCTCTCAAGGTGTGATCAGCCATAGGTTCCAATCTGACAAGAACCTGATAGATCAAATCCAGCGAATAGAATCAGTGACAGTAGTAACTAATTCAGACGAAAGCCGCCCTCAAAATGACGCTTGATACTAGTAATACTACCCCAGATCTCGGTGTCTGCAGGCAATTGAACCAGACTTTCAAACCAATTAGCAGTTATTTGTTGGCGCGCATATCGGCATACCTTCCAGTAGTTTGGTTGCAGATGTGGGGTAGTGAGAAATGCTAGCCCGATTGTGGCTTACGCCGTCACGATCACCCTCACTATTTCCTATTCGGGACGAAATGTATGACACAATCGACTGTTTACTTACGCTAAGACCCCATTCTTGTTCTCGCGTGTATCTATCTGACTTTCGGGTTATAGATCGAATCCGGAGATGCTAAAGCATAATAAGCAGTAGTGACACTTTACGTAGGTGGCCGACGGGATTCAGCCCGATTTTCAAAGATTCAAAAGAGGTAGATTCTGCCCATCTTGCACTTATCTTTCTGTGTCGCTTGATATTTCTCTTGAAGAAGGATTATCTCAATATTCGCTGCCTTCACACATCTGCATCGCATGAGAACTTTCAGTCAACATCGCATGCGCCAAAATGGGTCACCAAATCAACACATGGAATGTGGCGCACTCGCTACAGAAGCGCAGACTTCTGATAGCCATCAACTGCATTGCCGGCCTTTCTATCTTCTTCTTCGGATATGATCAGGGAATGATGGGTGGTGTGAACAACGCCAAAGACTACATTGAGTTGATGGGGTTTGGACATGTGGAGACCATTGATGGTTCTCCCAACACACCCGTCATTACAGACAGTTTGCTTCAAGGTGGTATCGTCTCGATCTATTACGTCGGAACTCTTATTGGTGCTCTCGCTGGTGGATGGGTTGGTGAGAAGATTGGACGAATTAAGACTATTGCACTGGGAGCTGCGTGGGGAGTCTTTGGCGCAAGCTTGCAATGCTCTGCGCAGAATCATACATGGATGATATTCGGTAGGTTTCAGCACACTACTGAATTCATCAATCAGAGATTATGTACTTACTTGAATTATAGCACGCTTGATCAATGGATTCGGAACAGGAATACTCAACGCCATCGTTCCTGTCTGGGCAACCGAAAGTGTTCCCCACACGGGCAGAGGCCAGTTCATCGCCATCGAGTTCACACTGAACATCTTCGGTGTGGTAGTAGCTTATTGGCTAGAATTGTAAGTCATCATCCTGCTCCTTCAGCGTAGCAATATTGACATGCACGAAGTGGTCTTTCTTTCATCGACGACGGCGCGTCCCCAATCCGTTGGAGATTTCCAATTGCCTTCCAGATCATCCCACTTCTCGTTCTCCTGACTGTAGTGCGGTGGTTCCCAGAATCACCACGATGGCTGGTCAAGGTTGGTCGGGAAGAGGAAGCTCGCTATATTCTGGGAAGGTTGAGGGGTGATGAAGGGGAAGACAAAGTCAAGGCCGAGGCCGAGTTTCAAGACATCTGCATGGTCTCAAAGCTCGAGAAGCAGGCTGGAAACCGAACGTCATACTGGGCAATGTTCACGGGTCAAGGATCTGGAGATTTGCATACTGGTCGTCGAGTCCAACTCGTGATTTGGCTGCAGATCATGCAAGAGTGGGTTGGAATTGCGGGTGTCACAGTTTGTAAGTACCTAGAAAAGGAGAAGAAGAATAAGTCAAGGGCTCACACAAGCAGATGCGCCGACTATTTTCCGAATGGCAGGTTTCGATACAGAGAAGTCACAGTGGATCTCTGGTCTGAACAACATATTTTACATGGTGAGTCTCCCGCGACCGAACGGAAGAGATATCAGATTACTTACGCTACGCTGCCAGTTCTCTACCCTCATTTGCGTCTTCACACTAGATCGTATCGGCCGTAGATGGACCTTGTATTGGGGATCTGTTGGTCAAGGAATCGCCATGTTCCTAGCAGGTGGGATGTCACGACTTGCTGAAAACGCCACGAACGCTGGAGATACTGCGAAAGCATCTCAATACGGAGCTGCTGCCGCTTCCATGATTTTCATCTTCACATTCGTGTTCGGTGCAACTTGGTTGACAGTGCCTTGGCTCTACCCCGCTGAGATCTTCCCACTGGAAGTAAGAGCAAAGGGTAACGCTTGGGGAGTAGTGGGATGGAGTATCGGTAACGGCTGGCTTGTGAGTAAATTCTTTCCTTTATGTTCTATTGGCTAACCAGAACTTAGACTTTGCTCTGTCCGGTAATGTTCAACGCCATCGACGAGAAGACCCTCTACATTTTCGCTATCAGCAACGTAATCACCATACCAATGGTCTGGGCGCTGTACCCAGAATCAAACCAACGGACTCTTGAAGAAATGGACTTCTTGTTCGCTGCAAAGACCCCCTGGGTATGGGACGCCGAGAAGAATTTTGCGAGGTTGAAGGAGGAGCATCCTGAACTTGCTAATGCTGCCCACTCTGGCGAGATGATCCACGATGTTGAGACTGGCAAGATTGGGAGGAATCAATCGATTGGCGCTTGGTCTGGTCAAACAGAGGATGTTAATGGTGCGAAAGACTGAAGTTAAGGAAGTGGTTATCACGTGTAGCCGGCGCTTTTATGTGCTCATGGCAAATATCAAATTTGTTTGGCAGGGTTCATATGCGAAAAATTGTATGTAATATAACTGGCAAATCTGCGATATTATGGTAGGAATTATCAAGAATGGCACACCCCAGACATTGTACGCGGAGAGATAGAAGTAATCCTCAGCATCATGACATGTTCATATCTTCATCTGAAATAACCTTCTAGTGTGACGCCAAATATCTGACCAAGTTATGAAAATTACGTATTATTGGGGCAGGGATTTCTGGTACCGACAACATAAATACACGCTTTTGACCTGAAATTGGACAGGATAGTAATTCTATCAATCATCCACAGTGCTCTCATATCTGCGATCCTTCGGCTTACATTGAGCAAATTCTCTTTGTAAACAACCTCGCTTAACACACGTGGCACCAAAAACAAGAACCGAAAGTCATATGACGAAAAACGACCCAACTGGAATTCAACAAAACGTAGCTTACTTCAACTTGAGGACTACCAGTTACCTGTAGATTCACTGGCTCAAGACAGTATTTATGACCGCACAGCGAATTTCCCATGCCATATATGGTGCCGCAGATAGTTCAGAAACAGAGGATTATGGTTACCGTCTGGCTACAGATCCAGCACAATGCAGAACACAATGTAGAAGCAGCTTTACAGCGGGATATTTAAACCCTCCTTGGGTAATCCGATGGCCTGAATCACAGAGCTTCGAAGAAAGAACAACAAGTAGCCACTCCAAGTCGCAAAACACGTCGCCACAGCCGAAGTATCGAATTGTAAAATCAGCCCCTCCTACACCTTGGCCAAACCTCCATCTCCATCTCCATCTCCAGACCACCATCACATCACAACATCGTATCCCCGCCTACCCCCTCCCAACCCTCCAACCTCCTCAAAACCACCTCACACCCCCCTAACGGTCTCAACCGCATCCCTCCCCAACACCAATCTCCTCGGAAACTCCCTCCCCACCGCCCTCCCCCCATCCCATCTAACCCCCTCAACCAAACCTGGGTATCTCCCGCCCGCCCACTCGCCCCGCTCGCGCACACACACAAGAAAATGGGAATAAACAAGACGGAGTTATGGAGTTATAGACTCATCAGTTACTCCATTCCATTCCATTCCTTTCCATTCCCCGTATTTACAATTTTGCCTGCCAAATGCTGCACGGAATATATACCTGCCGCCGGCCATGGACGGGACGCATCGCTACGAAGTACCTTACAACTCTCATTTAATATCTGCGAGTGCTTAAGTTTGCTGCTGGGCAGGACTCGGATTTCCCCCTTTTTTGGGGGATAAAGGGATAATAAGGGTTAATGGATGATAGATAGATAGATAGATAGATAGGCAAGGGATTTATTTACTTCCCATGCTATGCTCCTCTCCCTCCCGTCCGTCCGTCTGGTGTACGTTGGAACCACCAACCTTTAAACACCGAGTTGATTTATATATATATATATATATAGGTATTAGGTATTATTGGTTAAGGTGAGATTACCTACTGCTGTGCAAATGTGCAATGTGTATACGGAGTATACCTAGGTACAGTACAGTAAGGGAGGGAACAAGGGTTGGTTCGGCTTACAGTACAGTATCTCCATTAGGTCTAGGTCCAGATCTTAACGCCACGTCAACGCTCCCTCCCAATACGGCTTTCTCTATCTTACGCCGAGGCGCTAGAATGCGCATTTATATATTTATATATTTAATTATTTATTCATCCATTTATGATGTACTCGTATCTATACGTACCGAGATTTCACGCATGATGTTAATTACGTCTTTTCAAGTGTATATGTATCATGGACTAGGTAGGTATCAGCTTTGAGCCAGCTAGCTCGCAGCATAACACGAGGAAATTGGCGACAAGAGTCTTCGCAGGATTAACATCACACGCACAGCACGAGAAGGCCACCCATTACGGAAGGAGACGAAAAGAAGGAATCTTTCAATGAAGAAGTTCGTGTATATATATACATCACCGACTCAACTAAATGTAAGATTGTATCGGTGTACAGCGTATCAGCTGAGGTATAGAATCCCGGGTATTTATTTAAACATTCCATTTCCTCTCCTCTCTTCTCCTCTCCTCTCCTCTCCACTCTCTACTCCCCTCCTTTCTTCTCCTCTCTACTCTTCTTTTCTTCATCCCACTCCTCTCTCCTCATTCCCCTCTCACTCTCACTCTCCCATCTCTTGAGGACCTTCCGCTCCTCACGGCTCCTATTCCTATATCACAACCACAGCAATCCCATCTTATCTCATCCCTAGCACCAAACCAAACCATCTCACTTCTATTTCTCGAAAAAAAAAAAATCCTCCAAATACATGAAAAACACCCCTAAATCCCACCACCAAGAAGCCAAACATTCCCTAGTCTTAGCCTCGATCGATCCACTGAGTCCATAAGTAACTTAATCTGGACACGTCCGTCCTTCTCTTCCACCGCTCTCTCATATTCTTCAAATTATTACTTTTCCAACAACCTCCAGCCACCAGCCACCAGCCCCCAGCCCATAACCTACAAGCCCCCACTCCCGGGAACCTTCTCCGTACTAACCGCCCTCTTCCCCCACCCACCCCAGAACCCACCACCCCCACCAGTAGCAGCAGCAACAGTACTCGGCGTCGTCGCATTCGCCGTCGCAGAAGTCTGATGTTGAGGCTGAGGCCTCGAGATATACCCACTGATCCCCGACGCCACGCTCGCAACGCTAGGACTGACACGGTGTCCCATCGTGCTGGCCGCATTCGCATTCGCATCACCAGAGACGCCGAGGAGTTTTCTCAGACTCTCGAGTTTGGATTTGGCTTCTTCGGCTTCTTGCTTGGCGATGGCTTCGGCTGTTTTTGCTTGTACGAGTTCGAGGACGAGGGCGTCTGTCTCGTCTTGTTTCGAGGTGGAGATCGCTGGTTCGGAGGGAGGTGTGGTGGTCGTTGGTGGTGGTGGCATCTCGTTCTCTTTCGTGTTGGCGAGGCTGGATGTGCGTTTGTTGAATGTCATTGGTGTCTTTTGGGAACGATTAGATCCAGAGCGTCCGAGTTTCAATTCTCGGAGCCCGCTGTGGCCAGATGATCGATTTGGCCACTCGCTTTCTTGATCTCTACTTCCGTCTGGTGTCGTGGCGGGTGTCTTTCTTGCGCGAAGTTCGTGAATCTGTCTCTCCAGTCGCTGTTTATCCTGGTGAGCGTTTCGAATGGCGGTATGTCCCTCCTTGACTTGATCTTTAAGATTCTGGATCTCCTGCTGCTTTTCGGATAGCCGGCGACTAAGATCTTGGGTCTTTGCAACTTCGTGAATCAGCTGCTCCTTAGCACGAACAATATCCTCTCTCAGCTGGGATTTTGTCTGCAACATGGAAGATCGCCTATTGCCAGTCGGAGCCGCGAATCGATCCTCAACAATATCAAGCAGACTAGAGAGGTCAGCAGCCCCAGGTGCAAGACTCTCCGAATCCGAGTCTTCCACACTCTTCTCCGCCACAATCGTTGCATCAAGATCCTCATCGTCCACAGGCGACACAGGAGCAGCCTTGACAGTATCGAGGCTCTCATCGCTACGGCCACTACCCACAGTCTCAGAGCTCGTCTTCTTCCTCAGCCCATCAAGCAGCGATCGAACAGCATTTCGATCTTCATCACGTTCCTCCCTTTCCCTTTGGAGCTGCGTAGCAAGAATAGCATGATCTCTCTGCAACTCGCTGAGTGCCATCAACAAATCTTCGATCTGCCCATGCAAATTCTTATCCTTATTTGGCTTCGAAGCCGCACCATTGAAAGTGACAGACTGACCCCGTAGAGAGAAGCCATCAGTATTCGAAGAATCCCTCGAGATTGACGTAGCATCTGTTGAAGAACTCATCATGCTATCCGACCCTCCGCCCTCCATAGAGTTCAACGTTGAAGCAATACTCTGCTTGGAAGGCGATCGCTTCAAGAAGCTGGACGGTCGAGAAGGTGCTGTTAGACCAGGACTAAGATTTGCTGACTTTGTCGAAGAATTGGAACTTGTCCATAACCGGCCCAGAAACGTCGTTGCAACTGATCGAACATCAGTAGGTGTAACTGTATTCGCAGCTTGAGCTTCCTTGTAGCTGGCCTCTAAAGCTTGTAGACTCTCGCGGGTGATTTGCCCAGTCATGCTAACAAACTCATTCACAAACTCGTCCGCATTGTAGTGGTAGACATCCCAAAGTCCTCTGGATAGTAACAACTGCATCACATCCTCAAACTCCGTACACGCCATGATCTTGTCCTGGTTCTTCCGCATCAGAGACAAAGCTACCCGCATTATTGTTTCCGAAGCACCCTCCGCAAATATAACATCGTAGATTCGGAAGAGCATCGGCAGTGGACATGTAACGGCGAAGAAGGATAGAAACCACTGGGAGACGTATGCTGGTTCGATTTGGAGCTGGTCGAGATATGCAGAGAGGGCCGGCAGATGCAGCTGCATCAACTTCTTGAACTGGTAGATGCGAACATGGAGTCCCGAAAGATCAGGTAGAAAACAGCTTCGCAGATCGTAATGTTCCATCAACCTGGTCGCATTAGCTTTCACTCTCCCTGATCCTCAGTACAACTCACCGAACAAGCACGCAAAAGGCTTGCTTGTCGCCCATATGCATCAGCAGAGGGCCAACAAGGAAGCCCAACCCCTGACAATACCCAATCTTGTGGTCATACAGACTGAAGCACTTCAGGACTCGTCCCAGCATCCTCTGTCCATCACCCTCCGGATCCCGAAACATTTCGACTCCAGGAAAGCTGCGGCCGAGATCCTTCCCAATGATTCCCTCATACGGACTCGACTCTCCACATAATCTGTCGAATTGCTCCTCAAGGAGTGAATCCCTCGCACCGGACATACTCTGCCACACCACACCTCGCAAGGGCGGGGGGATACCACTGCGTATCTTTTTCGACAAAAGTGTAGGTAGACATTGTGCCGTCCTTGTGTAATCCTGTACCAGCGCAGCGTAGAACTCCAAGTCCGTCATAGGCGGCGCCGGGATCATCGAGTATCGCAAAGCAGGAGGCGTAGGTCCATTGACCAGTCTCTTGAGGTGTTGAATAGACGGTGGTCTCGATTGGCCTCTAGGGCGTATATTTTCTACGATCTGTACCTTCGCAATACCAGATTTGGGGTTTGAGACAAGGAGGTTATTTTCCTGCTCCAGTCTGGCGAGCAGCAAAGCTGTGGACTTTGCAAACTAGATTAGCATCATTCGAAGAGGTAGGTAAGGGGAAGGGGAGATTCACATCGTCAGAACTCTCATCCCTAGGTTCATTCTCCTCCGTCTGCTGAAGCTCCTCCCAATTGACACCACCGCCCTCAACCGACTCGTCCGAGCTATCACTCTCCCTTCTAGATTCTCCATTCTGCGAGCCCGCAGAGTCCGAGCCCGAGGGACTGAGCAGCCCATTCCCATTCGGATCCATCATTGTGATTCTAGGCGATTCCTCCTCCTCTTTCTCGACTGCAGATGCAGATTCCGCTACGCCATCTAACTGTATGCCCGGTGTGTCAGCCGTCTCCACCACGACCTCCTGTGTGCTGCTCCGAGTACTCGTCTGTTTCGAGGGGACCGTAGTATCGACTGTGAGGGCAGGTGGTTCAGAGAGTCGGACTGTGACCATAGAGTCGTGAGCAATGTGGCTTATGTGGCTCGTAGAATTACCAACAGCACACGGCGTCGCGTCTGCAGAGATTTGGTCCTCCTGCTCCTGCTCCTTCTGGGGCTTCGTGGGCGGCGGTGGCATATCCATGATAGCGACGGTTGCTGCAAATGGAAGTGGCAGGATCGGAAGTCTTCGTCGTCCGAAGCCTCTTTCCTCCTCCCTTTCAAGACGGGACGGAAAGGCAACGTCAGGTCAGGTCAGAGGGTCAATTTACCTCCGTCTGGGAAAGGGAGTGTCCTCCCTCCAGTAGAACTCAGTCTCAGTCTCAGTCTCTCAGTCTCGATCCCCAAGTAAAATCGAATTCGGGGCGGATCTCCAAACGTTCCACGAACCTTCTATCCTCCCTTCGAAAGTCAATTACGCTCCCTCCTCCGTCTCTGATAAACCGTGTCGTATCGCACTGCACAATGTATGTTTCAAGTCTCAATCAACGAACGAATCCGTCGGTCAACCAGTCGAGTTCGCACGTCGGCCCAGGTCAGGCAGGTCCAGGCCAGAGCGAGGTCGTCGAGTCCAGGTCGTGCCGGGGGTTTCGCAGCTCCACAAATCCCATACAATAAACACCTGCAAGCTCGATTAATCAATCAGGTCGGATCGGTCCGGTCGACAGTCTATGCACATCTCAATGCAGTACACAACATTTAAGATAGCATCACATAAAGAGCGTGTAGGTAGGGGATTAAATGCAACACAACACAACACAACGCAGCGCAATGCAATGCAGTACAATGCAAGGCAGGCAAGGAACGAACGTCGTGGATATCACGACACGACAGTAAAGTTTAAAGTATAAAGTGTAAAGAGCGGTGGTGAGTTGTACAGTACAGTACAGTAGTGGAGGAGGATAAGGAGGAGGAGGGAGGTTGAACCTTGAACGGCGGCGTGCCTCCAAGCTTAGCTTAGTCTACCTACAGTAGGTAGCGTAGCGTAGCTTTCTGTAGTTGGTGGTTGGTGAGGTTGGTTGGCATATAAGTACGAGTAATCTCGCGGCTTGTCAGGGGCAGAGACGCGCTGATTGGTAGGCGGCCATGCAAAGAACAGCAGCCGAAGGAATTAGAAAGGGGAGACGAGACGAGACGAGACGATCTTGGGTGACATTTTTGTATCATTTCCCTTGCTTGAGAAAACCATCCATGAGAGAAATGACAAATATCTTGTAAATTACAAAGACATTTATATTCATCTCCATATACCTATTCAAGCTCAAAACCAGAAGCAATGCTGAGCTGTCCATCCAACATCCAACATCCAACATCCAACAATAATCCAGGGGTACACCTGGTGCACCCTCATTTCACTCTCCTCCCCACTCGCTTCCATCTCGGCACCTAAATTAGTACGAAAGGTACAACACCAACACCCCCTGGTGCCCCCTAACCCGACCCGGACCCCGACTGGCCCGACACCACCACTGCGAGTCAACTTTCGCTTCCTAGTAAATCAACCATACAGTACAATACAACCTTACAGAAAGGCCTTCTGTTTAAATAGAGATCAACAAAGGGGCTCGGGGGTCTTGATGTGACAGGCACCACCACCCACCAGACTAGGGTATGATTTTCGTTACCGTACCGTATCACAGCAGGAGAGGTGCGACGCGGACGTGCCACCCACAGCCAATTGCATCAGAGGCTTCCCATCCCTTCCCAAATCCCATTCCCCATCACATCCCATCACATCCCCACGCCGTAGAGTAGAATAAAATCCAATGCAATGCCACCCTCCCACCAGGCAAGCACAAGGAGCTTACCTAGGTTATCGAGTCACAATTTTGTTCCTAACTTATGTTCTAGCTTAGTGTTTATCAAGGTAGATAACCGCGGCAATACATAGAGCAATGCATAGCAAGCATGCAGGCGTATAAGTTACTGCGTACGTAAAAAATTGCCACCATATCAATAGAATAAAACTATTCATACAACAAAACCCATATCAGATACCGCGAAAGCTCAATTCATAAACGTGTGAGCAGAACCAGGCAGGGAAATACAACCTCCCCAGTTAGACTTTCCAGTCAACCATCTGAGATAAACGGCAAGTATCAAGTACCAAGCAGCAGCAAGCAGCAAGAAAAAAAAATGCATCCACGAACAACCAGCAAGCACCACAGGTATCCAGCCCCCAGCCCACCCAAAGCACAACCCATATCCACACCCGTCTAACCACGACGAGGCATAACGCCAAAAACCAATACCAAATAATGCAAGAAATGTTTTAACCCGCCCACCTGCCCACCTAATCGCTATCATCAAAGTCATCTTCGCTCTGCTCATCAACCAGAGCAGACTCATCGTTATCATCTAGATCCATCTCGTCTTCGTCCTCGGAGTCGATGTAGATGGGCTTCTTCTTTGGAGCCGCCGCAGCAGCACGAGCTGGTCGGCCTCGCCCACGAGCAGCTGGTTTGGGTGGTGGAGAGTCGGCATCTTCCATCTCGACATCGTCGTCCTCCTCTTCGCTGAAATCATTCTTGGAGGTGAGCTTCAGCTTGCTCTGCTTGGCAGCGTATGCCTTCGCAGCGGGAGACAATTGAGTTGGCTTGGGTGGTTCGATAGCCTTCTTAGCCACAGGAGCCTTCTTTGGCTTAGGAGCAGGCTTTGCAGCGGGTTTTGGTGCTGCCTTTGGAGCTGGAGCCTTGGTTGGAATCTTCTTGGTGACTGGAACCAGTTCATCATCATCGTCTGATAAGAAGCTATCTAAGTTATCCCTAGCCGGCGGTGCCTTGTGGGGAGATGACTTGGCGAGCATTTCGTAGTTCGTCTCATCGGCATCATCACTATCGAAAGTTCGGCTGGGTTTGGTCTTCAACTTCGGGAATTCTGTACCGTGACTGCTGGTTGGACGGGCCGAAGTGTGAAGAGAAAAGTCACGACCGTTGGCCGCAGTCGTACCGTTGTCGCCTCCGCCAATTCCCTTCACCATGGCACCTACGTCTCCCAAGAACTTGCCGTCATCACTTTCGGATTCCTCATCGTCAGTGATTACCCACTTCTTGGGGGCTGCAGCTGCAGCGCGCTTGGTACGTCCGTTGGCAGGCTGCTCACTCGGTGCTCGGCTGGGACCGCGTGAAGACTCTTTCGAGGATTCCTTGACTTCAGGCTTTACAGCTCTCAAGGCATCAAAATCATCGTCTGACATTCCATCAGAGATCTCAAGAGCTCCATCATCGTCAGCGCCATCACCACCCATGCCGGATGTCTTCTTTGGCTTGGCCTTGGTAAACATTTCGAGGAATCGCTGATGCTGCTGAGGCTTATTCTCGACCTTGATAACGCCCTTGGCAGGATTGGCCTTGAGTGGCTTCGGGTTGTACTCGTCATCAGCAAGCTTAGCTGGTCGGCCGCGGCCCTTTCCACCAGCTCCGATCTTCCGCGATGCTCGACGGGTGGTGTTTCGGATGCTCTTCTGGTAATCTTCCTCCTCCTTGAGTTGAGCCTCCCACTCGAGGACGAATTCATCGAGATCCTTGCACCAAAGGTCCTTCTCATCGAGCTTCTCCATGGCATCGTGCTCTTCCTTCTTAGCAATCATTTGAGCCTTGAGTTTGTCGACACGCTCTTGGGTAAGAGACCAGATAGGCAACTAAAGCAACTTAGTGAACATTCTAAAAGATTTCGAGATGATAACTTACTCCTAGAAGATAATCAAAGTCCCGAGCCCCAGAAGCCTCATCAATAGGATCGTCGTCGTTCTCAACAACATCATCTGTCTCGCCTGCCTTTTGCGCGTCCTTGAGCTTTGGGAAAGCCTCATACTCTCGCTTACGGAGCTCTGCAACAAGCACCGGTTTCTTTTTCTTGGAAACGACAAGTTTGTTATCGATGATCTCCATAACAAATCTAGCTTGATTCTTGAGCTTGCGATAAGCCGTGTTGATTTGCGCCAACCAATATGCCTGCGACCTGTTAGTTGGCATGACCAATTAGTAGCATGATGCACAAATACCTTTCTTTTCGTATACATAGCCAGACGGTAGACATAATACTCCTCAAGAATGTCTTCAACCTTTTCATACTTCTTGATTTGACCACGGTGGTCGAATGCAACAAGATTAGATGTCGCAATCGTCTTGTTGAGCTTGAAGCGCTCGGAAAGTCCATCTGCCAGAGCCGCCTTCATGTGCTTGTCGTCTAGTTGAATTACAAAATGAACATTCTTGTGATCGTTGTACTCCTTGTAATCCTTGATGAATGATGGGACCTTCTCGGCTTTGATAATCTCCTCGAGCTTTCCTTTGAAGTCGTCGGTCCAGACTCTGATGGGAAGTTCGGTAATCTCAACTTCGTTGTTGCCAACCTCGCGAATTACACCATTGAAGTTGTATCTGTTGGCCCCAGCTTCCTCAGGAGTACCCTTCCAGCCACGGAACCATGGAATCATCGTCTCGAAAGGCTTCTCCTCGGTATCTCCTTCGTCCAAACGACCCATTCGACGCTTGAGATTCTTGACAATGTCGACAGGGTGATAATTGGGAATTGTTGTACTCCAACCCGTGCCAATCCCGTCCGCGCCATTAACGAGCACCATAGGAACGACTGGACAATAGACTGTTGGCTCGATAACCTTGCCATCATCGACATTGTGTTCGTAAAGTGGTTCGTCGAGGGAAGAGTAGACTCGGCGAGCGAATGGGGAAAGTCTGGTGAAAATGTAACGGGGACTAGCAGAATCGCTACCTCCTGCAAGTCGAGATCCGAAAGATCCACTAGGTTCCAGGCAATTGATATTGTTTGAACCAACAAAGTTCTGGGCAAGACCAATGATGGTCTGGTGCATCGACGTTTCACCGTGATGGTAAGCAGTGTGCTCGGACACATAACCAGCCAACTCTACGACCTTCATGTCCTTGTTAAGATTTCGCTTGAAGCAAGCAAACATGACCTTCCGCTGACCCGGCTTCAAACCATCAATGACAGACGGAATCGATCTGAGATTGTCTGCCATACTGAAAAGAATCAGTTCCTTGTTGACGAAGTTATCATATGTGAGAGTCTTCGTGGAATGGTCCAGGAAAGTTCCAGGAAGGAAGTTACCAAGCCATTGCTTACGAGCATCAGCCTTCTTCTTCGAGAATGCCAGATCGATCATTTCTTCTTCTTCAGGCTTGATGACCTCGAATTCTCTCAAGTGATCATCAAGATTACTGAAATACACTTGGGCATCCTCAGGCAAACTAGTTCCCAGACCCTTGTAGTACTTGTGAGACCAGCCTCTGTCATTCGCGTGTGCTTCCTTCCATGACTCGTACTGAGGCATGGTGAAGAATGACTTTTGACTGATAGGCTTCTTGGGATTTCCCTTCCACACCTTGACGATAGGCGTGATGAATTCTCGGAAAAAGTCTGGCAGCTTCAGTAAGCTGGGAAACTGGACTTGGAGGAAGTTAATCAAAAGACCTTTGATATGACTACCATCGTGATCTTGGTCGGCCATGATCATGAGATGTCCGTATCGGAGTCCGGTGGTGTCCTTGTAATGTTGTTTGTGCTTCAATCCCAAGAATTGTTTGATGTTTTGGATTTCAGCATTCTTCGAAATTTGATCGATGGATGCATCACGAACATTAAGTAGTTTACCACGGAGTGGGAAGACACCGATACGGTCAGGATCCAAGACAGCTCTACCAGCAACGGCGAGAGACTTCGCAGAATCTCCTTCTGTCAATATCAAGGTACACTCGTGGCCCCGCTTTGTACCAGCAAGATTGGCATCGACAAGCTTGGGATTATTCATGCGAGAACGTTTGTTTCCGTCACTCTTTGCCAGAACCTGATCAGCCTTGGCCTGTTGGAAATTCAAAATGTTTTGGACTGCATCAGTCTGGCCAATCTTCTTCAAAAAAGTTTCGGTGAGAATACACTTACTACCAAATTGCTTGGATTTGGTAGTCAACTGCTCCTTGGTCTGGGATGTGAAGGCCGGGTTGACGATGAGACAGTTGACGAAAAGGAAGATATGATTTCGAATCTGATTCGTTTTCAGTGCCGTGCCTTTAGAGTTCTTTTTCTTGACTACGTCCATCAATTTCTCGCAGATTTGATCCGCGATATAATTGACGTGAGTGCCTCCTGAAGTTGTGGCGATTGAGTTAACAAAAGACACTTGCTGGAAAGAACCATCTGATACTGCAAAACCAACCTCCCACTTTTCGTGAGCTTTGGGGTCTTCGATGATGACAGTTGCGGCGGCAGTTGGAGCTTCAGCTCCTTCGTCCATGTCACGCTCCTTGTTGATGGCTTTGGCGTACATCTCAATGTATTTCTTGAAGTCAAGCTTGATTTGCACACCATTCAGAGTGACTTTCACCCCCTTCAGAGTTCCTGCCATGTCGTACACACGGCGTTTGACGAGTGCTTCGAAATCATCGTCAATGTTGGCCATCTTAAAGCGTCGATAGTCAGGCGTGAAAGTGACTCTAGTAAAGTCTGACGATTTGCTAGAAGAGATTTTTGCCTTGCCCATCTTGCTCATGTTGTCTGTCCATGTTTGCTTGTATCTCTTCCCGGTGTTGGAATCCTGGGTCTCTAATGTGAACTCGGTACTAAAGACGTTACAGAGCTTAGCGCCATAACCGTTACGACCACCGGTGGTCTTCTCTTCATCATCATCGTAGTTGGATCCAGTGAGGAGGTGACCAAAGATCATTTCCGGAATGTAGATACCCTCTTTCTGAACGTGGGTCAGTGACTATTTTAAATTTCCAGCTTGGACTCCAATTACCTTGTGAATCTCAATGGGAATACCAGCACCGTCGTTCTCAACACTGATCTCACCCTTCTCCCGATCTACAACAACCTTGATATTCTTCATTGAGGGATCACGCTGCTTGTTGTCGGCAGCGTTTACCAGAATTTCGTCGAAGATCTTGTAAAGACCGGGAACGAAAGTAACTTTGCGAAGCTCCATCTGAGAGGTCTCAGAGTTAAATACCCACATAACCTCAGTCGTACTCTCCACGGATCCAATGTATGTGTCGGGTCGCTTGATGATGTGTTCCAGCTGGGTGAGTTTCTGATATTGATCTGTTGCATCCTTCTTTCCCTTTGCCTTAGGCTTTGCTTCTACTGGACTGTCCAGACCCATACTCTCATTGTTGATATCTGCCAATGGTTTTCCACCCCCTTTCTTTACTGGTCCTTTCTTTTGCTTCTTAAAGCTCGGTGGGGTGTTCGAAAGTAATGAGGCATCGTCGTGTAGGATGGAGTCGAGGTCTGAAGGGGGGTCTTCGTCGTCACTGTCTGGTTTGGGGCGCTTCTTTGAAGCAAGTTTCGCTGCAGGCTTAGAAGACTTGAGGGTAGTCTGAACCATCTTCTTTGGCACGGTGGCTTTGGGAACTTTCGGGGCCTTGGATGCGACAGCTTTCTTGGGAGCAGGTTTTACTTTTGGTTTCTGACAGAAACATATATCAACAGAGCTCAATTGCGACTGGCATATTTGGAATGGGCGATTCCTTCCAATTAGGTCTTCGCCGAGAATTACTCACAGTTGCAACAGGCGCAAAGTCATCCGAATCGCTCTGAGCCGAGTCAAAGATCGAGTCCTCCATCAGGGAGTCGTCCATGGTTGAGTGAGCGCGACAACGCGGTCGACTCTGGGGTATCTTTCGAGTCTTTGTGGAGGTATGTGAACTGGCTACTAGACCCTCGAGGTTTGTTTTGTATCAAAGCGCGGAATCGGGTGGGCGTGAGCGAGTGTCTGCGGCAGGAGGAGGCCGCGTTGTGATTGATTGTGATTGTTGTTGTCGTGGTGTTGTACGGTAAGAGAGTGTGGTGTGGTAGGTGGGTGGCCGCCTTCGATGAGGTTGTTTGTTGTTTTGATAAAGGTGGGACGCGTCTGATCTGGTCTAAAGTTCGGCTGTCACCAAGCCAAATCCTGGGTCAACGCTGTCAGCCTGATATTCGAGGCCGGAACTATGGATGCGGCCGCCCCTTCAATTCTCCGAGCCGAAGTGGGGGCGACAGCAGAGGGAGACGAGGATGAAGTCGCCGACCAGGTTGGACTTTCTCCATTCATCCTAAAGAAGATCATCAACACTGCCCTGACTGTGACATCCGCTCTCATCCGTCCATCTATCAACCTCACTCTATGTTCAGTCTGCAGCCCTTCCCTATGCATGCATGATCATGAATTGCAGTCTCCTTTTCCCTACCCCCTTTCTCTTTCTTGGCGCCGTCGCTTACTCTTTGTTTTGAATCCGGCGCAGTTTGGCAATTGATCTTCGGCAAAAGAACAAGCTCAAGTCGCATTGCAATGTTCGATCAAGGCCGTGGATCGACGTCTCTATCCCCTTGAATCTAATTCGGCTGCTATCCTTCGACTCGTAGCCTTACGTACTCCAGTCCTGGCTCAGCATGCGCTTGCCATGAGGCTCGCCTCACTATTCTCGGAGGATCCCAACGTGTCACAGCCTTTCACAGGGGTGAGATCAGTCATAATCTTTGCGGCAGTTGCGACACCACTCATCTTGATCTGAATATCAGGTTTTGGTCAACTCTCAAAGTCGCACGACAGAGCTCCGGCAAATATGCCGTTTCAGTGTAACTATAAGACCTTCGTTTCCGCCCTACCAGGTTCGAATGGCCAGCATGCAAGAATCCGTCATGATGCTGCCGCATGGGCAACAAAATCCCGATCCAGCCCAATATTTGGTCCCCGAAGTACCTCTGTACCTCTCCACGCGTTCATCGAGAGAGATCTGACACAGAAACGGCTGCCAGAACGACAGCCGGCACTATAGGAGGCAGTCCGAGCATGCTTTGTGGCACGCTGGCTGCTCTTTTGGGCGGCCCTTGCAGAATCTTATACCTTTAGACCTCACCTCATCTATTCCCATTATCAGTACGACCTTTGCGTTTTGAGCAATAACTCGCTCGTCTTGGTGCCTCAAAGTCCAAAGGCCACAGTTGGTGATAATTACCTACTTGGCCGATATCGCTCACGATAATTCAGATCAAATTCTCCCCGGCCCCTTGCCCCTGCGTGTTGGTTTCGTCGAGTCTCCTTTACTGGATGCCGGTGCTACTTGAGAGAAGGCTGATGCTGTGTTCACTCATCTTTGTCTCTCCCTATACTCTCTTCCGTTTGCTCAAGTGCGTAGGCGAGAACGTGGTTGGTCAACAGCTTAAATCGATGCACAGTGTCTGCGGGATAATGCAGCATTTGGTCTATATCGCGTTGTACGGACTGACTCAACCTTCAGACCACGCACGACTCGAGGACAGATTGTACCTGAGTTGTTGTAGACCAGGCTTTGATTTCATAGAGCTTTTTTGTCTCTAACCGTTGACATTCATTCCTTGTTTTGGTTTTCAATCTGACCTATCAATATGCTACCTTTGCGATTATGCGGCGCTTTCCAGTTTGGACTCTCAGGACCCTTCAGGGCCAGCACAGCATCGTCGCCCGCATTCAACACTCCTTGGACTGCCCTTCTATCTCTCAACACCAGCGCAACCAACCAGCTGCAGTCGCACGCTTGCTTGCATAAGTCCCGTGCCTCAGCCATGAATTTCAAGTGACAGCGGCAGGAAACCTTGCCCTAGATTTCTCGAAGAGTCGTAGAAGTTCTTCGAGACCTGGAGGAGAAATATGTGATAGGACGGCAACGAGCATGAAGCTTTACAGCAGGCTTGCAAGATTTTGAATCATTCCAAAATCTCACCAGTGAGACATGGTCTTGTAGATGACATCTTCATCTTTTGTCCTGTAGCTTGAAAATGGGACGGAGGCTGGAGGAATAATATCCACGTGCATCGAGTCAAGCACGCTGTTTCTGAGCCATTGGACCAAGTGCTCCGATTTCTTTGTCTGTCTGCAAATGGTGGCTGTCCATCGCGGCAGCCGATCCGCGACGCCTGCAGCCACCCGGCCCAAGACTCCTGGCCAGCATGTGTGCCCAGCAAATCTCCTCCCCACTTTCAAACAAGCTCTGCTCCCGATCGGGCTGTGGCACGAATGTTGCTGGTGTCAAACTCTGTTGATGGACGATGGCGAGGTGCCATATGCTATCATGCCTACTGGTTACGGCTGGTCCCTAACACTCTCTATTCGGTAATGCCAACTGCTTTAAAGGTCTAGTGAAACGGAAACCCTCGATCTTTGGCCTAGAGAATGCCTAAAAGCTGCTCGGTAGGCGTCTTTGGCTTTTGATGACGGGTAGCGGAACGGAGAGCCTTCGTAGAAGCATTCTGCAGTTCGTTTGAACTGCCAGCCCATCACCTTGGTGACAATCATTTCCAGCAATGACTTCGGTACATCAGCGATTAACAAGGCCATCCCATCTCTCGACCTTTTATCAGCTCTGGATCATTTAAGCAATCGAAAATATTCTCCTACTCCTCCATTCCACCACTCTACTGTGGCATTGGTCTGTGATCTCGCCCTCGAATTTCGCGAATGAGCGGTGGAGACGTGCAAACGGACGCTCAAACTACCCCAGGTCGGTTCCTAGACATGCCAACAAAGAGAAAGTCCACACCGAACTTACTGACAGTCATGGAAGACACCAGTTACAGCCCTGGTTACCGGACGGGACCGACTCTGAGGTCGAGAATCCAGAAGCTCACGCTCCGCCATCGTCCCAATTCCGCATAAAGGCCACGGATAGACCATTCCTGAAGCTCTGTTTGCTTGCTCCAAGAGAGCGGTCTCTCTGACCTGCCTACCAGTCTTCTTGCCGGTTCGGTTACTTACCAGACTTGATATCCGTCGAAAAACGATTTCCACCTTGCAGTGCCGCAGAACTTGGTGCCTTACTGCTTCGACCACACAACACACTCTTGCTCACTCACCGCCATGCTATCCGTGGCATCGCTTCTAAACCCTGTCAAGCCCGAACCGTGGGCCTTACGACGTTTAGATAGTCCTTCTTCACCACTGTGCTCCTCCTCATCAACCTCTGGTAGCCCATTCTTGTCACTCACAAATCAATCTTCTTCCAAAAAAGCAAAGATGACCAAGGACGGTGCTGTTTTTAGCAAGGGAACGCCTAAAGGCGAGGTCAATTTCCCACCGTTTGAGCGCTTTGACGAGGACGTTCTCCGAGAGGTCCAGAAGTTCCAGATCTACCCGCTCGGGAACATCCAGGAATACGCCCAGCACATTCCGTATAACAGCGAGAAGAAAACCTTCCTCGAAAAGACCGGCAGAGAGAGCTTCGAAGGCATGATCACGACTCACAAAGAATTCCAGATTCGTTCTCGCTGACGTGCGTTTAGTGTTCAAGTATGTTTTCAAAGTGCCTGGAGACGACAAGGAATACGTTGTCATGTGGGATTATAACGTCGGACTCGTTCGCATTACACCTTTCTTTAAATGCTGCAAATATTCGAAGGTCAGCTAAAAATTTCCAATCTGACGGTATCTGGTTTATTAAACATCAAATTGACCACAAACAGACAACCCCAGCCAAAATGCTGAACATGAATCCTGGCCTCAAGGAGATCACTCACAGCATTACAGGTGGCGCTCTTGTAGCACAAGGTAAGATCTTCCAACTCTAAGATGCAGACTCTTTTTGCAATTGTTGAAGCTTATCAACTTGGTTCCAGGTTACTGGATGCCCTACTCCTGCGCCCTCGCAGTTTGTACAACCTTCTGCTCACACCTCGCTGGCGCTCTGATCCCCATCTTCGGTCCAACCTTCCCCTCACTCTGCGTACTACCCGAAGCCCCCGAACATGGCCGCATGATAATCGACAGCCAGACCGTCCGCGAAGCCGCCGCCGAGGCCGAGGCCTTTCGCGTGCAATACAGCAGGTTCTCTGCTGTGCCATCCTCCGGCCGCGAGAGCTACTCTCCCATTCACTCCAGCGATCGTGACCGCATGTCCTCGAATCCCAACATGCGCCATACACCCCCGAGCCTTGGCCGTCGTCTGCGTGTTAGGCGAACTTTCGGTGCGGACAGTCCATATGGCTTGACGACCGATACGGATTTCGATGGAAATGCCAGCGAGAGCAGCGGCGATGGATATCACCTCAGCCCTATCACACCCGCCAGTACAAGTAGCATACTATCTGCTTCCCATACGCAGTCTCACTCCATGTCTCAGCCCCAGCTCCACGGTCACGATCATGGCCATGGTCACGGCCAAGGTCAAAGTCAACATCAGTACCCTGTTCAGTTCAACCAACCAACTATGACCGGCTGGCACACCCACAACATGACAGCTCACAATGCCAACTTGGCTATCAATATCTCGCCCCGCGGTCACGGTCCCTACCATGAACACTCATACAACGTACCCAACCCAAATACCTTTCTCAGTGCCATTCCTCGCTCCACTGGCCTCGACATTCCCATGACTGGCACCGGTACCTGGCGCTCTGGCCCTTCCAAGCGCCGTGTCGAAGAAGTTGATGCAGACGACGAGTATGATTGTGACGATGATTGTGACGGCGAGACTGCCAGTATCGCTACGAATGACAAGGATAGTGCGGATGGTAAGGTTGTGGGTGTGAGTATGGCTAAGGGTAGTGTGAATGGAGGTGATGGTAGAGGTGGAAGTGGAAATGATAAAGAGATGGAGGGTGTGGGTGATGCGGAGAGAACCGCTGCTTGGTTGTTGGTGAAGCTTAGTATGGGAGATGCAGAGCTCGGAGCGAGGAGTCAGGCGGAGATGAAGAAGGGTGTGAGTACAGGTTTGGTGAGTGGTGTTGGAGCTGGCGTTGGAGATGGTGTCGGAGCTGGACGTGGTAATACTGCTGGGGTCGGATCTCGACCTGGTAGCTGCCAAGGTCCGAGGATAAAGAGACGTCGGGCGACGTCCATGTGATTTGCTTTGGTTGACTATCAATTGCCATGGAGTTCTCGGACAGGTCACGGGCATGGGACATTGGATAGAATGGAACACGGCTCGGCACGGGATAGCATGGAATGGAAAAGCATGGCACGGTACGGTATGGTGTTTACTCGGCTGGCACGCCGCAGACTGGGTTCAGCAATGAATTGAGGCGTACGCATAATCTACTTTGTTTGCATGCATCGGATTTCAATGGCATGGTACCGGAAGTATGAAGGTTGAAGGACATAATCTGTATGGACAGTATGGCATTCATGGCGTATTTTCCCATTCGTGGTTTTTATGTTTTTTGTGTTTTGCACGCACAGATGGACGGACAGATGGATGGATGGGAGTACGAATGGGAACGAACTCAACATAACATCAACATAAACATAAACAATAGCGAAATGGGCTGGGGATGGGACGGGTGGAGGGACCTAGGAGAGATGGAGGGGCATGGGGTGATTTTTCCAGCAAGCAAGCAAGCATGGCTGTCCATACAACGACACTGTACCAACAAACATATTAGATTTCAGTCTCAGTAGCAGTTTCATACGGCAGGCATATTTTCTTGTAGAACAATCTACCCACCTATTCGAGGTTTCCCACGACTGAGCTTATGAATTATGATTGAGTTTTGGGATCACGTTTTGTGCGTGGATTCTCGTGATAGTGATAGTGATAGTGATAGTGATAGTGATAGTATGGGATGATTGGTGGAATGGGAAGGTGTTGTGGTTGTTTTGTTTACCTCACAGGCTGCTTAACTGCCTGACTCAATAAATTGTGTGTGGTTCATGGCTAATAGTTGGTCAAATAGGTTTGTTTGACGACATGGAGTAGCTTCGTCGTTTACTACAACTTGAGTGTTGTACCCTGGTGATGTGCCGGTAGGTATTCGGGGACCTCCTCCATGGCTCTTGATCGCCTATGCTTCCCTTTCTCACTCATTCTCTCACTCGGCAAGCAGGCCATGCTATCATTCACTCATTCAATCAAACAAACATTCAAACGAAAGACACCGCCACGGACATTATCACCGACCACGCGAGATCCAGTCACACTCAACACACCCACGCAGTTACTCAGTCACGTCACGGCACGTCAGTCACAGAGAGTGCAAAAATAGAGACGGGTGGAAAGGAGAAATTTTGTGGTCAACGCGGCTCTAGCTCTGGTTTCATTTCATTGTTACACACAGACAGAACGGCCTACCACCCCTTTTCTTTCCGAGCTAGCTAGCCGTCCGTCCATCCATCGGTAAGTAGTTCGTGCTACTGAAGGGCACTATACTTCCCAGATCTGGATTCCCCGATCTGACTGCCCAAAATCCGCCATGCTACGCCATGCCATGCCATGCACGTCTCCCCATCCAAGCGGAGACGTAGGGGTCCGTCCCCGCGTACAGTACGACCCTCCTGTCAGAATCAGAATCAGACACAGGGAACTAAAAGTAATGCCAATTCCGTTCTTCCTTTTCCTCTTACTCCTGACATGTCGGCGCGGTGCAGTCCCTTGCCATGTCTAATTGCCCGTAACCCAGGTACCCGTCCGCTTTGCTGGATCGACCTACGAGATCGCTAGACTTCCTTGAATTTCTTTCCAGAGATGCAGATGGCTGGATTGAGATATTGGGAGTTTTCAAGGGTAGAAGGTACCCGTTCCGTCGGTTCGTTGATCCAAATCTCCTGTCTCGTCATTTCAGCCATTCGATGAGACCGAAATAGATCAGCCGACGAAGTGAGATGAGATGACAGGAGATGCGCCTCAAGATTGCCCGGCCACACACCACACCACACGCAAATGACACGGATGTACCCACGGAAGCAAGCTCATCCCGAAGCATTCATCTCCTTCGCCTTCTTCTCCTTAAACTCCTTCACCCACGCCTCAGCCTTTCCTTTCGGAACAACATATATCCTCACAACCTCATCTACAATCTCCACATTACCCTCACTCAACACCTTCAACAGGGGGACTTTCCTCCCAACTTTGATAAGTCCGCCCGTCACGGTCTCCATATAGCACTCCACTCCCGTGGGCGTATACTCCCCGCTCCTATCCCATGGCAAGGGTAGGATATAGCTGAGATGATGACCGAGTGGTTCGGTCTCATTAAATGCCTTGATGAAATCTGATTCCAGGTGGAGAGGGTAGAGAAGGACTGTAGGGAAGGACAGCGTGGATGTCGGATCTGTTGGTTCAGGGACGAGTGAGATAGCAGCATCCTCCATCTCCGGCGGCTGAGCCGTCTTCCTTGTCTTTATATTCCTTGCTTTCAGCGCAGCTGCCAAAGTAAAAGCTTCCAATCTCTTCCTCTGCTCCCTTTCCAGATCTTTCTTCTTCCTTGCCGCCACGATCTCGTTGCGCTTGATGATTTCCTTGGCGACGAGTTGGAGGGCTTTGTTTTCTGGATCGAGGGCTAGACCGCGTGCACAGGCATCGTCTGCTTCGGGGATGCGATCGAGTGCCAGGAGGGCTTTGGAGGATCTGTACAGGGCTTTGACGTTTCGAGGGTTGATTCTTAGTGCGCTGCCGCAGTCGAGGGTGCAGCTTCGGTAGTTCTTTAACTCGAGATGGCATGCTGCTCGGTTGATAAGAGACGCTTCCAGGATCTTGATTTCCTTTTTGATTTCCTCCTCATCGATTTCTTCTTCTACTTCCTCAAGCTTTCCCTTTCCCTTCAACTTGGAGCGGATCTTATTCGCAGCTTGTCGTTTCCGGACTTCGATCAACAGGACATTTATTCCTTTCTCGTAGAACTCTTTTGCATCTTTCCAGCTTTTCTCCGCAAAACTCTCATTACCGCGCTCTTTGAAACCTTGAGCTACTTCTGCGGGCGTGCCTTCGTATGCAAGTGCTTTCAATGCTTCAATTCCATCGTTCTCTTCTAATTCGGTCATGAATAGTGGCACGGTATTCAGATCTGCGAGGATCTCAGCGCCGGTCTTGTGGCGGATATCTGCGAGGGCTGGAGGAAGGGCGGGTGTGGTTATGCCATCCTGGGTGGTGGGGGTGGAGGAGGCATGGGCGTTGAGAGCGGCTGTTAGGAGGTCGGTTTCGAGGGATGGAGATGTATTATGGGTATTTGGGGGAGACGATATATCGACTGAATTGTCGAAAGACTCGGGAAGCTCTTCTATTTTCATGGTGGCGATGTTTGGGACTTGAAGATTTGTGGTGTTTACTTTCCAGAAAGAAAAATAATTTACCCCTCCAAAGTGGAATATTGTTGTTCCGTGCCGAAGTCACCTTAATACTCGGGTACAAGTAATGCTGACAGCGTCAATCAATCTATGTCTTAAATTGACGGAAAATTCCCAAAGTACTCTTGCGATCCCAAATCGGCTTTGAGATAAAACAGTACGTTATGAATAGGCAACAGTTTCTTAGTCGCGTACAATTGAAGCCAAGAAATCCTCATCAGACCGCAAGTCTTCCTCGGATGCCACAACTGGAAACAGCTTAGAAATCAAGTTGTAACTTTTCGCTGCACTCGGACTTAACGGATTTGAGCCTACGCAGCCATTCGATCGAAGCACGACCGCTGCCATGAAGCACAGGAAACGAGGCATCACAGAAAGGTGGGGTAGTTGTTGATTTCCAATGAGGGGAAGAGAAGGACGAATCAGGGAGACATAGCAATCCTGCCTTCAGATCACATCATACATGTGAAGCACGAGAGGCTGTACTAGCTCATACACATCATCCCTACGCAATACATATAAGTATTAATGTATCCCGTCATCCTGAGCCTTTAGTTACTGTTGGTTCTCGAGCAATTCAATTGACTTCTACCATGACGTGGCTCAACTCAACTTGACATTGCCAGAGCAACCGTCCTTGTATCAAAACACCTGACAGATTTCCACGACTTCAACAATTCCATCCACCTTCAAACCTCTCAAAATGGGTTCAGTATCAGCCCCCAAGATCATCCTCTACACCAACCACCGCTGCCCCTGGGCTCACCGCGCTCACATCGCCCTCGCCGAACTCGGCCTCGAGTACAAGGAAGAAATCATCGACCTCTCAGTCCCCCGCACGGCAGAATACCTCAAGGTCAATCCCCGCGGACTCGTCCCCTCCATCAACTACAATGGCAACATCGTCACCGAGTCCGCCATCGTCGCGCAATTCCTGGCCGATGCTCACCCCTCTCACCTCGTGAAGACAAGCAGTGAGGAAGGCGGTGCGCTTCAGAGAGCTAGAATCGCTTACTTTGTTGATGCCTATTTTAGTAAGGTGAATGGTGGGTTCTGGGGACTTTTGTTTGCTGAGGGGGAGGAGAAGGAGAAGGCCGGGCAGGTCTTTGTCGATGCTGTGGTGAAGGAGATTGAGCCGCTGTTGCAGGATGCGGCCCCTTTCTTTGGGGGATCGAGGAAATTGACTCTTGCTGAGGTATTTTCTCTCTTACTTTTCTCACCTAGTTACCTTCCAGAGTGCATATTCTTGTTTTCCTCGAAGAAAAGACTGATCACATTTAGGTCCAAACTGGCTCCTTCCTCCTCAGAGTCTTGCATCTGCCAAAGTTTGAAGAATACAATCTCTTACCTAAGAGCCTTTTGACTGGTTTGGAATCCAAGGCACCTGCATTCTGGAAATGGGCAAATGCTGTGATTGCTGAGAAGAGTGTTAATTATATCTTCGACGGTTCGTATTTCCAACTTTATTTTCCCGTGAATCCGGACATCTGGCATTCTATTCATTGTCTCTAATTTCATTTTTCATTCAATTTCAGGCTTGAATTATTCTACAATGAACTATTTGGAAGAAACCTACTGACTTCAAATTCAGCGGAGGCGGTAGCTAAGAGCACTGTGGCAACAATTGCCAAGAGAAAGGCAGCTGCAAAGTGATTCTTCTCAATTGCGATGCTACTAAGCGAATGTCTGATAGTCTGCAGAATTTGATAGCCTGATCTTCAATTACGATTGCGTTTCCATTCCTACCAATTAGAGTCGCGTACATTTCCTGTTCCTCCTTCATTGGAATTTGAGGGGGTTTTCGCTGGCCGAATTGAGGGGCAAGCCCTACTTGACCAGCAGTTGTAATGATACCGGCTCACAAGTACGGTACTTACTAAAGTTTCGCTGCTTTCAATTACGAAGCCGAGATCTCGTCATTCAATTTTTTATCCTCTTCCAAGAATTCAATGCTCATCATTGTTTCAGGTACTGAAAACTTAGATCCTCCTATTCGCGGCGGCTGTATCGTAGTCGATAAGCAGCCGAATTCGAGATAAGCTAGTCAATGAACGGACCGTACTCATTACTGTCTCGTACTTACACATCATGAGATTCTACATCGTTTCATTCCATCTCGTCCTTCGATTTGCATTTGCATAGAGGGCAATACGATCAGCATCTGATTCTGAACCTGGAAGCATTTCGATCGCCTTCCGAGCTTCCGTTGCTGAATTTAACTTTTCGCCTAGGCCGATGCACCAGGTACCCCATGTTTTTACTTTTACAGTGAGCGCTTCACTGCTTAACTTGTGGGGTACCCCTTTATTCGCCGTCACATATTGATTATCATAGGGCAATTGTTTGGACCTATTTCTGGCATAAAGTTATGTTTCTCGCTGCCCAGCGTGGCGAATCGCTGGAATGTTTGTGCAACTTAATGAAAAGGGGCATCTAGGTTTGAATTTAGGCTTCGTCATTTGTACAGCCATAACATTTACTAGAGATATATATTCAGATCTAATCCACGGTAGGTGAGGTCTTCTTGCTCTTTCTTTTCCAACATCCTCTCTTGGTGCACACTTAGCCGTCGCCTTTTCTTAAACCACCCACTCCTTGCAAACAGGATTAGCAATCGTCACAATGCATTGCCCAACTATTTTCTCGTTCTTGTTGCTCTGTGGCTCAGTCATCTCGACGCCTGTGGTACAAAGCTTGTCGCCTGTGACTTCTTCACAGCCCAAAAAACCTCCCCGCGCTTGGCCGTTTGGACTCTCGACGCCTGTGGTACAAAGCTTGTCGCCTGTGACTTCTAAACAGCCCAAAAAACCTCCCCGCTCTTGGCCGTTTGGACTCTCGACCAAGAGAGTAAAGCCACAAGGCTATCGCGCTGTGGGATATTTCGGCAACTGGGTCCGTACAATTATCATTATCCGCTGTGTTACGGAGAAATCTAACTCTTTCAGGACATTTATGCTCGCAACTTCTTCATCACGGATGTGCCTGCTTCTAAATTGACACATCTCGTTTATTCTTTCGCAAATGTCAACAGCACTACCGGTGAAGTGTATGATTGCTCCAAAATCTCCAAAATAGTCCATACTAATCAGAGCACAGGTACATGACCGATGAGTGGGCAGATCTTCAATACCAATACCCTGGTGATAATCCAGACGCTGCACCAGCCAATACCAACAACGTCTATGGAGGCGTCAAACAGATGTACCTCTTGAAGAAGAAAAATCGCAAGCTCAAGACTCTGCTTGCGATTCTAGGATGGACCTACTCACCAAATATGATCCCCGTCCTCGCCTCACCTACTCTCCGCGCGAACTTCGTCAAAAGCGCAGTCTCACTCATGACCAACCTCGGATTCGATGGCCTTGACATGGACTACGAATACATCACCAGCTCTACCGAAGCAACTAACATGGTCTCCTTGCTCAAAGACATCCGCCAAGCCATGGACGCCGCCGCCGTCAATGGATCAACCCCTTACATTCTCTCATACGCATCCCCAGCCGGTCCAGCGAGATACAGCCTCATGGACTTCAAAGGCATGGACCAATACCTCGATTTCTGGAACTTCATGGGCTACGACTACGCCGGAAACTGGGACACTCTCGCAGGTCACTCCTCCAACCTCTTCGGCGACTTGTCCAACCCCGCTAGCACACCCTTCAACACCTCCTCCGCAATCGCCTACTACCTCACCGTCGGCTGCGTCGCTCCTTCAAAAATCAACCTCGGTATGCCGCTCTACGCACGCTCATTCGCGAAAACAGACGGACCAGGAAAACCATTCAACAACACCGGGGCGGCAGGCTCGTTCGACGAAGCCGGCACCTGGGACACAAAGGCTCTCCCATTACCAGGTTCCAACGCCACAGTCTACAACCTGAAGCATATCGGCGCGAGTTACAGCTATGATGCGACGAGCAGGCTCATGATCAGTTACGATACGACGACCAATGCGAAGGTTAAGACGAGCTATATTCAGGAGACGGGACTGGGGGGCGCGATGTGGTGGGAGGTTAGTCAGGATAAGCAGGGAGAGGGCAGTTTGATTGGGACGGTGGTGGATGCGTTTGGTGGAGAGAGGAGGTTGGATCAGAGTTTGAACAGGTTGGAGTATCCGGATAGTAAGTATGATAACTTGAGGAATGGAATGCCGGGTGAATAGGTGAGAGTAGGAGGGGGGAGGACCTGAGTGGGTGCAGGCGAATCCCTTTGCTTCGCTATGTCGAGATGACTTCTCTTCTGTCGTGTATTCTTATCTTTTTCTCCTTTAGGAGAGCTTTTAGACTCATGATATTACACACCAACTTTTTATCGATATATTCTATCGTCATTCCCAGTTTTCATAAGTCTCAGCACTTCAAGCAGGTACTTATTGCTCCTCGATCTTACGCAGTAGCACCAGTGAAAGAACGCTTCCGTACCCAAAATATCTAAGACCACCTCCAACATCATCTTTATGGCTGCTGTTCAATTCAGGCGCCACATGTTTCAGTATGTAAATTCCAAGTACCGACAGGACATCCTGGCGAAACAATCAAGCCCCTTTAACCGAGGTTGCATTGCCAATGTTTCTCCAAGAACACTTCATCTAAACACACGCTACTTCACATAATGGCTGATATACCATGGGTAAATAGTACTGCAAATGATAAGAAACATAATGTTTCTCTTCGCGGCACTTGAAACTCATGCCTTACTCCTCCCCGCCGAAGCGACAAAGAATATATCTTCAACATACCTGAACTTTTCATCTAACCCCAGTCTGAAGAAAATCGAAACAGCAACATGCTCTTACCACACACAGCTCTTTTGCTTGTACTTACCCAACATGTTCTCGCACAAACTGGGAATGCCAGAGGGTCTGATTTTCTCCGGTTCGGGTGCTCGCAGTTGGTAGTTGAGCGGACCGATCCGCTCGTCACGCCAGGTCAGGTCCCATCACCACATATGCATCAAATAGTCGGAGGGAATGCCTTTAATGCCAGCGTATTTCTCCATCTTCTCTTCTCTCCCCTTTTCCTTCCCTCCTATCCTCCCATCCTCCCATCCTCCCATACTACCCCCAAATACGCCCAAACACACTAATTGTTCTTCTTCCCAGATGGACCCCAGCACACTCGACCCCTCCAAAACAGCCCAATGCACATCCTGCAAGCTCAGCGAAGACTTCAGCAACTACTGGACCGCATCCATCTACTTCCAATCTCCCGAGAATGGGACGTTCAAGCGGGTGCCGCAGATGGCGAATGGGATGTTGAATGGGTCGTTGTTGGAGCAGGATGGGGGCATTACGGTGTATTATATGAGGCCGTTTAGTGGGTCGAATAAGAAGGTTACTGTTATGCCGAAGGTGAGTCCTCTTTAGTTTGTAAGAGAGGAATGGGGAAGTAGGAAATGGGCGGAGAAAGCAGAAAGCAAGGTGTGCTGATTGTGTGGATGATGACTTAGGGATTCCGAATGTTTACTGGTGATCCGAACTTGCGCAAGAAACCGAGTGGAACGATGAAGATATGCCATCGCTGTCTCGCTGCCAGGTAAGTACAATCCCCTAACTTTCTTCCCAATTCGACTTTTCCGAGACCCAAGCTTCCCGAAAATGCTCCCCTCTTTAAAACATTCTCACAACTGCTCTAACACCACCCACCCAGCGAGCGCACAATGGGCGGCTCCGGCGCCCCCTGCTCCTCAACCGACACCGCCGAATTCCCCAACAAGCCCTGCCCGGGCGGGATCCGCGCAACAGTGATCTTCCCCTCCTGCTGGGACGGCAAGAACCTCGACAGTCCCGACCACGCCAGCCACGTAGCGTACCAGTCTGGGTCTGCTCTCGCGGGCGACAAGTGTCCGTCTACGCACCCCGTGAGGATCCCGCAGGTGATGTATGAGGTTATGTATGATACGAGTGGGTTTGCGGATAAGAGGTATTATCAGAATGGGAAGCAGCCGCTGGTTTATAGTTTTGGTGATCCGTGAGTACTGCTTCTTTGAGCTTGTTTTTATAGAAACTGGATTGTGTGAGAGGTTGGGAGAAGTTGATTGACTGACTGAGTACAGGACGGGGTATGGAGCTCATGGTGATTACCTGTTCGGCTGGGTCGATGGTTCGCTTCAAAAGGCTATGGATACGCTTGGGACGGAGTGTTTCAGTGAGACATGTCCGCCTCTGAAGTTGCAGCTGGGGAGATTGGCGATTGCTTGCACTAAAGCTCAGCAGGCTAAGGAGGATATTGGAAATTCTGCTTGTGAGTTCATCTCCTCACTCGGTTATCGCATCGCTTACAGGAGTATCAGGGCTTCCAACTTTGCCTGGTGGCATGCTTGTTGCGTAAGGAAGAAACGAAAAGAACGTGACTGGTATCCCTGGAGGGAGGACTTGAGAACATGTCTATTTCGGAACTCCTGTCTATAGTATGCAAATTCAATACACCCAAAGATACAAATACAAGTGCTCACAAGGTCATGATTGTCTTACCAATTCTCAAACACCAGATTTTGTCTTTCCGTACGCGATATCAATCTCCTTCTCATACACATCCACAATCTTTCTCCTACTTAATTTCTGCGCAGCGGTCAAGAATCCCTAAGATCAAGTGTTAGTTTTCATATCAAATTTACATCATCGTACAGAAGTCAATCTTACATTTTGAGGAGTCCACTCCGCATCCGTCAAAACAACACCGTCCAGGATCTCAAAACTCGCCAACCCCGCTTTTCGGCCCGTATTCTGCAGCTCTCTCAATACGGCTCTTTTGATCTTGTCATTTTGTACAAGTTGTTCGTAGCTCTTTCCTTCGAGATCGTTTTCTTGTGCAAGCTTTTGAAGTAATAATGGAGCGGGGATGACAATGGCGATTGGCTTGTTCCTGTCGGCTGCAGCGTATACGCAGAGGTTGAGTACTACGTTAGAGGATCGGTAGATGGACTCAAGCTACATATCTCATCAGTTTCCGAAATTTTATCAGGGATCGGGAAAATTTACCTTTTCCAGTGCAATGTACTCCCCATTCAGAGTCTTCACCAAATTCTTCTTCCGATCAATAATCTTCAAGTGACCAGTAGGTGCCCATTCTCCAATATCCCCAGTTCGGAACCAGCCGCCAGGCGCCATCGCTTCAGCTGTCTCTTCTTCATTCTCGTAGTACCCTTCCATGACGGGATCCCCACGAATCAAGATTTCTCCCTGTGGAGGGTCGTTTGTGGAGAAGTATCCTGCGTCTGGGAAGTCCACGAGCTTGATCTCGATGCTGGCAGGTATATCGCCTAGTGTGTCGTCCGTCCATTCTAGTGGGTCTTGAAGAGCTCCCATTCTACTCTTCGTCAGTGACAATCATTTGTGGGGAGAGTTGTGTATCTCACGCGCAGGTTTCCGTCAGGCCGTATCCACTGATGAGAGGAACCAGAGCATATGAAATAAATCTCCTAGTCTCCTTGCCCAACGGCCCGGCACCATTAAAGCAAGCTCTGAGACGTCCTCCAGTCTGCTGCTTAATAGTATTGAATACCAACCAATCGAGCCACCCCGCCGGTGCCATATACCCCTGTTCGCAGAACCAAGTCTTCGCTTTCAGCGCTCCCCAGAATACATTACTCCCCACAACACCCATCCCTGACACCTTGTTCTCGATACCTTTTCGGATAGTCTCCCAGACTGCAGGAACTCCGACTAGAATTGTTGGTTTGAACTCTTTGATGTCACCTTGGCTGTTCTTCATCGAAAGGTCGGAAAGCGTGCGCGGATTACCATACCCCATTTTCACACCCCAGTAGAGACAGGCGTTCTCGAATGCGAACTCAAAACAGTGTGCTAAGGGGAGGTAGGCGAGCACTGAGTCTGCTGGACCAACGTATTCTGTGAAGATGGATTCGAGGCCGGCGACTGAAAATACATCAGAATCGGCTGAGTCCAGGCAAAGGACAGAGACTTACTTGATGCGACGACATTGCGATGTTTCAATGGTACTCCTTTTGGTTTTCCAGTTGTCCCGGACGTGTACATGAGGCAGCATAGATCTTCAGGCTGAGGTGGAACAGGCTTGCACGGATTATTCTCGCCCAAACTTCGTAAATGCTCTAATGAGAAGATCTCGATATGAGGATGCGCTTTCTCCAGGGCCTGGATATCAGCTTTGCTGACTTCATGCTGGTCATTATAAATAATCCACTTCAACTCCTTCGCCTTGTCTAAAGGCTTGATGAATTTACTGAGCAACTCCGGATCAACAAAAATAGCTTTCGCATTGCTCTGCACCAGCGACATCTCGAGACCTTCTTCTCCCAGAGTTGCATAAGAGGTAACGATCGGCATGGACTGGGTGACGGCGCCTGTACGTTTCGTACCGAGTAAGCGAGAGCCCTTGACCTGATTTAGACTGGTTGGGGGAAGAAAGAAAATAAATAAATACCATGAGCAGCAGCGAGCCAATTGGCACTATCTCTTTATCAGAACTCCATTCCCATAAACATATAATAAAAACGTACCTTGTAGCCGCAAAAATATGCACCCTATCTCCCTTGCCCAGCCCCAACATCCGATACCCCGACCCAATCTGCATCGCCCCATCGAAGTACTGCCCAAACGTCACATATTCGTACGGCCCCATCTCAAAAAAAGTCCATTTCTTCTCGACCTCCTTTTCTTTCCCTTCTATTATCTGCTTCACCATTTTAGTCTTCGTATGCATCTGGATTAATTTCCGCGTTCCCATCGCATCCAGCTCGCCAAACTTGGCAGCCGAGCGCACCAAGACATCGTACAGCGTCGCCGTATCATCATCCGGTCTGGAGATCAACTTATCGACGTATTTTGCGTTGCGGCGGGGGATGGTCTCGCCTTCAATTTGAGGGTGGTTTGGAATCGGGAGGCTGAATGGGGGTGCTTTGAACATGCCCGGTTGGACGATTGTCGTTTTGAGAGACATGTTGAGAGGATGTTGAGGTGAGAGATTTTGGGTTGAGGATGGTGAGAGGAGTGAAGAAGTAGTTTGGATTTGCGTGGTTTTAATAGAAATGGAAGTTGTTGCTTGGGGATGAATTAGGTTGATATGGTGGGTGAATTGTATGCAGGACGCGTCGTGATGATGATGAGCCACGGCTGGGCATGGACGGGATGATGGAAACCCGGAAAAGGTGGTTTGAGGCCGAGGCGAGATATCACGTGTTGGGATAGTACGTATCGCTACTTCCAGCTGCGCTCTTCATTTTGTTCAGCGAGGTATCAATGACTAATTGCGAGTCTACGGGTGCTTCTGAAATTCTGCAAAGGTTGCGCACCGAGACCTTTTCTATCTATGATCACGTTTGATGGTTGTTTTGTCAGGGGGCTGATTAAGCGAGTTCGTCTGTTGATTCATCACCACGATCAGGGTACCAAGATACAGCTCAAAAGTAAAGAAAGCTTTGAGAATTTGGCTATGATTCTGCCTATATCTAGTGGTGTTATTACATAGAAACTGAAAAGATCTCTGCATAATGTTCTAATGGTTCATAACTGAGTTACTCATTCTATCATTTCACAAAGATGGATTATTCGCTTTGCCTGTTCTTCTATTCTTCGATGAAAGTCTTCCATTATTAAAATCTATGCCCAAAAATAGAGTATCTAACTAGTACTTCCTATCTATGAAGTTTGGCCGAGACCAATCCCCAACGTCCCTCCTTCACCTGCGTTTTGCACGCCGCTCTACTCTTCGTCTTCCTTCTTGAAGTTGTCTTGCTGTGAAGGCGCTTCACGAATGACTTCGACGTGCACCCCATCGTTCTCAAGGAGCGTTGCCATCAGCTTCGGAACTGACCAACAACTCGCGTAGTGGGCGAGAGTGCTGGCTTTCCGACGATTCGCACACTCTGCCTCAAGTGCCTTCTTACTCCAGCCGGAAAAGGTGTGAGTCACGGGTAGATGAAAGGTCTCCTTGTAAGTATCCCTATAAACGGTTGGAGTGGCTTTTACTTTCCGCTTGACCATACCCGGGCGGAGTATTGGCTTGACGACTACATCGCCGAGGACAGCTGAGTCGACCAAGCCGTGTTTTGCTGGGTCGAACCTCTCCAACACGATGATTTCTATGCCGTCCTTCTCCGCCTTCTTAATTTGGCCTTTGACCCCTGGGCTAAGATAAAGGCGACCCCGATCTGCTTGAAGTCTGGGTCCTTGTCGAACGGATCGATCTTGTAGTAGCCTGTTCCGTGCAGACCCTTTCCCATCCAGCCCGCCAGTCCGTCTTCCCGAGATGGCATGTACACGCCGTAGTCTGCGATGAAGAAGCCGCCGTCATATTTCGGGCCATGGGTTCTTCCCGTGATGTAGTTCAAGCAGTACTTGCTGTGATTGGTTTCCTTGTGGATCTGACTGCAACGTTATGATACATAAATAGAAGGAAGATTGAGCACAATGCTGTCAATGATGTCAATTGAGAGCCAATCATGTTGTTACTTGTGACAATAATGCCGCTCAAAGGTCGACACGTGCATGTTGTGTTAAGCTATCTTGACGTCTCGTTTTACTTACAGTACTCAATGGACATTAGACGACTGGTGAAGTTTTATAGTATCCCGGTTGAATACAGTCAAGTGTACTCAGGATACAACACGCAACGTAGAGGGAGGATCGACACTCAGCAGCTGGTTTTTTTCAAAGCTAAGTCACTGAAACAGGAGCTTTAAAAGATTCCTTTGTTCGAAATAGCTCGGTGCCGTGCCTTTGAAATGACTCTGAGGACTCTAGGCTAATACGTAGACATGATTGAATGGCTGAAGCCAATTGGAAGAAGTGCAAATTAGCAAGCGAAAGCTTCTCTCAAACATGTCAACAAGGAAGTATGCCGGAACAGCGCATATTATAATCAAATACTTCTAGAGCAACATCAGCTTGCAAATGTCAAGTAATGTGAAGTTACGTTTGTGTTTGAGAGAAGGTTATACTACTGAGGATGAAACTTTTTTGTAAAGCCAATCACTCCTTTGATTCCTTTTGTTGGTTAGTGTATCGAGAATAACAGAAGTGGATACTTGCGGGCATCTTGAATAGTATGAGTGAAGTTCATATAAATCTTGGTATTGTACTTTCTCTTCAGACAAACCACCTGATATTGACTTGACACTAACAAGACAATCCACCCTGATTGAGGAACATGGGTAAGATTGCAAAAGCTTCACATCAAGAGTAGAAAAATAATGCAGATTGCCTTCCTTCAATCAAAAGCATCAAATATTTGTGGGTGGATATTGTGTGTTGTGTAAATATTGTTCACAAGCAAGATGTCACTTGGTACAGCACGAAGCACAAATATATGTGGCAATGGCTTGTAAAAGCGAGACCTAGAGTGTTAAGTATTTTCAATTCAGTAAATCCATATTCCCTTTTGCACCAGGTACCGAATCCCCATACCCTGATACCGCATTTATCCTTCCCTCCCAAGCCCTAGAATAAAAACAGAACGCCATATTGCCTGTTCACCTAACCACCGAGCCCAGTTCCTTCCAGTCCAAACCCAACCAATCCGTAAAAGCAACCATGTCTCTCAAATCCTTTTGCAACAAACAGATTACGCTTTCTTCCCAACAACAGGGCAAACCGCACCCTCAGCGGCTCCCTCCACAGACGGATGGCTAACAACCTTATCCTTGTGATGCTTCAACGTCGCCTTCGTAATGGGGCAAACCTCCGCTCCCTCCTTCGGCGTAGGATGATCCGGCGGGAGGACCGTCGAGACCGGTCCTACAACCGGGCAAATCCCCTCGTCCAAAGCCTTGTTCTCTTCGTTGTTGATCTGGTCCTTCAGAGCTGGGCAGGACTTGGCGTCCTTGTCTGAGATATTGGGTGGGAGACCAGGGTGCTTGTGCAGTTGGTGGTGATGGTCGGTTGAGGCGTTGGTGACGGGGCAGACGAGGCCGGGCTTGGAGGCGTCGAAGTCGGGGTGGGATGGGGGGAGGATGGTGTTTGTTGTTCCTACGACGGGACAGACTTGGGCGTTGGTTGCCATTTTGTTTTTGGTGATGACGTTGATGGGTTTGGGTATATTTGTGGATATGATCGTGATCTTGGCTTTCGTCTGAAGTTGAGAAGTTGTTTATTCGGGTTTACTGGTTTGTTGTTTTGAAGTTGATGTTGATGTTGATTTCAGTACTGTTTGTATTGTCAATCAAAGCGAGTTGATAGGAGGAAGGGGTGCGGTGTGAGGTGGGGGGTTTAAATAGGAATGTGGGGTAATTTGGCGCGGGGCACTTGAAGTTGGAAAGGGCGACTAGCAGCCAATGACAACTGCCTGAATGATCAGCAGATGCCCTTGCTGGAGGCTATCCCCTAGAATTTAGGCATGGACTAACTTTCAAGTTAAAAGCCTTTCGCAAATCCACTAGAGCCACTATCATCAAAATAGTGTCTCTTCCCATATTTTTAGTCGTACCATTGTGGTATTGAAGGTAAACAAGCAGTTGAATTTCAGCAAAATGCTGGCCCTGCCAATCATGCATAGAAAGCTTGATCATTTGGGCTGAAGTCCTCCACTGCCGGGTGGTGGCTGAGCCGTCAAGTGTGGCTACGAGAAAGCCTGAAACAACCCCACCAATAACCCATCGAAGTGCAGATACGAGCTTCGGGGGTTCAGGGACGGTTGTCGGTAGGCGTAACTTTACTAACCTGGCATAGCAGGTAGCCCTGATCCGTAAGTATCCATCCAAAGCATCAATCGAAAGCAGTTTCCAGCTGCCTCTTCCGAAGAAATTTGAGTGGTGTGGATTGTGTCTATGTCAGAACCACTTTTAAAAAGAGGAGCTTTGTGATAATAGGCTGGTTCGAGCGAGAAATGGCCGAGAGTAGCGCCATGTTGGCCTTCACCGAGCATCGCAATTGTGGGATCAACCGTTGTCATCGTTCGGCGGATTATATATTTAACGACTGCCTAGGTAAATGGTTTCTAGCTTCCAGTTTAAGAATAAATCTCTACCAAAAAGTTTTCGTCTGAGATGCGGTTTCAACTGGCTGTTCTGCTTGCGTTGCAATGCGTTTCGTTGTCCTTTTGTGAATCATATGATGTGCCAAATAGTGAAGAAGAAATGCTCGCCGCGATCCAGGCTGAATATGATCGGGGCGCTGAAGTACTTCCGGTCCAACGGCCAGATATAAAGGTTTGTGAGCACATCCTCAGTCATCTATCATTTCTCGTTCCCTCCTTTAGTTTTGGATGTTACAGTGGTGTTGCTGTTTATTTTTGTGGTTGAAGGATTTCGGACAAGACTTTGGCTTCCAGGGATGTATTTCAATGGTCCCTCAAATGATGTCCATAGCATTCCTACGGTATTACCAATGGCATTCTCAAACTCGCCGACACCACTGGGATCGTCATGAACCGACTCTCGGGTCGAGGCATATGCAAAAAATCCTATGGCTCAGGTATGGACAATGTCTCAACCTTTCTTTTGCATCTGCGGAGGCTTTGGTCCAAGGCTCTGTCTCCCAAAATGAGGATCACGAAAGAGACCCTATGCATCTAAAAGCCGTCGAGACTAGTTTATTAACCAGAAAGTCTTCTGACTGACACAAATAGTCGACGGTGTATCCTGGGTATACTACGCCACAGGACAAAAACTGCGAATTGGCTCCTGAAGCTCGGAGGATCAAAGGGGCCGTCAAGAACCATCTTCACACAAACGAAGGGAAGACGATATGTGACATGGAATGTCTCGACCTCACTCAATCTCGCGACTGGCATGGATTTCATCTGATCGGTCCAACCAAAAACTTTGATTATAAGATACATTGTGGGCCGACTCTTCCTCTTCGTACTTGTTCGTCTGGGGGGAATGGGTTGAGAGCGAACTTTGATGGAAAGGTGGATTGCTAAGGGCGGAGTTTGAAGAAACAGGTACTTGGATCTCTGCTATGACACGTTGTTGTAGGAGCATATTGTTGGGGATATGGTTCAAGTAAGTGCTGAAGCATAGAAGCCGTGGAACCGATAGCGATAGAAGTACCCATGGGATTCTTCCACTTCAGTGCACCTCAGGTTTGCAGCAGTTTTCTTTAGAAGATGAGTTGAGGAGCGAAAGTAAATGAAACGTAGTCAGGAACGTTCGTCCAAACTCGTGATAACAGATGGGAATCGACCTCGTTGAGCTGCAACGCCGAAGCTCGCGATGCCGAGACATATCCCGACGGAAACCTCAGAAACAATCTTTGGCTGCCATTACGATGGTCTGAAAACATCAAAATATAAGAGATTGGATCTAAACTTATTCGTTTAGCACTTTCATCCACCGACCACCCGACTCGTCCACCCCGAAGTTTTTGTTTACCTTCGCATCGGCAAAGATTTGCTTAGTCATCAAGAGCCCCTTCCTTCCATGCCTCGGCGTTACCCCGCAACGCATGCCACTTCCGGGGTCTCTCATCCCCGGGATTCCAAACAGCATAGCAAAGCCGAACAAACCAACATCTAGGGTTAAGTCGAGAAATAGCATCGGGCGAGTTGATATTCGATCACCCAAATATCGGGCCAAAGACGGGCCACCTCTACCCGTGCCGACAGCTAGTACTCGAGTAGTTCAAATTTGTAGAACCCCTCAATCGTCCTTGTCTCCGAAACATCTATTTTCTTCATCTTCATATTCCTTTTACTTTGACTTCTCTTTTACCATTTTCATCAATATCACTGTCCGACCTATTCCAAATACTCGCTCCGGATCATTTGACTTGTCCGATCGTTGAAAGCCAAGCAAATAAGCCTGCAAGCTCACCTGAGCCAACGTCAGCTCGTCTCTTTAAATTCAAGCCAAAACCCCATCGGAACCCTCAGTAGCTGTTCATCAACAGCCTACTGTAAGATCAAGAAACGGAAGGCCAAAAGTGCCGCCATAAAGCATTAACAGCCGTCATCCCTGCTTCTGCACACCGTCTGAAACCTAATCCCATTTCACCCCATCTTTGGCCACAATTCAAACTTCAACCTGTCAAAATAACCTAACAAAGACTTTTGACGTAACCTTAACATTAAAATAAAATCCAAAATGGCACCACCATCCGCGACATCAAATGGTAACGAGAGCCAGGCCGGCACCGCCACTCTCGAACCAGGCTTGAGCAAGCCTCAAGCTGCCAAGAAGGAAATCACTATGCCAAAATTCCCTGGACCAAAGAAGTTTGAGGATAAATATGAGGAGAGGAATTATCAGAAGGGAAGACTTGCTTTGGCGTTTAGGATCTTTGCGAAGTTTGGGTTTGATGAGGGGGTTGCTGGACATATTACTTTGAGAGTGAGCTCACGCCTCGTTTACATCTTTGTCATCGGATGAATATTTCTTAGGACGCTCTAAATATGAGCTCATTTTTTATGATTTGTTCACCAGTTTCTGTAATTCCAGCTACTGACAGTACAAGGATCCCGTCTTCCCTGACCACTTCTGGGTCAACCCTTTTGGAGTCGCATGGCCACTTCTCAAAGCCTCTGATCTCATCCTCGTCAATCCCGACGGCCAAGTCGTCGAAGGCGGCCCATGTCGTCTTTTGAACGCAGCTGGTAATTTCCCACTCCCACTTACTGGAACAAAACAGCCAAGCTAATAACCTCCAGCCTATATGATCCACCACGCAGTCCACACTGCTCGTCCAGAGATCAACTGCGTCGCCCACTCCCACAGCATCTACGGCCGCGCCTTCTGCACTCTCGGCCGCAACCTCGACACCATCACCCAAGACGCCTGCGCCTTCCACAACGACATCGCTCTCTACTCGTCTTTCCGAGGCGTCGTCCTCGCCGAAGACGAAGGGATCGCCATCGCCGCCGCGCTCGGCAAGGGGGAAGCCGCGCTTCTACAAAACCACGGCTTGTTGACTTGCGGACAGAGTATTGAGGCTGCGGTATTTTGGTTTATGAGCTTGGAGAAGTGCTGTCATGCGCAGTTGTTGGCTGATGCTGCTGCAGGTGGGAGGGGCCATGAGACGGTGAAGATTGATGAGAAGGATGCGGCGTATACGTATAAGACTGTGGGGACGGAGATGGCGGGGTGGTTTAGTGCGAAGCCGAATTTTGATTTGATGGAGAGTGAGGCGGGGGTGGATTATAAGTGGTAGGTGGGGGCGATGAGGATGGAGGTTGTAGAGAAGCGAGGGGAAAGTGGTGTTCTTGTGTTATCAGTGCAAAAGAAGGATTTGAGAGTTTGGACGAGCGGAACAGCTATTGTTTTATTTATCAACCACGTTGTAAGTACTGAAACTTGTGTCACGGTGGATGATGTGAAGGAGTAGGCCTATGGACGGTAAGATGTATCTTATTACTAGATAAAGAGAATCATGGACAGTATAAAAACATTCAAAGCCCCGAAATTGCCTCATAAAACTTCACCATCGCCTCCGCCGTCTCAACTGGCGCCTCCTCTGCCACAAAATGCCCTACACCACCCCACACTCACAAGTTCTAAATCTCCAGGTCGAACCATAAACTCCTCCCACACAGCCCTCATATCATAGTTACTCCCCAGGAACAACTCCGAATAGACTTTCAGAACAGGACAATCCATCTTCCTCCCCGCCTTCTGATCCTCCTCCTGCGCCACAACATCCTCCTCCGCACCAGCACGATAATCATCACAACTAGCTCTCACCACACTTTCTCTCCGAAAATCATTCATATAGACTTCCCACGCCTCATTCTCCTTGAACTTCGCCAATGCAGAGGGAGAGTTCCCACTCCAGCGCTCGAGACAGAAGCGAGCCCATTTCTCGCCCCCGAAAGAGGTGATCATGCTTGTTGCGAGTGCGGCGTTGGCGAGGAAGGGCCAGTGGAAACCTCCTACTGCTGTTGAAGATGTGCTGAAGCTGGACCAGCGGGTTAGTGAGGGGGTTATGTCGAGGAGGATGGTGCCAAGGATTTGGAATGAGGGGTGCGGATTGGAGACGGTGAGACGCTGACTGATGTGGGCGCCGCGGTCGTGGCCGGCGAGGATGATGCGATGGAGTGAGGTGAAGGGGAAGGGTTGGGGGAGGAGAGTGGAGAGGGTGTTGAGGATGGAGAGGCCGGTGTTTTGTTTCGAGTGGGGAGTGGTTTGGGGGGCTGAACGCCCGTAGCCGGGAATCTGTAATTGTTACATTCAATAGGTTGTAGTGAGGTGGACCAAGGAACATACGTCTGGAATGAAGAGCGGTATATCGGGCGGCAGGAGAGGTATAATCTGATGAATGTCAGCGGGTATATATTAGAGAGGGACTGGGAAGTGACTTACGTGCCTCCACCTACATTTCAGATCAGACAATTCCGGGAGCATTGAAATTAGTCCGTAACAACGCGACGGTACTCGTGAAAAGCAATGAATAGTTACAGGGTTGAAGGTAAAAGTTATTTTGATACTTACATGAAGTTTCTGGAAAGTCATTAATCTCATGCATTGCGCTTCAATTGAGAAATGGTACAAACATACGATTGTGGGTAACCATGAATCATAACAAGAATTGGCTTTGAGACATCCACTTTTCCAAGAGCACGGTGATAATAAAATACTTTGTCTGTAGCAGCTGTACTGATATTGCTCTCCAGACCAAGACTTGTCATGTACTTGAAGTCATTCGATGAGTTAGAGACGAGCTCTTGATCCAACGAGGAAGACATATTGGTCACCGGTCAATGAGTAGCCAAGAGGAAAGAAGGTCAAGCGGAAACTATAATCGTTATCGTAGGATAAAATAAACTTCTTTCTAGTACGTATGAAGTGAGGCTGCCTGCCTAGAACAACCATCTTACGTGAGAGTGGGGAAACGCCTCCACGTGATCATGGAATTGAGCAATAAGAACGGACGTAAGCATTTGAAAATGGACAGCACTTGCTATTATCCTGCCAAACTGCTAAGTGCTGACATCAGCATAATTACGCCTTAAAATATGACGATCCCACGCTTTAAACTTATCTTCACCGTTCCTCCGGCAGCTCTCGAAGCATGCAAAACGGCGATTTTCGCTGCTGGAGCCGGTCGATATCCCGGCCCAGGCGGTTATACCAATTGTTGTTGGACGACAATGGGGACGGGGCAATTTCGTCCGGGAGATACGGCGAACCCTCATATCGGTACTCCAGGTGTGGTAGAGCAGACTCCAGAGGTCAAGGTTGAGGTGATGTGTCTTGGGGAGTATGTAGCTACGAATGCGGTTGCGGCATTGAAGGCGTGAGGCTCTACCAGAATACCTATAGATGAGATGGTCTGACTTTTTCAGTGCCCATCCTTATGAAGAGGTTCCATATGAAGTCTATAGGTTGGAGAACTTTTGAACGGAGGGGGGGAGTCTGACACTAGCTTGGAATTGTCAAGAAGTAGTCGTGAAAGGACGTATATCGTTGGCTTTGCCGATCCTAAGAAGTGAAATTGCACATCTATAGAGCCTATATACGGCAGTAAAGATTGTTCCGGGAAAGTGAAGCATGAGATCAATGCTGTTGCTCGAAGTTGCGAAATTGAAATCTGCCACGTGACTCGGCTAATAGTTATTCCATGACCTCATCCTTGCCCAAGCTCAAGCTTATTTTTGCGAAAATGAGACTGCGACAGCGAGGATAACCATCCTCAATCAATTCTTCCACATTTGACCCAACAAGCACAAATCATGGGTCGCGGAGGAAACAAAGTGAGTCTTCTATGCCCAGAATCGTTCCACCGATTCTAATGTACCACAGGGCGGTCGCGGTCGAGGACGAGGTGGCGGTGGAGGCAAAGGTCGAGGAGGGCGGGGAGATAATCGTCGTGGTGGGGGAGAAGATAATAGAGTCAGCTTCGACAAGGTCCCAAAGCACAATGAGCGCCTCGAGAGATACTACAACACTGTGCTACGGATATCGAATGAGGAGAGAGAGGATTTCTGGGACGCATTGAAGCGTGAGTTGCCCAATAGCTTCCGTTTCGCAGGGTCGAAAGGGTATGAAACAATTCTCATCTTCAAACTGTGAACTACGTTCTATTTTACTGATCTGTCTCTAGACATGCGCTTGCAGTCCAGAAACTTCTCAAAGAGCGATACATTCCCGAAATATCGAAGATCTCTCACTATGACGGCAGTCTTGTCGAACCTCCTCTGCCAGTCCCCTGGTACCCAGACGAGCTCGCATGGTGGATGACAACCCCGAAGAACGTTGTTCGACGGTTCCCTCCTTTCGCAGCCTTCCAGAAATACCTTGTGTCCGAGACGAGCGTGGGTAATATCAGCAGACAAGAAGTTGTTAGTATGATCCCTCCGTTGGTAATGGACCTTCAACCTGGAATGACTGTCCTCGACATGTGTGCTGCGCCTGGTAGCAAGGCCGCGCAATTGCTGGAGATGGTCCACCGAGGAGAAGAGGCACGCATGCGCAAGTCTCTCCAAGATCATGCACAGGAGGACGGCCGTGAGGTTAGCCCTGGTGTGGAATCAATGATGCTGGACGATGCAGCGGACCTTGAGGTCGACTCAACGGATAATGGACGAGCCACCGGGCTGCTAATTGCCAACGACTCTGATTATAAGCGAAGCCATATGTTGATCCATCAATTGAAGCGACTTTCGTCGCCCAATTTGATTGTCACCAATCACGACGCTACAATGTTCCCATCCATCAAGCTTCCACCTACCCCCGAAAACCCCTCCACCAATAGATATCTCAAGTTCGACAGAATCTTGGCAGATGTACCATGTTCAGGTGATGGAACAATGCGAAAGAACGTTAACTTGTGGAAGGATTGGGGTCCAGGAAATGCTCTAGGTCTTTACGTCACACAAGTCCGAATCCTTGTACGAGCTCTACAGATGCTCAAGCCTGGTGGTCGTGTCGTCTATTCCACCTGCAGTATGAATCCCGTGGAGAATGAGGCTGTGATTGCATCCGCGATTGAGAGATGTGGCGGCCTTGAGAAGGTTCAGCTCCTCCCTAGCGAAGATCAATTGCCTCTCCTGAAGAGACGTGAGGGCTTGAAATCCTGGAGCATTATGGACAAGAGCGGGAAAGTTTGGTATTCGTGGAAAGATGTCGAAGCAAACCTCGCTGAGCATGGCCCAACACCTGCTACGGAGAAGCTTGTCGAAGGCATGTTCACGCCTACGAGCACGACGGACATCCCTTTCGAGAGATGTATGCGCGTTTATGCGCATCTTCAAGACACTGGTGGCTTCTTCATTGCCATCTTGCAGAAGATGTCGGAATTCAAAGCCAAGCCGGAATCGGAATCAAAGAAGACTGATGTCAAGCCACCCGTCACCTCCATTGTTGAAGAGATCATGGCTCAGCCAACTCCTGTCGAAGGAGGATCTGTCGCACCCAAAATTGAGGCTGCTGATGCTCTGACCCGACCAAATCTTGATACCGAGTCGGAGGTCACTCCCGTTGCCCGTCAGAACCAAGCAAACCCGGAACCCGATGCAACGCTAAATGTCCTGAAGCGACCTGCAGAGGATGAGCCTGTGATTGATGCAGTTATGGAGACCAAGAAGTTGAAGGTTAAGGAAGACGTTGACGAGCCAGCCGAACCTGGACTCGAGAACCGAGAGGTTCACTACCCACCACCACCCGGAGCCGAACTTGATTTGACTACTCGGCCTGGAGATATGCGCTCAGATGCATCAGCACCTCGCCCGGCTCGAAACAGATCTGGTCAACAATTTGAGGAGCCATTTAAATACATATCCTTTGAACATCCCGAAGTTCAATCCATCGAAACATTCTACAAGCTATCTCCTCGATTCCCTCGTGACAGATTCATGGTACGAAATGCGGAAGGAGAGCCAGCCAAGACTATCTACTACACATCTGCTTTGATCCGCGATATTTTAACGGAGAATGAGGGCAAAGGCATCAAGTTCATCCACGGCGGGGTCAAGATGTTCATGAAGCAAGATGTCCAAGCTGAAGATGTCTGCAAATGGCGGATTCAATCGGAAGGCATGCCTATCCTCGAAGGCTACGTCGGCGAAGAGCGTGTAGTCCGTCTATACAAGAAGGAAACCCTCCGCAGTCTCCTCATTGAGATGTTCCCCAAAGTCTCCGACGGTGCGTGGAAGAATCTTGGCGAGATCGGCGAACATGTCAACAACATCGGCATGGGCTGCTGTGTTCTTCGCATCGAGCCCAGTGACGCGGAAGACGGGTTCCAAGAGCGTATGGTTCTTCCTCTATGGCGCAGCTTGCACTCTCTGAACCTCATGCTGGCCAAGGAGGATAGAACAGCTATGTTACTCCGTATATTCAACGACACTACACCATTAGTCAATAACCACTTCCCTGCGAAGAAAACACAAGAAAACGGAGAGAAGGATGTTGCTCCAGGTTTCAAGGTTGAGGATGGTGAAATCAAGGTTGACACTTCAGCTGCGATTGAAGCTGGTAAGCCTATTGAGTCTGAGCCAATGGAAGGTGTGGTTAAGCCTGGTCCTTACGGAGCCATTGTCGCAGACCCAAATAACAACATGCCTGATGTCAGGGCTGAGAAGATTAACAAGGGCGAGGACACAGGAGGCCCCGAGCAGCAGTTGAACGGCATGGGTGGGATTGAGGGTCAATTCGGTGGCGTTTCATAGATACTGGTTTACATGGTTGGATGGCGTTCTACTGCGAATCTGAATAGAAAAGCTTGTATAGGAGTACTCTGTGACTTTCATCTTGCCGCTCTACATTGTCATGCGATCGTATCCCTGGAGGAAAACGTATGGGGCACCTCGGATCGCAAGTTCGACACTATGCTTGGTTACTTTGTAAGGCAGCTCATCCATTCTCTCTCTCTCAGCTGTGTGCTGCCTTTCACAACCAGGTACGGAATAGTCTCAGGCATGAACGAGAGAGCTTGGGCGTAGTAGCCGACACCAGGGAATAGAAGTTGCTGGAGCTAGCAATATCCTTCCACGTATCCCTTTCTACAGTTTTGTGAACTGCCAATAAAACCGTTGAACCTGAGCGGAAGGAAAATGCCTGTGTATCTCCACCCGGCTCATAGACCCACCCACATACAATCCTCCTACTCATCTGTACCCACCCAACTACCCTTCACCTTTCTTTAAGTCTTCCGCAGTCGCTTGGCCGAGACACTACCTTGGTCGCCTCTACCCAGACATCGTGTCGGCAAATCCGGAAAGGATCAACGTACAATGAGCTAGACCATTTCTGAGTAGGCCTGATACTGACAAGCTCTTGTAAGACGGGAAAAAGAAGCACAAGTGTCACTATGAACGAAGGCTCGACAATTACAAGTATCTCGTCTGATATGTCACGTGAATAGATTGGGAAGTAAACAATATTGGAGATTTACCTCAGCATTATGACAAAGGAAGGGTGAACAATCTAGGTACAAGACTCTTTATCCGAAGCATTAAAACTTTGGTTTCCGTAGACATTTTGATGATAGCATCGCCAAGAGAGACGAATGATATGTATGGAGGCAGGAGTTGGGGTCGGACTTTACCGCCCAAACTTCTTCAACTCCAGCCACCTCAATGGCGGGAAGACCAAACCTGCAAATCCAATGGACAGCCATGCTCCAATATCACCACCATAGCCACCCAGCATAGCTGCAATCGGACCAGTATACCAGATCTGATACATTCCGACAATAGCACCGGCAAACCCAATGAGGAACGATAGCAGAGCTGCGTAGCCGATGGGAAGCTTCTCTTGAGCGTTATAGATTGACCAGTCGAATGGCTTTTTAGGGATCTTGTGGAAGAGGACGTGCTCTTCAAGAACGATCGTGAGGAATGGACAGATCCAATATGCCATGAGCGGGAGAAAGTTCTGGAAGATGGTGTAAAGAACATTACGACCAGCAACGGAGAGGACAAGCTATTGCTTCGGTTAACATTACCACTCGAATTAATGTATGGCAATAGAGCTTACCTCAACAATAGTAATCAAAACACACCAAACCCAGCGAGGAACCCTCTCAGCATAACGACCGAGAACTTGGATCGTCAAGGCGGCACTATACGTGCATGGCGCATTCTGTGTAATAGCACCAAGCGAAAGAATCACGACGCAGAACCCAGCAAATCCACCTAGACCATGATAACACTCCAGAATTAAAGCGCCAGACGAAATCTCATACGCGGCAGTCCATTCCGGGATATTGGGCACAGCAGTTGCTATTCCCACTCCGATGATATCTGTGAAGATCAACGCTACCCAGATGCCAGACCATGTAGTAGCAAATGTCATCCACTTGGGATAGTCTTTCGGGTAGTAGACGTAGAAATCGGCTGAGATGGCGGAGAAACCGATGATGCTGGCGAATATCAGGGCGAAGAATGAGGCGCGGTTGGCGTTTATGGTGGCGGAATCACCGACTGAGGCGGCACTGGTGTCAAAATGGGGAGCGGCTGTGCCTATGAGAACGAAGAGGACGATGGCTTGAGGAATGTATCCGAAGCTATTCCTCCCGTGAGCCAGTGAATTTGCAACTTGTAGAATGACTTTTCTTACCTTTCCATCTTGTTCAAATAGTCGATGCCGAAAGTAGCGACTCTGTAGAGATTTCAATCAGCAAATCATCAACACGGCATGATATGTTGACTGCTCACATTCCAATACAGAGAGCAGCAATCACGCATCCAACTGCCAAGCTCAACCCCCCTCCATTGACAGCTGTAATCATCTGTCCAGTAAGGATACACCCGATCGTACCAAAACCGACTTGTTGAACCACGTTACAAGCAGCCATAAGTTTTGCAGGCCAGTACCCCATGAAGTACCTGCCAATCACCATAGTCCTATTCCCACTTTCTGGTCCAAAGGTAGCGACATAAGCAACACCAACCGAGGCCAGTCCGTTCGCAAATATGACAATGAGAACACAATCCACCCAGCCGAGCCCATAAGCCAACGGACCAAGAAGACCAACAATGATGTTGACAGCCTGCAGGTTGATACTGAACCAGAGCGAAAACATGTGGATGAAATCATGGACAGGTCGAATGACATTTTTCTCGTCGTCGCGAACGCGCAGGATACCACGGGCTTCAAACTTCCAAAGATCCCTCATTTTGAATCCGCGAAACCCAGATCTCCAACCTTCAGCACCACCGTCCGTTTTGGTCTCGGAAGGTCCTGGGTTGCCATCGCGATCGGTCGAATCATCCGGTGTCGCGCGAATCTCGCCTCCCTTCTTCTCGACATCAACTTCTTCGATTTGCGCCATTGTAAGAAAAACCCGAAGGTAAAGGAAAAGATGAATGAAACTTCATGAAAAGAAAGTAGAGGGAGAGAAGACGGGTCATTGGGGGTTTTTCCAATGGTGCTCACCGTATCCACAAAAATGGCCTTACGTTTACCCCAGAGACCCCTGATACTTCGACCTTGCAGAATGTTGAGAATGGCCAGACCTCATGTCCACTCTGCTCTTGGTAACTTGGCTTTTCTATTGACTTTGTACAGCGACAGTTCCAGCCGAAGCGTGGGATTCGTACGTAACGGGCGAAAACGACTTGATGAGGACATTTCCCGACACTTTCTGCGGTCTAGGATCAAAATCCAATGGCTGCGGTACTTCAGAAACCGAATGTCCGTTCCCTGCCCGTCTGTGGAAGATTTATTGGATGGTCGCTTAAGATATCAGAGTGGCTGAACCTAATTTCACTTGCTTGGGAGAAGGTGATATATCCGAAGGAAGAAGCTGGGCCTTGTGCGTGCATATCAAGCAATCAATTCTAACTCATGGAGTTGCTCCTATCGCAAGCAACTGCCGGCTCCACTACCCATAATTCCTTCGAGATATCGACCCCACTACCCCCGGAATACATGCTTGATAAATCCAACACAGAGGCTTGAAGAAGGTTTACCGGGTACACCTCCGCATCTGTTCCTCAGATTGAATACTTGTCTACATACAGTAGTCGGCGAGACGCAGAAGTAAAGATACTTGGGGAGTTCTGCACTTCTAGTTTGGAGGAAGAGGGGTAAAAGAAAAAAGAAAAGGCTGTCACCCCCACGCTCTTTGGCCTGAACCTTGGAATCATCCCTGCTGTCGTCGTATCATTGTGCCGCTGAAGAATTGACGAACGGGACGGCACGGCGTGAGGGTCGCCCCTCTTTTCTCCACATTGGGAAGTAAACATTCGATTCTGGGAACATCAGGAACTGTCCATTGGTCCGTTCACAAGGGTCCAGATAAGCTCCCCTTTACTTTCTCCGGACTCGGCTAAGTTTGAAGCTGCTTTCTCTTCCCGGGGAAGTTGATTCCATCCCGAGCTGCCAAGCATCTGCATTCAGGAGCTGATACCGGATTTCCCGAATCACGACTGAGGCGCCCATGTGGCGTGAACAATCAACACGGCACACAAGAAAAAGATGAAAGTGAAACCACTGGAAGAGTCAGGACTCAGGGGGCGACAACATTGGATCCGGGAACTTCGATCGCGAAGATTTATCGCAAGCCATCATTGAAGAAGTTTATCGAGGCTTGCAGTGGGGTTAGTTTAGATCGAAAACAATCAAGCGAAAGCATGATTCCTAACGTCGTGAACATTGGGTAGAAGGCCGAATCAAGGAATATTCCCACAGGGGTGCCATGAAAGAAGAAAAGAAAACATTCCTGCCTCGTCACCACGTTGCGGATAACCCTGCAGCATACAGTGTAAGGATTCCAAATCTTGTAAGCGAGGCGTAGTTGGTGATACCACTGGGTCGGCAGCTGGAAAACAGAACGTCTCCTTAATCATCTCACTGCATTATATTACTCAGATGATCGCACGCATACCTTCTCCACAAACTCAACGGCGGATCCGGTGAAACTCAATTGACTTTGGCAGCTGTATACTACTGGATCCAAAATGATACCCGGAGGTAGGTCCGTCGTGGTTGAGGTCGCAATCCTCAGTGGCTTCGTGTTGTTCTTTGTGGCAGCTAGATTGTAAGTAATTCATTATGACTTTGACTACTGCACTATCATTGCACATAAGCTATTACTTTTTGAGAAAAAGGTATACACCTGACCGCAGAACAGGGCTTCGAAAGTTATTCGGCATAGTTCTTTCCAGTCGATGGGCAACAGACCCGCTAGGAGTTTTGTTGATAAGCTTCGAATGTTTGACCTAGATGATGCCCTCATGGTTTTCAACCTTGTAAGCACCATCGCTGCCTCCCAGATAAAGCAACGTTCAAAAAAGTTTGACCATAGAAGATCAGCAGTATCTACATCTGTGGACGCTAGTCAAGCTGCTGTTAAGGAAAGGACTGATAATAGCAATAGGCTCTTTGGACCGTTGTTTCTTACGGAATCTGGGTGCAAATTCTCTGGGGAACCAACTATGTGACACCGGATATGATTGTGGACTGGACTCCCGAGGACTACCGACTGGCTACAATGGGCAGCAAATGGGCTCTCGCAATGGAAGTTGCGAAAGTTTCTTGTGTCTGGGGATGCAAAGCTTGTTTGCTGATTCTCTACTTCAGCATGACGTGAGTCTCGTCTCAAAAACTTTGTTACTCACCTTAAAAGCAGCAGCTGATTTATGCTCCAACGGTACAGAAAAGGGCTGCAAAAATATCAGAAAGCTGTTATCGCTGTCTCGGTTTATGTTGCCATTGGATACGTGATTGTTATATCCTTTCTGCTCGGATATTGGTGTCGGCCTATCAATGTCTAGTAAGTACAAAGATTTATTTCTATCTCAGCGGCTCGAGGCTTCTCGAGAATCTCCCAACTTTTCAAAGTGCGAAATCCAATGCTAACTAATTATTGCGAAGTTGGCAAGTTCCCGTTCCAGACGACAAGAGTATGTCCCCCACTGCTTCCTCGACTCTAACATGGTTACTGACAGCTGGTTACAGGCGAATGTAGCACCTATCGGAAGCATATGATTCTTGACGCATGTTTGAACATCACCGGTGATGCAGTCATGCTCTGTCTACCCATTCCGCTTTTAATCAGAGCAAAGTTGCCTCGTGCAAGGTTCGTTGCTTATGTCCACCGGGAAGAGTATCGCATGTCTAACCAATATTCAGGAAATATGCCTTGCTCGCAGTATTCAGTTTAGGTGGAATCGTGGTAAGCAATCAATTGATCGCCATCTCCTCTCCCATCTGACACTTCTAGATCCTGTGTGCCGTCCTCAATCGAATCACGAACTTTCTCGCTCCCTTCGGCTCCCTCTCATACCTCAATTGGTATGCTGGCGAGACAGCAACCGCAATGATCGTCACAAACGTGCCCTACTTGTGGCCATTGATCGCGCGGACATTCAAGCTCGGAAGCTTTTCACAAAATACCACGAACAACAAGTCAGGCTTCAGTATGGGGAATATGAAGAAAGGGAATTCTTTCAATCCTGTGGGAAGTGAGGAGAGAATCGCGGGCGATGCTCAACCACAGGGATCTGCATATCCGGAAGACAAGATGGATCTGACAGGGAAGAAAGGGTTTTCGGAAACCAATGTCTTCGCTGGAGGTTGGGAGGACGAGGAACTTGATTCGGATGGGAGCAGTCCGAAAATCCTTAAGACGGTCGCTGTCACACAGTATAGGCGTGACGCGTAGCTTTACATTTCTGGTGCAACTGGTGTTTTCTTGGATAAGGGGGCAGTGTAAATGACGAATGTATGATAGATATGGCGAGGTCGCTAAGTGGAAAAGACACGAGCGATTATGAAGATACGGTCTAGACCTCCACGAGATTCTGTTCATATAATCGTTTCATCTTCTGTACAAAAGAGCAACAGGAGTCTTATTCTACTTCGTGATGATCATCAAGCCATAATTCGGAATCGTCTTGTACGTCTCCAACTCCTCCATACTGGCCCCACCCTCCCCCTTCCCTTCGAAGTACCTCTCCGGAACCTTTGTAACACTCCATTCCAACGCTCCCTTCAAACCCGCCTCTCTCGCTGCCTCCTCATACACCTCTTTCTTCAGATGATAGCACTTGAAGTCAAAGTCCCCTACCGGCGTCTCTCCATGCACATTGAAATAAATCCCATCTTCCACATCCTCCAAATGTTCATAAAAAAGATACCCAGAACCAGCAGGTAATGGTCTTGCATCCTTCTCGGCGTTCATCGAGTCAATCGGATTAGACGATGGTGGGACAGTGATTGACACGAAACGTCCACCATCTTTGAGATTCAAAGCGACGTTACGGAACATGTTGACCAGACTCGCACGATCGGGTGCGTAGTTGAGGAGCCAGGCTCCGAAGACAATATCGAATGGGCCACCTGGGTAGGCAGCGGGAATGGAGCAGTCTGCTTGGATGAAGGATACTTTATCTGCTTGTGAGGGTTGGAGTGCTGAGGAGATCATGACGGATGAGATGTCGACTCCGAGAATTGACTGGGCACCCCAGGAGAGGAAGCTGTAGGTATAGAAACCTGAGCCGCAGGCGAGTCTTTGTGCGGAATGGTCAGCATAATTCTGAGAAATCCATGAACTGGAATAGAATGAAAAGAATATCATCGCTCCAGGATCAATATTCTGCGGGATGGGAAAGTCTAAAGCAGGTTCCTGATACCCAGCACTGACGGACTTACTCTAGAACCTGCGCATCTTTGATGAATGGCGCTACAGCGTCAGAGACATTCTCACGCTCAATAAGCGCAATTGATGCTGTACGAATATAATCATAAGGACCTTGAATAGCATCGTACTGTGGCTTAGTATCGTCCATGTTTGCTGAACAACAGTGCTGGTCAAGTCTTGAACGATTGATGAGTAAGCGAGAGATGGCATAGAGCGCAGGTTGTCACTTACTTTAAGCAGTCGCAATGTCGGTGCCGTGGAATAATGTCACCGTCTCAAGCCCAGAAATTAGATGTTGACGCCAGATTGAAGTAGAATGGTAGTCAAAACCAAGGTCTGACAGGTAATGTTTGTGGTTCCACTATCTCCTGTTGATGAGTAGCCTGCATATGCACACTGCAAGCTGCAGGCTGGGGTAGGAAGTGGAACACGAAAGCTGAACCACCTTAAATACGGTGCCAATTTTACTCCATATCTAAATGTAGGTACGTATCGTCTCCACAGCCCTATTCTAATGTAATGTATTGGTGACTCTCTGAAGCGATCCTCAAGTGATGTTGACATGACCCACTTTATCCCTTCTCACGGTGTCGCGTTCTTTCCTCATCGGCGCTCCTCTAGACATGACGCAGTTCATTATTCTGATGAAGAAAAAATTCCATTTGCCCAGTTCGCGTCGAAATCTGAGGTTATTTGTGTGATTAGCAGGAGAAGTTGGCAAGTTTACTCCAGGGTACCGGTATCCATGAGCAGATCTGTTCATGAGTAAGCCATGTTAGGAGAACCAAGCTTCAACGAACATGAAATCTCAAATGTGGCCAGTTCATAAAAACATTCAACGAGTTATCATGACCACTATCTAGGAATAGGCTATATCAGCTCATCGATGGCGGACTTGCTAGTAACCTCTGTTCTCAGCTCCGGACGCAACCACTAGCTAGCTGCCCCCTCATTCCTAATAATGCAGCCGCTTTGAAGCAGGACCAAGTACCTCCTCCGCCTTCCTCTTTCTCATAGCAGCCTCTCTGTGAATAGCAGCAACGTATGTGTCAAGCGATGGCACCGGATAAGTGACACTGGGTGCGTGTGGAGGAGGGAGATACGATGGCTTCGATCCACGTGACTTTTGAGGCCTTGGTATTGGTGACTTGACGGACACTTCTTCGTTTGGCTGAAATGGAGCGGTATGGTAGAGTGTCTCTAGAGCACGGCCAAGTGTACTGACGATGTCACCCCAGCTTGGATCCTCTTCCTTCGATTTGGCAAATACGGGGCAGCTGAACGTGGTGGTCTGGTCCTCTTTCGACAGGTCCGACATGCTGCAATATCTCAAGTGACCACAAATACCAATTTCGTAGTTCCATATCGGAGTCTTGAGGACGCTACTACCATGAGGAAACTTCCTGCTCCAGATCTTGAAGTCGACGGTGTAGGTCTTCGTGGGTGTGGCGAAAGTGAAGTCGAAGTGCTGAGGGGTGTTTAGCAGAGCTCTGTGACCGGATTTGGAAACTTACATTGTAGACAAGATATCGCGCGTGCTCCTGTATATCATTTAATCCAAGATAAAAAAGCTCTACTTTGATGGTATTGCCGTCTGTGTCTTTGTCGGCAACGAACATCTTCTTCTCAACCAGCTTTCGGACCTTTGTCGTCGTCTCGTCAAAGAGTGGGACGTTGGCAAACGGAAGGTGTGGAGATCCTGCTGGGAGGTTATGGACGAAGGCTGCAATCATTGCGCCCCATGGCGTCTCCATGGAGGTTATTGCATTGTGGGTGGATGCCTTGACAAATGGAGGTGGCTCGCTAAGCTTAGGTGCTTCGACGCTACTCCGCTTTGTGGGAATACCGTATGGATTGACGTATGGAGGTAGACTTGGTGTAAGAACGAAATTTGGACTCTGTAATGATTGACGAGTGCTAGGTTGGATGGACTGTGGAGTCAATGGGAGGAGTTGAGATGAGGTTCCTCGAAGGGGCCCTGTATCTTGGTGCAGGCTCGAGGACTCACTGCAATATTTGCTTCGTGGAGGTGTTGAGTATGGTGTCATGATGATTATGGTTGTTGGCGCTTCTAAAACTTTGGCTGTGGTTTTAATTGATGTTGGAGAGGTGAAGAAAGAGGAGTTTGGAGGGCGAAAAGGGTAAGTGGAGGCTCCTGGGTAGTCAGCCTCGCCAAAGGTGAACTCGAATAAACATCTGCATCTGGTGCCCCGCAGCACGAAAGAACATGGAAAGAAAAATTCTCACCTGTTAAATTCTTATCTATTGACTTATATCGTTATGCGAACTCTTAAAACTGGTTAGCACCGAGGGCTCAGTCCTTCAGTTGAGGAGTCTAATGCCATTGGGCTTGGTGGCCTAATTCACAGAGCTGGCATCAATACCAAATCAGTGTTATAGGGTCATCACTCGCATTTTAGCCGAGTCAATGACTTTATATCTGACACGACAGCCTTTTTAAACCTTATCTGCGTCCACCAGAGCTTGAAGTCATTACTGGTTCGAGCAATTGACCCATTTGGTATAACAACAGAGTGTTTGAGAAATTGTAAATCCTCAGGATCAAGCTTCAACGGAATAATTCTCAGTGCTCTTTGGCTATTTTAGAGTTACTCCCTTCACTGAAACTCTATTCGACTAAGACTAGCATCTTCAGTTGTCTTGAAACTTCCAGAACATGCAGAGCTGTGAGGGTTTGTCGACGTCGCAGCGCTTCTTGAGAATTCCTGTGAGCACTTGGCTCAGCAAGGAGGAGGTGGCGGCATCACCCTAATAAACTGCTGTCTGTGACTTTTATCCGCGTAGTCGTGCCACCCAGCCAGAATCGCCATCGCGCGCAATGGCCAAAATGAGAAGCTGGGTAGCGCCAAGAACCAAAATTAACCGATCTCTTTGTTTACATCTTGGCATTTCCCGTCAACACCCGACCACACTGGAGCTACGGTACCACCAGATAGATACCCAACTCAATGGAGTGTATTCGATATCTCTGAGTGTGGCTATGGCTATGTCGGTCGGGTAGAATAGTGCGGACTCTTAGCTTGAACTTCTTTCCCAAGTCTCCATCGCAAGTGTTGTTCACTCCACGCCATGACAGCATTCACCACTTTCTGGCCACTTGAACTACAATGACAACGGCTGAGAACTTACTGTCATAGATTGCCTGTGAAGAAGCGATTAATAAATGACCATGGCTAAATATTTCATCAAAGCTTTCAAGGATGACCCTCGATCTCATCGACGGTACTAGCATGTGCTGGTGCACACCTGTGTCTCACATAGTTGCTACTCATTCGAAAGATTTTTGGGTCTTGTATTCCTCCCCAATGCACTACCACAGACAATAAGGGTGGACCTTTCCTGGAATGATTTACGCGACTCTATGGTCCACCCGAGTCATCCAATGCAGCGGCATCTCGTCTGGTTCAAGTCTCACGAATTAAAAACGATTAAGCACATAGATTTGGAAGCATCAATGAAGTGTATATGGGTGTATTATATTACACATTACGAAACCATATCATAAGCAATCCACTCAAGCACCGATCTTGAATCCTCCAGGCATGAGAGTCTGGAAGAGTCGGGTAGGATCGTACTTCCTTGAGATCTTCAACAACTTGGCTTGGTTCTTAGCTCCATATCCCTTATAGAATCCGTCGGTCTGGAAAGAAGCTGCGTCGCCCATGTAGTCGAAGCTGGAGTAGATACCGGCTTTCTTGGTGGCCTCCTTGATGATGGCCGTGGTTTCTGTAACCCATCTGTAGTTGTAATATTAGTAATGAAACATTTTGAGGACGGTGTTGTAGAATAGCATCACTTACTGCAAGCAGATTTCATCGTATTCACTTCCAATCCATTCCACGACTTCGGCCCACGCCAAGTAAATCTTGGAAGGGTCAAGACCCAGAGCATTGCCACCGGTAGCGGCAGAAGCGTCCATCCAAAGCTTGCCAATTGGCTGCCAATCGATTTCAATGATGGCGATCTGGGATGCTGGGACTTGTTCGTATAGAAGAGGAAGGCGCTCGTAGAAGATGCTGTTGGTCAATTCGATACCCTTGAGGAGCTCATCGTATGTTGTACCGACAATGGTCCCTGCGGCGAAGATATCGTTGATCCCTGGGACGACAGCAGTTCCGGTCTCGTCGGCAAATTCAGCGATGGTCTTGAAGCCCATGGTGCTGGCAATGGAGGGAATGTCGAAGAATGGCTTGAAGCAGTCAGGGTAGGTGATGGTGTCGGAATCGTAGAAGAGGATGACAGCGCCAATGAACTCAACAGGGTCACGAGTGGTAGCAATCGTAGCAGGGACGATGTGAGACAATGGATCAGTGATATTGGCAGCATATGCGGCAGTGGCCTGCGATAATTGTCAGTCTGATTCCAAGACATGTGTCCGAGATATGGAACTTACGGCAAGAAGTGCGGGGACTTCAGCGCTCGCAACAGAGTAAATACCAGCCCAAACCTTCTTTGAAGGAATGGTCTTGATATCGAATCTAGTCACTATTCCGAAGTTGGAGCTTCCTCCCTTGAGAGCCCAGAAAAGATCCGAGTTGTTATCCCTCGAAGCCTGGACAATGTTGCCAGCAGCCAAAACAACCTCGTATTCAACGACGTTGTCGGCAGAAAATCCAACTTGGTTACCGTAGAAGTTTATGCCTCCAGCGAGCAAGAGACCAGGGACACCAACTGGTGCTAGGCGTCCACCGGGCACGGTGAGATCATAGTCCTCAAGGTACTTGTAGACCTCTCCCCAGCGCCAAGAAGGTCCCACTGAGAGAATTGACTTATCGGACGAAAGTCGCATTGTTGTCAGGTTCGACATGACCATCAGAACACCATTGTCGATGTTGTTGGCTCCCTAAAATTATCAGCACGGGGAAATGTTCAAAGCTGTCAAATGACTTACAGCGATTCCCATATGGCCACCACCTCTGACGGCGAATGATCCGCATGACTTTTTCAGTACCGAGATTGCGGTAGCGACATCTCCAGAAGACTGGGGGCGGAAGACACAGAGAGGCGCCAGGATCTGTACATTTGACCAGAATTCACTTGCTGAGTTCTCATACTGGTAAACTGGGCTGTCGGCATAGAAGACCTTGGATGAGAGGACCTTCGAAAGAGCAGCACATCCAGCGCTGTTTGCGGTCGCAGGGCTGACGTCGTTGGCGCGAGGAAAGACAACCCCTCTGGCAGAAGCCAAAGTAGCGACTGAGACCAGGAGAAACTTAATCAGGGAGGAAGACATGGTAAAGTCTTTGATAGTACAGATCTTCAGGGAATTGGCGAGGAAGATCCGAGGATGCAGAAAAATTGTGTATCGCAGGGAACAGAAGATATTTATACAGGCGAAAGTCTAAACCCACATGGCCGATTTGCATCAATATCGAATCTGCACATGAAAGCCGTCTATCCTTCAGGAACCGGTAGTCCCACCTGTTTCCGGGCATTGCTGCGGTGTCGTCCGAAAACGAGAGGGGCAGAAGTGGACCAAGGAATGGCCGGAAATCATGTCTTGTCGTTCAACTGATTGATAGTGGGTCAGATCAAGGACAAAAATGATTGTAAATGAGGGTACTCCAAGGGAGCGGGCATAGTTTAACACTATATGAGCTGGGGCCGTTGCTTGGTAGGACAAATAACGGCAAGAGAACCGACTATCACGGGTGGCGCATTTCCCCAGAATGCCGTTACTTTCAACTATCTTTGGAAGGCTTGAAAGCTATGTTGAGAAACATCAGATGATACAAAGAAGAGACGCAACAAATACGTTCGTGACACATTCACGTATCCCGCCATGGCCAAACATGAGATCGAGTCAGGACCTGGCGCAAGCTGCAGCCAAGCATTGGCTCCTACTCTCGCCCCCCCCCCCCCCCCCCCCCCCGGCTTGAATGTTAAATGTGAACTTTTGCGGGTCAGAGGCTTGACTTTTAAGTGCTAAGTGGTTAGAGGCCCTGGATAAAGCTAGAAGCACGAGCCAGAATTAGGTCTGTTGTAATAGCAAGGGTACCTTCAGAGGGTTTGAGAGACACTTAAGCCCTGCTCAAGGCCAAATCTCTACTGAATTATTAGATAGACACCCCTAGTAGCTACCCACACGAGGTCCAGTTTTCTACACATTTAACATTCAAGCCGGGGGGGGGGGGGGGGGGAGAGTATTAATCCATTGAAGTTGTGCGGATTTGTTGCCAGTCATGACTTGGCTCGCTGCAGAGATGTGGCGCAATTTTCTGCAAAGCGGGTTCCTGGTAATTCTCATCCATGGAGGCAAGGATACAGCAACAAGGATCTGGCATAAGTGGACCTGCAAACCTTCTGGAACTTCGGGGCGAAAGCTCCTCTCCTCACCAGAGCTGTCAGAGTACCAGAATAAAGCTGACCAAAAGTGTCTCTGAAGCAACATTCTCGGCAGGTTGTGAGCAAAATTCATATTCTCCTCTTTGAATGCAACGTATTGAGACACTCTGCGGCGGTTTGACACAATTGACCGACAGGAAATATAACCTCTCCACCGCAAAACACACCAAATCGAGTTTAACGAGAGATTGATTGCGTCGCTGTCAGGATTCAGGAACCTGCATCATCCTAGCAAGTCGACCTTTCTCCTTCTAGATAGCTTCCAAAGATCCGTCCTGGGATTTTATAGTACCACCAAGCCTCCCGCCTCCCACTTCCATGGTTCAGACCGTGCCTCGCGTGCGAAATCTTGGTTGCAGGAAACTCGTACCACGCGGCACCAGACCTTGACATCTTTGGAACGAGTACCAGACTGACGTCCAAACATGTGGGAATGTCTCTCCGTGCATCCGTCCTGTGCCTCTATTCAGTGGACTGAGAGTGGAGCGTGTCGAGTACGTGGGCCTTTGACAACCCGAATAATCGCCTATGCCCTTGTTGTGGATTGGCTCCACTGCGACTCGAGCACTCTGTAAAAGTAATGCAGAGTCTTGTCAAGTATGGTAGAAGCTGTTCTTACAGGTGCTGCAGGGCAATGATCAGATTGCATTGGTCGGAAACGCAAGGTCGTATGCAGGTGGAGCATCTACAGGACTTTTCACTCCGTGAAGGGGAAGTGCTCTATCTTCATCCTTGTGCACCTCGTGGGATGATTTGGATCCTCCCAAGCGATGTTTGAGATTTGAGAACGTCTTACCGGATGACTTGCCGAAAGTAGTAGGTGAGAAATGCCTCCTATCTAAACCTCTGGGCACGATTGCCTACCAGTGTCCCAGCCTGGAGATGAGTTTCATGCTGGAGAAGATATCTTGATGCATGAAAATGACAACTGATATCTGAAGTCGTATCGGATAGAGATTTTCTTGGGTAGATTGAGAAGCGTTGCTATCTGCAAAACTGGAAAGAATCTTGAGAGGGGGCCAAAAAGTGCAAAAGTAGGAGCATACATTTGGGTTGCCTGAACCTTGGGGCTGGGACACGACTCGGTCCAATCGTATGCGGGTACCGAAGAAGACATTACTCCGAAAACCCTCTGCAATCTGCATTCGTCGCCTCCAGAAACAGCTGTCACATTTCCAAATGCCGTGGACCCTGACACCATAATGGTGAGGGCTATGACCTTCTTTCGAGGACAGTGAACGTTGAAGTGCCGGGATACATATCTAGACATTAACATCCCTATCCCACTCCTCTTTTTGTTGTGCTTCTTGTTCGCTTCCATCACTTACATTCCTTCATTGCTAGCCAGTAGCACAAATGTCGTCGGTAGATGAAATTGTCTACAGTGCTGCTCCACCAGATGGATACGTTCCTGACTTCAATCGCCCATATGACGCGGCAGCGCTCATTGCCTGCATTGGCGTATTCCTGTCTCTTGCTGTGATCACTAGCGCTATTCGAATGTACACTCGCTCTCGGATTGTGTCAGACTTGGCTATAGATGACTGTAAGTTCGCATCAACCCTTGGCATTTAGTGAACAGTTTGCTGATCCTGACAGACCTTATGTTGATTGCGTTGGTACGTCATGATGTTCGTAAACAACTACAATGACTGACACTGCTGGATAGGTTTGCTCCATAGTTCTGACTGGATTCATTCTTAATCGTAAGTGGGCCCTGGTACCTGGTGAATTACCGTTGACCAAGAATAGTTCTCAATTATGGGCTTGGAAAGCATATGTACGATGTACCGCTGAACATCCTGTACCCAGAATTTCTTTTCGTAAGTCCTAGCATTGCGCTCAGGTGTTGTGCTCCTGCTAAAGAAAACAACAGAACAATGTTCTGGCAGCCATCTTCTTCTGCGCGGCAACTGGTTTCGCGAAAGCCTCAATCCTGCTGTTCTACGGTCGCATCTTCCCTTCCCGAACCTTCAAATGGCTCATCCTTGGTCTTGTAGCCTTTACCGCTAGTTACAGTCTGGCCTCAGTCCTTGTGAATGTTTTCTCGTGCAAGCCTGTCAGCGGCTCATGGGATTTCTCACTTGCCACAACTGCAGTCTGCATCAACCGTCCGCTCTTCTACTTCGCGCAAGCAGGTCTCGGAATCTTTACCGATTTTGCGACTTTAGCGGCGCCCTTGCCATTCCTGTGGAAGTTGCAGATGCCGGTCAGACAGAAGATCGGGGTGTCGGTAGTCTTGATGATGGGTGGATTCGTCTGCATCGTTTCCATCATCCGACTGCTATCAATCAAGACACTTCTTACCTCACCAGATCTAACGTGTAAGTCAGCCTAAAATATGTTGAGTGCTTATCCTTGGATCTCAAACTAACTGGCCACCAGACTCGACAACGCCAGCTTTGATGTGGTGTGTCATCGAGCTCAATATCTCAATAGTTGGTGGTAACTTTCCAACAATTCGTCCCTTTCTGCGGAAATACGTCCCAGCGCTGCTCGGGAGCTCCAAAGGACGCACCACTGCAACCCACCCGACACGGTCAGGGTCTCACCAGCTTCAATCTTTCGACCCCACATACTCAACTACTGCGAACAAGGGCTTCAACAAGACAACGATTACAGGCATGGATCAGAAGACACACTTGGGAGATAATGAGTCGGAGGAGTACATCATTCAAAGTAGTACTCACGACAGCGAGACAGATCTAGGGAGGACAGGACAAGTTGGTGCCGGGCCTCTCAACCACCCAAAGAATGGCTTTGGCAATATCACCAAGACTGTGGAATATCGCCTTACGAACTCCAAGGAGTGAGAAGGGAGACTCTTATCCTTTTTTTTTCTCCCGTAGTTGAAGGGAACTCCACGATGATAGTTGATGCCTGAATGCAGCGTAGTGATGGAATGAATATATGAATTATATCAAGTTACAAATGACACCGTTAGCTCTTCCAGACTGTTGCACTATCCTGTGACTTTCCCTATTAGTGTAGATTGTGCATGTGAAGGAACAAGAGATGTGCTTAGCTTACCACCACCCACGGTTCGGTCTCTAGTCACCAGTAGGTATAAAAACATTTCAGAACATTCATCTGGCGGGTCTCATGACTATGAGTTGCTCAACATGCAGTAGTTCCCAGGCTTATTCGCCAGCCATATCTGCCGCCAGGCTGACTCCCATGCCAGGTCACGGAAGAAGCATTTCCATCAAAGCATTTAATACTGATTGATAGAAATCAACAATAGCCAAAGTTGAAAAGACTAATTGCGAAGAAAAGTTTTCCGCAAGAGGCTGTATCAAATCCAGAAGGAATGCAACAAAGAAACGAGAAAGGAAATGTAAGAGCCAAAAACGCAGATGCCGGATTGGATCGAAACCGTCAGATAAAGTGTTAAGAAAAGTCCTTATGGATACACTTACTGCTCAAACTGAACTACAACAGCCTATGAAAGTAGTTTCAAGGAGAAGTTCTTCGGCTGCCTAAGAAGCCACACGGAATCGTAAAATAAAAAGTCCCAGGAGAACTTCGGAAGTCCATTGACACCGGCGAGGAGAGAAGATGTTCACATTTGTCACACGGCCAAACATTCCTTCAGAACGGGGAAGCAAGTGCTCTGTCCTTCACTCGTCAACCACAATGGCCGGAAATCATTCACAGAGGCCAAAAAGTGTCCAAACTCGAGTTTGCTAGACGGGTCTGCGATCAGGCTTTCTATCGGCATGGAACTATCACATCGAGCCACAATGTCAAAACCTACAAGGACCATATTCGTATTCCCGCGTTGTTTTATCTGGCGCTGTGTCGAAGTCGCTTACATTCGCTTTGATTTCCGATGATTTCGAACAGGCGCCATTAACTGGCTTCCAGTCTCAGGAAAAGATATGATCGAGATAAGTATTGCTACCTGGAGAATATTCCTCGCGACAGTCATGGTCATAGATGGGGTCCTGACTTCTTGGCTTTGTCCAGCGACTGGCCTTCTGATCTAGAATCGTGTATTCAAAATCCATAGATTTTCCAATCGCATGATGAAGATAATGGGGACCGCTAACAGAAGTATGGTAGCATCAGATCGTGGGGGAACAGGCAAGCCTCGAAATTCTTGAAACGGTATTGACTTCTGAAGTCAGTGACACAGCCTTTCTAGCCCGTCTTCCCTGCCAGATAAGTTCCCCAGCTTTCCGCTGCAGGGCACACGGAACATGCCTATTGCACATAAAGTTTTTGGCGTGTGACATGGATGCTGTGTACGAGTAAGTAGCGCCGAGGGTCAGAGTCCGATCAAAAAAGTTAAAAAAGGAGGGAAGTTTCGGCTCGAGACGGACGGGTGATCTTCACGACCAGATCTCCTCGCAACACAGGCTGTGCAGATCTTGCTTAAATCCTCGTCCCCCTACATTTTAATATCAATTTGATCGCCAATTGTTCAAACTGTTTTGAATGTCAGACTGAAGTGTGCTATTTCTGCCAAGGCGTATGCTGGCTAAATCCTGACTGCAACGAAAACTTTAACAGCACACCTGGTCGGATCACTCAATTTGGCCTTCGAACTCTCTGAGTACCTGGTAACAAACGGATGAAAGCACCTCGTGCCGAGCCAGGTAGAACTGGGGAAGCCTACCCCGAAAACTTCGGTAGATCAATGCCATAAGCGTTTCGTCTTCACTAGCCTCAAAGTTAAAAGAAAAAGATGCAGGCAAGACAGGGCAAGGAAGAGTTTCCCATTGGAAGGCGAAGAAAGGTGTCTTCATGATTCAACAAATAGTCCGAGCACATACAGCCGGATGTCGGAAGAGAAACTTTATATAATTCGAAACAAACATCTGAATGTTTTGAGGCAGCTCGGGCATTCAAACAAGTTGGAGATTTGGATGTGACAGCCTGTGCGTTGACAGCTTGGCTTAAACTCTCTTGGACCTTCAACTCAGGCGGCAATCAAAAGGTCCCGTACAGGTTCATTGAAGACTTGTCAATCCGTTCAATACAGCAGACTTCTTGTGTCGCATTTCATGGTCTCTAGATATCCCCTTGACGATCAATTTTGAAAACACAAAATCCGATTATCTCGTACTCATCAGGGAAGCCAAAGCAAAGTCTACACTCCTCGTGCTCCTCGCCAAACGATGAATATTTCACGTCTTACAAATAAAAAGTCCCGGAAAGGCTGTGTTCAATGCAAGCGACGTAAAATCAAGGTGACCTTCGCTGAAAAGCTCCATCGGGATCTGGAGCTAGGCAATGCTAACTATCCATGAGTGTGACGAACATAGTCCACCATGCACACCTTGTCTGAAGCATCGTGTATCTTGTTCTTTCAGTAAACGTGAATCACCCACCTCCTTTGATTCCCAGGTGGCAAACCCGATTCTGCCCAACCAACTGCTTGACCTGGAACTCCTCCATAATTTCACAACAGCCACTTCTGACACACTGTCCGACCGATATGGGGTGAATGAGCTGTTCAGAACTGCAATGATTGGCGAAGCTTTCAAGTATGACTTTCTCATCCGTAAGTCAAGTCTTTGCGATCGAACTTCTAGGATTGAACGTACCCCCCTCTCAAGAGTGCATTCAAGACAATTCGGTCCGACAGAAATTGGTAATATCCGGCTCTATCTCAAACAGACAGCGTGCTCGCCGTATCTGGATTTCATCTCGCAAGATATTCAGAATCACCCCTTAAGAAGAGATTGTATTTGGAAACAGCAATGGCACATTACAACACCGCGATACAACTATTCCGGAAGATTTTGGCGACAGACATCACGCCCACCAACTGCCATGCAGTATTCGCATGCTCCGGTATGATTTTTGTGGGGTCTTGTGCTCAACCGAGACTTGAGCTGGAATATTCAAGAGTCTTGGAGTGGTTCACTTTGCTGAGAGGTGTTTCCGCGATCGTCAACCCCAGCGTGGGATGGGTGTCCATTGGACTTTTCGGGAGAATGGTACATCCAGAAAACACATACACGGATCCAGGAGCCGGAATGACAAATGAGTATTTCGACTCTCACTTTGATGGTCTCTCAACACATTTCTTCCGAACTTCAACAGCTAAGGACTTCGAGACTCCCAAAGACAGCCTAGCCCTCCTCCGACATACCTTTGCCGGACAGCCACCACAGGAAGTTCGATCGCTGTTTTGGTGGCCAGTGATGATATCGACAGATTATTTAGGTCTTTTGGCAGCAGCAAGTCCTGAAGCGATGGTGGTCTTGGCAAGCTACTGTGTTCTTCTCTACAAGCGAGAGTACAGGTGGTGGCTTGACGGGTGGCCTGAGTTCATGTTTAAGGTTGTTGATAAGGAGTTGAATGGGAGGTTGAGCCATTTGATGAAGTGGCCTATGGAGACAATGGGGATACCGAATGCAGAGAATTTGAAGTGCGAAAGCAGTATAGATGGATCACCAGGGTCGGGAACCTACGTTGAATCTGAGATCGCGGAAGCGGCGCCAATTTAGACATTTGTTCGTCTACATCAAAATTTTTGTTTGGACGAGACCGCGCGCTGTGGTATGACATGAACTGTTACTATGATTTTAGTCCTTTGCTTGGGAAGGGTTCGGGCTGGCGGTTGATCTTTGCTGCCCAAGCAAACCTGGAAATTACACCAATATGGTTCATCGGGCTCTGGGGTTTTATGTTGCCTGTGTCTTTGGAAGGGAAACAGGAGACTTGGTTAAGGCCAACGTGGAGAAAGTCCTAATCTTGGATCAGTGGGTAGTATAGATACAAGCAAAAACTGCTGCCAGGTGTGCTTTGGTGCCTACAGACCATCGAGAACTTGGTTCATTGCATGAGTGTGGCATGATGGAAGGGAAGCGTTTGCACACATGCGACGTTTCGTTCATTTCGATCTATCAGCACTCTTCCCATCTCTCCTTCGAGATTCCTCATCCCTACTCCTCGTCCGCTTCAGGTGCAGCTCCTCAATCCTGCGACTTCTGACACGTTGCAGCGACCGTGGCAGCTCTTCTTCACTCTTCACCTTCTCCATCTCAGCTTGTTTCTTCTCTTCCTGAATCTGACTTCGTGAGAATGTAGTGCGTCTTCTTACCAAACCAGCAAGTCTCTCCTCTGCAGGTTCAGGCATCCGATCTCTACCTTCCTCCTTCTCCTCATCATTCTTGACAACGGCCGGGTCAGTTTCAACGACTTCGTCATTCGGTCCCATGTGCATTCTATCCACATAGCCTCTGTAATTGGGTCTATTCAACATTCCGCTACGAAATTCGTTCGCGCCGACGAGCAGCTTCACGAGATCGATTAACTCTTCGAGGTATTCGATGACTTCGATTTGGCCCGCGCTAGCTGCATTCCAACTCAAGAACTTTTGCCGCACAACGCGCTTCACCATGGTCATTTCTATTTCGGAGCGTTCGCTGGCGTTGTGCTGGTGTATGTCGCCTGAGAGCACGACTTCGCGGACACGATTGACCATACGAAGGTGGGCTAGACGAGCAGAGGGGAGGAATTGGGGGAGCGGTAGTTTCGTTGTCAGCGCTTCGTGAACGGCGAACAGGACGATAGTGATTGAGGCTGCAACGTTTCGACGGTATGGATAGACTTTTTCGTTCAGTTCTTCCAAAACACCAGAGCCGTACTCGTGGCGGAGATGGAGCATATTGTCCATTCTGTCAACCACAGCATGGAGAACATAGAGGATCTCCGCATACACAAGAGCAAGACCTTCAAATGACCCTTTCAGGCGAGGTTCGTTCGCACAGAAAGGAAGAAACGTCTCTGCCGCCGTAAGTGCCCCTTGAGCTTTACCTCTTGCCCTATCAAAACGAGCTGAGACTTCTGCCGAGTGGACATTGATGTTTGTCTCTGTTTCGATCCCGTAAGCAAGACATGCCTCCATTTCGCTGATTTGTCTGATTGATGCTGCAAGTGACTCAACCAGCCTATCTCGTGCCCGGACTGGGAAGAATACCACTTCAACGATCAAGGCCACAATACCGCCGATGAGAAAAGCAATGAGGCGCCTGAGAAAATTCTCAGTTGCGGTTCCTGGCACACTTCCATCCACAGTTGCCAAAGCCACGACACACATTGAAATGATAGACACCATTCCAGCTTTCACATATTTGCTGCCGAGTTGCACGTATGTGGAAGGTATGATACCAATCACAAGGATCACCACGCACACGACCGGATCGCCATTTCGTGCTTCATACGCTGCGTATCCCCAGATGCAACCGACTGTTGTTCCCACGGCTCGCACCATGAATGTCATAACAGATGTACCGATAGCTACTTCGGTGATCAGTATGAGTTGTAGGGAAGCCCAGAGACCACGATTTAGCGAATACCAAACATTCCAATTAGAGACAAATGCAGGCCAAGAGACTAGAAAGACTGCCACTGTGAGCTTGACAGCGTACAGCAAATCTTCACTATCTGCTAGATACTCTATCACGTCTGCAAGATGGCTCCGCAGTCGATGCATCCGGGGTCCTCCCTTGGTTGTTCGTTTCTGGGCTTGCTTAGGAGAGATGTTCGCATTTGGAGATGTTGATCCCTCCCTCGGGGGAGCAGACTCGACGTCTTTCTTATTAAAAAGCGTTTCCTTACTGGCCAAGGAATCGTCATCATCATCTTCAGTAACATCCTTTCCCTTGCCAGTTCGAATTTCTTTCCTTGCGTTCTCTGGCAACGCAAATGGCTCGTCTTCACCACCAGATATAAGCCACTTGCGCCAATTGATTCTGGGAGCATAGAGTCTCGCGCGACCGTGTCTCGCTTGTCGCTTCTCTACTAAAAGCCTTGAATGATGGAGCATCTGCAAGGTATGTAAAGCAGCCTGACGAAGATTGAGCAGGAACGAAGATACCAAGAAGGTTTCCATACGAGGCATGATATCGATTTGAGGATGACCGAGATCGTGGAGAGTTGCGGCAGTCTCTAGAGCGGATGCTGAGTCTCTGTCGAAGTTTGTGAGTGCTTCCGTCAATATGTCAACACGTATATCGATCTCTTCCAGCTGAATCCCAGAAGGAGCTCGTGCCCCTGAGGGCAACTTCGGAACATCGTAGCAATATGCTAAGCAGGACGTGACGGCGTCCACGCTCCTATCGATAGCATCCTGGAGATCTGCGAGCGGTTTGGTAATTCGGCCCACCAAGTACTTCAACAGCTCAATATCACCAGACGCAATCTCCTTGTGAGGCTTTATCAGCTCTAGGTTATCAAGCTCTCGTTGGAGCCTGGACTTGCTCTTGTTCCTTGGCTTCCGATCCTTTGCTTTTCGTTTGTGGCTATTTGCGTCTTTTTTCTCATCGGTAGACTCATCTTGAGAGCTCTCGATCCCAGTACCCGGCCGCGAGGACTCGTCACCACTCTCAAGATTTGCTGCTGTTCCCGCATCGTTGAGCCCGTGCTGCTCAGAAGTCTCGAGATTTGCCTTGTCATTTTCATCTCCCATCAGAGCGTATTTGCTCTCACAAGCGCCGATCAAGGCTATTGTGTTTGCCACTAGCTTGTTCATATTTGTGTCACTTATGACTTTCAAGTCTCTAGGAGGTAGAACGGCCCATGCTAGTTCAAAATTACATTCCTGCTGGGCAGCCTTGCAGCCAGCCAGCTTTGCACGCAGTTTCGGCTTTGCATCTGTCAATGACTTGAGCTTAACAACTTTAGACGCCTCGGTAGCCTTTGGCTGTGCTGGCTCATGTTGCCTCTTTTCAACAATTCCCAAAAGTTTCCGAAGAAAAGAAGGCGTTTCTGATTTAGAATGTGCCGGCTCCTCTGCAGCTGTTGCAGGTCCACTCGGCTCGCTCTCTTTCTCCCCTGTCTTGCCGGTAGGCTCAGCCATGGTAATGAAATATTGCCCAGCATCTCTTAAAGCTCCTACCGTCTCTCCCAATGTCTCGATTGTGGTGATACCAAGGAAACTACTTGAGAACTCTGGAAACACCAGCATGTTGACAAGTAACAAGATTGCCACCGCCGTGAGAATCGGATATAAAATAACAGTGGCACTTGCAGAAGAAACAGCTGTGGAAGTACCTGTCAAGCTGACTACACAGACAATGACCAAAAGCAGGACGAAAATGAACAGTCTTGGTGTATGTGATCTCAGGAATCCATGGAATATCAGAGCCACGGCCAGGAACACACCCTTGACTGTGTAGGCCGCAGATGCATTGTTCTCGTATACAAGGCTTGACAGGTACACTCCCAAGACAGACCATCCGACTCCAAGTAATGTCCCAGATACAGTCAGGACGAGCGCCTCAGCCATCATTCCAAACCTTCGTCCTGGGTGTCCAAAGACCGTGGTTATAGGAGCGAGATATGCAGCACGGCCATATACCTGCACAATAGCAGGTATCAAGGCCAATATGACTGTAATCGTGGTTGCTAGGGTGTTCTTAAACATCCTCTGCCACAAATGGTTTGTGAGCAGATTGGCCCATATCGCCCGCGCCCTCTTTTTCGCCCATTGTTCCAGTTGCTTGGAAACATTTTTAGGGTTATAAGGAGAAGAACCACCCATTATGGGATAGGCCGAGGTATGATTGAGGATCTAAAGGTGTTCCTTTTGTGCCGGATGAGGTCGTGTTTGTGACGCGCCGTCATCGTATCGGAGGAAGAATAAAGGACGTGATTTGGATCAGCAGACCTCAATTGGCGTCGTGGACGAAGACTCAAGAGACTTCGAAAGTTTGGCAGTCCCACTGTGAACAATGTTGCATGTTGTTAAGGTGGAGTGAAGCTTGAAAATATCTCGATGCTTTTGGCTCTAATACTTTTGCGCTTTAGATCTCTACTGGCTGCCGGAGCTATCAGACCGAGCAGACCCCGCCATCCTCATCATCTCATGCATTCCAGCTCCAAGGCACCCCTCGTTTCTTCCACGGATAACATCCTGCTCACCAAAAACTCCATCTCACATCTATTTAGAATGGCGCCCTCTTCCTCTTTGATAGTGAGTATCCCGAAATTTGTTCTTGCTGGAACAGTCCACTAAATCCCTCTAGGCCAAGCTCAAAGTGCAGCTCAAGCTCTCCATTGCCAGGCTGCGTATGGTCCAACAGAAAGATGAAGCAGTTTCCAAGCAACAACGGCGAGCGATGGCGCAACTCCTCGAAGCTGGAAAGATCGAGTCTGCAAAGATCCGCGTCGAGAATATTATCCGCTCTGACATTACCACCGAACTCCACGAGATTCTTGAACTATATTGCGAGCTGCTGCTTGCGCGAACGGGCCTGATGGAAGCACAAACCTGCGATCCTGGCTTGGAAGAGGCCGTCAAGAGTCTGATATATGCAGCGCCGAGGACGGATGTCAAGGAGTTGCAGCAGGTGCGGAATCTGCTGGTGGAAAAATATGGCAAGGAGTTTGCGCTCGAGGCCATCGAGCATAGTGATGAGAAAGTCAGCGAGAAGGTGCTCAAGAAACTTACAGTTACGCCGCCTCCGCAAGAGCTCGTTAATGGATACCTGGAAGAGATCGCGAGGACTTATGGTGTGGATTGGCCGAAGAAACCAAAGGAGGAGCTGGGCGAGCCTCCGGAGTACGTCGATGATGACGATGACGAGAATCCAAGCGGAGGACAAGCACAGAAGAATCTCGAGGCTCCATTGGAAACAGATGCAGGGAAGGCAGTTGAAGAAAGGGAAGCATTGAGTAAGGCAACGCCGCCGAGGAATTTTGGTCCTACAAGCCCGCTGAGAGTGAACCCACCGAGCCCGAGCACGGATAATCTACATCCTAGGGTTAAAGGGACGTTGGATCTGAAGCCAACGAAGAAGATGGTGGATTCTGGGGCTGGTAAAGGGACACAGAGTAAAGGCCCCGTTGGTGGGACAATACCTGATGTGGATGAGCTGGCCAAGAGATTTGCGGCACTGAAGAAGTGAGGTTTGGGCAGACGGCATATTTGGAGTTTCGGTGTTGGTGGATTTAGCAGCAAGCAGCATAGGAGTTGAAGCGTAGTCATTGAAGAATCTCATGAGGAGGACCGCCGTTCATGCTCAAGAGCTTAAGACTTTTCAGCACGAGTTTCGAAGACATTTATGATCGCCATCGCTATGTACAGGAGTTAATAGCTTCTAGGCAAACCCAAAACCTTTTCGCCTACATAGTTCATGATCATCTCCCTTGACACAGGAGCTATCCTCGGCACAAAACACTCTCTCAAATATCTCTCAACATGATACTCCTGAGCATACCCCATGCCTCCCAAACTCAATACACTTCTCTCACAAGCAGTGAAAGCCGCTTCAGCAGCAAGATACTTAGCACTATTGCAAGCTACGCCCACTGCTGCCTGGGTCACAGTTTCATCTGTAGTTGATTGATCATACAGTCTTGCTGCGTGGTATGTCGCCAGTTTAGCAGCCTCGAGGTGCATATATGCATCGGCAAGTGGATGCTGGATACCCTGGTTCATCCCAATAGGTCTTCCGAATACAACTCGCTCTTTAGCATAGTTCGAAGCACGGTACAGCGCAGCATATCCGAGACCGAGGGCTTCGCCAGCCAGAAGGCAACGCTCGGCATTCATACCATGAAGAACGATCTTAAAGCCTTGCCCTTCCTTTCCAATAAGAGAATTAGCCGGGATAGTGTAGTTGTCAAAGAAGACTTCATTCGCATCGACTGCCCGACCTCCCATTTTTCTAATCCGCTTGAGTTCCAGGCCAGGTTGCTCACGATCGAAACCAATGAAGAACAAAGAAAGTCCCTCTGATGGTTTCTTGACTTCTTCGAGGGGCGTCGTGCGAGCGAGTAGGATCATCTTGGAGGCTACTTGCGCGGACGAGATCCATATCTTTTGGCCAGATATCTTGTAGGTGTCGCCAGAGCGTATGGCTTGCGTTTTTAGTTTGAGTGTTTCGAGGCCGGTGTTAGGCTCTGTGACACCGAAACAGGCGCGCCAGGTGCCATTTATGAGGTTGGGGAGCATGCGTTGGCGCTGTTCTGCGGTGGCGAATTTGGCGACTGGTTGGGTGGCATAGACATCTATTTTGTGTGAGTATTTAGTATATGAATAAGAGGGAGGTGAGTGGCTTACTGGCGTGGATCGACTGAGCACCTGCCATACCTGCTCCGCTCCTAGGTTGTATGAGTAACTGGTGAGATTAGGGACTGGAGGTACGGACTCCGAAATGGTATGAAGCATCATTGTTGCTTCCGATATGCCAAGTCCAGCGCCTCCTAGATCTTCTGGCAAGGCAATTCCTATCCAGCCATCTTTTGAGAGGTCTTTGTGTAACTCATGTGGATACTCTCCAGATTCATCATGAGCTGCCCAGTAATCCTATGAATAATGATCAGTATTGAAGCTGATAAATCTGGCATGAGAAGTTGTGTCAGGGATAAAGCGATATCAGCCTACAGATTTTTACTATCTTTGAGTTGGGATGTTCAATGCAGGGTTGACGACAATAGAATGTAAACATGCGAAATCAAAACATTGCCTCGGTAAAAGTACTAACCGAGTGGCACAATTGAGAAATGAGTAACTTTAAACATCATCGTAAGTTGACTTACGTCTGGGTAATTTGAACATATTTTTGATATTGCTTCTCTGACTTGTAATTGAGTATCTGAAAAGCCACTCGTTTCCATCAAGTTATTTGTTCGACGTGGAAGAGAAACCGAGAAGCATCGTGTTGCTGATACGCGGGGACGATGACGCGCGGATCCGAGAAAGCTGGATAGCAGAACTCGACGCATCCTTGAAGATATGAAATCACTTGAGATTGGATCGTTATACTACAAAAGAAATCTGTAATTCAAGAGGAAGAATTAGAATCTACATCTTCTTCAACGGAAGTGTAGACGTGGAAAAGAGGCGGTTGTTTCCGGCCATATTCCCCTTAGCGTCGATCAAGACTTGGCACCATCATCACGTGAAGAGTCGCGCCACGGGAGCAGGGAACTAGAAGCTCGACCAAAACAATGAATCGAAACTCCACCAAGCTCAACAACTTGCCAGCTTCGCCCAACCACGACAACAACGATCCACGACTTCGCAACTAATGCTATAGCTCCAGATTTACACGAAATGCTTTTATGATCACGAACACGAAATTCTCTGGTCGACCGTGTTGATTCCCACGCCCTCGACGCGCATTGTTTTGATTCGAGATCATGGCCGCCATTCGACCAAATCCGCGACTGCAGGTCGGTTCAGCACCATGGGTAGCTGAAGAGCGATCATCTGCGCTTCAGATCGCAGAGGCGGAGACGGAGGAGTTCACGTTCTCCGCGAGAAATGAGGTGGACTGGTTGAATGAGCATATGGCGGAGATCTTCAGCAAGAACCAGGTGTAGGTAAACATATTTGCAAAGCATCGCCCGTACTGACTATTGCTGCGCAGTAACGTGGCAGAAATATTCAAGACACCTGGAAAATTAAGAGGGAAGACTCCAAGAACTGTGCGGAAGGGCAATCCTCTTGAAGCGCGTGCAGTAAGTGGGATGTTCGCGAATTGAAGATATCCACTAAATAGAATACAGCCATTGACCGATGTTTTCTCTGCCACGCCCCAAGCACGAGCGAGTCCATTTAAACAAATACACTTCGAACGACCAGTCTCTACATTCCGAGTTGCTGAAGATGATCCTATGGATCAGGACGAGCAGGTTCTTCCAAGCACGTCCAAGGCACAACATAAATCACCCCATAAACCTATTCATAACACCTTCGACTCGGGCTATCATGGCAGTCAAGCAGATGACGCGACCCAGCCTACCCAGCCAAACGATCCATTTTTCGTCCATCAGACACCTCGAGTCTCCCCCGCGAAACCTGCTCCTCCACCTTCACCTGTTGCATCCCCAGAGTATCCAGAATCAGATTCCGATTCTGATGAGAATGTTGTGATTCTGGGTCGTGATACTGAAGAGCCTGAAGAACGCCGCACTACTGAAGGATCATTCCAGTCTGCCAGGGAAGAGCAGACGCGTAACGCGACAGAAGCGGTCGAGGCAGAGGTCGAGAAAGTAGTTGAGGAGGAGAAACATGTCCATCAAGAATCTGAGCAACCCTCATACCCTGTCCTCGAGTCACCAATAGAATTGCGACACCAGGGACCTGTATCACCTGCGAAGAGGTCGCCTCCGAAGTCTTCCCCGCTTAGACAACTGCCAGCCAAATTATCGCCAACAAAAAATGTACAGCTTGTGGCCGAGGAGGCTGAAGAAGAAGTGCTGGAGGAGGATGTGCAAATGGATGACGCACATTCACCAAGCGTTCACTCGCCGTCAGATGGATCCAGTCCCCTAAGACCAATTGTTCGGAAAAGCAGTCTCAATTTCGCCTCCTTGCCGGCTCGGGAACCATTAACAACCAAGAAGAGTATCGGAAACCGTGTTTCGCGTACTAGCCATTTGGAACAATCAAGAACCAGCTACTATGGCAGGCAAACAGGTGGGAAGAGCTTGGGCAATGCCAGACGCGATGACGAAGACGGTGATGATGAGATGGATGTGGACGAGCCAACCAAGGATGATACCGATACCAAGATGTCACGTCTACACAACAAAACTTCAACTCAGAGACTGCAAGACCAAATCAGCAAGCTTGGGCAGTCCCAGTCCAATGTTCGGCCATCAAAATCCTTTGCCAGCAGCAGTATGGCACAATCACAGGCCACCCAAGTCATGCAAGGTCCAACAGTCCAGGACTCAAGGCAAAAATCACCAGAGCGCCAAAAGTCGCCAGAACGGAAATCTCGTCTCCCTGGAGCATTCCCCGACGATGAAGATGATAGCTGGATTGGGCCTCCTCCACAAGCTGCAGCTGAGCCCTCGATTCTCAGCCCCAGGCCTCCCATCACCAAAAGCCATACAACAGATGTGATGGAGCAGATCCATTCAAAAGACAGTGTCGGTGGAGAACAGTTCAGCATCCCCAAACGAGGCAACCAGCAACGGAACCCATCGCCCATTCGAGAACCTATCATTCCAGAACGAACCACGAGTACACTTGGTCACATGAAGTCAGTTTCAACTTCTGTCTTGCGATCACCGAGGAAGGCGGGAGACTCTCCTGGTCTGAAAAAGACAATTTCGGTCTCAAATCCTACACCATCTATCCATACAATTGATGAAGGCCGAACGACACCACCCCCGAAATCACCTTCACGAAGCTACAAGGGCAGTCCCTTGAAGGCTGCTAAGGACAAATTCTCCTCGATTCTGAAGACTTCAAGGGGTTTGTTTGCTAGCAGTGCCGCTGTGAGCGCCGAAGCCAAATCTGCGGCACTCTCTCCACCCTCCTCTCGAATTGGCATGAAAGATAACCCTTCGTTGGAAGATGTCTTGTCTCAGTCAAACAACAGAAATCCTGTCTATCCAAATCTCGAGAACAACTACATGAGCAGTCAACAATCTTTACAAATGCCAGCTAGTCCTCCAAAGGCGAGTGCTCGAAAAACTCGTGCTTCGACCGAACGGGAAGAGAAGAGAAAAGAAGATGAAGCTAGGGAAGCAAAAGAGATGAAAGATGCCCAAAAGATGAATGATCAACTCGAGAAGGCTCGTATGAAGGTTAGAGAAGACGCTCGAGTTTTCCACATGGAACAAGAGCGAGTTGCAGCTATGCAGAAGGAGATCGCAGCCAGGAAAGAGCAGGAGAAGCAGGCAAAGGCCAGCCAGGTTGAGCTCCCACGACCTGCCACTCGAACAAGCCCTCGCAAGACTAAAGCCCAACTGGAAGCCGAAGGAATTGCTGCTGCCGCCGCAAGCACTGACGAGCTGGCTGGTAGGGATGTAGAGATGACAGAATCTCAAGCTTCTCACGCTATGCCGCCTCCGGCTATTCCTCGACCAAAGTCCCAGATCGGCAGACCCGGAGTGAAGCGACCCATGAAGCCCGCTGCAAAGGAGCCAGCCACGAAGGGCAAGCCAACTGTTATCAGAGTTGACACTGGCTCGCAGCGAGGCCACCATCACCACCCATCCAATTCCACACTCGCAGCCTCACTTCAGGATTCACTGGCATCTTCGCAGCAAACCGCGCCTTCTCAGAGTTTGAGACACAAGGCAAGTACCAGCTCTATCCAAAGCAACAAGACGTCGACAAATAGCTTTAAGTCGGCGGCTTCTAAAGCCTTGGAGGCAGCGGCGAGAAAGAAGGAACAGGTACGCAGTCTACATTCTTCCCAAAAATGAACCCCACTGATATCCATAGGATGAGCTTGTTGCACAAAGGAAGCGTGAGGCTAAGCAAGAGGTTGAGCGACAACGAGCTGCCATCAAGGAGGAGGAACGGCGCAAGGAAGAACAACAGCGTCGAGAAGATGCTGAGAGGCAGCGTGAGATCCAAAAGGAGCGTGAGAGAGCCAACGCAATCGCCGATGCTAAGAAGACAGCTTCACGGCAAGCGATTGAAAAGAGAAGACTGGAAATGGAGAAGGCAAAGGAGACCCGAGCTCCACCGCCAGCAATCCGCCCTCAGCCCAGTGGCGACCTTGCTCGAGCTATGGATAAGGCCTTACCTCCGGTTCCCCAACAACGCAGTGAGCTTGGCCAATCGAAAGCCCCTCGCGTGAACGCCGGGACTCAGCGTTCGCAAGAGGACATGGGACGTTCCGCAAACTCAACATTGCACAACAGCACTAAAGCTCCGCCAAAGCGACCACTCCAACAAGATACTGATGACTATCATTCTCGACCTACCCTTCAACGTAATGGGCCATCCTATCACGAGCAGCAATGCAAGCGACCCAGAATGACTGAGGAGTTTGATGATGATGACGACTTGACGGAGAACCAACCAAAGATGATTGCCCCTCCAATTCGACAGTCAAGCGTCCGCCAGAAGGTAAGTGACTTTCGAGCCACGACGTTTGCAATACTAATATGTTTAAGGATGCCCCAACTAAGTCATTGTTCCCAAGCGGTTATGCTAATGCACCACCGCCAACAACACTTCAACGCTCGACGCTTATTTCTCAGCACCAAATGAATCAGTCAAAGCCAGCGCATCCTATGGATATGGCTCAGGTGTCCAAGGCTCCAATTGCATTTGCGTCCAGTTCAAGTCATGCCAATTCCCAGTCTCACAAGACTCCAGCTCGTCCTGGTCAGTCACATGCGGCTAGTAAATCGGCAGCCAAGTCAGCAGCCAAGTCGTCGCCAAAGTACCAGAATGGCGAGAATATTGAGCTTCCTGAGATCCACACCGATTCAGAAGATGAAGACTCTGATGGAGGCGGAGGGGACTTTGTCCCTTCTGCTTGGACTGAATCACCTGCGTTGCGCGAGAGACTTATTAACCAGGAAAATCTCGATCCTTCAAGTATTTTTGGTCTGCCAGGAGCACTGAACATGGAAGAAGTGTTCAGCAAAAGCAAGGATCGCTTCCATAAATTCCGAGCCAGGACATCAAGTGCCAACTGGTCGGGTCAAGACAGATTGACAGAAGATGAGATTCGGAAGGACATTGAGGCTCGAGATAAATTGAGGAGACAAGGAGGATGGACTTATGACTCGATGGTTTAAGGATATTATTTTGGGAAGGGGTCATTGGTTGGTTGCTAGAGTGATGACCGGAATCCGGGGTAGGATGTTGATTTGATACATGGATGTATCCTTTGGGAGTCTGTATATTTTTGACATGAGATGAGGGAACGCAGGATGAATGGCCGTTGCTGGTGATTATCGCAAAAGTGGTGGTGTTTATGGAGTATGGTATGGCAGTCTGTGAATTGGGGCTATTATCATTGGAGATTGGAGTAATGAATATGAAACGATTCTTTGTTCCATAATGCTTGTCTCTGCTTGCTTTTGGTGCATGTGCTGGATGGCATTCCAGCCACTTGCCGTGAAGTGCATTATTCGGCCAAGCTAGGTAGCGGACTCTTTGCTCCCATCAACTTGCAGAGGAGCTCTCGTACGTGGCTGTGAAATAGATACTGATTTTTAAAATAAGTATTTTCCTCATACAATGACTCCTACGCAGTCTTATAAATTGGCTTTGTGTTGAAGATAGCAACACAGCCTAAAATAAGTCCCTGGACAATTGCAGCTTTCTTGACTCGTGATCCATCACGTGCATCTATCGATAAGCTCAACAACCTAAATTTACCTACCTAAGTACCTACTGTACCTACCTTAAAGCAGCAGGGATTGCTGCCCAAGCTAAAGTACAATGAACCTGGACACTGATCTCCGGCTGACAACTCAGCAGCAATACGACACGTCCAGACGTCTAGAGCACATGCAAGACGAGGAGCGCAGCAGACCACTTGACCTGTTTATCAACCTGTGCCCGCGTATTGCGACAAAGTCGAATGCAACAACAAAGCGCACTCTGAGGCTATTCACAAGCCTTGTCGCTGATGTCATATCTGCGTTGACATCTTCGCTAAGCCCTGAAGTGCAGTGCAGTGCAGTGCAGCGCAGCTCAGTGTGGTGAAAGGCGCGCGGGATTTTGTTTCTTAGATGCACCGACCACTACCACGGCCCTGAACTTGCACTCGACCTGACTGACCGCGTCGATATTGATTATTTCGCAGGACAGGACAGGACAGGACAGGACAGGGCATAGCAAGACTTCGACAGAGGCAGGACAAGCAACTCGCAGATTATTTGGCTACCAGTGCCTTCGACTACGACTACGACTTCGATTGCTGCTGGTTTCACAAGGCAACAGACGCACTCCAGATTCTTTCCCCACCAATATCGTCACATCCCACCACACTACTTCGTACGTCTGCCGTCAGCCACCACCGGACTGCGAGAACGACGCGAAAAGAGAATTGCACTTCGAATCCCCTCGCTTTTCGCCTTTGACTGTACCCGCTCATACTAGTCTCCCATGCTGCTTGTCTCTTTGCGCTCAGACTGAAAGCAGACTTCCGCCCGCCAAGCGAACACTCGTTTCTTCCTTGCCCTGCCTTACCTGCCTTCCCTCTTTGTAACCTTTTGCTATCGACAGGGCTAGCTGGACAATATTCTTTTGGCTTTCTCTACACCTTCAGCTACATCCCACAGAGCTTCTGTACAACCGGCGCTATTGACGAGGACGACGAACCGCGTACGATTTAGACTACTGCCCTGCGACTGCTAGCAGTCATTAGCACCTGTTCATGAGCTTTCTTTGTTTCAAAGTTGCTCAAGTTCACTTCTGGTCTGCAGTTCACTTCAAGTTGCAGAGCCCACAATGGTGAAGGCGGATTTCACAAGAGATTACTATGGTGATCTAGAGATAGCTCCTGGGGCAGACGTCAGCGAGATAAAGAAGCAGTTCAAGAAGCTAGGTAGGTTTGCTCGCAGGTAGAGGGAGGCATATAACTAACAGCATACTTCGTCAGCTCTCACCTACCACCCTGACCGCAACCCTGGCAGAGAAAATGAAGTCACAGCGAAGTTCCAGAAAATCCAGTCGGCACACGAGGTCCTGATTGATACCCAAGAACGAGCAAAATACGATGCGAATAGAATTAGAGGTGGCTCAAGATATGGGGGAATGTCATCTGGCGTGAGAGGGAATCCTTGGTCACAAACAGCTTCGCAATATCCACCCCCGCCAAAAGCTCCTACTGCTCGACAGAGACCACCTCCTCCTTCGACTGGTGCGAGACGATACGAGAAATTCGCCACACCGAATCCTTCAGCATACCAAGCATCACAAGAGGGCCCCCAAGCTAGGAAAGATACATACGAGGCATGGGAGAAGGTTAGGCATCAGAAACCAACGCCGGGAGATGGAGGACCGGGACCTGGCAAGACTTGGAGGGCACCACAGCCTCCACCAAGAGGTACACCGCAGTCAGGGCGAGAGGAGAGCAATGCGAAGAAACATGCCCCGCCACCGCGGCCTGGTCCTGCGTTCGACGAGTTCAGAGAAGCTAATAGCCCGAGGAGAAGTCAGAGTACAAATAATGCAAGTCGGAAGGGGTTTATGCCAGCCACACCAGGCGGAGGAGATGAGCCACCTGCTCCCATGGGAGCGTACTTTACAGAGCGCAACAAGCCAACGGCTCCTCCTGAAGTTCCGCCTCGAGAGCCACCACGAGAGCAATTCCAAAGAGAGCCATCTATGAGAGAACGTCCACAGACTTCCAAACCAATCCCCAATCCATTGCGGCAATTCCAAGATAAGCCAATGGTTCACGAACCTCGCATTAGCACACCATATGCAACTCATGGAGGAGAAAAGTTCAATCCTTTCGAAAGTACTAATATCAACGGATCCAAAAGCACTCGGGAGCGTCACGACAGATTCGACGATGGGCATATTCCTCGCACTGGATCAGATTCCAACTTAAATTCGCCACAACGAGCTCGTTCATTCGCTCAACGAACTTCTCCTAGAACACACAAGTCAACCTTTTCAGAGACTATCAATCTCGATCCTTCGAGTGAGGAATCTAGTTCCGATGGCTTTGTGCAGATGAATCCTCGTTCTCGGGTACCACGAACCAATGGTGCTTCAAATGGAAAAGCAAATGGCGCAGCCAATGGGGCTGCCCAAAGCACCCCACAAGGATCCAGTGCTCCTAAGCAGCCTGATACGAGTAAGCAAAACGACCCCTTTAGCGGTCCTCAGAAGGCCAATCGTACAAAAGAACGTCGTTCTGACGGCAATATAGATGGTCAAGCTCCCCAGTCCGCCCAGCCTCAAACCCAGTCACAATCGCAAACCGCTCAACCAAATGGAGAGTCAATGTATGCATATTCAAGTTTTTCGAATTTAGTCAGCTCCGACCGGCAGCGAGTACCAAACTTCTCCGTCAAGCTTCCGACAGTCTCGGAAACCACCCGTTCTGGCGAGGCAAACGCACCGAAGCGAGTACCCTCCAAGAACTTTACAAATTCAAGACCTGTGACACCTCCCAGTGGATTCACAGATTCTGCGCAGTCTCTCAATGCTTTTGAGGGGTTTCAGCGGAATATAGTCGACCAGCTCCTCATAAATAAGGGTTCTGGTGGCAGGAAGTCTGACTCCAACTCTGGTTCAGCCGAAGCTCCACGCTTCGGAACCGGCAGCCAGAGATGGATGGATCCTCATTATCCATCTCTGAAGCATTCTACTTCTGCTTGGACCGAGTATAGGGAGTTTTCAACATCGACGAGCCCGTCGAAGAGACCCCGACCGGTCAAGCATCTTCATACTGTTCACCCCTTTGATTACGAGCGTTCTCACCGTTATTGGGAAGAATTAAAGAAAACTAAGAATAAAGCTAATTACCCTGATCGATCTTCTAGTTTCTCCTTCAATATCAACGATGAGACGTTCAATCGAACGAGACATCCATCGAATGGTTTTAGCAACAGTGCCGAGAATATCAGCACCAAGTTCACACCGGAAGACTGGGATGGCAAGTTTGAAGCCGGGGCTGATTATTTCAAGCCGGAAGTCAAGACACGGACTCAGTCGACTTCCCGACCAAGAGGAAGATCACCTGTCAAAATTCGGCCTGTTGATCCCAAATTTGCACAACCTCGAGTTGAGCCAGAAACACCAATGGAATCGCCAGGCGGAACGAAGTTTTCAGCTGAGGAATGGAATGAGACCTTCAAGCCGCAGACATTCATGCCAACAAATATGCCCCCTCCGCCTCGTACAGCTACGACACCAAGCAGAAAGCGGACTGGACCTACCATTCGACCAACTATGGGTACTGCTGCGGTTGTGGACGATAGCGAGACTTCTGATGAGAAGCCACTCTTCACTGGTCGAAAACCCATGTATTCTATGCCCTCGAGCCCGGAGCCTATGGATGTAGATACACCGCCCACCACTAACACAGTCCCTCAATACGCCACTACTCCCAACGGCCACTTAAAAGTCAACACCGAAACTCAGAAGCGAGCAGCCTCGGTATCTCAATCACCAACGGACACCGAAGGCCTCAAAGTCAACTTCGACGATCTCAAAATCCAAGATTTGATGTCCACTCTCGCTCTCCCTACGCCACCCCAAGCACCTGATCTACCCGTCGGTGATACAGAGTACGAGCGTCCCAGCCGAGCATCCTACGAAGACTACCTCAAGCGCTACGCAAAATACATGGGCGAATGGGACATCTTCAACAGCAAGTACCTCCTCCACATGGTCGCACGTCGTCGCCAGAACGACAACCTCAAGGATAAGCGGTGGACGGATCGAAGTGGTACTGAGATCTATCGGCTGGGATTGAAGGAGGATCAGGCTGTGCTGAAGCGATGGGGCGAGATGCAGGAGATGCATGAGTTGGTCGTTAAGGCGTTTGTGGTTATGCGGGAGAGGATGAGGAGCAGGGAGGAGAGGGAGGGGGTACCACCGCCGCAGAGTAGTGATAGGCCTAGGCCGAGGAAGAAGACGCATTGAGGTGGTTGGGTGGTTGGTTGGTTGGTTGGTCGATTGGGCGAAGAGGGTTTGGATCAGCGAACAGCTTGATGCTAGGGCTGTGAGCTCAGCTCGGCCGCGTTTGTGGGGCTTTGGTGTTTGCATTTTATATGCAGCGTTGAGATGCAACACGTTTGGGTTATGGGTATTTTTTGTCTGGAGCAGCGCATAGCGGATAGCGGATAGCGCATAGCGAGTTAGTATGCGAGTGAGCGAAACGAATACCAATGAAGAGCGAGCGACTTTGTGATTGTGGATCATTTACTATACATGATAAAAACTCAGCGTGCATGCGAGCGAGAGAGCAAGTGACTGAATGATACATACTTACAGATGGTATGCAAACATGCATTATTGCAAGGCGTTGTTTGTTACTTTAGTCTGGTCTCCTGTGTGCCTTTTTTCTGGATCAATCTGGCTTGATTTCTTTTGTTTCAGGTGGGTTGGTCTGGTTTGTATTTTTTTTGTCTTGGGCGCGGCGCTGGGGGCGAAAGGCTGGTACCGTATATATGTCATAGCAGTGGAGGTGGAGGTGGAGTTGGAGCGAGATGGGGAGATAAGAAGATGAGAAGATGGAAGATGGGAGGGAGAAGGGAGATACTCCTATCCTACCCAGCTCTTGAACGCGGTACTGTACTGTGCTGTGCTGTGCTGTGTGTGAATCGAACCGAGTGAGTCGAGTTGAATCGAATCGAATCGAATCGAATCGAATCGAGTTGAGCGGAGTGTGCCATCTTACATTTTGAGAATCTAGAATCTAGAATCTAGAATCTAGAATCCGGATTTCCAAGGGTTTGGTGCTGTGAAATTACGTGTTGTTGTTGTGTTTTGGTGTGTGTGAAGGTGGGTAGGAAGTGAAGTGAAGCAGAGTGAGGTGATTAGTTTTGAGGGGGCTCGCATACATATGTAGCTATGTACGAATAGCTTTTATGCGGAACTTTTCTCTTGAGAGACGGGCAATGCTTGATTGTAAAGAGAGGGAGGGAATGAAGAAGGGGGAAACGATATGGAGATAAAGACCTTAATACTTTCTTGTAGGTTGAGGAACAACTAACACTATGCACTGTCAAGGATTAAAGTATAATAAGTACTTTTTAGCTTCAATATGCTAGTACAACCGTTGCAAGTATTACCCATACAAAAACAAACCTCTGCTTGTGCTACTTGGAAAGGGGCGAGATTCCTAGAATCTGAAGTATCTTTCTAAATTTGATCCTCGGGTTTGATATCATTTATAGAACTATTTCTCGAACGAATTAGTTTTTCCCTAGGCCTAGGTATGCAAGAATCTCCATAACAATGAAAGACTTAGGGACGTTGCAGTCCTTAAGCCGCTGTTCAGAACACACACTTTCTACAGGGCTGAGGTTAGCGCACGTGCCCTGTAGTACAGAGAACCTGGAGAACTTTAGCACCTCGCTTCAGCACCGCGCTGTACAAAGTGTGTTACGGAGTTAATGGCAGCTTAAGGGATAGTAAATGTACTCTGACCTGTAGTAGGTACTATGACCCAGAAATCCTCCTGCAATAGATAGCGATAAATGTTTATTCTGTACTCTATATGTATTCGTATGGTACAGGCCTATCCGCATCCCAACGCCATATTTAAGACAACTGTTGCTAGCGGGGTGGCAGCCTTAGGCCACGAATGTGCTTGGAGAAACGAACGCCTCGGCCAAGCTTACATAGGTACACATCCTCAAGTTGTTTTACCCCTGGCGCGAGAGGGTTTGGTAACTTTCCACAGTGATATCCTTCCTTCCTTTACCTTCCTCATGACTTTGTACTCTCTGTACGTAATGAGCCAACCGACCCCGGGTCCCAACGATGCCGAAAACCCTTCCACTTCTACATGGCGAGATGACCGTGGAGTCGGCCTTGGACGACGATGATAACATGCTCCAAGCGCTAGCGTACCCCCAAAAACGATTCGATTTCTTTGTCTACCTCTGGAAGCATCGCAGCGAAATCGAAGATATTGTGTCGGACCATCTTGGTCTGAATGGAAGAGGTCTGTGTCAAATAGGAGAGGTCAAAGATTGGATGGCTGGGAGCTTCAATGTTTGCATCCCAGTCCATGTCCACGGGGCCAAAGTTCGCAGCAAGCGGGTGATCATCAGGTTTCCACTGCCATACAAGGTGGGAGAATTACAACACCCAGGTAATGCGGAAGAGAAGATCCGTTCTGAAGCTGCTACCTTTATCTGGATCCAAGAAAATTGTCCTGGTGTTCCAATCCCTCACTTGTGGGGGTTTGGGCTTCCCGACGGCCAGAGCGTATGTACACCACTCAATGGAGGTGTCGATGGGTCCCTTTCAGACATATACTGACTTTTCTCTGATAAATCCTTTAGTATACGACTCCTGATGCTCCTCCCTTTCACACGCGGTTAATGTGGTACCTTCGCCGGACTGCTCTATCCCTATTAGGATATCCGGTCCCTTGTCGATATATCAGACGTCAACGTGTACGAGCCCTGAAGACGGGGTATCTAGTCATCGACTACATCGAAGCCACGCGTGGAAAGATGCTTTCTGAATCTTGGGACGAGCTACGCCACGACAGAGAACGAAGGTCTAATCTATTCAGCGGCTTATCTCGAATCATTCTTTCTTTGGCGCAGTCACCTCTACCACGCATAGGTTCTCTAACGATAGACGAATATGGCGTTCTATGTCTGTCTAATCGCCCTCTAACACTTCGTCTACAACATCTAGAGAACGAGGGAATTCCAACCAACATCGACAGAAGCCTGACGTATTCTACTACAGATAGCTACCTACTTGATCTTTTGCTGTGCCATGACAGTCGAATACGAAACCAGCCTAATTCTATACTTGAAAAATTTGATGGGCAAGCACAGCTGTCGGCGTTGACTGCAATGCGAGCCCTCATCCCTCACTTCGCAAACCGCGATCTTCGACATGGGCCTTTTGTACTTACACTCACAGACCTTCACCAGAGCAACATATTTGTTGACGACGACTGGAACGTTAAATGTTTGATTGACCTCGAGTGGGCGTGCTCAAGGCCACTTGAGATGCTACACCCACCATCTTGGTTGACTGGTCGAGGGGTGGACCAACTAACCAAGGGAGAGCACCTCGACGCCTACAGCAGTGTACATGGGGAGTTTGTTGATGCTTTTGAAAACGAAGAAAAATCGTACGCTCACGTGAATGGCGATGCCTCATTTCGCACACGCATCATGAGACGAGGCTGGACAACTGGAAACTTCTGGTTCTTTCATGCCTTGGACAACCCCAAAGGATTGTATAACATATTTCTCCAGCATATTCAGCCGAGGTTCATGGAGGTCGATGATAAGAGCATGCTGGAGTTTGAAAGAACCTTGGCTCCATATTGGAGTGTTGATTGGCGTGAAATCATAGCAGCTAAGATCAAGGACAAGGAGGTGTACGACGATCAGCTCCGCAGGGTATTTGAAACTCCTGCGGTAAAGGAGTGTAGATGACATGTTGACTCTTGATAAAGACTAATTGCATCCACTGTCACATTGGGTTGTAATGTTCTCGGGTCTGGCTTATCCACTACCAGTGCCTTTCCCACTTGCTTCCTCTTGCGCCTTGATCCTCGCAGCCTCTTCCCGCTTCGCCCTGGCTTCTGCTCTCTTCTCCTTCGCCTCTTTTCCGGAAGATGACAATTGATTCATAGTTTTCTGGTCTGTCAGGCCCGCCGTAACCGCGTTTCTAGCGGCGCGGTCCTCAGCTTCCTTTCTCGCTTGATCGTCGTCCATTTTGATAGCTTGAGCTTGCCGGTCCTCTTCTTTTGGAGCTGTCGTGTGTTACGGCTGACAAGGTCACCCCGCTAAATACAACTGATAAGCTTCTTGGATGGTTGCCGAAGCAATATCGAGACAAATATACAAATATACTGACTTTGGATGATGAAATTGGGCTAAGTTGAAGAACCCAAGATATTCGATTCAGAGTCAAATGGCCGAGTAGGTAGGCCATATAGTATGGGGAGTTGTGTTTTTTTATATATCAGCCAGTGGACAGGCTGAGCTCTGCCTGGATTCTCAATATGCAATGCACATCGCCCCAAGAAGATGTGCGTGCATATTCCGACCTATCGAGCTTTCGTTGGTATCCGCTCTTAGCATCCTCATTCGACGTGCCAAGCAGGCAACATCGCCTATTCAGCATCGCAAGTAAGTATGATTTCTCAAGCCATTGCCTTATTCTTCCCATGCTGAACAGGGGGGCAGCTGCAGAGGTCAATTGCCACGTCACAAATATTCTCCGGTGTAGGCTTTGATTGACATACCCAGGCGTTGTCCACCATTGAGCAGTTCAATGCTGCAGAATTGCCCACCTTCGCCAGTCTTTCCAAATTCACGAGGTTAAGCAGTCTACGCAAAGGGGGCGACCAGTCTCAAATCTGCTGATTTCATGACTCAAATATTTTGATGATATTTCTTCCTCAAGACAGCTAGCTGTTCCGTTCGACCTTTCCAGAAAAAGCCACCCCGGTACCAAACGGGCAGAGGAATTCTCACGCTCGGACTTGCCTGGCGCGTACAAAGTCTCTCATACCTCTGCGACCGGTTCTCAGGCTACTACAATTGTCCAACTGTGCTTTGACTTGTGAAGGTGACGACATGTACCCCGCGTAACCTGTACTACTAACTCCCAAAGTGCCCCAACACGGCTTAGATACCAAAATATGCCACCAAGACCCCAGCCTAAGTTCAAAATTACCTGGTGGATGCGATTTCGTTCCAAGATCCGATGTCTACATACACCATTGAGTCTCCGACATAGTATTGTGCGACTCCGGCACAACCACAATCACCCGTTCTTGGCACTGCTAAAACTATTTACGATCAACCTACGAGCACCATCATGGAACTGGTCGTATGACTATCCGTTACCAAAGCCGCTTGCACCTCAAGATATTGCTGCGAACGAAGCCCTTTTTGATTGCTATCACCCTGATCTCTTCGACTTGAGGTATATCCCAATCTGGACGATACGCGATACCCCTCTCCGAGCTATCTACCGTCTCTACGAGATACTCATGACCCAAGAATTCGTCTTGCTCCGCCTCGAGTGCGAGTACATGTGGAAACAGCAAAGCCGAAAATGGTCTTTGGGTTCAATACCTGACCCTTGTGACCCAGATCCTGTTCGCTATGCCATACTGGCTTCTGTCGTTGAGGAGCTGGTCAAGGCTTTCAACTGGCGGCTTGCACATGGCCAGAGAAAGGATGGGAGGCATGTGCGCAGGACCAAGGAGATTCCGTGGCCTGAGTATGATCCGGAGGTTGTACCTTGTTGGACGGCGTCTGTTCCTGCGATAGGAGAAAGAGATCTTTCGGGCTTGGCTAAGGACATTGTAAAGGATGGTATGCTACTTCTTGGAGATGGAGGATGTGAAAACTTCATTCGCCGAAATTTTGATGCTCCTACTCGTTATTTGTATACAACATGATACATGAGTATGGGGGTTGGCTTGCTTGTGGGTTCTTCTCTTTCGAACGCCGTCTATAGTTCAGATGATAATGGGTAGCTAAAGGAACTCCTTCACGTTGTGATCTGGTAGGGCAAGTTCGGGGCTTTCTTGGGCGGGGCCCTTTGCAAGAACTGCACTGGGCACCTAAAAGGCACTGCCTCCGTTTGGGAATAGGGAACCTCATGTGGAAAGGTTTTATGATAATATCAGGGATTTTCGATAGCAGTGATAACGGGAGTCGGTGGGGGACATATTCCATGTTGCACACGTTCTCTTTTTGGGGAGTCCTGAGCAGTAGAGGCCTGCGGATCTGTGAATAGCACTCGTAGTACGGATTGTGTTCTGTATATTCAATTGAGACCATGACTCATGAAGCAAGCCATTCTTGATGGCCGTAGAGCAAGTGACGCTAATGCCCAAAGAAGGCAATTACTCGAGAAGGGTTTACTATCTATTCTTGACGGGTTCTTCGTCGAACACAAAACCACTTCGAATGGCCACATCGCCCTTGCTACAATATCAACTCGCAGCAACCATGGAACTCCCTGGACTGCCTTTCGAGCTGGTCAGGATGATTGTCAATTACAACGACATCACGCAGCGCGATCGCTGCGCTCTTGCGCGTGTCAACAAGGCCCACAACAGGAAGGTGAGCGGCTTGCTTTATCATGCAGTCGTCTTTTCAGGAAGTTATCGTGCGGCAAACGGTTCTCTCGTCGCTACATCCATTCGCAAGAATATCGAATGCTTCTCCAGAACTCTCGTTGAATTCCCCCAGCTTGCAGGAATTGTTCGATCTGTCACTATTGAATCAGCCTGCCGTACAGATACTGATGAGCATGTGACGATGAACCTCCAGAGAATTTTGGGAATGTTGTCTAATCTTGAGTCTTTCTACTTGATTGGCAGTCTACAGAGATCCCGCTCACTGAACAGTCCCCCGACGCTAGAATGGCAGCCATTGTCCTCGACCTTGAAAGAGTTGACGCTGTCCACGTATGGTATCACAAAATCACACGCTCTAGCCATATTACAACAACCTAAACTCAAAAAGCTATCGATCATATCAATCAAGAGTCCATCTGCTCCACTACCAGCAGTCGACGTTCAACTCAAAACCTCATCGTTCCCAGCCTTGGAACACCTTGAACTCGGATCTCTGGTCCAGCACGACGCTTTCACAGCATCTGTCCTTAGGCGATGTCACACCCTGAAGTCCCTAAGCTTAAAAGCGGGCAGAGCGGATGGAAATGAAGGAGGAGAAGGGGAAATACCATTGAGGCAACTCCTTGCTCCGCTGTTCGACACCTTACAGTCTCTTAAGCTCAGAGGAAACACTGGCCCTCAAGGCGACTCTACGTACCTCAACCTTAATCCCTATGCGCGTCTCGACTTCGTGGACTTCAAAAATCTGAGATGCTTAGACGTTGAAAGAAGATTTCTCTTTTCTAGCAATCCCAATGACAACTGGTTCAGTGAAATTGTTCCACGAGATTACTTTTACTTACTGCTTCCCAAGTCCTTGGAATCCTTAACCGTATGTTGAAGACGACTTTTATTGATATCTGCTAATCAAAGCAGGTCAAATTCCCCGGAAATTCAAGTGTGGTCGACAATAATCCATACGACCCTGATACTGCGTCCAAGCAGCCGATTAATGAGAACTGTGAGTGGATCGAGAAACTGGCTCTACGGAAATCTGAGTACTTTCCCGGCCTTCGCCACGTAAAGTTTTACGAGGAAGAGTTCATGCGAAAGAATAAGTCCTGGAATGCGCCGCAACAAATCAGTACACTTTACCGCCGGAACGGCATCAGATTGGAGGTGTCAGTACGTCCGCTTTCCGTCTACGAATCTAATGTAGAGCGTGACCACAGCGTTGAGTATTTGGACCACATGTTCTTCCCATGTCATACCCGGGATTTAGATTTGGACCATGATGCTCATTTCACAGTGCCAGAGGTAGAGATGTCATCTTCACAAGACGCCACTATCAAATCTGCGCTAGAAATCTTCCCGCGAAAGATGCGGGAAGGCAACAAACTGTTTCTGATGGGTCGTGTTGAAGAAATCAGGTCCTTGAATCCTCCCACTGAGAAAGATGAATTGGATAAAATGTCAAGATTCTGGTTTGAAGGCTATCCTGCAGCTGAGTGGCCGTCTCCTGGATCTAACCAAGCTCACGTGGTGTACCGTTCAACGAGCAGGATATACGAAACTTTCTGGGCCCAAGAAACAGCCGTGACATCAATCGACGAGTTGCTGCTCCTGGAGCATCCACTCTCAGATGGAATGGATTGTGGAGACGCTAAATTCACTCCTCCGTGGGATAGAGACCAAATTGAAATGATGGAGCGATGGATCAACAAGAAAGCAGGAATGGGAGAAGATGGGCCTCTGCGAATGAACGATGAGTTCATATCATTTGTCAAATATGCCCCGCGAGGAGTACGAGATCCCGACTTTCGCAAGTCCAGCATATGTGAATTCTTACCAAGATGGACTCCGCGGGGCAATTACTGCGTCCCATGCAATGAAAATCCAGATGAAGGCACCTGGTACTTCCAGAGCGATGAGGATGGCAACCAGTCATTCGAGGCAGATGGCCAGAAATACGACCTTTTGACCTACACTCAGGCAGGAAGAACCAGATGCCCGTGGAATAGCCACGTGATGGGTCTTCTTGAACGCATATGGACTTCGTATTATGTTTTTTGCAAAAAGACAGAGAAGAATGCTCCTGACATTCAAAGAAACCACGAGCTGTATACAGAAGAAAATGGCTGGCAATGGCGAATATTGTTCTTCGACGATCGTGAGTGCCCCATAATTCTCCTGCTTGACTTTCCTCTGCCATTCAGGGGAACTCTACTCTTTCTGAGTATATTCGTAAATACAATACTAATCCGACCTCCCACAGGGTTTGAGACTGGCGTTTTCGCCGTGTATTTATTTGACAGTATCGTCGAGTTCCTTGAGTGGTACGGTTCATGGTACGATCGACTGGATATGACCGAAGTTCGAAAGAGTACCGAACCATTCCCAGGGATGTCATGGGATGAATGATTAGGGGTACTCGAGGAGTCTGTATGTCAGTTGTGCTTCGAGTGACACAATCCACGAGTCTATCACCGCTGCATCCCTTTGGCAGCTATCTTGCGTCAAGATGTCTGGGTCTACCCGGTACAGTGACGAGTGGGTGTTTCTAGGCTAGATGGATCGTGCGTATCAAACCTGCTTGGGAGGAATGAATAGTTGCGCAAGTCGAGATTGTTTATTTTCAGCGCTTAGGTTGGCAAGGAAACCGCCCCACTTTCCTCTTCCGGTCCTATCCTTGCATAACCTTATCTCATAAAATCCACACAAAAATTTCCAAAACTGACCGCCCCATCTAAAGAATCGTGAAAATTGGTCCTATAAGATACATTCCTCGAGGAAAAGTATCGATTTTATCGCAGCTATCCCGTCTTCGTACTTGGTGTCGAACACTCAAAGTCAAAATGGACTCACCCTGGAAAGCAGAACAATACACGATTTCTTCAGCTTGCGAGATCTCCCCACCCTTGCCACTGGACCCTGAAGTTTGTACTTCCTACTCTCCCCTGCACGATCGCTAGGTAGCCCATGTACCACCTTCCTCTCACGCATGCCAATCAACTAACCACCACACAGCAATTCGCAGCAGAGAGCTCAGAAGTTATCAGACTTACCAAGCTCCTCGCTACTCTGCCTTACGACCCAGAACTATGGCTGACTCGCGGGAACTGTCTTCGTCTACTCGGGTTTCCAGAACTCAGCTTGGGCGACACGTATAAAGCGCGTCTGCTCGTCGAAGCTGGATTGCTGGAAACGCCTTCGGTTCTTGGCGATGAAGTCCGGAAAGCGTTTCGGAAGAAGACGTATGTGCTTCATACGACGGATCCAGCTTGGATGAGATGGGCTGATTCGGTATCCACGCCTGAATTGCTCGCTCAGAAAGTCACGGAGATGCTGAAGAGGCTGGAGTTGCAGATCTGGACGGAGCTGATGGAGGGACTTATGGCGGCGAATTGCTGTAGCGACTATATGCGCTTGAGTCGTGAAGCGGTGGAGAAGTTTCCGGATGATGAGATCTTCCCTAGTGAGGTTGCGAACTCGGATGCGTGGTATGCTCAGAGGGAGGAGATTCTAGCGGCGAGGGTGGAGAGTGGGAGTATGACGGAGGCGCAGAAGGAGACGACGTTGGCGAATGGTGGGGTTTATCCGGTGCCGTATCCGTTTATGGGTGAGGAGTTCTTGATTAGAGATGAGGCTGTGTTTGAGGGAATAGAGGAGGATTTCAAGAGGGTTTCGACGAATTGTATGGTGGTGAGAAGTACGATTCGGAACACGACTGGGGAGAATGGAGATCAAGAGACGACTGAGGATGATTGCATTGGCGCAATTGCAACGAGAGATATCGTAGCTGGAGAAACTGTGCTGATCGACAGCATGTCTGCAGGTTCTGTTGGCGTTGATGCCGATCCTGGTGGTTGTCCAACCTGCTGTGCGTGTCCAGTCAAGAATTTCTGGAATACTTGTTGCTCTGTCTTATACTGCTCTCAAGAATGCGCAGATGTCGCACTGGCCACTTTCCACGATCCGATTTGCAGCAAGGATTTCGAATACCTGTACACAGCAGCAAGGAAAGCAACTACCACGACTGATTTCTCGCTCGATGCACTCTTACTGATGAGAGTCATCGCCTTGAGTCTCACCGAGGATGTCGATCATCCATTGAAGAGCCAAGTCATGGTCCGGTTGACACCCGCGTACAATTTCAAAGAACCCAACCTCATCATCTTCAATTTCGCTGACCACATCCAAACACCCATCTCAATCCTGCAAACATTCTCCATCAACATTTTCACCAACCCCCTCTACGACACCTGGGTTCTCCACACCATGAAATGCCGTCTCCAGAACAACAAACACGGACAAACGCTCGGAGACTGGCCGGGTACGAGTATCAGTGGATTGTACAGTATGTTGAATCATAGCTGTAGTCCGAATGTGGATTGGAGACATGACTCGGCGAGTAGTGAGGTGACGATGTTTACTACAAGGGACTGTAAGAAGGGAGAGGAGCTTTGTATTAGTTATATTGGGAGTGTGGGGAATGAGATGCCAGTTGTAGAGCGCAGGAGGAAGTTGACGGGCTGGTTTGGAATGCCTTGTCGCTGTGAGAAGTGTACTGAGCAGGCGGCTGCGTTGGCAGCGAGTGAGTTGGTGCAAGCCACGGAGGTTTTGGACATCGCCGATTAGACTCTCGAATATGACTTACAATACACGATCGCTTTTCAAATATGAACTGAATGTGATGTGAGAAGAGTAGCGTGGAAAGATTCTCGTGGGATGTCACGTTACCATTCCACGTCGGAATCTCCAGGTCTGGTTGAGCCCATCCAGACGAGGGAACAGATTCAAAGGAGGATGTGATGTTTTCAATGTTCCGGTTAAAAACAGCATCACCACCACGTTGGTTGAAGGTTGTGCAATTCCAGAATCACATGACAGCAGTACGTTTGCCACTTGGCTCATCTCCGCAGATCTACAAAACTTTGCCGAACATCCATCGAAATCAGCCTGAACGGAAATCCCCAAATTCCATCAAAGCATCAACACAGAAGCCGTCCCGTCGGGTCCATATTTCCTGTCTCTAAGTCCTCTTCCATTCGTTAATTCCGCTCCTCCCCTGAAGCTATTCCCGGCTCAGCCATTTCTTAACCCGGACACCATCTCATTAAGCTTCGCTCGGGTGCTGCCCCTCATCTGGATAGCTTCACTGGAATCATTACTATTCGTCCAATGCCATGCAGAATTGTCTAGTGGCATCTCGGTCGTGTACCTTAATCAAGGATCTGGTGGCGGGGTCACAGTCTGCAAGGATGAGCTCCTCTGATCCGGTACGCAAGGGGGCTTTCTGCGGAGTATGATGCTCCGGATAAACATTGCGGAATGGTGATTTTCATTTATCGTGCTGTCATACCTCTTCAAAGAATTTTGATATATTGTAGGTGTCTGCTCTCATATTTCCGTCTGGTTGTCCACTGCCCAATTGCTCATTCCGAAGCTTTTTGTTTCAATCCGCCCCTCCCACAAACTCGGGAGGACTCAATGATGCAATTCCTAGCTTTAAGTCTTCTTGCTGCGAGTGCGGTTGTTTCTGCCGCTCCCGAAAACAACAACCATGGGGGAGGTTCCAAGTCCCATTCTTGGATAAGATACTTTGACAATCTGGTAGCTTTCGGGGACAGGTGAGTACCGAATGCAACGAAAAGCACGAACTCAATTGATCCATGTACAGCTACACAGATGAAAGTCGATTGGGCTATTTCATCAACAACAATGGCACAGCACCTCCACCAGGGCTCTTACTCCCCCCGAGCACATCGACACCCGGCGGAGGCATCACGTGGGATCGCTGGGTATCCAATTACACAGGAGCAAAGCTGTACAACTATGCCGTGTCTGGAGCAGTCTGCGACAACAACATCATATTCCGATATCTCGCTTCGATATTTGGGCCGTTTCCTGATGTTGTGTACGAGGTTGATGCGTTCATTGCGGACACGAAGTTCGTCAATGCCACCACTAAGAAGAATACGCTGTATCCGAACCGATATGAGGATAATACTGTCTACTCGATGTGGATCGGAACAAACGACCTTGGAAATGGGGCTTTCTTGACAGACAGTAGCTTGCAGGGAACGACTATCCCAGATTATGTTGACTGCATTTTCGACCGATTCGATGAGATCTACAAGAATGGAGGGAGGTACTTTGTCTTAATGAACACTGCTCCGCTTGAGCTGTCGCCTTTGTATGGTTTACCTGGAAAGGGAGGTTTGGCAGCTAGCCATTACTGGCCTGACAAGGTATTTCGCTTCCCCTTTTCCACCCATGCATTTTCAATATGCTAACAAATTCCCAGCCAGCAAACATCACTGAAGTGAGCTACAAAATGAAGGAGTACACCAACCTCGTCAACTCCATCTTCGACTACCGCGCAGCCTTCGAAATCAAAATCGCGAAACGGTACCCAGGCGCCTCCATCGCAGTCTTCGATGTCCACAGACTTATGACGGATATCTACAACAACCCAAAGAAATACCTGTCTTCGCCTGCCAACGTCGAAGGCCAGTATTATCTATGCGATGTTGCGACGGGATCGAAGTGCACCACGAGCAGTCTGAGCCTGGACCACTTCATGTGGTATGACGAGTTGCATCCGAGTGAGCGGACGGATCAGGTTATCGCGAAGGAGTTTGAGAAAGTTGTAAAGGGAAAGAGTAGTTATGCTACGTATTGGTAAATCCGTCTGGATATTTGGATTCGTATATAATAATTTATCTGGCATCTAAGTTTTGTGTTTGTTTGTTGTTAGTTCTCCGAGGACTAGTCGGACCTGTTCGCTCTGCTTCCGTCAGCTCAACTACCATGCCACCTGGACCCTTATCTGGTGGCCCACGACTTAACGTGAAATTGAGGTTAAAGCGACTCTGTCCCCATTAGCCCCGACTTACAGTAGTTCTCCGAGGCTTGTTTATACAGTAGCGGCATCACGTGTCGCATAGTAGTGCCTCGTCACGTCCGGGTCCGACCACATCGAACAACGCGTTCGTACGAGAGTGGTAACATAAATACAACACCACAAGTCCCAAGACACCTCAAACATCCCAAGGAGGAATTCATCATATATACGGACCCAACATTCTACTCCAAACAACGATACCCACAAAGACAAGATGGATAAATCGACACCCAACTACGCACTCCACTCCATCCTCGCCGCCTACGGTCTGGCCCTCGCTCCCACTTTCTACGCAACCCTCAGGATGATGGCTGCTACTGGCGGGAAATGGTCTTTCAGCATGTTTGTCTCCCTCTCCAATTCATCTGTTCTCTGCTGGCCTTTCCCAATCCTCCACAGTGAAAGCATGTCCACGTGCACGTGATTGTGGATGTATGACGCTGATACTTTTACAGGCCAAGAACAAATATGGAGGCGCTGAAAGGGAAAGTCCCATCTAGTGTTTGGAACTCATCTTATAGAGCACAATGCGCACATGTTAATGCCATGGAGGGGTTTCCGCTTTTTGCTGCTGCTATGGTACGCCATCCTCGATCCCTTAAGTTACCCGAACGTCATTGCCCTCGAATCTTTTATGACACGCATATCACAAGTTTTCTCAAATCTCGTTCTTTACTAGTTCTGTTTTCACTGTTCTCTAACTGCTCGATAGATTGCTGGAACCGTAGCTGGTATCCCCAGCGAAGACCTCAACCGTAGCGCGGTACAATACTTGGGTCTGAGAGTCCTTTATACAGGTCTTTATATTGGTATCGAGAACAATATTTTGGCATTTGCGAGGTCGGGAGCCTGGGCTTTGGGATTGGCTGTTCCGGTGTTGACACTTTGGAGGGCTGGGGAGAGGGTTGCTGGAGGCATGTGAGGGAACAGTGGACGCTCGAAAAACGAGGGAGGGACAGGAATTGAGGAAACAGGTGGTGGAGATCCTTCCCACACCTAACGAGTTTTGGAAAGTTTAAATTATATTATAGCAACGAGAGTGACGACTTCTAGCTAAACTTTTGCGGCAGCAGCGCTTCTTGCTTCGCCCAAGTCAACATAGTCCTTCAGAACGTTACCCGGCTGACCCGTATATGCAGTCAGTTCCATCCACTCCTTCACACTCTTGACTCTGTCCGGTAAAATTCTGTCCAAGAGCTCATAGTCTCTCTGTAAGACACTTTCTTTCCAAGTATTCCAGAACCCCGTGAAATTCTGCCGGTACGTCTGAAGTGTCTCATCATCATGATCGACGGAATGTCCAACCTTCGCATCCGGATCTGGGAAAACTCCAGAAGAAAAGTATTCATCAAGAGTGACATCCTTGAAAACAGCTTTCTTCCCAGTAACTTCCGAGAAAGCCTTCGCAATACCCTCCCACCCAACACTCTCCGTCGCAATTCTCAAATTCAACCCCCTACTCTCCTCTGGATTCTCCACCATCCACCTCGCATACCTCCCCAAATCATTCAAATAAATAAACGGCGGTTTCCCCTCCCCAACAGGTGCCTTAAACACCATAACCTCCTCACCATCCACCACTTCCGACATCGGTCTCAATATCTCAGACAACATCTCTACATACATACAACTCGTCAACACACTCCAGCTCATCTTCCCATCCTTCGGCTGCGCGCCAATCCACTGCGCAACTTTCGCCTTCCCGTCGAAATGGCCGGTCCGAAAGCGTGCCTCATATCCACTAATTTGATACGAGGAGTCGAGACTTCCCCAGATGAAATGGCGGACGCCTTTCTCGGCAGCGATCTCGAAGATTCGGATTCCCCAGTAGATCTCGGCTTTTTCGCCGATGGCGAAGCCGTTGACGTTTACGAAGACGATGGAGGTGCCTGCGAGGGCGGAGTGGAGGTCGGGTTCGTTGAGGGGGGAGCCGGGGATGAGGTGCACGTTTGGGAGGGAGGAAAGGGAGAGAGCGGGAGGGGATGTGGTGGTGCGGGTGAGGATGTTGATGGTGTAGTTGTTGGAGAGAGATAGTTCTATGGGGAGATGTTAGTACGGGGTTATTTGGTAGATAATGTGATTAAAAGCTGTTGCGGTTTACCTTTGACTACTGCAGCTCCTTGAGCTCCTGTTCCGCCGATAACCAAGATTGTTTCCTTGGAGGACGACATTGAAGGGTCTGTTGTAGTGAGTTCGAACTGATCAACTGGATTCTTGATTGGATATATTTCGAAAAATTGTCAGATTTTGAACCAGAATAGATTGAATGAGGACACAGTAGAGATGCAGTATATGAATATTGTTAAAATGATGCCAATCCTGCTACGACCTTGACGGTCTATTTATCTTCACGATCTCCCATACTCGAATCCATGTATCGGCAAGCAATGTGAACAATACGCACGTTGCATCCTCTCTTGTTCTAGTTTCACGATAGTGTCACTTCAACTCCTCTGATATTGTTTACCTTTGGCCGACGTGGTGACAAACTTTCTAGACCCCTGAATACTTGCTTACGCGCGAAAGGAACAGTAATCATGGTAAGCGAGGTCCCCGAAAACAATGTTACCGACCAATGGCCTCAGCAAAATCGGCAGCAATGATCAAACGGAATTAAGTTTGGTCCTTAAAATGACGTTAATTGGATTTTAGAAATCTGAATCCTGATCTGGGGTAATGCAGATTATTCCACCAGATGCAGAAGTCTGGTTGCCGCTGCGGGCTTGGTCATCAATATGCCCCCATACCTGAATTTCCAGCCGGCACCTAGTAACATGTATTTTTGATTAGTGAACACTCTCTATGGCTTCTTTTTCAGTCGCCTTTAAGCCCGCGAGAGAAACCAGGACTTATAAGCTTTGAGCGTGTCTTGGTTCAAACTATTTGTCCATTCTATGAAACCAAGAAATAATCCTCATCTTTGTCCTCTAATCCGGACAGGTTTTCTCAGTACCCTTCACCATGTCAGCATCCGTCGCAGCGTCCAAGACCAAGGTTGCGAATCTCCTAGCAAAGAATTTGTATAACCCCTATGCTACCAGAATTGAAGACAAAAGCTGAATATTGGAAACAGGAAATACTCAGAAACTTACAAAGCACCAAATCTTCTCAGTGTTGGTATCCAGAAAAACAAGGAGCTGGGTAGGAAGTCAACGGATGTGAGTGAGTTAATCTGCCCCGCATAGATGACCCCGCAATTTCGGCCCCCAACCCAAACATCCCGTCCAGATACAGTACCACTACCACAACAGCTCTAACGAAAGAACCAAGTCTCCTGCAGTGACCCTCGAATCCATCCCACTCAATTCCTTGACCTCGATTTCTCCGGTATGTTAGGTGTCCCTTCACAATTTTCTTCGGAAAAAAGGGAGACTAAATACAAGTTTTATTTGCAGAAGCATCGATCATCCGCAACGCAGGCGGTCGAACGGCAGATGTCCTGCGATCTCTTCTTGACTTAGATGCTATCGGTAGTGTAGGAACAGTGCTTGTGATTCACCACACAGATTGTGGGATGAGCCAGACATACGAAGCTGGATTTCATGAGAGGATTATGGCGAAGCATCCTGCACTTGCTGCTAAGGAGCCGGGTTATTTGTATGGTGCTGTTGATGAGTAAGTACTTTTATTATTTTTGGAGGATTAATTTGGATATGTGGACTAATTCAGAACAGTCCGGAGAAGACGGTGGTGCATGATGTGGAGTTTTTGAGGAGTTTCCCGTCTATCAATGAGAATATGCATGTGGTGGGAATGGTGCTGGATACATTCACGGGGAGGTTGAAGGAAATTATTTGAAGTTGTGTTTTCTGTTTAAAAGGTGTACAAACTTCCGATTCCAACGAACAGCGATCATAGCTGGGGATCCAGACCTTCCTTGAGAACCTGTTCGCACTTATCGAAGACATTGTATCTTGAAGTCATGTTAGCGAGAGAACCTAGCAAGGAAACAAAAAGACTGACCTAAGCTCTCGAAATAATCTTTCTCTCATACCCTCTTCTCCCGAGTTCTCAGGCGCTCCTTCTTCCTCATATCCATCCAGCTTAGCGCCCAGATTCTTGACATGTTCCGCAGGAACACTCGAGATAATCTGCTGTCGATTCGCTCTCTTTCTCCTGACCAGATCAAACATCTTCATTCTGTCGGCAATATGAAGTTTACTTGGCAGATCGGAAAATAATGTGAGGAGTGCACCCGCGTCTTCAAGAGCTTAGTTTCCGGCTTGAGCATTGAAGGGTAACATTGGATGGGCTGCGTCACCAATGAGGATTGTCTTTCCGAAGATGTAAGAGGAGAGAGGAGTGCGATTGCGGAGGCGCCAGGTCTTGATTGTGTCAGCTTTCCTGGTAAGGTGTTAGCTTGCGTTATGAGATTAGCATGGAGATAAGGGTTAAAGGGGATAGGGATTACTTGATCAAACGGAGGAGGGTAGGGTGATATGCTGAGAAGAGCTCAAGGATGAGTTCTTTGCTTGCTGATTGGCTGTAGTCTGATTTGATGTCAGAGTTGATCACTGATACTGGTCGGTGATCACCTACCTTCTCCTTCCGACGTGTTATCAGTTGAGGGACAGAACGCGGCTAGATTTTGGACTTCGCCACTTTTGAGAAGCTAAGTGAGCAATGACAGGTTTTAAAGCGTGAAAGTAGGAAGTGTTTGAGAAGCGGAAGACTTACTCTCGACATGAGTACCAAACCAAACGTAAGTTCTTATCTCCATGTGGCAGAATGAAGGTGCTCCTAGCTTTCCTCATCAGCGGCCTCAACTCGGCATCCGCTTCCACCTCCTTGGTATCCAGCAACCATCTGTAAATATTCCACCCCACATCTTCACTCCACTCATTCCTCCCGAGATCGTTTCCCAGAGCCGTCCTTCTAACGAACGAATGCAACCCATCAGCACCAATAAGAAGATCTCACTTCCAGACCTCCCCATCTTCACTCTCAACCTCAGCATTCTGAACATTGTCTCTCACAATCTTGACCCCGAGATGTAGATCTACTCTCGGTCCTGTGTCATCATCTTGAAGCGCAAGCTTTCTTAGCTCGTTGTGTAAATCCACACGATGGAAAGCTCGGTACGGGAAGCCAAGATGATCTTCAACACCATCCATGGCACCCGGTGGATAAACATCGTGCTTCTCAAGCGTATCACCAGCATAGATAGCCACAGAGTCCATTCGGACCCCTCGAGCGGCAGCGAAGTCAAAGCCTAGCTTGGCTAGGACTCGCGTTCCGTTTGGAGATAGTGTGATCGCAGCGCCTACTTCTTGGAGGAGCTTGGAGGATTCGAGGATCTAAGAAGATCAGCATTTTTCTCTTTGTTGTTTGAAGAATGTATGGAATGGAATTTACTGTGACTTTGTGACCTGCATGTTTGAGTGCTGTTGCTGCTGTGAGGCCTGCGATGCCGGCTCCGACGATGATGATGTTGAGCTGTTCTGAAGCTACTGAGGAACCCATGGCGACTAGCTTGTCAACAGGTAGGAGGGCGAAACGATCCTCTACTGCTGCTGGAAATGCAACAATGAAATATGATGCCCGCGATATTTTAAAAGATCAAAAATATGTAATTGCTCAGCCAAGAGAAGACGTGAAGGTCTGCCGGCTGTCAGATTATGGTACGGGTAAGCCAGCTCTGTAAGATATGTACGTAGCTATAGCTCCTAGTCACGTAGCTGATGTCAGCAAAGTCAAGATAGCCGTTCGAATGAATCTGGAACAATATAGCATCAGATGCAAAATAATCGTTGGAGTGGTTTGCGAAGCCCCGCCGCTGACTGTTGGACTGTTACATCCGATGAAAATGGCGTCGATTCTTGCAGCTACGCAGCTAGCTGATCACCAATCAGCTTTATGCTTAAGCGAGGGGTGTGAAGAGGGAGAGCCAGTGGCAGAAGAAAGGTCTCTAGATTTCGAGTCATTTATTATGGTCGTATCTCTATCTTTCTACAGGTTCTAAAGCTCTCATGTCTCTAACATATCCACCTTCTGCAACTTCAACAAACTAATCTCAAACTCATTCCAAACTTGCACAATAGTCTGCAAATACTCCAACTTGAGCTTCGACCCCTCGCTTCTAGCCAAAGTCTTCGCAGTCGTGATCGCATTGGAGATCTCTCTTCCATTCATCTCGGTGTCCTCGACAGTTGTGAGGGCTTCGGCAAGGGTCAAGTCGATCTCGTCGGCTGGCACTTGTGCAAGATGTTTCTCCCAGAGCATGCGTCGGACTTCTTTACCTGGGCTCGTGTATTGTAGGGCGAGGTGGATGCGGGATTTGATGGCTTGGTCGAAGACGGAGACGCGGTTGGATGTTAGGAAGATGATGCCTTGGAAATATTCTAGTTGGCGCAGGAAAACTTCAAGAGGTTAGTCCACAGACTGAGATGACGGAGTGAGGTCAAGTCATTACCAGCAACCATGGCGTTTTGCTCAAGTTGATCTGAGGGACCGCTTTTGCGAGCCTCAAGGAAGACATCAGCTTCATCGATCAGGACAATTGCTTGGAAGGTTGACGCATAGGTCAACAAGCGTTTCAGTTCAATCTCGATTCTATGCTGGTAGCTTCCAAGCTCTCCTGTCGAAATATTAAGCAGTGGTCGGCGAGTGTGCTCTGCAGTCATTTCTGTATTATGTGTGTTACTTAGGTGGCTTCGCAAATCCACGTGAACTACTCACCAGCTGTCAGGGTCTTTCCAGATCCTGGGGCACCATGTAGCAAGACCACAAGGCCCTTGCCCTTCAACTTGGTCTCGTCACGAGCACGTTCTGGGTATTCGTGACCAGAAATCAGACCCTTCAGCAATCGCTTCTGAGGATCTGGGAGAATGAGTGATTCCATGGCGTCTTTCTTCCATCCAACCTCAGTCATTGAGTTGATGAAGAACTTGCACCATTCTTTCTTCTCTAGTGAGTATCCATAGACGTAAGGCGGGCAGAGTCTAGGATCTAAGCTGTCGGTGTGGTGTTCTGGCTCCTTCCCCATGATTTCTACTCAGGTCAGCTTGACCGCCGGTCCTCAGGCGTGAGTAGAGCATCCATACCAGGCTTTTTATCCTTGTCATCATCATCTCCTTCATTGTCGCTCTCATCTGCTGCGATTGACTCCTTCCTAGCTCTCGCCTCCTCGTTGAATGTTCGAGGATCAATGACAACACGTCCGCTCATGGTCTCAGGCAAGAACGTGCCGTCGTAGTCAGCTCGCTCATTGTAGTAATCCCAAGGTGGGCGCTTGAGGTAAAGAAATAGTCCGTGGTACTGCTTGACACACATATCCGTGATACCCAAGTATCGCTCTCCTCTTTCTGCCAACTTGGTTTCAAGGCTGAGTCTACTTTCAGTGTCGAGGAATTTCAACGGAAACACAGTGAGTGACTGGATGTTTGCGGAGAACAAGCCAAAAAACTCTTGTCTATCCCAGATTCTCAATCTCTCCGATGCAATACCTGCTTTGAAACCATCGAAGGATACGAAAGAACAGCTGATATCGAAATACTTGCCGCCACTTGAACTCTCTCCGTAGCCATGTCTGCGCAATTGAAACAGCCGAGTGTGGCCATTACTGTGCTGGTAGATCAGGTCTCCTGGTTTGAAAATCATCCAGAGCAGAGGAAATGTGATTAATCCGGCTTTGACCATTTCGGTGATTTCTACACCTTTTGCACCGGCTTCGGCGTCAAGATGCTCTAAAAGGAGCGCAATGTGCATTTTGGTCGTTGCATCATCTGAGGCCTCACGATATTCTTGTATCTGTTTTCTATGGTGGACCAACATCATGTAACTGACTCGACAGTCAGTAAAATGTCTTTAAATGCCATTAGGATATTTGTCATGTGTTTGAGGTGTCGATAATGCCATCTTCGGTACAGAAATATGGCGTTCCAGGATATACGTACGGGTCATCAATTGTGAACTTCGTACTGAAATCCAGGGCATCACCTGGGTAATAGCGAACGACATCCTTCAACATGGCCAGAAGCTGAGGAGAGTTAATTTCCAGAGTCGTTCCTGTATGCTTGTGTTGCTCATCGAACGACTGCTTTGATACCAAAGCATATTTGCTGTACGGATCCTCATTTGTGATCTTCGTGTTCTTCTCGACGATTTCAATCTCGCCTTTCTTGGATCGAAGCAGGAGACTTTTGATCTCGCATCGTGTTCCTTCGGTTTCGGTCTCTTCCTCTGTCTTCTCCTCGATCTCTCTCGTCGCTTTCGCGAGGTCGCTATTGTCGCCCATGATTCTAGGGTTTGCTAATGAGAACCAGCGATTTTTGCGATGAGCGAGCAATATGTAGCCCAAGATACAAAGGCGCCAGCATGACAGGCAGATGGGTGCCTGAGCAGCCATAAACTCGTGCTGACTCGCTCGCTTTGTTCGGTCAGGGATTTGATCTGCATCCCTGATTACCTGCAGGTCATCTTGTCCAGCTACCTAACTGCCTCACCGACTACCCTATCCAACGACTAGACGGCGAATTGACTCTGATTTTCAGCTGGGCGAGTCGCTGTTTTCCGTAGCTGATTTGCTAAAATATCGCATTACAACAGGAATACTTAGAACCACCCGAGCTGGGTCAGGTTATCTCATTCAAAGGGAGCGGAAAATAATCGGCTGCGGTAGCCTCGGCGCGCGCCGCTTTATAACCTTTACAGCTGTTTCAATAACTAGTTAGAAACCACGGGCTTCGCCCCGCCCTCATCAAAATCGATTTCCCCCCCCCTCTCTGAAAACCTACCTACCTGCATCTCTACGAAAAGCGATTATAAAACACTATAACTTCATAGAAATAAACTAGAACACTAATAAACTAACTTACAAGTTTCCTAGTTTTAATTGAATATCTAGTTGTAAAGTTATTAATTAATTAGGCTGCACAGGATTTGCGGCTTAAAATTCAAGAGGTAGCCTAAGGTAGTCTATGTGTAAGGCAAGCTGAAGGAACAGATATTTGAAGTTCTAAAGAAATCAGATTAATTCTATTAATATAACGCTACAGATAAAAATAAATTATTAAATTGAATTAAAATATGTTAATCTTCAATTCCCTAAGATATCTAAGTGTTATATTAAAAGGTAGTTGTGATACAGGTAGGTAGGACTTAGAGAGGGGGGTGGAAAAAGATTTAGATAAGGGTGGAATTTCAGCCCCGCGGTTTCTCACTAGTTATTGAAACTGCTGTAGGAGCCGAACCCCCATAGCTTGGCGTGCCATCTTTATTATAAACTACGTCGAGTAACCCACTCCCTGCTCAACTGCACTCTTTCATACTTTATACCAGCAATACTAAATGGGAATTGGCTAGAATGCGATGCCTACGAGAAAACGAGAAACGATCCAGTGAAACAGCGTGATGAATCATGAACCGGTATTTTACAAATCCAAATATGGAAATTCATTTCCCGAGACTCTCTCTCTCGATGACCAGCTCTGCCTTCTTGTCCGCCTTTCGATCTTTTCGTCTAACTTTATCTACTCAAGCCTCGCTGGTAATGCCAGCAGTTGAATCTGAGTGTATAAAACTGGGAGCTTTGTGGGGGGCATCGAAATTATCGATTTCATCAGCCCAAGGGATGCCGTCCTGTGCTCCCACTGTCTGACTCGTGATTGCAGCTGCCTTGTTTGCTCGGATAACTGCGCTCTCGATTTCCCAAGCGCCCTTGGCTTTTTGGCGTAGGTAGTCGGAGGCATAAGCCCCCGTGAAGGTATCTCTGATAGTCATAGTCAACATATGCACGTTGGAACTAAAGATAGAAAGATGAACTTACCCGGCGCCTGTAGTATCCTCGACTTTGACATTGAAAGCCGGAGAGTGATTACTATCCGTTGCATTTGCGTAAAACGCACCTTTAGCACCAAGAGTAATAACCACATTTTTTACACCGCGGTTCAAGAACTCCTGAGCAATAACCGGCCACGTCTCTTCATTGACTTCCCCTTTGTCACGGCCAGACATAATGGCTGCTTCTGACTCGTTGACTAGCAGATGAGTGAGATACTGGTAGAAGCCTTTGTCGATGGGGGTCGCAGGTGCTGCATTTAGACAAAACTCAATGCCAGCCTTGCCAGCAGTCTCAATCATAGTCTCAACAATCTCCTTGTCGATTTCCATTTGCGCGACGACGAGATCTGGTGGGGTCTTGCCTCCGAGCTGTTCGGGCGTAATGAAGTCTTCTTTCTTCCATGTTGCTGTTGCTCCTTGTGTGAAGAGGTATCGGTTCTCGCGAGTTGAATTCTCGACCATAACAAAACAGATGCTCGATCGCGTATTAGGTACTGTCACGATACCAGTCGTATCAACACCGTTCTTGTTCAGTTCGACTATAAAGTTCTCCCCGTAACGGTCGTCACCAACTGCGCCAATCATTTTGACCTGGATGTTGTCTTCGTCGTCGATGGCGAGCTGTGTCAATGCGTGTGGTCCTTTTTTGGTTGTTGCTGTTGCTGTTGCGTAGTCCGCAGTATATCTTTCATGTTCCAATGGCTTTTGGTGACAAGTTCGATAGGCTGCAATCGCTGAGTTTGCCCCTTTACCTCCCAAGGCTTCGAGATACTCATTTGCCAAAACACTTTCCCCTCGCTCAGGAATACGATTTGCAATCATTATTAGATCAGCGTCCAGCCCCCCGATGATTGCGATGATTTGTGGCATTGTTCAAATTCTGGGCGATGTCTTTTCGTGATGAGAACCTTGTAATGAAGCCAGAGTAATTGCACGTCTTTGTGGCATTTAAGATATGATGAGGCAACCCGCATTCAGCCAACCCACAAAGCTTTGTGACCAACATTTTGCAGATTGAAAGAGCAATTTGGATCTCCTTCTTGCTTTTTTACTAATGATTGCCACAAAATATATCATGTCAACTCCTCCTCTATTAAAAGACCTTGAGTAAGGTTTAGTCACAGAGCCTGATGATCCTGTTGCGGCCTAGCCGTTATAATTCGAGTTTGACAAGGATAGAAAAGATGGTCGTGCTCTGTCTTGCCTCCTTTGCTGTATCCTTCTCTCCCCTATCATCATTCATCTTCTTTCCGGCTATTGATAACAGTGTCGCGAGCACAGGTAGGTGTTGGTGGCTTTGGGTGATAGGATGCTGCGCGAGCTTTGTTCCCTGCGAAAGCGGCGCCGTGCCCATACGCATATCATATCTGATGCGGCCTTGCCGTCTGGCTATGTTCTTTTACCTTGTACCTTACTATCACATCAGCCCCCAGATGTGGAGTTTTGATTGGATGGACAGGGAAATACGTGCTTGAGATATAATGCAAGATAAGCTGCATCTGTGTAGAAGTAAAATAGCATCCCAAGGAGCCTATTGTGTTGTCATGCGCGCAGGTTATCAGAAAGTTTGGCCCCCAATGCGACCCACAGTGCTCTTGGTGGCGATCACTAAAGGGTGAGATGCTGACAAATATGAATGACAGCTTCTTCCTCTGCTGAATGCCATCGCTCGAAAGGATAACATGAGACGATTTATCAGAGTTCATCGGGTCTTTTCCAGCGCAGTGATATCGACGGGAGAGTCGAGACGATGTTGAAGGACGATTCCCTCGTGAAGGACGCCAAGATCCACTCCCCGCAATTGAGGTATGTGGTGCCACCCGCTGGAACGATTGGGCTTTCGTCCGATATCTAGCTTCCACGCTCTCTGAAGCTTATTGCTCCTTCGTGTAGCTCGAATCCATTCGCCGAAGCAATACTGTCTTTCATAGATGAACTGAGAGACAACGAAGATAGAAAGAGCATCTTCTACAAAGAAGTGATTCAGGTGGCATGTCGCTTCTATTTAACAGATGACCCCGCCCGGCAAACAATTGAGAAACTGTCCACTTACTTAACGGATCTGGAGCTTCAACCTCGGAAGAAAAATGGCATTCGGAGGGTTCCTTCGTCTGAGCAGCTGGTTGAAGGACTTCTGCAATATACGTCTGCATTGGATGTCATGACCCAGGCAGATCCAGCTGTTTCGGCCCTGCTTTATGGTGGCGCGAAGCTAATCTTTCAGGTAGAGCCTTCAAAAATGGACAGTGTTTAAAACACAGAGGTTTCTAATATCAATCATAGCTAGCCAATGGCTATACGAAATACTTCGAGCAAATTGTTCAGATGATGGCGGACGTCGGAGTTCAATTACAGTACTTCCATATCTATTCGCAGGGATTTGCTCAGGAAAAGTCTATGAATGGGATACTCTTCAACTCATACAGAGACATCATTCTATTCTTGAGAGATGCCTCGAAGATATTAAATCAGAGAGGAAAGCGATTCCTGGGAAGTGGGCTGCTCACTCCACTCAACGAACGATACGCCAAGTTCAAGCAAAAGCTAGACAAGAATGCGCAAAATATCCGGCATATGGCACAAGCACTACAAGTTCGGCAGCAAGCAAATTTCAGCCGAGATCAAGAAGCTCAAGTGCGCGAGCTGGGTCTTGCACTTGATAATTCATCGACTCGGTCTGTGTCGCCTCGTCCACCAAGCTACGATGGACCAGCTCCAGGTAAGAATTTTGTCCACCAAATCACAAGCGTGCCGCTAAACTTTCAACTTAGTTTCACGTCACGATGAAGTTCGCCGATGGATTGCTGGCAGCCGAGCATCGAAAATTGATCCTCAATTTGATTTGAACCGACATCTTTCTGCCAGGCATGTCGGAACATCGGAATGGATTTTTGAAGACCCGGTGTTTGTCAAGTGGCAGTCGTCGAAAGAGAGTACAACTGTGTGGATGAACGCCGCCCCAGGAGCTGGAAAGAGCGTTCTTTCCGCGTCAGTTGTTGAGCATTTCATGCAGTCCGAGCAAAAGGATCAAACGAACGTGATATATTTCTTCTGTCGTTTCGACGAACCCGACAAGTGTAAAGCAATATCGGCTTTGAAATCCCTTGCAATTCAGGCGTTGAAGTTCATCAAGTATGTGCCAGACGACTTGTATCAGCTCTACCAAGATGACTTTGCCTCTGAGGATAGCTTCGTCGTGAATATTGAGCTCGCCGAACGAGTTCTGGGATATCTTCTGAAACGAATTGAGTACATATCGATTGTGGTTGATGGACTTGATGAATGTCACGAGAGCATTCTCCTGGACTCTCTGCTTCGACTTCGCGATCAGAAGACATATGGTATCACAAAATGGTTTTTCACCAGCCGAAACGAAGGACTGTTAAGGAAGAGATTCGAGAACTCCAAGTCAGCGATCCTCTCCGTGCCAAGCAATGTCGTTCAGACAGACATTCGGAAGTTTCTCAAAGATAGGTCCAGTGAGCTATGCGGTACAGATGAACAGTTGGAAAGGCTCACAGAACTATCCGAGGGCAATTTCCTGATGATGCGCTTGACTGTGGATCCTTTCCGCAATGAAGAATTTACTTGCTCTGAAGAGTTTGAGGAAGCGCTCGATGACTTTCAGCCCGAATTGGGACAGTGCTGGTTTCGAAGTTTGCAAAGACTATCCCAACGTAGCGAGCAATATCAGGAGTTGGCGCAGTAAGTACCATTCCGAAGAGGATTTACCGGTGTTGCTGACACATGTGCCAGGATGATTTTCACATCAGTGATCCTCGCAATTCAGCCACTGACATTCAACGAACTCACTGAGTTGCTATCGATCAAAATTGGGAGTGAGCCATCAGAGAGCCGTCGGAGAACGCGAGCCGTGATCCTATCAGCATGCTCTCCGTTCATCGAAGCAGACTACGAAGCCGACTTTGCGAACCCCACCATACGCCTGGTGCACAAATCGATAGGGGACTTCCTCACTCAAGATCCGACTAAGATGGAATTCGTGACAGAAAGCTGCTACAGGTTCTTTATCAAATATCGAGAAGGACATACTGAAATTGGTCGTCGCTGTTTGACTTATCTCAACTATGAGGTTTACGAGGATTTTGACGTCGCCGAGCTAGACGACGACGACACCGTCGATCACGGTTTCCTGAAATACGCTTCGATATTCTGGCACCACCATGTTCAGGAGGCAGGCGAGAGCGAGTATTTTTATGATGAGATCCGAGAGCTACTGAGGTCTCCAAATATGTGGACGTGTGTGCGTGTCCAGAGCAAATTCGCGCCGCACATGTTTGCGAAGCTCGTAGCCTTTAAGGACAAGGAGGATAGCTACGATATGTCTATCCCTAATAATACCCCTGGTCTACCCTCGACAGTGGAAGAGTTCTATGCGCATGCTTTGCCACAGTGGTTGAACACTTACGATGACCAAGGACATCACCTGAACTGGGGCTATCACATGTTTGTCCGCGACTGGGGAGAGGTGCTGTTGAGATACCCAGACAAGATTCAGACATATTTCGCCAAAGTTCTTGGGTCAAAAAGCTTCTGGTACATTGAAGACCAGCCGGACAATGTTAAAGTAAAATGCTGTGATAAAAGCTTTGGTTTCGAGGATCTTTCAAAAATGTACAGTACAGGGAACGTACCCTCGCCGAGGTGGCATACTCAGACAAGAAAAAATGAATTTCCTCACGAGGAAAGTACGGAAGTGTCATATATCAAAAACACGCTGAAAGAATACCGAGGCGATTGGGAGTTCCAGCATTGCGCGATCGTGTCACAGCAGACGGCCTCTGCGACCATCTATCGATATCAACAGAAGCCTAAGACCTCAAAGGCAGACGATGATTCTGACTCTGAGTCTGAGCTCGAAACCTCGGAAGATGAAGTTATTACAGCACCTCTCGCCAGCGATCCAGCGATATGGTTTATGTCAGTCGCAACGAGTCCGGGAGATGTACATTGGTTTCATCATAAATCAAAAGCAGCAATATTGCAGAAGTCGGCGCCGATCTTTGTACCTGACAGTCAATGGCTACTATGGCCACAGGATGAATCAACACTCTTTTTCCTAAACACAAAAACACTGAAAACATCGACTTTCAACCTTCCGAGTAAGGCAATGCCGGATTTGATGATGATATCTCAAGGTAGGACGCAATTGCTTTACAAGAACTAAATTGCAATGCTAACGCGAGTATAGATTACCACTTTTCGACATACTCAAATGAGCTCTACAGTGCTTCAGTATATGGATCAACTACGAAAGGCTTTGTAATCAAATACACAAAGCTTCCGTTCCTTCCCTTCGGATCGCCAACTGAGGTGCCGACGCTCGACACTTCAGCTATAGCATCGATAGAAACAACTTGGCGATATGCCAACACCAGTTTCTCTCTACCGACTTCTTTCTTCTGGGCAGAGTCGACACTTTACGCAGCTCTTGGATCCCCTGCAGTAAAACTATTCCGCTTCCCCTCTCCACCCAAATCAACAGCAGCCCCAGCAACTCAAGCGATCCAGATTCTGAAGCGCAAGCTTTTCATCCCATCTTCATCCTACGCTCGAGGACTTCAGTTTCTGGTCAAGTCAAATGACGACGGCTCTTCCCAAGCCATATTTGCCCTCGATGCTGCTCCAACCGCGGAGCTACCGGCTGTAGTCCTGGACTTCAAATTAGGGAAGGACGATTGGAAGACGTATAACCCGAAAGAGAAAGACGAGGACTCTGTTGCTACTAACACCCTTGGGTTTTTGAAAGGGACGTATGCGGCGAAGGAGCAGGCTTTCAGGGTGCCGATCAGGAGTGGACTGGACTGGAGGAGGAGTGTTTATGTCACGTGTTGGTAGGGATAAGAAGGGGGAAACTTGATTTATGTATATCTTGAATCACGGCTGAGAGTATGATACTTGATTCCTCGAGACCATCGAAATCTCGGAAATTTCTCCGATTCCTGAACAACCTGTACGATCGTATCGCCAGATTGTCATTTCTTCGGCTATATTTGTGACCTTTCTCGGTTTTCCACATGCCACTAGATGATAAAGACCATACTATGCTCCTGCAGATATGTGTATAGGTTGCTTCAAACAAGCCACTAAATTCAAAGTATATTTGCTGAATGGATTTCTGTATCTGGTTCCTGACACGACAAGTTCTGCTGTGGTTGACCATCCCCCCTTTCCGCTTCGCTTAAGTCCGATGCCCCCACAATAGAAAGTGGGGTTCACCTACCATCTCCTCTCAACATCACTTCCTTCTAGCATCCTATTTACCAATCAACCTTATTCATGAGAACTCCAAATAGTAAGCCCTCGATCCCTCTGTACATTTTTCTCACTTCTTCAAACTTGTCGTATGAGTCATTCTGAGTCGAGATCTCAACTCTCCTTGCCCCACTAGGAATTTCCGGGGTAATCTTGTACCTGCATTTCAAGTCGAATTTTTCTACGAACATCCAGGTTTCATTGGAGAGATATAGCTGAGCTTACATTCAAGTTCTGAGTCATTGATGGGCGATGCTTGATTAGGAAGGTCTTGGGCAATATTTCGGCTGCAGTAACGTCAGAAGACGTTGTGGGTTTTCACCAGCTCCATAGCAGCTGGAGTATAAAGACAAACTGGAAGCTTGATTATAATCTTATTTTTTGTTTTTAGAAAGCAAGATTTGAAGGACGCATCTTGAAAATAACAGTATACCCAGAGTAAACATGGCTCGCATGACAATCAGAGATGCGGGGTACACCCCAGGCCAGCTACCAGCTGGACCTAAGAACTCGATTCTCGACGTCAAAGGCTAGTTCTCTTCATTTCATCGAGACGTTCATACTGACCAAATCATCACAGGCGTCCGAGTCGGTCAAGCAACCGTAGGAGAAGACGGCAGTTCCGTCCGCAGCGGCGTAACCGTCATCCTCCCCCGCGCCCCAGACGACATCTCCATCCCCTGCTACGCTGGAATGCACACACTGAACGGCAACGGTGAAGTCAGCGGATCCTACCAGATCAAAGACTGGGGCTTCACCAATATGCCTATTGCGCTTACCAACTCGACTAGTTTCGGGACTGTGTTTCAGCAGATTTGGGAATGGACGTTGAAGAATGCTCGTGATAAAGGCACGTCGTTGGAGACGATGAGCCATAATTATGGGACGCCGGTTGTGGCTGAGACGGCGGATTGGTGGTTGAATGATGTGCATAAGGCGGGGTTGAAGCCGGAGACTGTGCAGGAGGCTTTTGAGAATGCGGTGACGCAGGAGGAGGTTTTGGAAGGGCAGAATGGTGGTGGGGCGGGGATGACTTGTCATATGTTTCCTGGTGGGACGGGGACGAGTTCGAGGGTTGTGAAGGGTGGTGAAGGAAGTGAGGGTGTGGAGTACACGGTTGGGGTTTTGTGTCAGAGCAATTATGGACATACACATGATATGCAGGTATGTTGGTGTTTTCCACTCCAGATTCTTGGCTTCGGATGCTGAAAGGATGATTATCAACTTTGGCTCGAAGTTTGCTGACCTTGCTTAGATTGGAGGAGTTCCTGTAGGAAAACTGATTTTGAAGGAGAAGGGATCACCCGTTCATATGCCAGAGTCAGCAAAGGAAACCGAGGTCAAAGGAGGCAAAGCGGATGACGGAAGTATCGTTATCATTCTCATGTAAGTTTCTTACCCCTTCAGCAATTTGTTCTGTTTTCCTCGATTGTCTTCCTCTCACATCCCCACCACAAGATTTCAACTTCCAGCTAACACTTCCAGTACCGACGCCCCCATGCTCCCCCACCAACTGGTCCGCCTCTCTCGCCATTGCGCCGTCGGACTCACACAAGTCGGCGGCCACGGCGTAGGAACCAACTTCTCAGGCGACATCATCCTCTCCCTGTCCACCGGTAACAGGCCCAACGAACGTGTACTCAACACTCCCAAGAACGGTATTTCCGTCATTGAGAGCAACGATATCAAGATCATCAAGAATGAGAGTATGGATACTATGTTCCGTGCTGCGAGTGAGGCGACTGAGGAGGCGATTTTGAACTCTCTTGTTGCTGGGAGGGAGGGGAGAACTGGTCACAAAGGGATTAGGTTGGATGGGTTTCCAGTTGAACTTGTGGGTGAGCTGTTGGAGAAGTACAGAATCACTATTTGAAAGGAGATGGGTAGCATTCCCTGCCAACACCAATGACCTCTGCCAGCTTTGCATGGCTCGACAGAGATGACCCGACTATTTAGGTTGTAGCAGGAAAACTTTAAGGACAAAGACACATCAGTCTGGTGGAGAGCACTATCTATAAGGTAGAAAGTATACTAGTCGCCTAAAACAAAATCTTCATCCCAATTGCTTGTTTACAGCATCTTGCTGAAATCTCACCTGCTCCAATAAGGGTCTACATCTTCGTCTTCCTCGAAGTCGTTCCAGGCACCTGGCATTCCTCTTTCTGGACTCTCAATACTTTCCCAAAACTCGACCAGGGAGTTGTCAGGAACTTCGATAAACCAGAACTTCCAATCGCTCGGCTTTGGACCATAGGAGAAAATCACGGTTGAGCACACTACGGTAGCACGACATTTTCTGCCAGTGTCCTCAGCTGAACCACCGTAAGATACGGTTGTGTGAACCTCGTTACTCAACCAGATATCCTTCTCCATTCGTCCGTATTCCTCGAGGTCAACACCAACTTTCTGCAAGGCGGTTAGCCAGCTAAAAAGTGCACCAAGAACATTCGTAATTGGAGGACACCATGGCATGACTTTCGGCGTGCATGGACTGTTGGAGACGTGATCCGCTTCAAATCGTGTCTGCCAACTCATACAGCTCAAATGCCCGAAGCTGTGAATTATATGCCCAAAAGGGGTATGGTTTCTGGCGAGGCGCTTTCCAACATTGTGTAGGTTTTCGACCCCTGCTTGGGCAGCTTGAAGTATCTTTTCCATTAGCGGCAAAAGGTCTAGAAGAAGAATATCTTCATCCACCACAGATTCCCGCATGTTCCCATAGAGTCCGACAATGTCGGAAGAGCGAAAATAGTATTCCCCCAATGCCCAAGATATACAATTAACAAGGTTCGAGTTACACCAGGATTTGATGCCACATAGACTAGGAGTTATACCCTCAGTTCCAAGCAGCGTGCGTATGAGTGACGCACGATTTGGCTGGTGCAACAAGCTACATAGATTCACGATGATTTTGATTTTGATCTGTGGGCTTTGTTGGTGGTAGTTTGACTCGGTTTTCTCCAGTATCCACGTGAGTACTCGTGCATCGCCCCGAATAAATGTACCGAAAGTAGTATCATGGCAAAGCAAGGGGTCTTCAAGGTCCGCATTCCAAGCGAGGGCATCTAGAGTCTTGAAGTATCTGCTTTGATTCCCCGTGGCCCCAAAGCACCAAAGATAACGTATCGAGTATCTTGAGTGATGTGTTAGTGCTTAGAGATAATGAATAGAGAAACCCCACAAGAGATCGCTCAGGTGTGGACTTACAACCGATCATCGGTTAGGCCATTTTCGAGAGAACCGCACGTTTGCAAAAGCAAGCGACAAATATCGGCTTGGTAGAAGGTCGCAGCAGTCTATTGGACAGTTAGAGGAAACAAGGAAAACAGTAACATCCAATTTATTGCTTACATTGAGAACAGACTTTCCTTCACATCTGTCAAATGGGGAAGCAAGGCCCAGATCAAACAGTTTCCGCATTCCGTCAACATTTCCGTTTCGGGCATATATCATTACTTGCGCATGCAAAGGAACTTCATTGTACGATCGGATATTAATACTGAAAGAATAGGCAGCTCGATGCATCAGAATTTCAATGCCCCTGGTTGCACCAGTGAACCATCTGGGAGTATGTACTCTAAGGATGTGACTCGATTTTGGAGACATTCGTCTAGCCTTCCGAACCGCCAGCTGCTTGGGGCAGTCAACCGCAGTAACAACAGTTGTCTCAGCCTCGACATCGTCCAAAATTCTGCCTCTTGCATTTGTTCGTGGTGAGCTCGAAAAGGTCGGTACTTCAGTTTCGGATTTCATTAAGGCCATGGACTGTGGTGGTCTGCTTTCCACCTGCTGAACAAGGAGACGGGAGAGGGTTTCAAAGTTTTGTTTCTGCAGCGACCTTCAAGAACTTAGCATTTTCTGGGTTTAGAACCAAATTGGTATATACTGACTCGGAATACAATTGCCTCGATAGGTGGAACATTGCCCTCGCATCTCTGACCCTCTCCCTCAATCGATCAATAGTTTCCTTCTTTGCAACAGCTTTGAGACAACCCAGCAACCTATGTTTCGAAATTTGGACATTCACATCTTCAGTAACCTTGCTCAACATCTCCGTGCTATATAGGCAGAGTTGTTCCACTTCGCCTACCACCATTGCTCCATGGCCATCAGGCTCTTTTATGTATGAGGAGCTAAACTCGGCGAGAAGGCGATGTAAGACATTCATCTCGTCCAGGAGGTACTTCACTTCGCTGGGTGCTTCCTTGACGCTCTCGACGAATGCAATGAGCTTGAGAATCTTTTCGCCGGTCTGGATGGCGAAAGCAGCGATTCCAACCGCGCTTGCGACGAGTTCTGCCATTTTGAATTTCGGGATATGATGTGATCGGAGACAAGGCTGTCAATGTGTTCTTGATTTTTTGTGAAGAATTCGTCCTGGTTTTGATAGAACACCCTTATCAGGCTGCCGACACTGCCCCCGCACAGCTGTTAAGGAAGCACAGCCATAAGGTTGTGTAACACATCGCCTGCACAGTCCCGCATTGTTGGTTTTCATGCATGAACCACTGGCAGGCGGAACAGGTATTCCATCCAATGAGCATATCTACCCGGGCAACCTCCCAGTGTACCATAGTTTCTCCTGGGCTGTGTCTCGCTTGGAGATGGATTGTTGGCTTTTGTGCAAATTGCGCGAGAACAACTATAGATCTGCGTGTCTAGACTGTCGATGTATACCTTACCTGCGGACCTTGAAGTGCACTGGCGATGAATGATATACACCCAAAGATGTTTCGATTACCCCATTACAAACTCGTCCATCATCTCGCAGGAATCCTTATATTTTATCAGACCGGATGGATCGCCCGGCTTTTCTGTGTTCCAATATGCATGTATCCTTTCTTGGTGGTGCCTTAATCGTGGCGTTGGTTTGGTATCCCATGCAATGGGCAATCCTCGCCGAGTAAGTAGTTCCGAGATCACGATAGCCTGACGAATTCCAACGGTCTCTCCAATGTTTCGCAGACGAGCGGCTGCCCAGCGCCTGATGGGCTCTGTCGTCAAATCCATGGTGCCGACCAAGAATAATGGCCAGAGGACAAAGTAGCTGCGCGATCCATCCAGCAGGCCTGATGAGGATTGGTTCAGAAAGGATGGTGTATGGTGAGGAACACTACCAAGGATGTCGGCTTGCATCTCAAGCATGATTTTGACAGAAGAGTCAAGCAGAACGGCATTTTCATCATCGCTGAAAAGTGGGGTGCTCGCAGTCGAGGCGACCAGTAATTGGTCTCGGATCAGCTCATGTAGGAGAACCCTGCAGGTCCTCATCCCGTTCCAGACATGGCTCATCCAATATTCCCCGTAGACGTGGTAGTGACCATCCCAAACGATATCAGGATTTTCAGTCGTGTAGAGCGTCATGTACTTCCACTCCTCGGGTAGATCTTTGAACTCATCAATGAAACGCTGGTCAAGTTCCAGTGCCTGCTCAACCACATTCCGAGGGCCGACAATCTCACTATCCCTCACCTTCGACCGAAAAATGGTGAAGTCGATGATTACCCCAGCGACTCGCCACCCAAGGCTATCGACGTCCATAAACTTCTCGGCTTCCTTTCGCAATTGTATAATGTGCTCTGGCATCGGTATTGTACGTTGTATACAGCTGAGCATTAGATTTGCGGTTGCCTGAAGGAATAATTTCTGTCCAGCGGGACTTTTGAACTGCTCTTGGCCCCGGAATTTGATTAATGCTGCCGCTCCCTTGATGTGCTCAGTCCAAGAGTCGAGAGACCGCTCATTGTTTCCGGATATCATTTCGTAAATGCTCAGGACCATGACAGAGAAGAGTGTGCTATCCTTCTTGGCAGCAGTGGGAGATCGGAGCGCCTGATTTGTCAGTTGCAGAGCCTTGACGTAGTCTCTTCTTGCTTTGGCCATAATTTCAGGGGCACGGAAAGTATTGGAAAAGCCCGCCAGGCCAACAGCACTTATGCTTGCCTGTAAGTGTTCCTCGATGACTGCTTGACCGCAAAGATTTTCCACGAGATCGAAGGCTCGAAACCACGTTGGAGCAAGAGTACCGAAAAGGGCGATAGATCTCTCCTCAAGCGTAGGAAACATAAAATAATTTGGCATCATGCTCTTGATGCAGAGTTCGTCATTTGCCAGTGGCGTATTCGAATACTTTACGACCTCGTTGACTGGGTTGTCATCACTGCATGCTTCATCACCAGCTATCGGATTGGGAGCAGAATGTTCCGGACTCTTCGATTTCGCCCTCGGTACCTCCTTTGACTTCACAGCTTTCACTTTCACGGTATCGCTCTCATTGCGGAACATAAGATCCAACTGGCTTCGGTATCCGGGGCATATTCGATGTGCTCGAATACACTGACCACATGATGGAGTGGCTTTGTCACACTAGTGTTCTTCAGTATCATGTTTCGAACTTATGGCTTGTAGGAGCGATGATACTGACTCGAGTTTTTCGCTTCCTACATTCCGAACAGGAAGCTGAGGGTTTGCCACAGTAGACCATTTTGAAAGAAGTACGAGGGATGAGAGAAGTGTATAACTCTGTGATCTCACAGAAATTTGAAGATATTTATCCTCATAAGTTAAGCTTCTTTCACTGCTGCCCTATATGTCATCGTGGTCCACATGCTGTGCGGCAGATTGACTCTGCATACAGATGCTGCCCTGCTTGACGCGTAAGACTTCGACAGGGCGCAACAAGTTTTGACAGCGCCACTGCGCGGACAAGCCGATGGGAGCCTAGTGAAGATGTGTCAGCCCCTTCGTTCTATCGTACACCTGTCAGAAGCTTAGATGTATCTATTCAAGGAGATCTGGGACCACAGATGATGCGCGATCGACAAAGCTTGTCTGGTGTTGACTAACCGGATGAGGGATGCACGACGCAGTTTAGCGCTAAGCCCGTCAGCAGCCTCCCTGAGAAAGGGGCCGGAATCCCGATCACGAGACCTTCGGACCGTCCCTGTCAACAATTCCTTGCTTTCTTTCGTCGTTGCGCAAATTCACGATAGAAGTAGTGAGCTGTGAGGCGAGTTCTCAGTTGAACCAAAAGCTGACGCTAAAGCTGACACTGAGGCTCCGGACATAATGCCACCATCCGACGGGGATGTACAAACACTCCCCATCCTCCAGGATACAATCCACAAACTCAGCGTTTCTGAAGAGTGGAAACTTTGAATGAGCTGCATTTTTCTCCTCTTCGGTTCCATCCCATCCGCACAGAAGTCCAATGTCTACTTCGCTGGTGTTCTCCATATCAACTCCGCCATCCTCCACTCCTCTTGCATACAGCTTCCCACTTTCGCGTGGAGCATATAGTCTAATATATTTCCTGCCAACAACCTGTGCAAGGATGTTGTGATACGGATCAGTATGGAGTGGACTGATAGTTCCAGCTGGACCAAACCATGCATTCAATAGTGGCTCGTCAAGTTCAGCCATTTTGGAATGCTTCTCGGCGAGAGGCGAGGAATGGTGTGGTGGTGGCGGCGATGTGTAGCAGTAGTCTGGAACTGCGATATCGTGACGAAGAGATGGCATTTGAGCAAACAGGTTATGCTGAGCGAGGTAACCTGTTGCAAGACCAGGAGAATTTGGATTGAGAAGAATATACTGCTCAATGAATTCTTTGAAGGGGATGATCTTCTGTCCCCATCCTTCGTCGACGTAGCTTCGACCGAGTTCGATGGGTACAAGCCGCCTTCCGCCGATGGTCTTGGAAAGCAGATAGCTTGGTTTGTTCCAGGCATTCTCATTGCGAGCTGGCCAGTGATCTATTGCGCGGGTGATGATCACAGGCTCGGGGCCGATATCTGAATTGCCAGGCTGGGACATATGTTTCTGGAAGTCACCCAATGTTGGAAGATGTCTTCGAGGAATTGCATGTACCACAGGTGGAACGAATGAAGAACGGACGGGACATCCATTGAAGAGCTGCTTGTGCTCTGTCTCTAGCTTCGGCCGCTTGGTGGGCCGGCCCTCTTCATCTCGCTTGGTTGAAGTGACATGTATCTCTTGCAGTAAATCGAGGACTCTTGTAATCTCTCTTTGTGTTTGTTCGGATTCCGGAGGCCCCGCCATGATGAGGGCCATGTCAAGTACATTGACCATCCCATCCATCTGACTGTTCTCGAATGTTGAAATCCGTAATTCGTCATCGTTCTGGCTACTCACATCTCCCCAGATTTCGCTTACAGCTAATGCTGAGAACTTCAGCAGGCTTGCTTCTCTAAAGAGCTGTGGCCAGCACGGCGGGACATCTTTGAAAGGAAATGCATAGAACTTCTCCGTTGCAAGACTAATCATATCATCCAGTCTCTGAATAACAAAATCGTAGTCGCCCATGTGATTCTTGATCAAGTTGCTGAGATGGTGCAGCAGGCTTAAGATAGCCTGGCTGCAGTGCTGGGGTGCATCGCCTTTGGGTGTGGGACCGAGCTGCTTTGATGCGTTGGACAACGATGCAGTGATTCGTGAGGAATTGCAGAACGATTGCACACAAATTTTGATCAGGTCTTGCTCTAAAGAAGCTTTTTCGGCCTCTTTCATTTTCTTCCGAGGTATGTGGCCTTGCTGTAACAGCACTGCCAATCGTTATTGTTGGTGCAACATTCTTCTCTTATATTACAACGAACGTAGCTCGCATGGTGGGGTTGTCGTGTTTAGTCTTTCGGTCCCGGATGAACTTTTGATTCACAAGAGGAATCTTGATATTCCAAATGTGATTAGTCAGCAAGGTTCCACACCCCCGGATCACGCTAACCAGGCCAAATCCATCATCACTTTACTCATCCATCTATATCATTATACACTGCTGTGGGATAATATTACTGCGGACTGTCTGTTATGGTTCTTACATTCCATGTAACTCCTTATGGGAAGCTGTTTTCTGTGCTGACTTCGTCCTTTTCGCAAGCCATTCAGGCGCCGCCAGCGAAGTATCTCTCCTGAGGACCCCGGCAGTCCAACAGGTGCTGAAGAGATTTATCCCAGATTGAGAGAGAATTATGTCTTGCGATGGAACCAATCAGCCTGATCAGTTGTGTTCCTTGACGATGGAAACTATACACGTGGGAAGCACAGCAGAAATGGCGACATTATTGACCGCCTAAAAGTTGCAGTTCCCCTGAGAACTATTCGTGGTCTCGATTGGCCTTCCCTCCTACATAGATGTTGCCAACCGAAATCCAACAAGGGCCGAGGTCAGAGTTTCACTGGAACAGCAGCCATTTAAAGTGCTGCATTTTCACGGTTCCGCAACACGAATTCCAAATACACAGCATGATATAGATGCTACCCTATTCCCGCATTGGAGTGCTGCTGGCCTTTCTACCACTCGAGTTCACCGACTGAGACCATGTCGGCTTTAAACACAAGAGAGCTTTCTGAAGTCTGGAACAAGGCATGGTCGAGGCAAGGCCTTCCGTCCACCCACTAGCAGTGAGGTAGTGGAACGATCCCTTTGGACGACGCGATACAGACTACAAGTAGGGTGTCGTACGAAATTTCCGCGGCGTTTAAGAATGTAGCTGCAGTGGAAAGCCTTGGTGGGGTTGGCGCTACAGTACATCGACAACTTTCCCCTATTTCCCTCTATCCTCAGCAGGCCGGACCTTAGAAGACTCGAAGTATAAGTAGGAATACATTCCGTCTCTCATTCGGGCCTAGGCCACGCCTATCCAGCCATACTCCCCTGCTTAGAGAGTACCCACAGATCCTCATTTCTCATCCGTGCCATACTTTCAGTATGGCCGTGTATTATGTCTACCTCAAGTACGCTCGCAGCGCCGACTATCTGCGTGCCAACTATGGCCGCTGGTTGCTTACCTTCGAGAGTCGACATTCAGCCGATGAATTCTATCGAGCCATGAAAGTTGTGAAGAACTCGGTGAACAATCTCCGCTATGTCACCTTCCACCGTTCTACACCTCAATTGTGGTGTTATGATACCACAGATGGCGAGCGTAAGTAGAAATACCATCTTAAGTTAGGAATCCGAATGGATATGGTATCTTCAGAACCCGGGCTGACAACAACGGTCAGCTTGGTGGACTATCAAGCTTATCTTAGAGGGTGATGCAACCTGGAATTACAGCGTTATGGCCACTCTTCTGAGCGATACCAATGGCACTCGAGACTGGCCAGTTATCAACAACATCGTTGAGGGCTCTGATGTATGTAATTAATAAAGCCCAATGCCTGCACACAGGTTTTGGCTTCCTCTGCTAACCACCTGTTATCCAGTGGTTCAATGGCGGTTCATTCTTCATCCGCAATAAGCTCATCCCGGATTTATACTGGCACTCTGACGGATCCGCTATCATCGCAACCAAGGAGCGTCGCACGAAGTTCGTGGTCCGTGGAACGGCGTTCAAGAAGGACGACGACGAACAAGTCTTGATCAGATCTGACAAGATTACCATTGAAGTCGCTGAAAGCACTTCCACCGACAAGATCCTGTTCGTTGGACATGATCATGATAATGCCATTCTCGTCATCACCGCTGACAAGTATGAGTGGACGTTCAAGGACTTCTTCGAGTCGTTCGGCGTGAAATGGTATACTGAATCCGGTAAGGATACGGAAAAGCAGTATCTGATCTACTCTCCTGCCATCTCGGACGAGTGGGAATTGGTGTGAGAATTGAAAGTTATCAGCTTGTCCCCAGACTTGAGTCTTGGAGAGAGTAATTGCGGATTGTATTGCGCCGAGTTCGAAGCCACACGTTATTACAAACATGAAGTCCTCGCCAGCCACAATTGAATTTCTATGAGGCGTCATGTTGACGATGAGCTGAAGTGAGGCTGTTCAAGGAATCTAGACATACTTTCCGGTCTTGCCGGCGGCCTCGTATTCTATCCAGTCTCGTTACGTTGGCGTTGATGTTTTCGCATTGCCACTGTTGTCGCCAATATCGTTGACGCGAAGACAACCCTCACCTGTAGAGTAGGAGGAAATTAAAACGCCTCATTATTAAAATTCTCAAACGAGCTACATCGAGGGAAGCTCAATATAATATTCTGAGAAAACAGTTTGCCATCCCATGTCTTCTTTCACAAACCCTATCCCCAGTCCTACAAATGATCATTATTTAGCCTCGGATCGAAGGCGAGTGCCAGCCGAGATCTCTCTCATCACATCCGGAATCTGCCAGCTTTCAAACAGCCACCAATGTGGCTAACTCGTCGCAACTATGTTTAGAAATCATCTCAGTTACCTCTAGATCCCCAGATAAGCTTTTACTTGGTCCCTCCCTGAGCTGCCCTTAGGCCATTGGGCTGGGAGCGAGTGCGTATCCGAGTCTCGTATTCGGTTCCGGTCGGGTTGTTTGGACTACCAACCACTGTGGCGAAGTGATTGGTCTCTTCAATACTTCGATCGATGGCATCTTTCATCCGAGAAAGGGATCTCCAGGTCGGAGGGTCCCGATTCTGGGGAAGGGAGTGCTCGCTTGGCAGCGGGTTCTAGCCTTTGGACGCTGAAGTGACGACGCATGGAGGATGTGCGATCCGAACTTTCCTGAACCTGAAGCTGTATTTGTGGCTTGAAATTTTGGGTATAAGGCCATCCTTGCGCCTTAATATTGTGAAGGGGAACCAAAGGGAGCATTCTACAGCAGCCTCACAGGGTTCGCTTACGACTTGATTGAGATAGTCAACAACAATTGCCCAAAACTCAGGACCATCCTCCTCAACGAGCGACTGGAACAGATTCATCTTAGCACTTTTGGATCGCTCTAAACTTTCCATTACCTCACAGACAGACTTTTCTAGGCTCTGTACAACTCCTCTTCAAACAGTATTTCGAAATCTCCACACCTCTCTCAAAATGGATACCCTCAACGCCATATCACTCGCAGTCGTCGAGCGAGCCTTGATTCAAGCACGAGCAGAGAAGACTTTCTGGCAGAAATATAGGTGGTATATCATCGGCGGACTGGCAGCATTACCTCCTCAAGTAGCTTTGGGATGGTGGTAGTAAGCAGTCCCTCCTTCCCATCTAATTAGTCTCAAGACCACATCAAATTCAATTCTTTGGAGGAGAAAATCAGCGTTGGTTGTTCTTCTATGTGTGACTAACAATGAGATAGCTTGAGACGTCGCAAGGCGAAGAAAGCGGCGCTTAAGAGATCGGAGGAGGAGGCGGCGTTGGGTCCGTATGCGAACATGGAGGGGCGGAGATAGTCAAACTTATCGTCAGATATGAGGATGAGATATCAAGAGCCAAAGACTTGAATATGCTGCGATCGAGAGTTGGAAACGTTTGTGGAGGCAATAAGGTGGTTACATTGGCAGATTTGGAGTCATCCGTCATGTAGGAAGCATTATTTACACGGCGCTGGCGCGAGGTGGATTTCGCTGCAGAGTGCAGAGTCAAACGCGGAGACAGACACCCTGCGACTTGCCCATTTTGCTTTGATGCCAATTGTTTATCGCAATATATATTTCAAGCTTTGATGATAGTCTTTTATTGTCTCTCATTGTAATATACCTTCGTTAATCGATGAATATGGTGTTTGGGAGGTGTAATACCCTGCTCGCTTGCCGTTTTGCAATTGTTGATGTCGTCTGACAATTTGGTATATCTGGAAAGTATTTTACCTCAGAAAGTTGTCAAGGGATAGCCATGGAGAACTAATCCTTCTTCTTCTTGTTGCAAAATGTTGAACTGTGTGAGTACGAAATTGAAGGCTGGGTGGACGCAGTGCTATGACGTTATATACTGAGGGTGATAAGGGCAAGGCCGAGTGATTGGAATGATGAGGGCAAGAGAAGAGAATGTGCGTTTTTGTAATGGGGAAGCCATATGTGCGCCGCTTAGTTTGGTATTGAAGCTACTACCTATTAACTTGGGGTTACTATTTTATACGTACCATAGGTATGGTAAGGAGAGGATCTCACCGGGAAGGGGGACAATACAACGACCTTTACTCTGTATCATAGAACAATGCCATGTTTCAACATGCTCCGCATTGTTTTATAACTCCAAAGTCTCCAAACCTTACTAGATCCTGGATATTGTTCCTAAGGTGAAGTTCTGTGGGAGAGACACAGAACTCGCGCTTACGTAAGCTGGGGACTAACGAGATTTCACATGCTTCACTTCACATGCGAACTAGGGTTCTCTTCCCGCCCACTTCTCAACAACTGCATTCCGTCCATACCCGCTGCTTATCGCTATAAACTTTGCCTCACAATTACTTTGGCAATTTTCCAACCGCTTACATCCCAATGTCATTCGATATATTTGAGTTGCCTCAGTTCACGAAAATCATGTCCTTGATATGATCCTCGCATTGGGTGCTTTTTCGAGCTTCAATTCTTCCATTTCTTCAACAAATTCCACTTCGAATTGCTTGTAAATAAGTTACATTCCTGGATCTACATTCCTCACGTCGTGATTTAAGACATACACACACCCCCAAGGAGCATTTACTTATCATCCATCCTCCGCAATGGCTCAACTCCGTCAACGCAACCCCAGGCCTGCTCCACCAACCCGCCCCCTCTCGGAATTCTTACCACGAACAAAAGAGCCCTCGATGCTCTTTTCCTTATTACCATCAGCCGTACAATCCCGACTACCCCGCCTACCTTCCCTCCGCCGCTCCGTCAGTATGTACGGCATTTCCAGAAAGCGCAAAGTTTCCGTGTCAAGGCCCTCATCTGGATCTTCCACGTCGTCTGCATCGTCCGGAATGCGGACCCCAGAACAAGGATACACATCTGCCATGGTGCTCAGCGATGCGAGGAACATGATGGCAGATGATGGGGTGGTTGATTATTTGGTCGAAAGTGCGTCGAGTGATGAGGATACCTCAATGCCGAGGGCAGGCAGGAATCAGAGACTAGAATTGACGGAGAATAAGAGCGGGATTGGATGGAAATTCGCAAACCAAGGCAAGTCAGGTTGCTGTCTAAATGACGAAATGTATGCTGACCATCGACTAGGACTCAGTCTTCTCAGTCTAGCGGTCGACGAGTCTTCCTCGCTATCCCAAGATCCAAACTTCGGAAATGCAAGCTTCGCAAGGCAACTTTACCTACACGCTCTTACCTATCTCATTCGAGCTCTGCCCACCGATCTCACGACTGAAGAACAACTCAGTATTCGAAGTTCCCTCCCACAAGGCATAGTCGAACCTCTTCATCTCGAAGTAAATGGCTATGCCCAGCCTAATACCGCGTCCGACAGCCAACGCTCCCTCCTCCACCGCACCCTCGCATCAACCATCGTCCAGTTCTTCATATTGGCACAATTCGTCTTGCCATATATCAAGTACCTGCTACGTGCCGCATACCAATACGACCGCGAGCATAAAATATCCGAGAAGGTTTTTAGTCAAAGCATCGAAACTGTCGATACGCTGGGCAAGGCAGGATTAAGCTGGACGGGAGCCATATATGGTATGGGAAATGGCAAGGTGGGACAGGTCATGACGGACACCGCCGCGTGGTTTGTTGAGGGTGTTACGGGTGGGATTCATGAGGGTGTTGGTGAGGGAATGGTGATTATGGGTGCTCCTAGAAGAGGTCCTGGTCCAGAAAGGAGACGATGCTGAGATTAACGACTGATTACCTAGAAGAGAATTTGGATTTATGATACCCACACCAACTTATGATGCCGGAGTTACTGCTTTGACTGGGTCCTGGGATATATTGGTATATTAGAGAGAAATAGAAGTTGTAGGACGCTTGCACTTATGCAATTGAATTCATAGCCCAATTATTTTACCCCAACCGTGAAGAGGCTGAAAGTCAGCCTTGCATTTGCAGGCACTTGCTGAATCGTACGGAAAAATGACCAACCTCTGCCGAACTTCATGCTCGTTGCTACACGTCTTTTCCTGAATATTAGAGATATATTCCATGTCATGGTCTTAAACCATATCCCTATGTCTCGATTGTAAAATCTTCTTCCGCGTAGGTGGATTGTGGCACGTGCTAGCGCATTTTAGAAAAAAGTTCCAGGACAGGAGAACTCGAGGCTTTCGATTGAGAATACCAGCATCCACGACAACAAGACCGCCTCACGACCTACGCTCCTTGTTGTACATCTTTGATCTTTCTATCTGTATTGTTTTAATACCTTGGTTCCCATCGGGCTTGTTGACTTTCTGGTTTCCCACGATGTTCAGTGTCTGCAGAAGAGGCCCTGCCTCAATATCCAGAGTCCTTCGCGCTGTTCCTTCAACCACATCTCGTATCCCATCAACAAGACCTTCGACACTGTCATTATCTCTCCAGATCTCTTCAAAATCACCGCTCGAAGCACGGTGGCTGCATGTGTCGTCGCAATTGAGAAATTATGTTGCCACGGCCGAGAAGGATTATGGTGATTTGCACCCAGGTTCAGCGCCGGCGACATCCCAAGAAGCAAAAGACGTTACGAAGTTCCAGGAGTTGATTGATTATAATATGGTTCATCCCAATGTCGTGGAGCAAATTACGAAGAAGATGGGACATCACACCATGACGGATGTGCAGTCTTTGACGATCAACCAAGGCCTTCAGGGTACTGATATGTAAGCCAATGAATGGAACTTCAAACCTTTTCTTATCATGCTGACATCTTCAGTGTTGCGCAAGCACGGACAGGTACCGGAAAGACTCTGGGATTCCTCATTCCTACTATCCAGAACATTCTACGAAAGAGCCCCGAATTGGCGATTCGAAAGCGATACTCCCGAGCTCGAGCTTCAGATATCCGAGCCATCATCATTTCGCCTACTCGTGAGTTGGCGGAACAGATTGCGGTAGAAGCAGATAAGCTATGTTACGGAACGGATTTGAGAGTCCAGGTAGCAGTTGGTGGTAACAGCAAGCGAGCTATGCTCCAAAAGACATTGAGAGAAGGTTGCCACATTCTCGTCGGAACTCCTGGAAGACTGCAAGATCTGCTGTCAGATGAATACAGTGGAGTTAGAGCTCCTAACCTCACCACATTGGTCTTGGATGAAGCAGACAGACTATTGGACCAAGGATTCTCCAAAGAGGTAGATGCCATCCAGGATTTACTGCCAGACAGAAACGACGTCGATCGCCAGACACTTCTTTTCTCTGCGACCATGCCACGAGAAGTCATGCGACTTGTTCGACAGACTTTGAAGCCCAATTTCCACTTTGTTCAGGCAGTTAAGGAAGGAGATCTTGCCACACACGACAAGGTACCTCAGCACATTGTTGTTACACCTGGTATGGAGAATTTTATGCCAGTACTCCTTGAGCTATCCAAGCGCGAAATCGCCAAGGCCGAGGAAGCCAAAAAGACTGGGGCGGAGGTTAGACCATTCAAAGCAATTGTCTACTTCTCGTCAACTTCCAACGTCATTTTATCGAGCGACATTTTCCAGAACTTGAAAGGCTCTGGAAGTGGTCTGTTTGGACAACACCCGCTCTACCCCGCCCAGATCTCTGAAATGCATGGTCAACTCAGTCAACAACAACGTACATATGTCTCTGACAGATTCCGCAGAGCCAAATCAGCTATCATGTTTTCCACGGATGTGACAGCAAGAGGAATGGATTTCCCTGGTGTCACGCACGTCATACAAATTGGTCTTCCGCCCAACCGCGAACAATACATCCACAGAATTGGCAGAACAGGAAGAGGAGACAAAACCGGAGATGGATTCATCATCGTTGATGAATCTACTCTCGGAGAAGCTCGAAACATGCTCCGTGGTCTCCCGATTGTCCCAGACAAATCTCTAGAAACCGGACAGGTCGACATGACAAAAGACGCCCAACTACCACAATCCATTGCCGAAACCCTCAGCCAAGTCGCTGAAGGCACGAAATATGCGAGCCGTAGAACAAAAGAGGCAGCTTACATGGGAGCACTTGGACAGATCAGGGGCCGAGGAGGTAATGCTATTGTCAAGGCCTTGAATCAAATGACCAGATACGGATGGGGCTTTGAGAACCCACCACCAATCTCACCCTCCCTTGCTAGCAAGCTAGGTATCAGCAGAGCTCCAGGAATAAACATTGGCCACAGAGAGCGCGATGATAATGAAGATGACTTCAGAGGTCGTGATGGTGGCAGAAATGGTGGGTTTGGAGGCCGCGATGGTGGAAGAAGCGGTGGGTTTGGAGGCCGTGATGGTGGCAGAAGCGATGGGTTTGGCGGTCGTGATGGTGAACGAAGCGGTGGTTTTGGGGGTGATAGAGGGGGCCGCAGTGGCGGATTTGGAGAAGGGAGAAGTGGTGGATTCGGTGGTGACAGAGGAGGACGAGGCGGTGGATTTGGCGGCGACCGTGGAAGACGTGGCGGTGGATATGGCTCCGACAGAAGATCAGGCGGTGATCGTGGAGGATCCGGGGGACGATCCCGCCAAGAGGCCAGCTTTTAAGCAGAGCTGAGAGTGTGAGAGTGAGAAATCGGTGTATACTAGACGGCTGGGGCGGATCTTCTTCATGCGCCATTACTCTTTTCATTGTGTCGATATCGCGCGAGCTGGGGTTGTATCAAAAGAGATCGGTCGGAGCCATCATTCGAGCGGAAGACGCGAGAGTCAGGTCACAGGATCCAGAGATGTACGAGCAAAGGACGTACGGAAAGAGGGAGGTAATTGAGAGAAGCATGTAGGAATAGTCACAGGCGTTCTGTCGGGTTGGGTTAGACATCATATCATTGCAGAGCGTTTGGGACTTGGGGCTGGCTTTTACAACAAGCAAACTAACACCTATTGGTTCTTGGTTTGGTGCGAGCCTGTGTAACGGCCGCTTTGTATTTTCATAGCAGTAATTCAACCAAACTCTACTTCCACTCCACGTCTTAAGCGCGATGAACTTCTTGTGACTTTTGATTGAATATATTTCGAGCCTTCCAATTTCATATGTAGCGGGGCAGCATAAACACTTCGACGGCAACTAGCCAAGGCGGTCTGGCAAGCGATTGGTTAACAAGACGTACTTCAAGAGCAAGCCAAGACGCCCTCCGTTTGACTCGACTTCTTCACATCAACAAGAGCGTAATACAGCAAGACGAAGAACATGAAAGTGAGTTCTCCAACGAAAACGACCCCTGTTGGAGGCCCCCAGCTTTACCGTGAACATGGACGCATTCATCTCCCGCAAAAAGCGGAAACTCTCCCCGCACTCCCACCTCGCCACCCAATCCAGCACACCTGATCACGAGTATGAGAAGGCCGGAACACATCAAGAAGCAAGTTCCAGCATCGCTACCCCTGAAGATGAAGAAACAGAATCTACAGACTTCAAACTAGCTCTCCTCTCCTCTCTCCATCCAGATACAGATCAACAGCTTCTTCTCGACGTTTTACTAGCTCATGAGGGCTCGGTTGAAGATGCCTCAGCAGCGCTAAGTGCCGATAGCTCTTCTACGCCACACAGGCAAAATGGATCTTCAGATCCAACCTCAATATCGATATCGGCTTTAGGATCTGCAACTGCAGCAGCGACGGGCTATCAAAGCTCGTTGTCAAATTTCTTGTCTCGATCCAATTCCAATTCCAACTCCGAACTCAACACAGACCCAGAAAAGCCATTAAAAGCTAAACCTAAACTCCCAACCAAACACGGCAAGACGCTGCACCTCTATTCGCCTTCAGATGTAGAGGTTCATACGCCATGTTCGATTATTCATAATTTCTTGCCGGCGGACGAAGCGAATGCGTTGTTGAAGGAGTTGCTGGGTGAGGCGGAGAGTTTTGAGAGGAGCAGTTTTAGGCTTTTTGATAATGTGGTGCAGAGTCCGGTATGTACTTCCTTTTCCTATGTGGTTGGGTTTTGACGAGATCTTGCTCTTAATCTTGTTCTTTATTTGGGTTCTTCGAGTTGTCTGGGATGGTGGGTAAGAGAAGATGATGCTGATATCTGGGTAGCATACTGCGTGCTTTTACATGGAGAGTTTGGAGGAGATTGAAACCCAGAAGACGGAGTATATATACAATGGGGGAAAGTTGGATGTGAGTTCCCAGTCTTTTTGTCTCGTCTTCCAATATGCGCCTTTGTTTTCTCTGGATGACTAGCTTGCTATATGTTTGGTGCTGGACTCTTGAACGTGGACTCGTCGCAAGTACCCAAATGTTCTCGCTTACTGCAATCACCCTGGAATCAAAAATCAACACATACAATCGTGTCTTTGCCCGCCACCGGGGTTCTTCCGCTGTTATTACACTTTCGCCCACTCATACTAATTATCGAGCCCAGGATATCCGCCAACTAACTCCCATGATGAAGCTCATCGCCCCCAAAGTCACCGCCGCCGTCAACAACTCCATCGCCGCCCGCCAAAACACCCACTCCACCACTTCCAGCACTCTTGAACCCAACAAAACCTCCTCTCCACCACTTGAGCTCTGGAAACCTAACGCCGCCTTCGTAAACTGCTACAATGGCCCTGCCGAGAGCGTCGGGTACCACAGCGACCAACTAACATACCTCGGACCTCGCGCAGTGATCGGCTCCATCTCTCTCGGTGTCGCAAGAGAGTTCCGCGTTCGAAGAATCGTACCAAGCGACGAGAAAGACTCTGACAATACCAAAACGTCCTCCAACTCAACCCTCTCTTCAACAGACCCCACACCACGCCATTCCGACATCCAAGGCCAAATATCCATCCACCTCCCCCACAACTCCCTCCTAATTATGCACGCATCCATGCAAGAATTCTGGAAACATTCTATCGCGCCTTCGCAGTCCATAATCCCGCACCCAATCTCAGGCAACAAACGCATCAATATCACGTATCGCGATTACAAGGAGTATTTACATCCGAAATATACGCCACGGTGTAAGTGTGGAGTTCCGGCTGTGTTAAGGGTTGTGCAGCGGAAGAGGGAGAATCTGGGGAGGTACTTTTGGATGTGTTATGCGAGGAACGCGCCTGTGCCGGCGCCGGAGAAGGGGAAGGAGGGAGGGTGTAAGTGGTTTGAGTGGGCGGTTTTTGATGAGAGAGGGAGGCCAGTGTGGAAGAATGGTGGTGGGAAAGATGGGAAGTTTGGGAAGAGTGTTGCAGTTGCAAATGACAAGTCAAAGGATAGTGGCGAGGCGCACGGAAGTTGCGAAAGTGCTGATGGCACTTGAGCTGGATGTGATTGTACAGCTATGAATTAGAAATGCTCTCTTGAATGGCCTCTTCATGCCCTTCTTCATCTCAAATCCCTACTCAACTACCACTGATTTGGCACGCTTCCCAGGTTCTTTTCAGTATACTCAAAAGCAGTAATCATACTCCAACTAAGCCACCAGCTCCATCCTCCCCAGCCCTAGCGGTCCCTTATGGGATCACCGCCAATCGGATCACCATTACCGCACGTCCCCATTGCAGCCTCCTGTAATTCTGAGTCTATGTGAAGATGTCTCGGCGATCATTGCTTTGTACCCTCGCTTTCAATGGAAAGCTTTTTGTTTACCATTCCGAACCCGTGTCTCGCTTATGTTGGTCTCCACTACTTCCCTTTGGACCAAACCCTTCGCTTTCTGCGGGACGTCATGTTCTGGAGAGGAACAAAGTAAGGGTAGCGACGACACATCAGTATCCTTTCATGTTTTCCGATTTGTGTCATTATAGAAATCAGCGCTATGTCCAAGACTTTAGCGCATTTCCAAGTCCAAATCAAAGAACGCCAAGGTATCTTTCGCAGAGCTTCAGCATGACCTCCCAAAGTCCAAATTCCAAAAACATTCCACCAGTCCAGCGCAGGACCATTCCCCAACCTCCAATCCGAAACGCAACTTCCGGCTCTCTCCCATCTCTACCTCTATTCTTCGCAGCCACTCTCAATCTCTCCATAAAGTAGCCCTCGTCAACAGCCGGTGGCTTCCTCGCGTCCCAAGCTCTCTTGCCCACCACAATCAACGTATCGAGATTCTTGAATTTCTCGGCGAATGGTAGGACGCTCCCGGGAAGGAAGTCATAGTTAACTATGAGGTGTTTGATGTTGGTGAATGCATGAGACTGGGCTGGTGTGAGGGAGCGGCGGATGCCGTTCCAAGGGGTAAGGTAGAAGGTTTTCATGATGTGGTAACCTAGCAGAGAATTAGCTGGCTGTTTCCCTTGACTAGTGTCGACATTGGGCAGTAGATGGGAGTATGATATTCTTGGTGAGGCCGAGAAGGAGTGTGAATGCGCATTGACTTACCAGGAAACATAAGTATGTCCCTCGAAGGAGAGAAACGGATAGCATTGCCCAACAGTAGCTCATGGAAATACAGAGGATAGACCTTGTCAACGATCTCTTTCGATTCGAAACACACATCGAAGAGGGGAGAGACTAAGCTCTGTACATAAATCTCATCGGGGATATAATCCGGGTGAGGTGTTATGGTGCGTGGCTCAGGTAGGCTGAGTTTCCATATTTTGATTCGAAGTTCTGCGGGCAGACGCCGGAATGGGTTGAACATCGTTAATGGCATTTGTGACATGTTGGAAGATTGGATCTTCTGTAGCATTACCGCAACTGCACTGTCCATCTTATGCTTTACTGAGTTTCCTCCTTCGTTGACATCATAGCTGGTGACCATTTGTGGGTGCCCCGTAACTGCCGTTGTGGGCGAGTTGGGGTTGCTGTCGATGATTCTGGTATAGCTATTCATTGCATGAAAACCCCGGAGGAAGCTAACTCTGTTAGTTACGACACACACAAATTATTACATTGGGGTAGCTGGATTGCCCTATAACCTTGCTAATGTAAACCAGGTCCGAAGTCGACGGTAGAGATTGATTCCAGGTACATAGTCCATTGTGGACGCGAGACTCGAAATTCGAGGCCACGCTGAGATTGAGCCAGAAGTCAGCTACTCGTGTTGCATATATATAATTGAGTGGGCAAACTCAATCCATACTTACGCTCAGTTGTGCTTTAAGTGAGGGTCGGTGTCGAAGAATTAGTTCTTGAGCAGCTGCGCTGGTGTTGTGATGGTTTTGGAATTGCTCGACATAGAGTATTTAAATGTACTTCGAGTTGAATTGAATATCTGGCTGGGTCATTTCCTGAGATTTGTTGTGTAGAGGCTGCGACCACGGAGGAGCTATGTGCTTTCTTCCGTGTTGAATGTTGATTTCACGGCTCGAACTGAAAGTGAATCAGGACAAGTGAACATTGAGATGTTGAAAATCTCTTTTTCAAATATAACTCATTGATGTTTTTTAGCACTTGATTTCTAAAATTGTTAGACGTAGAGGAACGAATGAGAGCGGCAACAGATGGAGGAGTGCAAACAAGAGATGCAGATACTGGAGACCTTAGTGAACAACTAGAAACATTTCTCTTAAAGCATAATTCTGTGTTGTATAATCTTAGAGTAGCTCAGACTAGATAGTACTACGGTGACAACGGATATAGGCTCATGGGGATTCTCTCGATAATTGTGAACTTCTTAGATATTTCTTTTATTTTCCAAGTAAATGGTAAAAAAGCAAAACAGTGTCACCTGTAAGAGTCTTGTAATAGTTATCTGAAGCTAGAACCACTGATTGAAACCGAATTCTCTCATATAATACCCTTCTTTTATTCCTCTTTCTTTCTGTCTCTACTCTTTCAATGTTGAAACCTTTGATAGTAGGGCCTTTGATAGCAGGTCCTTTGTCGCCAAGGCGTTTGGTGGCAAGTCTTTTGACGTGAGCGCTGAGCCCTTGGACAGTAGATCTTTTGACGGTAAATTATTTGCTATATCCTCAAGAGAATATGTGTTGTTAAAGCCACGAGAGTAAGGGAGGGTAATCTCAAAGGAAACGTGATAACAAGTAAAGAGGGACAGCCAATGTAGTTAATAGTTTACAGCCGTTCAAACGACGTCGTTTTAAGGCTTTTAAACTAACTGACGTTTTACTACCTTAGAACTAACTACAGTTAGTTCTTATAAAGCTAGAACGAACGGAATAAGGTCGTTTTCAAGAATAGAGAGATAAACTAACCTATAATTCTAGCTTTACAGTGTCTCTAGCTACTTCTATAACACCTAGCCCTGTTAAAACCTGATTTTATATAACCTCTATATCTTTAACTTCTATCTCCTACTCTATAGGACCGGTCCACGACTTTAAATACTCTAAATATTCAAGTATCTATATACCTATCTTATTCCAGCGATCCGAAAGGGTTATTTTTACTGCAGAAAACGCTTGTTCTAGATCAGAGGATATCGCTAGAATAGATAGAATATTAAGAGCTATTTTCGAGAGATTTAGGTAAGCTTTTTGTTACGTAGGTTCGAGCTACTAATTAAGAACGCTATAGTAGCTATAAACACAGTCTATTTAATAGTATTACTTATATTCGTCTCGAACTACTATCGGCGTATTAACTCGTTGTAACTAAAGCTTGAATTCGTTCGTAAAAAGGGTAGTAAACATTAGAGCAGTCGGAATAGTCGATTTTAGCTTATATTCGTCCTCCTAGAGCTTCTTAACTGTCTCCTTTACCTTCTCTTACTATAAGAGTCTCTAAAACCTCTTAATATATAACCACTTTCGCGCAGAGTTAAGAACAAAAGCCGTAGCGTAAGCTAGAGATTCGTCACTTTTACTATAATATTTATCTATCTTCTACTAGCCTAAATTAACTATAGCAGAGAGCTTAATATTATTTTTATAGGTTGTTTTTACCTTCTCAAAGTAAGTAAGTATGAAATCTATTAAAGGTAAGACGCTATCAAGGGAAGCACTAAAGCCTTTAAGTGACTTAGTAAATAACTTAAAAGTCTCTAAAAACCTCTTAATTTTACTTAAAATACACTAATCTTCAGTATCTAATAAGTCCCCTGCGATTTCCGAATCTCTATATACTATAAAGTATTCTTTAATCGTATCTTATAATAGTAAGGCGACCTCTAGTATAGTATACTACAAATTCTAGCGCGTATCGTTATCTCGATAGAGGTAATAATTAGCTAACAAAGCAAGGAATCGCTAGAAGCGTAAGGTACTACGTTAAATAAAAACGACGAAATTATAGAGCTTCCTAAGTAGTCCCTTTTTACACTATTCTCTTATCTCCTCTAGTGTTTATTAAAGCCACCGGTTTATTATTTATTCGTAGTCAGCAGATTTAAGAGTCTTATCATTAGTAATAAAGAGGAAAGCTTTCATAGAAAGATTAAGAATATAGCTAGCGCAGCGTAATTAATAGGTAATCAAGTTATATTAAATACTAAAGGACTAGCGGAGATCTCTACTAATTTATTAGTAAAGAGCTATAGGGAAAGTATATACCTTACCTAAAAACAGAACTCTTATTATAACGTCGTTATCTGCGGCGTTATCTATTATAAAATAGCCTAAATTATATTAAATCTCCTAGTCTTTAATAACCTCTATTATAATTGAAGCTAGATTCTTACCTGTCTTACTATTATTAACTTGTTTTATTCCTGCAACAGTTCTCCCTATTTTACTATTAGCGCTAATATAATAGAAGATAACTATAAGTATATAGAGACTATTTATAGAAGTCCACAGGTCGCAGGAGATATATATCTTTAACCGCGCAGTCTTAATATTGTTTTTAACTCTTATCTTATATGCTTTAAATTATTGTTTTACCTATTTTGCAACTATAGTATAAGACCGAGGTAGCTAGTATAAGATATTATAAAGGAGTAGGGTAGTACTGTTAAAGTGCATAGTAAGTAGGGATATAGAGGACTACTAACTAAATAAGTAGTAAAAGTAGAAGAGAGAAGATAATATATTTGTTACGTGTTATCGCGCTTATCTATATAACTTTACAGAACAGGCTAACTATCTTCTGACTTAGAACTATATTACCCTACTATATATATCCCCCCCTTAATAAAGTAGTCGCCCTCTAACTATATCCCTTAATATATTATATAAATAAAAGAAATACACGGATACTTCTCTTAACTATCTACCTTTATTATATCGCTTATACTTGCTACTAAGTACTTCTTAGCCTCCTCTGTAAATAATAGGCCCTCTTTTAATATGATCTCTATTACTTCCTTACTTAGCTAGTTAATATTAGCTTTTACCTCTCTTATTAAAATACCTATAGCTTTTAATACCTCCTTTAGGTAGTAAAAGGACTTCTCTCTAAACGCCTCCTTCTCTACTCTCCTTATTATCTTAAAAGTCTTTATAGCTATAACTAGTGCCTTAACTCTTTACCTATTAATAAAGCTATAAGCTACTACTTGATCTTCTCTTAATAGAATATTTCTTTAAGCTATTACTACTAGTAAACTCTATTATTATTACGTAACTAAAGTATTAGATAAAGTACTTAACTTAGAAAGCTTAATTATAGTAGTGAACTAAAAAGGAATAGCTCTGTACTAATTTATAAGGCTTAATAGGGTAGCTAAGGGTATAGTGAAATCTTAATAAGAGTTAGTTAGATCTCTTTAAGTTCCCTTTTCTATAACTTCTAAGGTTTCCTTATTATCTTAAATTATAATAAACTATAGTAAGATAGTCTAATAAACTTTTATTATAGGTCTAGTTAACTTATATAAGATCTTTAGTAGTATAATCTATATATCTCTAGGGCTATAAAGAGTCCTAACCTAATCTACTCCTAGGACCTCTATATCCTCTTAAGTAAACGTTTAGTTTATAATTTAGTAAATATAGTAGTTAGTATCTTATCCTTACTTACGAATACATGCCTACTACTTACCTAGCTTATATTATATCTCCGGATAGTAAAAAGTATAATTATCCTTATTCTCCTAATTTAGCGAGATACTACTTTAAATTATAGTAGCCCTTTAATTAGTAGTAAGTATATTATTAATATTTAAATTAATATAATAAAAAAAGGTTCTATCTCCTAGTATAGTATATTTAATATAGTAAGAGTAACTAATAAGTCTCTACTTCTTATTAGGATAAAGAGCTATATATAATATATAGTAAGCGGGGTCTTAGTATATAAGCTACTAAGTTACTAAAAAAAATATATTCTGTAGTTATCTGATATTCTTACGCCTATTAATCTCTTATAAGTAGTGCTAGTATATATCTAATTTATTATAAATTTACTTTTTAAGAGGGGAACTAAACTACTATTTAAAAAGGGAGTAAATAACTTATTTATTCTCTTCTTACTATAGTAAGATCGTTAGATCCTAGTTATCTAGAATCAGCTTCTAATTATACTTAAATAATTTAAGCCCCTCCTTCTTATAAAATTTATAAGGTCCGAGCTTATTTAATAAGTAAGAAGGGCGATTAGCTATATAAAACTAAATATAAATCTCCAGGTCTATCTTTAGCTTTCTGATTTTTAACCTCTTATTATATATAATACATAGTCTCTTAATAGCTAAACCTTCTAAGAGTCGCTTTATATAGAGACCTATATATCTTACTATTAATCGCAAGTAATTATAGTAAACTCGCTAAAATCCTAGTATCTTACCTAAGAGCTTTATTATTACTATAATTAGTAGAACTTTCTTTCCTTTTATTATAGTTTTCTAGCTAGTAGTTATATCCTTCTTATAGCTATACTTCTACTTATCTCTACTTTCTTTATTAACCTCTTACTTTTCCTATTCCTTTAGTTCCTTCTTAACTAAGTTAACCTCTTCCTTATTAATCTTAGCTCTTCTCTTATATATAAACTTAAACTCTTTTATAGTCTTACTTATTTCCTCCTAGCGCTAGGACTAATATAGTTAAAGAGTTAGGGCTACTATAGCACTTATAATAATTTCCCTTACTAAGCGGGCTAAATTATTAATATTACTAGAGCTCCCTTCCTCTTTACTTATAGCTATAGGTATATCTTCTAATTCCTTTATAAATACCCTTTCTTTTATAAAGCCTCTTATATTAACCTATATTCTAATACTCCTTTATTCCTCTTCTAATAACTTCCTTACTTTCTCTTCTCTTACTTTCACGCTTATTATATAAGTTATATCTATTATAGTAACTTCTTTTACTTTAAATATCCCTTAATAAAGTAGCTTTAAGACTTATCTTTAGACTTCTAAGTTAACTTATAATCTAGCTTCCTTAATAGATCTCTTCGTAGAAGCTTATTAGTAGTAACTTATAAATTCCCTTAACTTAGTTACTAGCTAAGCTAGTACTTCCGGGTCTATTTAGTTCTTCGCTATATTCTTATAAGCTTTACCTTATTTATTTCTCTTCTTCGCGTTATTAATAATTATAACTTAAACTTCTATTTAAGACTAATAAAACTTATCTTTTAATATATAGATCTAGAAT